CCAGGGAAGCCCCCTCTAAATAGGAGGCCCCGATAGCATATATATAATTAGTAATTTATAAGCCTAATATATATAATATAAATAGTAGTTAGTTAGGATATTAAAGGGCCGCTAATCTCCCTGATTAATACCTGTAATATCCGAGGTTTATTATATGCCCTTAAGTTATATATAACCCTATATATATTACAAAGACTTCCTATTAATAATTCTTTCTCTAGTAATTAGAAATATTAGTTTTATCTAAATTAACTTTTTTTTTTAAAGTTTACTATAAATAGTAAATCTTATTATAACTAATAGCCGGGATTATTATTAACTAAATCCGAATTACCTGGCTTATTAAAGTAATAATAAGTAATAGTATATTAAATTATAATACTAAGGAAATTACTCTTATTAATCCTAAATAATAAGTTCCTAAGATTATTATAAAATATAAATTTAGTTATATTTCGGATTAAGCCTTATATTACTAAGAAATATAATATCTAGGAATTATTAATAGTACTAGATAATATAAATCTGAACTTGGGCTCAAATAGATATTCTTTCTTTTTTCTATTAGTATTAAATACTCGAGAGTAATAAATAGTAATATTTAGTATATATTCGAATAAAATAATTTTTATTTCTATTATAAAAACACGTATATTTTTATATATTTCTTTATTAGTAATAAAAATAGGAATATAGCCCAGATTTATTTATATTATATTATAGTACTTTTGCTTATAACTAAGAATAATAATTGCTCCTACTAGAATAAGGATATTAAGGCCCATAATTATTAGTACTAGTAACTAGTTAATTATATAAATCTCTCTTTCTAAAAATATTAGATAACTAATTATATCCGGGAATTAAAATTCGTATCTAATAAATTCCGAGATTAAGGGCCTATTACTAATACTAGTTAAATAAATAATATAGCCTCTAGCTATTTTCTATAATAAAATATTAGGAAAATATACCTTATATATAGCTTGAGTTATTAATAAAATAAGAAAGTACGAATTTATTAATTATACTAGATCCCGTATCTTTATTAATTACTACTAAAGAAATATACTTATTAGAGCTATTACCCTATATATTACTTAGTAAAAAAAACTAGTCCGACTTCTTGTTTTCTATATCTTTTATTATTAGCTAACTATTTTAATTCTATTTATATTCTTTATTAATACTTAATATTCGTATATCTCTTAATCTAATACTTCTATAGAAAAATAAACTATTAGTATAGCCTTACTAGCTAGTAAGGAAATAGTAGAATAAGTTTATTTCCTTAATTAATACTAGTTAGAAAAAGGTAAAATTATAGCTAATAAAAATTTGGGAAATAGAATTAAAGTAATAGAAGCTAGAGCAAGTAACTAAGTATTAATATTTATAATAATAGGTACTATTTTAAATACTAGTAAGAATAAGCTCCTAGTAAAATTACTAAAAGAATACTTAATACTTATTACTAAATTATAATTACTAATTAGTAATCCGAAATATTATTTCCCGGCTACTAAGAATTATATTAGCCTTTATAATAATTATTAAATAATCTTACTATTTAGTATATAGTATATAGCTACTTATTTATTATTTATTTTTTATTATTCTTGCTAGTACCTTTAAACTTTATATTATAATTTATAAGAAAGGCTTTTACTTTAAACTATTAGTCTTTTATTAGTACTAGATAATTAGGATATTTAAAGTCCAGATACTAATCTCTATAATATTAGTAAGAATACTTCAGGATAAATAGCTTATTCTAATAAGCTTTATTATATGAGACTACTATTTTTTCCTTATTATCTAAGGTATTACTAGGCTTTTTCTAGGTAGGGCTAATATTAAATATATAACTAAAAGCTTTTATAATTTATTTTGCTTTATTCTTTATTAGAACAGGCTTGTAAAAACAAGAAATACCTTAGTTAAAACCCTAGATCTTACTATATTACCTAAATAAATTTAATACTAGTAAACAGAAATAATTTATTTTAACTAGCTTCTTTATTACAAATTCCTTATTATAAAGGCATATATAAAAGACTTCGAAGTAATTCCGGCTATAAGAAAGATTAATAAGTATTATAAGAATAGGATTAAGGCTTTTTCAAATCTTTTCTATTATTTCTTTTTTATTAGAAATTAGTATATTCTTTAAGAAACTAATCTTTTTTATAAAATATATCCTAATATTATTACTAGATAATAGAGAGTATATATACTTATTTATTTTCTCTTATATAGAAAAGTAATTAAATATAAATTATAAGCTTAATTATTATATCTATTTAGTATAATCTTATCTTATTTTATTTCTAACTAGTACTAGTAGCCCTATATACTAAATAATAGAATTCCCTTAAAAGTAAAGTAGTAAAATAAATAGAACTTATATATTACTATAATTACTGTAGCAGGTATTAATATATTTAATAAATAAAAATACTAAAGTTATTAAGTTTTTCGGATTAAAGAGTATAATATTACTAGCTTTTAAGTTTACCTTTAGCCTATATTCTACTAAAAATATAGACTTATCCCTAGTAATATCTCTGCTTATATAATAGTCCGGTAGTAAATAGTAATTACCGGAAGCTAGATAATAATCTGGAAATCCCTAAAGCTATTAATAAGTATTTTATTAAAAGTAATTACTAAATAAAGAGTCCGGATATTCTATATTCCTAGAAAACTATCTATAATATTTCTCTTTAGTATAAGCCCTTAGGTTCGGCTATTACTAAAAGTTATTCTGGAATTTAACTTATTACTAGTAATAGTTATTAATATCCAAAGTATAAAAACCTTATCTTTTAATTAAGTATATTACAGAAAGCCTATAGTTATTATTTCTAGAAAACTAAGACTAATTATATATCTTTTCTTTAATAGTCTATAATAGGCCTATAGGGCCGGTATATTACTAGATAATGAATTATAAGAACTCTCCGTTATGAAATCTTTATTTGGCCAGATTTATTAAAGTCAAATTAAATTCTTTATAATATACTTTAAGATCCTTCTTTACTATTAATATATAATATATATTAATCCGTTCCCGTTCTTCTGCTATAACGGGTTTATTAAGGTCAGGCAAGCGTAATATTCTAGTATTATTAGCCTTTAGTAACTTCGCTAGCAAGACGGTATCTCTCTTATATGCCTTCTTGGAATATTTGACTCGGCCCTCTAAGATAATACTCTTTTGCGGCTAATAACGGGCAGGCCTCGTATCCAGTCCCTTCTCCTTATTCTATTATACAGGGCTATAGTAGTTGCTATTAAGAGGCGAGTAGTACTGAAATCCCGAGCCCTCTAGGGCAGGCGTAGCGGCTAAAGATACTATTCCTGTATCTGCAGACAAGAATAAAGGTATAGGACTAGTAATAGGTAATAATCGCGGCAAAGGTTACTCAAAGAAATCCGAGGCCAGTGGGTTATAAGAGCTCGATTAATTAGAGTCATTTGCAGGAGTTAATAGCGGATATACCTGCCTAACTATTAGCAGATACTAGAGATATGCGAAGGAGAAGTTCTTAATAGAATTACAGAAGCTCTTAATAGAATCGCAGGATTAATTAATTAATATTACTAGTCGGGAAGTGTGTGCGGTTGCCGACCGAAGTGACGTGTGCAGTCGCCGGCAGCCGCCGAAAAACGAATCCAAAAGCTATTGGATACCGAGAAGAATTGGTTTATTACCCCCTACCAAAATGTTTAACGTGAACTCAATGAAAAAGCAGAAGCGTCTGATGAAAAGCGGAAGCGTCTGGGTTGGGTAGGTGGGTAGGTGCTGTGGTCCTTCCGTCTTCGTTCGACACGATCAATAGTAGACACACTTCTCTGACCCGGTAGTTCCGAAAAATCGTTCAAAGTATTACTACTAATCTGTTACGGGATAGACATCCCGGTGGGCCCCAACGATGGCGAAGGCCAGAGTAGGGCAGAAAGATGATGTATTCTCTATGAGTGATAGCTAGCTAAAGTACCTTCCGCCCCTGGTAGCTTACGTAACAGGCTGGGATGACAACGACGCCGCAGATACTGTGGCATTGGCGAGGAGGAGTATGTTGATGTCCATTGGAACCAAGGGTTTGATGGGGAAGCCTTTGATGCGAACGGATTCAACGCAGAGGGACTCTATTACATGGATATCAATGAAGTCTGGCAGGGAGCCAAGGATCTGTATGCTTGCGGAATCAGATGAGTAACATAGTGTTTCAAGAGTATCCTGGACACTCTAGAAAATAAATCACCGCCGCACTCTTATTTGAATGAATGTGCAGCTTCGACTTGGGACATTGAACATTTGTGCCGCTTTTTCTGCCCATCACAAGGAATAGAAGTAGTGTGATTGTCGTGATGTGGTCGGAGTTCTCAAAGATGGGGTGAGGGGAAACCGCACCAGCGGAATTGTGGAGACTCCGCACTGCCGAGTTGGGACTTGGCATCCTCATCCCCGTATATCATCTGGGGCGACGGGCCAGTCGACCTTGAACCTGATGGTTAGCAGTTGAACCTCTGCAGAAACGAGTGTTGAAAGCATCATTTCTCTGCCCAGATTCGACTCATTTAGGAGGTTGAAGTGTTAAACCTGGCGCTGCAAACCTCCACCTTCTACTCGACAGACATGACTTCAGAAAACTTATCAGAGAGCGAGAGTGCAATGAAAGCTGCATCTCAGGGATTCTTCAACACGATATCGCTGCTCTCCTTCTCTTCCTCGGTCTCCCTTTTAGTGGGTGGGGTTGCTTTGATGGTTGCTGTTATCTTATATCTCGCGTTTACAGGCTCAACGCCAGCGACATCGTCGAGGAAGGCCCAACAAGCCAGGATTATGAGAAAAGCGTACAGAACTATGGAGAAACAAGCTTTATCATCAGATAGCAAGCGAGTAAGGGTAGGTTCATCTCTCAGGGACAAGAGGATCCGGAAGTTAAGCTGACATCCTGTACGAGAGCTCGAGCAGAGCAGCCGCTGGCTCCATGCGAATCAGCCAGGTGAGTAATATCCTGAAAGGCATTGTTCACAATATTGAAGAATATAGCTTTGGGTCTATCCCGTAAAGTCTCTCCGGGGCTGCGTCGTTCCTCAAGCCATGTTGACCAAGGAGGGATTCTACCTCGATCGTCGCTTCGTGCTCCTGCAACCAGACGAAGAAAATCCTGGACATTGGAAGCATATGGCAGTCTCACGGATATCACAAATGGTCCTCTTCCACCCTTCTGTTTCAGGAGACAGACTCACCATCACCTACCGCCCCCCTGGATCTGCTCCCGCCGATCCTCAGACCCTCGAAGTTCCTCTCGAACCGGAAAACCTTGCCCAGCTTCGGAGAGTGGACGTCAATATGCATTCAAGTCCCACGAAAGGCTTCGATATGGGTGAGAAGTATAGCAAATGGTTCTCAGATCGCTTCGGATTCAAAGTTATCCTCGCATATTGGGGAAACAACCCACGTCTTGTCCTCGGAAATCTCCCGGGCAAACCCACAACCCAGGGACCGAAGCCAAAGAACGCATTCACGAAAGTCATGAGCTCGCTGCCAATCATAGGCCCTATGTTAGAGGAAGACGATGGAGTCATTGCTTTCAACGACTGTGCACCTTACCTCGTAATTACCGAACCCTCACTCGCAGACGTTTCCAAACGACTCCCGCCAGGCGTGGAAATGGACGTCACGAAGTTCCGTGCCAACATTCTACTCAAAACCTCTGATCCCGCATGGGTCGAAGACTTCTGGGGCGAATTGGCGTTTGGAGATGGAGGTGCAAAGATCCTCCTCACAGGAAATTGCGGTAGATGTAAGAGTTTGAATGTCGATTACAATACTGGGGAATCGGGCACGGGGCGGGATGGAGAGGTGCTGAAGCTGTTGCAGAAGGATAGGAGGGTTGATCAGGGCACTAAGTATAGTCCTATCTTTGGAAGATATGGGTTTGCGAGTAAAGAGTCGGAGGGGATGGTTTTGAAGGTTGGAAGTGAGGTGATCTTGAGTAAGAGGAATGAGGAGAGGACGAGGTTTTGTGAGTTCTCTTGGAGGGAATCGATTTGGGAGAGATACTGATTTTAACAGATTGGCCCGGGCTTTCCACATAAGTTCTTTGCTCTTGAATCATCAAGATTGAAGATCGAGAGAGTTGATGAGCCGAGTCAGCTTCGAATTGGGAAATGAAGTTGTTTGAAATTGTCGATTGTGTGTGTTGACCAAGACTTGTGATAAGTATCACACAGCGTACTTCATTTGAAGACTTCCTTTTTTCAGAAGAAAGGAAGAAGACGCCTAGGCGTTGGACCCTTACTATACTTTTATTTCGTGAATCTCTGTACCAAAGTTCTTCGGGGCCTCTGATGGGAATTGTGGGGTCGGGTCTGTCTGAGGACTCCCGTGTATGCACCTCACGCCACATGTGACATGACAAGCAAAAGGCCGCATTGGTGTTGATCCTTCCAGCCACTTCAAGACAACTGGTGCAATCTGCAGAGAGCTGAAAGTTTGGGATTCTCGTGATTGGCCAGAACTCGGCATACGAAGGCGGGCGATGGAAACCGTCCAACTGTCAAAATTCCACGCGCCTTCGTAGTAGTCGCCATTGGCCAACCCTCTGCACTGCAGGCTTGATAAGGACGCCCAAAAAAACCCCAAAAAAATGAAGCCGCCGGAAGAGGTCCTTCTTCGTGTCGTCGTCGTCGCCGTCGTCGTGGCAAGCCTCCTCTCAAACTCATCTGCGATCTCTTTGTCGGAATATCTTCGATAATGAAGCCGTCATCGATTGTTTCAACTTTACTTTGCGGCGCGCTCTACCATTCCCATTGTTTTCTCGCAGCCAAGGTCGTTCGGTTCAATGTGACCAGAGCCTTGCCCAATAATGGGGAAGCTATCGCAAGTTTGGCGCGACGCAATTATGTTGCGGAATCATTGATCAATAATCTCACTTCTGCAGGGTACCGTAAGTAGCTAGGGGGTATTCTCGTGATTTCTCCCCAACTAATGTCTCGATTTTTCTGTTCTCCCGAACCACTTTTGAACCTGGCTAATAAGCCTTCCATTACACAGTTGCTTCTGTACAAGTCGGAACACCATCACAGACACTCCGACTACAGATATCAACCGGAAGCAGTGATATTTGGGTAATTGATAATTCGAGCAATATATGCGCTCAAGGTTGTGTGACTCCGTGTAAGCAAGCACCTGTTCCGATTTCCTGAATAGAGCCTTCTGGATACACGCCTCATAAATTACAAAGCTGATCCCATACTTAGTTTACTCGAAGAAATCAACCAGCCTATCCATGATTTCTGCTGGGGGTTTCAATATTTCTTATGTCGACACTACAGGAGCAATGGGGGACTACATTCGGGACGAGTTCCTGTTCGGTCAAGTTGGTCATAGCATGCAACTGCAGATGGGATTAGTAAACGATACAACACGCGGAGCAGGGGTTATGGGGATCGGCTACGACACCCACGAAGCTACGAGTATCCAATACAATAATTTCATGGATGAGATGGTCAGCGATGGTATCACGAATACCAAACTCTACAGCCTCTGGTTGAACGACTTGGGGAGCAGTTCCGGAAGCATTCTTTTCGGGGGCATCGACACGGAAAAGTATTATGGTACTCTGTCTTCGATACCGATCATCCCGGACGGCAATAATAAGTACACTAAATTCAATGTGGGTCTTACCTCGATTTCATACACGCCCGGAACTACGGCCATACCTCTCACAACTCCCAATTTCACGACCTCGGTTCTTCTTGAGTCTTCAACGGCTTTGATGTATTTGCCAGAGGAGAATATCAATGTTATTTACAGCGCATTCGGCGTCGAATTTGGTTTTGATGGATATCCCTATGCCGATTGCAAGTACAGCAACTCGTCATATATGTCTTTTGGATTTGAGAGCGGGACCGTTATTAACGTTCCTTATTCGGAATTCGTCACCAAGCTCTATGCTCCAAGCCTAAATCCGGGGGGGCTGCCGTTTTCCAATTTGTGAGTTTAAAATTCTAGGATTATATTGATCCTTTCGTTGCATATATGCCTTGAGTCCATACTTCTCACAAGAAACCTTCAAATCGCATTGTTCAAGGCAATACTAATCCGATTACCTAATACAGCTGCTCTTTCGGCATCGAGTCCGCAGGATCGGAGGCTAATGTGCTCGGCGACTTCTTTCTTCGGAGTGCATACGTCGTCTACGATCTCACGAACAACCATATCTGGATGGCGCCGGCTGTGCTGAACACCACTAAAAGCAATATTGTCGAAATACAAGCTGGTGCACTTAGCCTGCCCCAAACTACTGGCGAAGCACGACCAAGTCCCACAGCTTCAACATCGCCTTCCGGAACGTCGCCGATTGGGACGTCCACAAACAGCTCTCCGGTACAGACCGGAACTCCCAAAAAGAAAAATCACGCCGTTGCGATTGGCGTCGGTGTCGCCGTCCCCTTAGGCGTGGCCCTCGCAGCACTCATCGGGTTTTGCTTCTGGTGGCGAAGACGCAAGACATCTCAATCGACATCAGAGAAACTGCCAACATCCCAACACCGACCAGCACAGCTTCCTGAACTCGGTGATTTAACATACATCCACGCCGATCCTGTGTACATAGACAATGGTCAAGGCAGGATGTCTCGGATCAGTAGCACCCCATCGGAACTGTCGGCGGGACAGACGCCTATTTCCTCGCCAAGATCACCGGTTGAGAGAAAACAGGTGCCCGTGAGGGATAAGCTGCCAACTACTTGGGAACATAGCTAATTTTCCTGCTGTGAATGAATGAATAGCATGGGTGGTTTACGAGGTTAAAATAAAACTAATATCCTAATGCCAACCAACCGTAAAGAAAACGAGTGCACATGGCAATATTGCGACGAATTGCGGATCCTTCAGTCATTCGATACTGTATGAGAGGAGGGTGAGTTGGTATGAAAGGATTGCCAAGACTCAATGTAAATAGGGGCGGGGTGAACTGCGGGATAATTCCGCACAAAGCCGACCCCGCAAAACGCGGAAAAGGTTTCCATCCTCCTGACGAACTCCACGTTTCACACGACCATGATATTCTCTCGTGCAACGCAATCGACTCTACTCGATGGCTGACGGTGCGGGGAAAGGGATGAATCTGTGTGGAGACGCAGCTGAAGTCGGAAAACCGCGGATATTCACATCTACAACATGATCACCACGCAGGCGGTAGGTAACGGAAAAGCTTCACACTATATACATTCCTTCTCTCTTCCCCCTTTCGTTTCTTGGACAGAAGGACTCCACTCTTATACCCTTACCAATCCCTAATCATGGAACAGCCCAAACTCCTCCTCCACACCTACTTTCGCTCCTCCTGCTCCGCACGGGTACGTACCGCAGCACACTACAAAGGAATCCCACTGGAATACAGTTACATCCACCTGCTCTCGAGCCAACAATTGTCTGAAGAATACAAGCTCCGCAACCCCTCAGCCAGCGTCCCCACGCTCTCCTTCACCACCTCCTCAGGTCAGTCAGTAACCATCCGCCAATCCATCCCCATCCTCGAGTTTTTCGAAGAATATTTCCCGAATACACCCCAATTACTGCCTCCTCCCTCGCAACCTACCGAGAGAGTAAAAGTTAGAGAGCTGGTAAACATCATAGCAAGCGATCTACAGCCTGTGACGAATTTAAGGATGTTGAGAGGTGTGAAGAAATTGAGTGGAGGCAGAGAGGAGGCGCCGGGCGAGTGGGCGAAAGAGTGGATGATTCGGGGACTGGAAGCTTATGATAAGGTTGCGGAAGTATATGCGGGGAAATATAGTGTAGGGGATGAGGTGAGTATGGCGGATGTTGTGTTGGCACCTGCGGTGGAGGGGGCGCTGAGGTATGGTGTTGATTTGGAAGGGATGAAGACTGTGAAAAGGGTTTATGAGAATGTGAGGGGGTTGGAGGCGTTTAGGAAGGGGGATTGGCGACATCAGGGGGATACGCCGGCGGAGTTTAGGGTCCAGGATGAACAAGAATGTTCTACTGGGAGGTTGTGAGAAAGCTGTGTATATTATTATTGTTCTGAGCACCTTTGCGACATTGGACGATATTTATGAACAAATTCCTACATCACATCCTCCTATCTTTGCGATTGCAGGGAAGGAAATCGACTAAAAAGTCTGCGGAAACCCCAGCTTTACGTCCCCTTTTTCATTCAGTCCCCAAGCAGTGCTGCTCCCATCATGTACTGTCGTCCTCCTCATATCTCTCCTGTACCTGCCCTCAAAGCTCCCACCAGTTGCCCTATGCATCACGCAGCGATTATCCCACATCACCAAATCTCCCACTCCATTCCACGGCACCTCAACCGTATACTTCTCCTGCGTCGCATGGGCTATCAATCTATCCAACAACTCATCCGAGTCCCTTTTCTCCAACCCCTCAATATGATGCGCATGCCTCGCCACATAAAGGTTCATCCTGCCACTTGGTTCATGCCGTTGGACAAGCTTGTGCCGAGCCATTTTATGCTCCATAGGATTGACGTGGGCGAAGAATTCCGGGGATCCGAGTTTGCGTGAGTGGAAGAGTGAATGCGCTGCTACGTAGTCGTTGGAGAGCAGCTCTGCTTTTAAATCGGCAGGGAGCTCGTCAAATGCAGTGCGTGTGTCTGCGAAGCCTGTTTCTCCGCCCGTGCCAGGAGGTGGGATTATGTGCGCGAGGAGGATAGAGTAGGATGCCCGGCGGGGGTTGAAGCTGGAGTCTACGTGCCAGAGACCATTTCCCTAATCCTTTGTGTCAATAGAGTGTTGAAATAGGAGAGGCAATGCGGACTTTATTGTAGTGTGAGCGTTGGCTGTCGAGAGCAATTGGATTCCCCTCATCATCCAGATTCCCGGCGTCGAATAGTTCGTAATATGGGAACCTTGCTTTTCGTCCATTGGTTAAGTACGGCTTAATATCATCGAGCTCTCCGAAGCGCTTCGAGAATTCAACGTGCCGGGTATCATCAAGACCTGTGTCTCTGAATACTAGGACGCCATACTCAGGCAATTGTGAGAACACTTGCAGCTTGGGACTGAAATGGTTAGCTTACTTTCGCGATTGCTTTGAGAATGTCATCAAAGACTTCTTGAGGAATATCTTGTGATAAATCTACGCCCTCGACTTCGGCAGTGAAAGTTAGACCGATTTCTTTGATTGTGAAGTGTTTGAATTGAGGCTCTTGCAGAAGACCAGGCATCTTGGCAAAATTTGTGGTGGAATTAATTTAAGCTGCCCTACGGAAATGATAAATTTATGAAGTGCCTTGTGATGGAGTTCTTGCGGTTGTGGTAGGCTTTATTTGAGCAGAGGTGGGGGGTTGGGGGGAAGCCTCGCATTGGGGGATCCCCGAAAGTGCGGGGGACATACATGGCAGGTGTGACGGCAGCCCGGCACATCAAATATGGTGGTGCTCGAGAGAGATCTTTGCGAGCAGCTTGCTCTTTTTGACGTCTTGGTCTTTCCCCTCTGCCACTCGGGAACTATATCCGAGAGTAAGGGGCTACCTATGCACTCGCTAAGATTGAGGTTAGTGATGAGTTCTTTCCATGGCAGCCTAGAGGCGATTTATCCCCGACGTATCACTGGCTGAAGCAACTATCACTTGATGAGCAAAGTCAGCAATCTTGATGTTGTCCCGACTGTCAACAGAAGGGCGTGGAAAATGAAGGCTATAAATGGCGAAGCATAATCGAAATCGTTCTCAATGTCCCAACGCTCTCGAATATATCTATCTCATCATGACCGGACTTCATCCCTGCTGTGACCCAACAGCCCCGAGTACAATATGGGAGGGGATGCCAACTGGGAGGATTATTGAAATCGACGGAATTGAGATGTATATTTCTCAGCCACGGATGCGCGATAGAGAATCCGAATCGGAACTTTCAACTCTTGGTCCAGAAAGCTTCAAGGAGCACGAGCCGAAGCGTGTCATTCTCTTCTTGACCGAAGGCCACGGCATTTACCTCCCAAATGCTCAGCTTTTGGCAGACTCCTTCGCTTCTCATCTTGATTGCGATATCATCATGCCAGATCAGTTTGCAGGCCAAGCTCGTCTTGACAAGAACCATCGACCCTTTTTCCCGCCTGGCAAAGAACCAGTACCAGAGATCGTGCCATGGACAGAAGACAAAGATGACCCGAATTACGAACTGAGAGGTATTCAAGTGCCTTTGAAAGAAAACACAGAGACTTCAGATGTGTATCCGTTCAGGAAGCCTCCTTGGTGGAAAGGAGATGAGAGTGCACAGGAGTTCGAGGCTTGGAAGCAGCGACATGAACCCCCGGTGACGGACCCCTTGCTCGCTCTGGTGGTGAGATATATCCGTGACCAGTATGGACAGGATGTGAAGATAGGAGGAGTGGGATATTGCTTTGGTGGAAGATATGTCATCCGGCTAATGGGGGCGGGGTTCATTGATGTTGGGGTTGTCAATCATCCATCCTTCTTCACTATGGAGGAAGTGCATTTGGTAACAAAAGGAAAACAGCTCGCAATCTATGCTGCTGAGGTGGATGACATTCTACCACCAGAGAAGAGGAGGCAGACGGAAGATGTCTTGACAAAGACTGGAGCGACTTGGATGAGTACTGTGTTTGGCGGGACAGAGCATGGCTTCAGTGTGAGAGGTGATTTGACGGTGAAAGATGTGCGGTTGGCCAAAGAATCTGCATTCAAAGGGGCGGTATCGTGGTTCAGAAATTGGTTGATCTGAGAGTGTTGGGTCGAGACGGAGATGGAGTTGAGGAGAGTTTAGGATGGTGGCACAGGGCGGGTCACTGAGTAAAGTTGAGCTCTGACGCTAAAATTCGCCTGGATTTTCACAGCTCACACCGTCCCGAGTCCCAACGGCCCTCTAGTAAATCCGAATTTCCTTTCCCCAAATCTTCCTCCTTTGCCCCAAATTATTCGGGTCGTAGATCTCACCTGTTTCTGCCCTATTTAACAACATACAATACGGAGGCTTTCTTCGATGAATACGAAACCTTGTGAGCGTAAATTTAACCCCACCAGCTGCAATTCCACTCTCTTTCGGAAATTAAGATTATTCCCGAGACGGACAGACCCCCTTTGCGGCCACGAGAACTGATGACCAGTACGGCGCAGTCTCGAAGACCTACATCATACAAATACTGTCGCTATCCAAAGCACTTTGTTCAGGGACAATGTCGAGCCCGACCGACGTCGAGAGCGTCAAATTACTCCTTGCCGAAGTCAACACGCTTGGGAGACTCGTGATCGGGAATGATGGTGGCGAATCAGCTCGCAAAAAGCTGATAAGTGCGGCTGAGAAGCTCATTATTGCAGCGAGAACACCAGGAGAGAATCTGTATCTAACGGCAGCTCAAGTTGGCATTCTCTCTACTTGTCAAGGTTTCCTTTGTTCTGACGGTTACGCAGCCTTTTCTCAATGGATCCATCAGTGCTGCTTACTCCATTGGATGCTTCGACTGCATCCCCAGTGATACAAATGACGACATGAGCGCTGGAGAGATATCTTTGAAGGCGGGAGCAGAGAAAGCCTTAGTGGGTATATACTTTCATGCTCCATTATGGATAAAACGAAACTGATCTGATCATGGGCAAGTTCGCATCATGCGTGTCTTGACTTCCTCTCACATCTTCGTTGAGACGGGTCGAGAGAGATACGCATCCAACCACTTCTCCCGAATCCTGGGCACACCAGAAAACCGTGCTCACTTCCAAATTCAGAACACAATTGTTGGCCCTGCAGCCGGAGCATTGGGAGCATATCTCGAGACTCACAACCTCCGAAGTCCCACCGATCACCATGATTCTCCTCTTCAGTTTGCTCTCAAGACCCCTTATGATTTTTGGGGCTACCTCAAGGAGGACCCTATGAGAGCAAAGATGTTCAACCAGAGTATGCGGTCAAGTGCTATAGTGGGAGCTGCTGGAATACCGCCTTTCCCTTTCGCAGACGAACTAAAATGCGATTCAGAGGAGGAAGTCCTCATAGTCGATGTCGGAGGCGGTAAAGGCCAGGCACTAGAATTTATTCGAAACGGTTTCCCCGAGCTCAAAGGACGGATGATTGTCCAAGATCTACCTGAAGTCATCAAGGATACAAATGGATCTTCTCATTTGCTCTCGTCGATTGAGACAATGGCCGCGGACTTCTTCAAACCTCAACCTGTACTTGGAGCCAAAGCATATTTCCTGCGTCGAATCATGCACGACTGGGGGGATGAGGCTTGCAAATCAATACTGAAGAATCTCGTTCAGTCAATGAGTGTTGATAGCAAAATTCTGGTCAATGAGCTCGTGTTACCAGACGAAAATTGCGAAAGAAGGATGGCACTGAATGATCTTGTGATGATGTCGTTCGGAGGGATGGAAAGGACTGAGAGTCAATGGAAAGCTCTACTTCAGGAAGTAGGACTGGATATCAGGAATATCTGGAGAAAAGAAGGGGAGAACTTGTCCGTCATTGAAGCCACGTTGAGGAGCTAGTAGACCGTTGTGCGTTTGGCAGGGAGTCCTGCAGAAAGCCTTCAAGGGTTTACGGTGTCTGCCTATCCTATCTACTCCATTCTTCCATCATGGGTTTTGAGCTGAAAGCAAATTCGGCCCGACCAGCGTTGGCGGTTAATTCCCCGTGGCTTTCCTTCCCCCCCTGCTCCTCCTACGAATGGCCTGCGCATCACGTGAGGGACAGCCACTCTAAAAGTCCTGCTGGCCTAGCAAGAGATGAGAACTCCAATACAACCACACCACTTAATTTCCCCATTCCCCTCCACTTACCGTTGTTTTTCAAGCTCTTAAGCCTGTCAAAGGCGTTATGTCACGTGATGATACCCCTTTTTCTGCAGCGATCTCATGACCCTTTTGTAGAAACTCAGCCTACTGTGAGGACCACAAACTCAAATCCTTCGAGCTGCAGCCTGACGCTTTGCGTCTGGTAGATTTAAAGTTCTAGGAACGTTGCGGTTTCCGAGGGTTCGAATACGGAATACGCGGTCTTTAGGTCACACGAGTTTTCGATCCGAGACGCCACATCCTTTCCTTTTGCATAAAAATAGATTATGTTTGTGGTTCTAGCACGACTGAGCGAGTCACCACTTCACAAGAACACTGCCTCAACAGCCCGGCTAAAGAGTCCGGATCCTTCGAGTGTCTGGTAATGCACAAACCTCAGCTCTTCAAGGGTTCAGGTGCTGGAAGGATCCCGATAGAAGGCAGATGCGACATATAGTCTTAGAATGGTTGGAATCTCAGTATAAAAGTCACAGTCTGCCACGGCGGAGTCGCCTTCGTACTCGATATGCGTGCTTCGACGACGAGCCCTGAGTTCTTTTTGGATGCCGAGGCCCAATCACCGCATCGAACCCCTTTTCACCTGGTGGATACGCAATACGATTCGCAGTGTTTCGTCCGAGTCCACGTGACGTTTACGTTAAGCCCAAACTGTCTTAAAGCCGAAGGGCTGCAGATTCAGTTTCTCTGACCCTTCAGCCATATAAGCCCTGTGTCATGCATCGCTGGGGAAACTCGGCAAGAACATGCATCCCATCGGTTTTGCGAATCGATTTTGCCTCAAAGGTTGAGAATTGAGGCGAAGATGTTGGTTAACCCCGACACCTCACAGCAGAAAAAAGAAGTACGCTCGCGGCAACGAGCCTCAACATCATGCACGGAATGCCGGCGGAGAAAGCAGAAGGTATCTATTGGCTAACTGCAAGCTCTCCTTAATCATTGGAGCAGTTCGACTGACGATTGGCCCCCAGTGTAATCAAGCCAAGGACAGACCATGTAACAATTGCGCAAGGAGGTATCCTCCCGTGCCGTGCGTTTATGAGGGACTGAAGTGAGTTGATGTCGCGTCCTCTTCCCAAGATGGGAATGTTTGGCGAGAAATGTTAACGAGGGCCAGGAAGATTCCCAAATCCAAGGAAAAGGTGCTTAGGGTGCAGCCAAAGATTGAAGAACCCGAGGCAGCCGGTTCCAATATCCTTGCAACTATACCGGAGTCAGGAAGCCAATCTTCAGATGATTCCTTCAATCAGAAGCCAGTCCTCCAGCTTATCACATATGACACAAGACTAAACTCGCCCTTCTCTGACGGATGGCCAGTAGGGCTATTCTCATATGAAGATGACGAGAGCCCAACATCTCCTGTTGGTCCCGACGATATCTCTCCAAACATCAGGGCCCTCCAGTATTATCCCTTCCGGGAACATATCAGAAAATCTTATTATGGGGTTTCAAAAATGCATGTGGGGAGTGTCGCTCTTGAACCAATGCACGCCCTCCCATTCGAACCTTCTCTTCGCAATGCCCAACTTCTTCATTTTTGTCAGTATCCTTCACAATCCATTAAACCAATCCCTGACATCTGTAGTCCTTCAAAGGCTGGCTCCTTTCATGTCGTCAATTGACGGCAATGATCCCCCACCAGCATTCAACGAGAAATGGTTGCCTTTCATGATCCAGTCTCCCATCGCAGGGTACATTGCGATCTTGACTTCTTCATACTTTCAGGCTACCGCGCGACAGATTGAGTGGAACAAGTCAGTCGACGTGATGGGAGCCCGCGTCAAACTCATTACTCTCATCAATTCATACCTCACTGCTCATCAGAGTGCCCTCAATGACGAAGCAATTTCCACCGTGATGTCTCTGGCATACAACGAGGTATGCGCTTTATGTATTGTCTCGGGACCCTACTAATTTTGTTTCAGCTTGTGTATGCAGATGAGAGAAGTACATTGGCCCACATGAATGGCCTTGCAGAGATGATCAGGACGCGGGGAGGCCTCCAGAGTATTGAGTTCCGCACTTTGAGGGAAATGCTCACGAGGTAAGAGATCACTTACACTTTTATCACTACCGCTAACTGGCCAGAACCGATTACCAAATCGCTTTCACCTTCGAATGCGATCTTTTCTTAGACAAGACCCTGAACAAGCCCGTTCCTACTCTTGAATCATATTCAATTGAAGTTGACAGCCCTTTGATCAAGTCGAACATACGCTTCGTCGAGTCAGCCGAAGAACTTAATATTAGTATCGAAGCCGCCAGGGTCCTCGATGACATGAGATTTCTCACGGCTTCTGTCCTCCACTTTCAGGAAAACGGGGATTCTGAAGTGGAGATAGCTAAGCTCTTGACCACAGTCCACTGGATACATGAGCAGCTTGTCTCACCAGCAACACACGACCCCAACATGGCGAACGATTTCATGTACCAAACGTGCAGGACAGCTGGTATAATATACAGTACCGCCATCCTCACACGAACACCTTTGTCACGAGCATGCACCGCTCAACTACTCCACCAACTATGGATGACGATGTGGCGAGTCCCTTTGGCACACTGGAAGAAGCTTCCGGGGCTTTTCCTCTGGGTTATACTCGTTGTCAATTCTTACGCGAGGAACAGGCCGGAGGCTAGATTCATAAAGGGCCTCATGCCTCCGGCTGTGGTGGCTATGAATTTGCTAGACTGGGATGCCACGATGGCAACTTTGGATGGGTTTCTCGCTGTACAAAAGTGGCTTGCGGGGATGAGCCGGGTGTTCATTGTGCCTTCTAGGCATTCTCCGAAACCGGCGTCCCCTGAAGGTGGGCTGCCGGAATGGGCAATAAAGGAGGTGGAGTGAAGGCAGTGACGGTATAATATGTTGTAAGAACATGATGGTTTTAGCCATTTAAAGGATTACGGACAAGCGCAAATGTGCTACCGTGGTTCTTTTTTGCGGAGTATGGAGTTCAAGGAGCAGTATTGCAGAATGGATGCGCAAGCATATGATATCTATTCAGGGGGTCGGCAATTGTCCCTGCGTCTCACAACAAACAGCAGAAATATTACACTTCCATAAAGTCCACTTCTTTCATAAAGATCGATGAGTTCACGCTCATGAAAAATGTTTGGACGTTTTACTTGTTCTTTTCGTGTCATCATACGAGTTTCCACACGCCGACATAATCGACCTCCATCCCAACAGAAGGCCCGTCTGTCGTCTGACTGTTTGGTCCGCCAGGCCTACTGCCCCCTACTGCTACATTCAACAACAAAAAGTGCTCATTATGCGCCACAGCCTTCCAAGTCTTCTTATCCCCCACCTTCTTACCACTTACAGTAAATACCTGCGTCCCACCCAAATACCAATTCAACGCCTCATTTAACCAAGTCCCATTCCCTCGATTTCCAGTCATACTCCTATCAACCATAAACCCAACCGTATGCCACACACCTCTCGAGAACGGCACCCCTCCCGACCCAAGCCCATTGGTCTCATTACACGACCCTCCCGGCGCCGTACCACAGTGTAACGTAGAATACCAATTCCATTATTTACGGTCTCCAGAATATCCCACTCGCTCACAGCTGGCCAGTTCGTATGACTGGGCTTAAAATTGCTCCCCAGAGCTCAGAACGCGGGCCAGATGCCTTGCTGGCTCTTCGTGGGAGCATCACCTAGCTTGATGCGGGACTCTATGTACAGTTGGCCATCTGCACTGGCGGCGAAATCAGACTGCTGTGTCTCGATGCGTGAGGACGTCCAGACACCGCGGCTCAAGCACGGGGTTATGGTCAGAGTGTGATCCTTGGTTATTCGGATGTCGGTGTTGGAGTTTGTGTAAGTTTCGAATTCGCTGTTTCCCCATTTGGCAGGCCCGCCTGGCTAGGAGGTTCCCAGGTCGAAGAGCCAGTTTGCGGACGAGGGGAGGGTGCCTTCAGGTCCGGGAAGGTCTCGATGAAGATGGGAGTGAGGTTTGGTTTTACGATTCCAGGATCAACTCGTGTTTCTCGGGCCTGAAGTTGAGAAGATGTTTGGTCTCCATTGGAGGGTGCTGCCACCAAGAGAAGTAGACGGAATGGTTTCATGATGACTTTCTTAAGATGCAATAGTACAATAGATTGCGAAATAAAATAGAGGAGCGGGAATCCCCAATTTAAGCGAAGGAGGAATAGGCAAATTTATCTCCACGTTGTGATATTCTTTGTCCTTCAGAACTACCGATTTGATGGACGGAGCGGGGCCGCCGGGTTAAATTGCAAGCTCGTGCTGGGTAGAACCTGAAAAATGTCTAGTGCATCTTCTAAAAATTAACGGATATAATTGCAAAAATACTAATTGAGTACCGAAGACTTGAAAGAAAGTTCTTTGGCTTGCGGTACATGATTGCCGGGTGCGGTAGTGTGAAACCAATACCAGAAGGAGTCAAGACAAAAATTCCTCACCGGAGGTACCTGAGCTAGATTTCGACGGATTCGTGGCTTGGAACGAACGCAAGGGGTAATGCTAAGATATATTGAGTATAAAATGTAGCGTAGGAGATGGGATGAACTACGCCGGAAAAGTAACATGTAACCTGACTGAGGTGTAGCCGCGAGGGATATATTGGGCTCCCTTGCCAGCAAATACCTCCTAACCTTCAAAATTTCGCAAGAGACGAAGCATATCCCAAGATTTGTACGCCCTTTCTCACTTGAGTAGAAATAGCTTGCTCGAGGTCCTAGTAGGGGCAGAAACCAGAGAAGCCACCGATTTCGTGTCACGTGAAACCAGGTTTCTCCCGCACAGCGTCCCCTTTAATCCGCTTCACTTGAAGCTTCACATGATTGAAGCAATATATCCACCGTAAGAGCAAGTAGCACGCATTCTTCTAAGACGGCCAAAGGGAGCAAAGATTTCCTCTCGAACCTCTCCTAGCTTGTGGTCATATGACTTTCTCTAGTTGGTATACCTAGGTAGGTATCGCTCAATGAAGGTTGAGGTTGCCGAGAGGGGCCCTAGACTGAATCCTTTTTGTTTCTAGTTGATTGCGTTCTCTTGCGTTCACAAAAGTCTCTTGGTAGCCATCGCAAATGCTGGAAAAAAAAAGACACCTCCAATAGGGGGTCTAGACTCTTTCACGCTCAGCTGTGTTTCGACTTGATCATACTTCAATTTCATACTAAGTGGCGTCAACTTTGTTTATTCAACGACGAATCTTCTTTTAACCATCATGAATTAGTGCCTGGAGTTGGGAAACTCAACTTTTGGTAACACTTACGACTTTCATTGCGGATAGAAGCGTCCAATTTACATCCTCCCGTGAAAAATACCGACGTTGGACGAGTGGGAGCAGTGGGTCTTCCCACTTTCCCCAAAGCATAAAATGGAGGGAGACCCTTGATAGCTTCGGAATTTCAATCAAAATCCACCACAATTCAGCTCCACTTCAATTCCAAACATGGCTTTCCCATCAATATCAACATCAGCATCAAAATGAAGGTCATCTCAACGTTTCTCTCCCTCCTCACACTAGGGACGGTAGCTAGCTTCCCTTCCAGTTTCACTCTACCTCGAATCCCAACTCGAGGAGCGCCGTGTTGCCGCTAGAGGAAACCACACCTGCAAGATCGCTGCCCCAGAACAAAACTAGCAGCAGAATCGATTCCTTGCTACAATTGCGATAACGATACCTGCAATGTTGTCAAGATGTTAAAAGTTGACACGCCATTTAAATTTGACTGTCTGTGTCCAAATGGACAGAAGAAGAATGGCACCAAGTAAGCACGTATATCTCCATTATCCAATCCGAAACTAATGAAAAATAAAGTCCTTGGAATCTTGCGGTAGATTATTACTGCTGAGTTCCTGCTGTCAACCCCGACGAAAACTACCTAAGGATGGGTGCAAGTATTTTCTCCTTTTGAGCCAGCTTTAGCACTCACTCACACCCAGTAGAAGCGCTTAAGGAATGTGATTTCTGTGTGAAGTAAGTTTTGCATAGTGTGTTAATTGACTTCGTAGGATGAAGCACTTGAGAAAAGAGCAAAACTGTATCGCTTTCTCTCTTCAATGTCTTCGCGATTTGGTTGTTTTGATAGGCGTATCGAGTTATCAATTCAGCTGAAATACTCGATTATTCCCCTCGGAACACTTCACATATATGAGATAACGGTCAGGTATCTCATCTAAAAGAGCTGTGTGAATATCGTTTAACGCAACTAAATATCTGATTACATGTAAGTACAATAGATTTGATGTGTGGGAAGGGGGGTGTATTTTTGAAGTGTTTGGGTATTCCACCATCGGAATCTTGTTGAGAGCAGCGGGGTACATTTACCAGCGGAACGTCATTCAACATGAAGGACTCATGAGGCGGCCTCGCGGCGTAAAAAAATTAGCAGTTATGTCAAGAATTTGATTACCTACGATGAAGGTTACGATCAAGATGAAAATGGTTTGGAATGAGTGAGGAGAGGAGTGTGCATGAATCGCCGTGGTGCGGAGTCGGCAATTGACGGCAAATGCCAAACCCCTGAGGCCTCCGACAATTACCTAAATCCTTCATCTGATAGGCGGTAAGGGTCAGATCAGGGTGGGGTCACACCCAAACCCCGGAGAATCTTGTTTGAAAACATTTCCCCGCAACGGAAATTCTAATCCTACATCATTGACAACTGTCAGAAATGATACAATTCTCACATGTTCTCTGATATCCCACTTCGCACGCTAGGATATATAATCCTGGGGTGCCACCTGAGGAAATGACTGCAAGGGCAAGGACAGGATGGTCAGTTAGGACGTGGTTGAGAGCTTGTAGATCCCCGCTGACCATGTTCCTAGTCAACCGTGTCGGACAAGACACCTCAAGTGTAATGTCTTGAGTCTTTTCAGAGATCAAGAAAGCGATTGACAAACTCACCAGGCGATCACGCGACACCACAATGCGGGCGGTGTGAAGCATCAAACCGTGAATGTACCAAGGGATATCCGTACAGGGTCTACAAAAGTACTTCCCGACTCTGAAGACTTTCAGCAATTCTGACGCACAGAAGGCAAATTCGCAGATGATCAAAAATGGATGAAAACAACAAATGACTGTAAGGCGATCTCGAACCCTTTCCTGTCCCTATTTCTTTCCCGCTTTGTAGGATCTTAGTCTCCAACCAAACTCCGTATTCAGTGTGTGACGAATACTAGAAATTTGTACTCGTCTAATTACGTCTCCAGTGACCTTCATCGATGAGACTGAAGGCCTGTCGAATAGCCATGAATCTGGATCGGAGTCTGACACTCCATTCGCACCCTCAGAAGATCGGCCAAGCACCTCGGCCGGCTCAACGTCTTCGAGTCATATTCCTCGAAGCGCAGTGTCACCCTCTCTGAGCTCTATCCGTTTGATTCTTGATTCGGATACTGGACAAACGCCCAGGAGTCCAAGAAGTTTCCCTTCGTTGGGAACAATGAATCCCTCCATTCTTGATAAACCTGGGGTGAAAATCATCTCTTCGAAGCCGTCTATCTTCTCAAACGATGACTTTGTACAGCTGCCATCCCCAGACCCATCCACGGGGAAGGCATTCGTTGAAGAGGATTCTGTGTCACTTACGTACGAAGGATTCCAAAATAGCATTGCACCACCTCCACCATCCATTTATCTAGATACGCCTGTATGGCCACTGACTGACCCATCGGAGGCGGTACTTCTGCGGCACTTCGTTCAGAATCTAGCGATTTGGGTATGTTTTCCTACCAAGCGCTCTTTATATCGAGGCTAACTGACCACTTTTAGCTGGACCTCTGTGACCCAATGCAGCATTTCCAAGTCGAGGTTCCAAGGAGAGCAGGGATATGCCCAATCCTCTTGAATGCAATTTTCGCCTTGTCTGCAAGACACTTGAGCCATATTGGAAATTACGATTCCTTTGCGTCAAACCGTTACCACGATGAGTGCCTCAAGTATCTAATTCCTATGCTGAACAATACAGCAACAATCTCGGACGAGACTCTATTCGCAGCAACCATTATCCTTCGTGTCTTGGAAGAGATCGACCTCCCTGATTCTGATCTTCAAGGCCACATGCTTGGCATTCAAGTCTTTGTTGGGGCTCGAGATCCTTACGCTATTCGAGGCGGGCTGAGCGAAGCGGCATTCTGGGTCGGGCTCCGACAAGAGATATACGTGGCGACGGTCAAGCAAAAATCTGTCAAAATCAACCTTGATCAATGTCTCGTTGATCGGTCGGTGGAGCCTGCCAGTGACTTTGAATGGGCAAATCGAGCAGTTGTTCATTATGCTGATGTGCTGAACTGCTGCTTCGGACCAGAGGGTGTAGCATTTTCGAAGTGGGTGGAACTGAAGGACTACAGTGAGAAGTGGCAGGAAATGAAGCCGAGTTCATTTACACCAATTTTTTACAGGGAGGCAAACGCCCAGAAGAGAGAGGCTTTTCCAGAGGTTTGGTATAGCCATGCTTGTCACAGTACGTTTCTAGATGCCGTCCTATTTTCCCCCTTGCGTACTGAGCGTTCTAGTCATTGGTGTCCAGCACCACAAACTTGGGCAAATTTTACTCGCTATCTTCGACCCTAAAATTCCCCGAGTAGGTGGCAGCCGCAGTACAGCAGTGAAATCAATGGAGGTATGCTTGACAGAATCTCTGTTCGATCACTTCGGCGGACTTGGCTCATCTTTCACAGGAGCAGATCAAACAGGACCTGAGAGAATTATGTGGGATCGGATTATACAATCGTTGGACTCCACCAGGTATCTTCACTGCGTCGATGGGAATTGCAATATGTAAGCTCTTCGAGTGTGACTGCTTTCGTCCGTTCTAACCCAGATGTCATGAATTGTAGGCGGAGATCGCTTCGATATCAGATCTGATCAAGAAGCACTTCTCGATGTCTTGGTGAGGACTGAAAACGATCATGCCAGACGCACCACTGCTGTCCAAAATCAGATGAAGGAGGCTTGGGGATGGATATCTGAAGACTGAAACCTCCAATCTCGAAGGACTTAAACCAAAAATAACACTGCTCTGTGGTCTCACGTGACCCACAAAAAGCAAGGAGGAAAGCTTTGGACGACTCCACGGGGCACCTCATCGACCCGCGGATAGAAGGCCGCCCTACTCTAATCACTCTCAGACGGGTGGCTTGGAAGAAAATAAAGTGCCGTCTGGCCGCAGCCATTACACTGCTCCGATAACCTCAGGATCCCTAGGGGTGTTCGAAAAAAGTAACATTGAAAATAGTTGGAAGCAAGCGATCTGTCAATACAATGGAGCACTGGTCTATGCGTAGGGGCGGGGTGGGGGGGGGGGAGGATAAAATTGTTTAAAGCGATTAAACCGTAGGTTTTCGTCCGAATCTATACACAGTCTAAACAATAATGCCCTTGACAGCAGCCCAAAGCTTGCGGAGGATGGTGATATTTGAAGACTAGTGGTACTTTATTTATAAGTATTTGGAAATGCGGCTCAGGGTACAAGAACATGCCTAAAAGTATTCTCATTTCTATTCTCCAATTTCCACGAAGCGTGCCCAGACCTCCCCTTTGCTTTACCAGCTGAGATAGTCTCCTTTGATGCAACCGCATTGTATCTTCAGCCTCCCAAAAACTCTGTGGCAAGGTCAGGTTCCAAGAAAAAGAAGGAAAAAACCAAGCTAGAAGTTTGGACAGCAGGGATATTGGCCGCTAGTTTGAAGGTGTGTCTTACCTCGAAAGTGAGCAGACACAAAACCGCAGCAAGATTGCCATCGGAGATTGCAACTTCGGGATCTTTGAGAGACTCGTTGATCAACTTGATCGCAGCACTTTTATGAGATAGTGTTGAGATAGAGGAAGGCTTTCCATGAAGATATGCCATATGGCTTGCAGCATGAGCCAGTGTTGCATGTGTCGATGCTTGATCCGACAAGTCAATAGGTACGTAAACGTTGCTCAAGGGGAGGAATGTGGGGCCGTTAGGCTGCCCGAACGCTTTAAAAGCATACACGTTTGTCCTTGATGGTCAGTCTAGCTTCCAGCCTCTCACATGTTGTGGTCTCGCAGTGATGAAGAAGGCTCTGGTCATCCAACGAAAGGCGGAGCCCATTGAAAGGTTCGAATTCTGCATAACCTGGTGACTGGTATGGGCTTGGGCTAGGTTGGGAGGACTTTAGTATCCTTGAGACTATCCATTTCATGGGCCCTTTCTGAAGAGAATGCCCTAAATTGATGAATACTTCTCGCGAATAGTTGCTTTTTGATAGGCTTGACGCAGTGTCAAAATCAAAAGGCGACGATGCCGAAGCTGACAATGTCGGTGCCGATGCTAGCCTGCGAGGTTTGGTCCTTTGGGAACGCTCAAGCCCTGACGCTTTTCGTTGGCGCCATCTTTCCCTGGCAACATGACGCCGAATCTGGCTTGGCTGGCCTGGCTCTGGGTCCGTCACGAAGTGATAGCTTCCCGGCGGCGTGGGGCGCTTCTGATTACTATCGCCCATTCCCCGGCAAAAGGTATTTAGTCGAATGTCTCTTACGTAGGCCAGTTCAACCTAAAATAAGCGCTTCGATCAGAAACCAAAAGCTAATCGAGAAACACTTCATACAAGTGTGTCTACGAAGAAGCGGTCTCTCGTCTAAACTAGTCGGGGTCGCTTCATTGGAGAGAAAATTCGAAATTGGGCATCTGTCTGGGCTTTGAGAATCAAATAAAACAACTATCAAATGCTAACAACAAGTGCTCAAATCAAGTTGACGGGGGCATTCCGCACGCGGCAAGAGAAACCGGGATCAGCCAAGGCCTTCTTTGAAGCTCCATCTCCCGTAATATCTCCCGAGGCTGGAACATTTGTAATTGCAATCATGCATGCAACGAATGAGGGAGCTGCATCCTGTAAGTACTAAGACTGCAGTCATCGTGACTAGAAGTCCAGGTGTAGGGATCGAGCTTTGGTCACCGACTAACAAGCAGAGGTTGAAAGAGATATTCGACACCTTCGCCGAAGAGGGACAGTTGCAAGCTGAGAAATGAAAAGGAAATACAGAAGAAGTTTTTACATCAGTGTGTACAGGGACGAGGCGGCAGCTTATTGAGCTTCATCGGGAGCGCGGGCAGTGTGGGGTAAAAATATCTTTACCACTCACACTCATTCTAAGCACTTCAAGAATCCAAAACTTTCTCTAAATTAAAATTCACGCACTCAATAACAAAGAATATTTGACATCAGGTAAACCAATTTATCTCTTGTTCTTAGCAGTAAATCATCTATTTGGTTGGATCTTTGAAGTGTTGAAGAGAAATATGCGACGAACTCATGCGCAATCACCTGTTGTAATCTCATAAGACACAGTAACCTTTGACATTTCTTCGGGTGAATTAAAGTTCTGCACCCTCCCAAACATCCATCATGTTAGTTATACATGTGTGGATGTTTCCTTCCGGACATAACTTTGGACAGGAAAAGTTTAAGGTCACTATCGCTACTATCAGAGAAATCAGTGCAGCATACCTTCAAAGTGCATCCTACTAGTCAACATATTGGTCAACATGACACAAAGGGGGAGGGCAGTACTAGAAGCAGTATGGTATTTCTACGATCATCACCAAAAGTTTTAGCTCTTAAGAGATCATCCGCACTGTCGAAAATACTCTGTGGATCAAGCCGCGAGGGGAACTTGCAACCACCGAATAGCCAACCAACATAACTGGGCACCCATAATAGTTTAGAGATAGAGTAACTTTGAATTCCGAAGTCTGAGCTGATTCCACCTGGTGCAAATCACATGGCACCAAGGTTCAACCTTTCAGGTAGTAACTTGCGGCCCCCCGAGGCTTTGGCTGAGCCCAATCATGAAAGGGATTGTCCGACTTGCCATCATCGATCAAAAGAGGTGACAAGGATGAAAATCAGGTACATTCGACAAGCAGTAAGCTGCGTCTAGCGGCGTGTAACTCCACAGCCTCCACATTCCCACTGCGAAGCGAGGCTCAACCACAAGCGGGCCCTAATGCCTTTGGCTCAGACTATGAACAGAAGAATGCCGAAGGGAAGCAGGGGAAAATCACACTTACTGACGTCAGTTTTGATACGGCAAGTTGGATTGGGACCTCACTTGCATCCTTTTGATTTTGATCCTGGAACGTCCAAAAGTTGAAAATTGTGGGTTACAGAGTTGAGAGGAAGACGAAATTGAAAAATTGCATTCAAAATACCTATAGGAGGGCTAGAGCAAAGAAAGGTGTGGTAACTTACAAATTTAGATCGAGGTCGCTTTGAAATTTTCAAGTGATACAAAGATGTTGTATCAAGTCTCGGAAAAGAACTCATGGAGATCAAATAAGGTTAAAAATCATATGAGGGATTTTTAACTAAGAATGGCGTCGAGTCACTTTGGTGAAGAAAGCATCTATCACTTTATTTACTTACTGCTCATCCAAAAAAACCCTGTCAATGATTTCGACAAAACACTTGCTTGCTCACGTCAGGCACACCGCTCAAACCCGGACGGCCCTCATAGATCCCTTTCCGCATTGACTACTCTTTGACTCTCTAGCATCTAAAAAAAAGGAGACGAGTTTGATTCATACGAGATATGTTTGAAGCCGAATGAAAATTGTTGGTCAAAAAGTCTCCATTTAGCATAACTCCTACACTGGGTTACTCCAGGGGGCCGAGCGCTCCCGTCAAAATCGACTGCGCCTCACTCACGCCACAGCAAACTGGCCAATCCATATCCTGGCCCCCATAAATTCGCTCGGACCCCTGGAGTAACCCAGTGTAGGAGAGAAGGTTAACCCGAACCCGCGAAACAAAGTCTCCGACTTGCATCAGTCACCGATTTGGTTATCATAGGCTGATACTGGGGCGTCAGCCACTGTCAGATAGACACCTTGTCAGGCAGAAATAAGCTCATTGTGGAGAATCTGACGAATCGTATCAAGGGATACAAAATCAAGGCACCGTTTCCAATCCCGGTCGGCTTACTTAACCACAGCGAGTCGAGTCGCCTGTGCCGCGATCGTTTATGCAGTCAATAGGATTTCGCTTTCTTGCAAGGGTCACTTATTGACGTTCGCCATTCCGTATGACTGCATGAAAAGGAAGTGGGGTCCGGAGAGTCGATTCAAAATCCGGTTTCCCGCAGATTTAACTGACCACGAGCCACAATACTCACCGGGCGGAGCTCGGGAAGTAGGATCGAGCCAATCGACTGCGCGGAAAAAGGAGCCAATGGGTTTGAAACTGCACGGATGTGCGCGGAGTTGCAGAGCACCAGTCACCAAAATTGCAGGTTGGGCCGAGGACGCGGCGTCTATGATGTGGCACAATTACCATTTAATTGAAGAGTTAGGAATGGGTCGGTAGTGTCTCGTTTGGGACAAAGGTGATATCTCTCACTCCCTCAGAAAATGCAGATGTTATCCAAAAATCTCTGTTCTTTGAAGAATTGTTCATGTCAAAGTCAACATCAGGGAGATCTATTCCTAATATGGACACTAGTCAAGGGGGTCTCCGACTTGACGGGAGGCTCTGATTCAATGTCAAACGAGCCCAACCTCAAGAATAGGCTCCGTATGAATCAATCGGGGAGGTTTCTTGATGGAAAATTCGAGACTGGCATTCTTACTAGTCGATTCATTCACCTTCTCTGGTTTCGACTTCGGCAGTTTAAGCCACCACGGGAGGCTCCTCAGATCTGCAATTAGCAGGGCTGCCACAGGACGCCACAAGATGGGAACTTAAATCAGGATTCTGGAAAGAGAGTCTGACAGTGCCAGCGGGGTCAGGGATGCGTCTGACGGGATCCTGAATCGAGAAACCTCGGGGTTAATCAATTAAGCTTATATGGATGTGTACTTACAGGGAGGTTGCAGCAAGAACCGTCAGGCAAAGTAATCTGACTACTTTTCATTTGAAGGATGACAAAAATGATCGAAGTAAGTAGCAGGAGAACTAATGACTTTCTAACTGATTATCCCTTCTTTCCTCATGAAAAAAGACAAGTATCAAAGAGGAATTGAGGCAGGCAGAGGCTCGGGCAGGCTCGGGCTGTCCAGCCTTCAACATTGCAAGGGTTTGAGCGCTGGATTTTGCTTCAGTTTGGTTGGCTGTATTGATCGGGTGCGAGATTTCTACTGGGTGAAGTTACGAACCTGACCGCACGCAAGGCTGCGGCGCCGATGCGGAGGGAGAAGGCAGGCAGGGGCAAAAAGGCTGTCGCCTTGGGGGTTAACAGATCTTACCGTCAGCAGAAACGTAGCTTAAGGCAATTACGATACGGCCAATAGAAACCCCGGAAGTCAACGGCCATCTTGCCCTCCTAGGCCACAATTAGGGATGATTCAATGGCAAAGCCTCATAATTGGCACGAATCCGGCGTGTGGCTTGTCGCCTGGTGGACGTAAAATGGAACCTAATTAGCCTGGAGAGCCCGCCTCAAGGGACTGCGGCAGGGCTTGCAGGGACCCGTACCGTTAGCCTTATGGGGGGTTTCTCCTGCGTAGGCTGGCATGCGCGATCCTTTTCGTGGCGGATCAATTCCCTTTGTGAGATGCATATGCGCGATGTTGAGAAAGATATATAGAATCAGTTCTCAGGCCTTCTATTTTTCTCGTCAAAGCAAAGAGAGCAAACATGGCCAATCGCTATTCCGCTGGCACTTCGACGGGCAGCTTGAGTCCACCTCCTAATTCTCAAGAAAAATCTCCAGGCTCGGTGTTTGTCGGTTGGGTTCCTGGGTCTGAAAACGCACCAAGAAAAACAGCTCCACGATTGCATCACAAGAAATCGAGGACGGGGTGTCAACAATGTAGGGCGAGAAGGGTTAAGGTATGTTTTTGGTCATTTCAATTAGCCGCTGCCTCAACAATGGCAAGACAGTATATGCATATGGATCTGACGATCAACTAGTGCAATGAAGTCCATCCAGTTTGTGGCAGCTGTTCACGGCATCAGACCACTTGCGTTTGGGGTCGACCAGCACCAGCAGCACGTTTAGACGCAAGCAAAAGCAAAACCTATGAGATACGGCCCAAGACCAGGCCAGGAGTACCTCCAAGGGGGCTGGATAGCATTGATCTCCCGGAATCTAGGGACAGACGTATACTTGAACTCAGACTGCTTCACCAATACACGGCCGATACAGCGTTGACTATGAACGTAAAAACGGATCCTAATTTACACATCTGGGCGACAACGATTCCACGTCTAGCCTTCAGGCACAATGCACTTCTCTACTCTATATATACGATCGCAGCACTTCACATTGCCAATCTAGAGCCCAGCAACAATGAGCATGTGGCTACCTATCAAAAATACCTTGGACTCACTCTTCGAGAACACCGCAACGATGTCACTAATCTTGGCCCAGCAAATGCTGACGCGACAGCGCTAACCTCGTCCTTCCTCCGAGTCTCCAACTTTGCTCTCCTTAAAGAGCGGCCACAAAACCCCTACACTCCTCCAATAGACTGGCTGCACATGTCTAGCACCACAGGCCAGGGTCTGAACGTTGCAGCATGGCAGTACATCCGCAATGACGCAAACTCCATCATGCGAGCCTTCCTTAACGACGCACCTGGCATATCAGCTAAGCCAAACGGATACCTGCGAGACGACGACTTCATATTCCAGGAAGCCAAGCGTCGGGAACCGCTCCACCTTCTGCGGAGGACACAAGACAACATCCTGACAGAGCCGTGGAATGCAGAGATCTTGGGCGCGTACGAGACGACGATCTGCTATATCGGTTCTATCCAGCTCGCGATCCAGGCACACGAGCCTCCCGAGTCCATCTTTAGGAGAATCATCTTATTCCCTCAATGTGTGGAGACGAACTTCATTACTCTGGTGCAGCAACAACGCCCTAGGGCCCTGGTCATTCTCGCCCATTACTTCGCGTATCTGACCGACTTCAGATATATTTGGTGGATTGGAGATGCAGGACCGAGGGAGGTTCGAGGCATCGAGTCGGTGTTGCCAGATGACTGGCTTGATTTGATGAATTGGCCATTGCAGGCAATCGGAGATGTATGTGTTACGTCGTAGTCGGGCTGGGTCCTGCTTGTGATTGATGGAGCTAATGGAGCTTCGGTTTGTGTTGTGATCTGTTAATGATCTGAATATATTGTGTTTTTTGGTTGCAGATTAGCAGTTAGATATAGTGAGCGGAGTTTACCTGATGTGGAATCAGATGTGGAATCAGATGTTTTCCTCCTTGGTATTCTACAACTCGTCCTGATCCAAAGTCATTCTCCACTTCAAAATGTGATGTGTGGTATACCTCCCACCTCCAAGACATCAACCTACTGCCTGGTAAAGGGCCAATGTATTCTCGGGATCTTTGCGGGGGAAAGTACAAGAGTAAAACTTTATATTGGCAGTCTTATTTCTCTCCCTGAGAGATCGACATCATGATGTGCTCGAAAACTGGCATTCATTCTCTTTCCTGTAAAGCCGATCCACGTCCTTGCTGAGAGAGGAGGTATAGCATCCAGTATCGAAGGAATTTGATCTTTTGTGGATGTGTCAGAGATCCGTCGGTCTTGGCGTTGAAATAAACACTGAACCCGTTGTGGGGAAGCGAAAATTGACCCAAGGTGCATCTGCCTCTTTATGCCAGATATTTCGATGACTAACGTCTTCGCACTGTGGCTCCAGCATGGAAGTTCCCACCCGAGAGCGAGAGCGAGATGGCGGTGTAGGCACGTTCGGATGTAGAGTTTTGTGGGAGTGGACATTGCCTTAACTGCAAGCGGGTTTCTTTGATTGGCTTATTTGTCCGATCGTTTGAGGATTGACCTATCTCACTTCCTTGAGGTCGGATCCCCGCTCTCGTAGCTGTTATTGGACTGCGAAGAGCATGGCCGCTAAGGAGATAACATATTACACATTCAACGTAGGTCACGAGCCAGCCAGAATTTGTTAGAAGAGTCCTCTACTCTCTCATACGCTATTACATCTCCGAGGGACTTTAAATTTGCATAATCCCCCCTCTCAGAACGCCCATATCACCTATTTCACTCGCAAACGTGTAGTAAAATACCTTAATATCCCACCAAAGTTGTCAACGTCGACTTCTACGTCTTGGTCGCGTTTCGAAGTTTGCCGATGCTTCGCGTTTTGATTCCAGTAAGGACAAAGAATACTGTCACAAGAATCTCCGGAACAACACTCTGTTGAAAGGTGCCAAGCTTATGGTGCTTAAGGTAGCTAGGGGGCTGGGGGGCTAGTGGGAGACTAGTGGATTTGTGCTTTTAAGGGGCTTCCCAGCCTTCGATAATCAAGAATCAAGGCTTCCAACCACCTGAACTTGACACACTCAACACTACCGTCGCCACCGTATCGTCCTTGAAGTTAGGATTGGAAGTGGAATTTTACTCCTCATAGAAGACACCGAGTGGCCGAAGAAGCAACGACGAGACTCCAATGTTGGAAAGCAGCAAGGAATCTGAGCTGGTGGAGTGAAGTTAGTTGTTGTGGAGGTCGAGGATGTTTCCGACAGTACGGATGATGCAGAAGGCTTGGAAAGCGATCCACCCTAGGATTCCTCGTCTACCGTGTTGCTACAGACAATAGAGGATGGGATTGAGCAAGGCGATGTAAATGCAGAATTGAGATGTCAATGCCCGTCGTCATCGAAAAAGTGAAGGACAACATCCTTTGATCTCCCCTGGAGTGGAACGGGAGTTGACTCGACTGCTCGGATTGAAAGTATAAAGCAGTAGGGCGAAGAAGCTCGAGGTTCTTTGATATGAAGAATTTGAAGGAATGAATAGATCTTTTTGGAAGAGAAAAATAAACAAAGAGACTGAGTGGGTGGCAGGCTATATACATGTAGAAAAACGCTCGGAATGCCTAGACATGGGAATCTTGCCTACCAATTAATCACAGCGAGGCCAAGATCGAATCTGGAATACCGATCCTCTGACTGGCATGAAATGAACACAGCATCTTCGTTGCCATCTTGGGTGCTTAGGACACGAGGCGTTGACTGAGCTACAGGCAGCGTGTGTCCAGGCTGAAAAGAGATGGACGCTTTGCCCTTCAAAGAACGAGAGTGAGACGAAATAAGCGAGGTCCATAAAGGGGGACAGGTTCACGTGACCACTCCTCCTCTCGATTGGATAACTTCCCTTAAGCGAGTGCGAAGTTGCACCTTATTGGCCATGGATTGAGGCTTTGAGTGCGGCTTCGACATGATTCGTTTGGAAAAAAGGGTGCAGGACTAAATAACAGTATGCACGTACCACATGAACGTGAGACTGCTTGGCGAAGAGTTGATGTGTTTATCCCCGTTTGGAATATCGTTTTAAAATTTAAAATTACATGTGGAACGTTTCGTTATGCTTTGAGATCGGATCGCAATCAAACGTGGCTTCTTCCTTGTCACATCAGCCATGATTCCTTAACCTGTCCTCAAACGGCTATTGACGTCCGCCAGCAGTCTCCTCTCCCCTATCTGCTTCAAACTCAACGCCGAGTTTGCCTCCACCAATTTCTTGGCTGCCCCTTTTAACACTATCGTCGCAACAAATCAATCTTTCTCCGGATCTTCACGGCCTCCTTGGATATGTCTTGCTGGCGATCAAACGCGGCCTTTGCTTGGCGCAGGCCTTCTTCTATCCCGTTTTCGTATCCCGCACAGGCTGCCCAGATCAAGGCAAGTAAATTCATAATGACAAGGATCAACAACTCCGGAGATAGGAACATAGTTTTGACGTTCGTTGTCCAGTATGACGTGGTGAAGTACGACCAGCTATCTCCCTCAACCGTCCTACTCAGGTACATGACGGGGCGAAGAGTCGTACGTTTCCCTTTCCTTTCTCCGAACCCCCAATTCGAATAAGAGTCCGTGATCGTGAAAGGTGACGGCATCAACGCGCTAGCTATCCTGTCTCCGGCACGTCCTGTAGATGAATCAATGACACGAAGACTCGGCATTGCAATGGCACGAAGCGGAATGAATCCTTCCAGAACAACGCTAGAAATGTGTCAAAAGACTTTCAGAACATGTCGCGAGGCGTCTAGATTGATTTTAATGCTTTCTGGAACGCATTTTAAGAAGGCGCCCGTGAACTGTCTCTTGTCGGAGTTCGAGAGCTAGCTTATAACCCAGCCTAGTTCGGTCCCAGGGTGACATGACATCAGATTCAGTGTGTCAAAAAATAATCAAGGCTAATTAATTAGAATTAATTATAATTAATTATAATTAAGTATGATTTGATTAGCTTGATTTTTATTATAATTAATTATAATTAATTATAATCATCACGTGATAATACAAAAGTATACTTTCTTAGGCATTTCTAAAAATTATTAAATAACTAATAGCTATATTAATAAAATATAAATAAAATTTATAAAGCATATATAAGAGTATAAAATTAGTCTAAATCTAAAATAACAAACTAGTTTTTGTTATGTGGTACCAGTCACGTGGTGCTATTGCACGTGACTTAGTATATGGCCAGTGCTTCCTTAGCCTGGCAGATAGCCTTTAGCTCAATTCAAGCTCTTTACTACTACTGTAACACTGGAAATCAAGGAGGTTCTAGCGCCTTTGGCTTCGCTTCCTAATTAGCGCTAGGCCTGGTTTAGTAAAGAGCGCCTTTAGCAATACCGAATATGGCTAGCCCAGACCTTATTTTAGCCTTATCTCGGCTTCCGAAGCTCCAGAGTCATGTGCGTAATCACGTGATAAATCTAATTAATTATCTTTGATTATCTTTGATTATAATTAAGTATGATTTGATTAGCTTGATTTTGACTTGATTTGATTTGAGTAGGGGGGTCTAATCAAATCAAACCTAATCATTTGACACACTGAGATTCAGATTTGATGGAAGAAAGATGACGTTTCTGCTAAAACTTAAAGGGAAGGGGTTTGCAGGATATTAAATGGGGTCGGAAAGAGCAATTAGGCTGTAGACCCCATTTGGAAATGCTTTGAGAACTGCAAGAGTGGTGAGTATGGGAAACTGAAGAACGAGCCATTAGGTTTGGCCAATATTATGTGATCATGTGACTGTATAATCAACAGGAAGCAAGTGTTTGGCTTCAGCTCATCGGGTTTGTGATGGAAATTGCTGTGGTGACCAGTTTGGAAAAGCGTTTCGAGGAGTTGGTCAAGATTCTCCGAAAGCTGATCCGCTGAAAACAGCTCTTCCATCTCCTTCAATGACTCAACCCTTTCGGCCGCGCCTGGTCGACATACCGCCAATACACCTCTGCGCTGCTCTCCCTGAGACGCTTTCCAAACCTGATCATGATAAACATTGTTCCGTTGCATACCAGCGCGATGGCAGCAACGGTGATAAACGTGTTCCTCTGGCCCTCCGCCTCAATCCATGGCGTGATCCCATAATTGATCGCAAAGCTCAGCGTATTCCTGATCAAGATGATGGTCGTGATGAACTCGCCTGAGAGGTCGCGGTAAGAGCTTGTAGCATATTGTACTGCGGTGGAGAGACAGAGCGTGCTTGAGATGGCGAGGATGGCCTGTGCGAAGACGAGGCCGAACCAATGGATTTTGTAGGCTGCACCGAGACCCCAGAGTAGCATGGCGAAGGGGACGCAGATCAAGGAGGCAAGGAAGAGCCAGAGGATGTGCTCGGGCTCTGCTATTCCTTTGCTGCGGCGTGCGAGACGAATCACGAGTCGCGGGCCAGCGAAGGCTACCCAAAGTGATCTGGGAATGTTAGCTGGAAGATCTACAGAAACGTGTTTGGAGACGTACCCGAGCACCATACCAACGACCGCTCCGAAGTAAGCAAATCCAACATCGGTGCTGTTGAAACCGTAGGTCTTGGTGTAGAGCGGACTTGCAGTTGCGTTCAAGATGCCGGGCCAGACTAAGCCATTCGTTCCGTACATAAACCCCGCCCAAACAACAACTGGAAAGCGGAAGAATTTGAATGGCGACCACACTATATCGAGGAGACGGTTGGGGCGTTTCTTGTCAATGACCCCGAGTTTCTGCCAACAGGTTTTGCGAGGATAGGTCACAGCGGTCACTTCCCCCAGTTCAGCACTTGCTTGCTCGTTCCCAGCAGCCCGTTTTCCTGCCGACTTCTCATCCTCAGCAGCCCCTGGCTCAACGACATCTTCACTGCTGGATCCCGAGCCCGCGTTCAGGGTTGATTGGATGATGTGGCGGTCGTAGTTCGTCTCTTCCATCAGGGAGAAGCAGTAAACAAACGCAACTCCCATGCCGATGGCACACCACAATAGAGTCCATTTCCAGCCCTGCCCTGTATTGATAAAGGCCGCAAAGACGGGAGCGAATTTTCCAGATGCCGCCAGACTCAGACCGTACACCGCAAGGTACAGTGGCCGTTCGTGAGCAAACCAGATATCTGTCATGCTGATCTCGCAGAGACTTTCAACGGGTGCTCCGAAGAACCCTTGCAGGATCTTGTTGGCCAGGTAGGGCCCATTAGTCGTGCACAATGGAGCGAGGCCCATGATGATTATTGATCCACCCATGGAAATCAAGTAGGCGGGGCGTTTGCCGTATTGCAGTGCTAAGGCCTGCCATACAATGCATCCCTAGCCGTAGAACAAGAACATGGCTCCTGTGCTAGAGACCAGGTCGCTCACAGTCAGGTGTGTAGCTTTAGAGATTGGCGTCGTGACGCTGTACACGGCTGAAGATGGGAAGACCATCATGACGGTACTGTCATTCTGTCAGCAGGGTTCAAAACAGCGTATATAAGAAGGAGGAAAGGGTACATACTACATGACTACACATGATGTTTGTAGTAGTTTCCGCTTTCTCGACCAGTTGAGGGGGTCTTCTGGGTCATCTGTAGAATGTCAGCTAAAGTTCACATGCCTGACATCAGGAAACCCTACCTGAAGGAAGAGGGACCAGCACGATATCACGAGCAGCTTCCGAATGCTTGACATGAAGTTCCCCGGTAGCATCAATGAGATGCACCGTTCCAGGCGCTGACTTGTCCTCGATAATAGCCATAATAAACGACGGGAGGGAGGCGGAAGATGCTAGGGAACGACTGGCACAACTATCTCAACAGCGCCACCATTTTATATGTGTCGACCATCTTGAGATACAGATTGCCTGCCACTACTGTACATTGGCCGTGGGTAGATAGGAGAGATAGGGAATTTGGCGCTGATCAGGGGCAAAAGTGGGGAGCAAAAAAAAAGGCGATAACGTCGATGAAACTGCATTGTCAAGTGACAACTCTATCTTGAAGTCATCACATAATTGGACCTCTCTAATTCGGACACGATAGACTTTAAACTGGTATTTGAAACCGTCAAAAACTGTAGGAGATGGCGAGGGTCGAGGGAATCAAGAGGGGTTGGTTGTTATCTTGAATATGATATATTCATCTCTTTGCTCGCAAGGAAGAACTCACGGGCGTACTTCCAAGATGACATATTCAATTCATCGAGACTTGAGACTTTGTCAACAACTTTGTTGGCTCCTGAGAATAATGAGTGAGGTAGCTTGAGGATTTTTCTCTGTCGGTGGCGGACTAAAGATGAAACCCCTGCTCCGTTGTAGTCTGCCCGATAGCCGAAGAAGTCTCGCAGCTTCCAAATATATTAGAGCACCCCTCGGCCATCCACCGTTTGTGCAACAGATGAATCGCGAACCCGCAACTTTCCGCATCAAGCACAAAATCAGCAGGGGATCTCATCCCCAAGAACTACATGACCACTTGAGGCAACTCCCTCAAAACAGACACCGTTCATATGGCCAAAGAAAGCAAGAAAGCACATGGGAGACAGACTTGGCACTAGATTAACCATAAATCACGCACAAAAGCAAGGCAGCTCACAGCCAAGAACTGCAGTGTGGATCTCAAGAAGGCTGTGCAAAAGAAAGAAATCACGTGGTGCGCGAATACATGATGCCAAGAGGTCAACACAAGATAATAAGAGGGCGTATGAGAATGTGGTGGTTCTTGAAGACAAACAATCTTTACCCACTCTGTGTTTGTTGAAGTTTTTGTTCGGTTGGTACTGTGTGGTGGAGAGACGAAGTTTCATTGGATCGGGAGCGTTAGTGACAGGTGAGTTATTCAGCCAGGAGATGGTTTGAGGTACGCGGGCTTGCAAGATCAGATCGCCAAGTGAAGTGCTAATGATCGGTGACAGGACAATTGTCATTATGCTATCAAAATAACTATTGATAGCTACTTGGATTATCTCAACCTTGTCACACTATCACAATCGCAAGCACAAGAGAGCAGAGCAATGGCGACAATCATCTTTTAGAACAAACGAACATTTATTTGACTGGTATCCTAACAAGTATGAACTACTGTATCCCGAGACACCTTCCTTTTCCCACATCTTTATGTAATTACAAACCCACACATTATCTGAGAAAACATCCACTCTCCCCTCCTCTTCCCACCCCTCTACTCTCCCAGCGAACGAGCGTCTGATACCAGCAAGCAAACAACAGCGCAGAAGAAACTAAGTCTGATGCAGGGATAGATAAACAAGGAGAACCGCATCTTTTCACAAAAGAGGAGTTTTGTGGAAGGATATGCGGTCGAACGAGCTGAGCTGCTTGATGCTGTTGATATCGAAACGCCACGCCACGCCGCCCCCGCTTCCCCCACCACTCACACACCACGACTCGAGGTAGATGGCATTGAAGCATCTAGTCGTCCTCCTCGGCTTCGGTGGCCTTGGGGGTAAGATGCCACCTGTCGCCTCCATGCTCGTCTCTCTCGTGCGCAACTGCAACCTTGGACAAGTGCATGAGGATGTTCTCCATCTGGGTGTCGGCGTGGGAGCGCTTGGCTCGGCCGAGGTTGTCGAGCCACGACAGGGAGCTGAGCAGGTAGTAGACGATAGCGATGACGATCGTGACACCGATGGAGAAGCCCCAGACGATCAAGACGGTGACGATGCTGGTGTGGCCGTTCGGGGAAAGGTTGACGTTCTTGGTGACAGGGTCTGAGGGTTCCCCTGCATCGCCGGCCAGCCAGCCGAAGACGCAGAACAGCGTTGAGATGACGTCCACACCGAGGATGGCGCCGACAAGCTGCCATGAGGGCCAGGTGTTGCCGCCGCGGGTGACGAAGATGAGCCAGTTTTCAGTCAAGGAGACTTCGAGGAAGAGTATGCCTTGGATGGAGCCGAAGTTCTCGATGATGCCGCCGTTGGGGAGGAACATGGCGCCGCGGATGACCCAGGTGCCGAGGGCGAGGAGTATGCCGAGGATGACGGAGATGATCCAGATCTTGGGGAGTTGCCATTCGACGGGGCGTTGCTCGAAGTGTGCGTTGTCGTAGGCGACGGCGATGGTGGCCAAATCAGCGAACAGGGCGAGGAATACAATCAGCTCGACACGGATGGTCTCGTTGATGATGATCATGGAGGTGACGAGATAGATTTCCAAGTGCAAGCACAGGGCGATACGGTATTGGATATATGCCTTCATACGCTGGAAAATTTGACGGGCGATCTTGATGGCCGAGACGATGGTGGAAAGACCGGGGGCGAGGAAGACAATATCAGCGGCGGCTTGGGCGGCTTCGGTAGCACCTTCGACGGCAATACCGCAGTCAGACTTCTTCAAGGAGGGAGCGTCGTTCACACCGTCACCAGTCATGGCGGTCAAATGGCCACGTTGTTGCAACATCTCGACGACCTGGTACTTGTGCTCGGGGAAGACTTCAGCGAAACCATCAGCCTTCTCGACGAGATCGTGTTGAGTAGTTCCAGAGAGACCACCGTGGATGAGACGCTCAGAGTTGTAGACCTTGGTGCCGAGAGCAAGCATCTTGCAAGTTTCCTTGGCAATAGCGATAGCGTCGCCAGTCAACATCTTGACAGAGAGACCGAGGACCTGGGCTTCGGCGATGGTGGATGCGGTATCCTCACGGGGAGGGTCGAACATGGGCAACATGCCGAGCAATTGCCAGTCTCCCTCACCCTCCTTGACAGCAACACCGAGAGAACGGAAACCACGGCGAGCAAACTCGGTCGTCTTTGCCTTGTACATATCGGCATCTTCCTTGGAGCAGCTGGTGAGGTTCAAGATAGCCTTGGGAGCACCCTTGGCGCAGGTGAACGTAACGCCATCCTTCATACAAACCGCAGTGATACGCTTGGAGACGGGGTCGAAAGGAGTGAACTTCTGGGTGGTCCAGCCTTGTGCGAGGATCTCCTTTGCGCGTGGGTATCTCTTGAGGGTGAGAATCGTGACCTTGTCGATGGGATCGAGGGACTTGACGTTGTGCGAGGAGGCGAGAGCCGCAACGGCCATCATCCAGTTGACATCGATGCCCTCGGCGACGAAGGGCTCGCGGATGGACAGCTGATTGGCTGTGAGCGTACCGGTTTTGTCAGAGCAAAGGACGTCGACACCCTGCGCACATGACGATTAGCATTGGTTCGCCGTTTTGATCGTGCCATTGAGGGCGGAACGCCGGGCGCTGGCTGTGCCGCAAGCAGGAAAAAGCAATTATTACATGCGAAGCCCACGCTGCTCCAGTAGGGACGATCCATGACTGTGCACGCCTCGACCGGGGAACTCCAAAGTCACTTGAATTGGAGGCCGTCAATTGGTTGTGCGGATGCTTCGGGCCATTAATCGCCCAAACATAGTGGGGGTGGGGTAGTGGATGATGCAAGGCGTATGCACGCCCAGAGGGACCGGACCACACGCTTCACGTAGCTACAACCACAACCTGCCGGACGCTCAACACGGGACAAAAAGCAGAATCAAACTTACAGCGAGAGATTCTATGGCGGTAAGTTTCTGCACGATCGCCTTTTCCTTAGCGAGATAAGCTGCTCCGACGGCCAGCGTAGTCGTGGTGACGACTGGCAGACCGACAGGCACACCCACGATCAGGAGGATAAGGGCGAAATGGAGCAGGTTGTTGGAGCTTTTCTCGGGGGTTGCGAGCTTGAGGTGGTGGAAGAAGCCTCCAATCCATGCTGCGAGAATCCAGCCCACGACCAGGACCAAGAGAGACGTGCCGATGGAGTTCATGATAGCCTTGAAATGGCCTTGATCTTTAGCTCCGGAAACCAGGGAGGCAGTGCGTCCGACGAAGGACATCTTCGCGGAGTGTGTGACGATGGCATAAGCCTTTCCACGCTTGCAGCCAGTAGTGTAGTAGATAACATCAGCGACGTACTTGTCGACAGCGAGGGACTCTCCAGTCATGGCAGATTGATCGATGGCGAGGAGGGCATAGCCAGAGCCGTGCTTCTCTCCGATGTCGTCCTCGTCTTCTCCCTTGTGATCGACTTCTTCGCCAGCCTGGCGTTCAAGCTCCTTTTGGAACTCTGCCCAGCCATTGGGGTTGTCATAAGCAGAGATAATTCTGGCGTCGGCCGGGACCACTTGTCCGTCTTCGATAATGATCTAGACGGGCCAATTAACTTTCCGCTGATTGCTATCAGCCAGAAGAACTTACAATGTCACCAGGGACCAATTCGCGGGCCTTGAGTTCTTGTTCTTGACCATCTCGGATAACCGTGGTTCGCATGGCGATGTCGCCCTTCAAACTGGCGACGACGTCTGCGGCTTGTTTTTCTTGGTACCAACCGACGATGGCGTTGAGCATAAGAATAGCGATAATCACACCGAAATCAATCCAGTCACGCAGACCAGCCGCGAGGAGGACAGCAAGCTCCATAACTGGGGGGGAGAAAAAATCAATTGATGTCATAGCAGGCCAATTGAAGCTCAAACGTACCGTAGAGGATAGGGCCGGTGAAGTAAGACAAGAACTTAAGAAACAGATTTTCCTTCTCGGTGGTCAACTCGTTCCAGCCGGTCTTCTTTCGTCTCGAGTCGGCCTCGGTGGTCGCGAGGCCCTTCTTCCAGTCTGTTTGGAGCCACTCCTCGGGAGTGTCGAAGGTGCCGTCGCTACCCATGCCCTTCTTCTTGCCGAACTGATACCATTTCTTGGGCTTGTCGTCCATGTCGGCCAGGGACGAGCCGCCGCCAATTGACGCTCTGCGCCCGTCGCGGTAGTTGGAGATGTACTTGACGAGGTTGCCATACTCGCCCATGTCGTCGTCATTGGCCTGGATGTCCAGAGGTCTCTGGCTCTTCTCGACGTCGCCATTCTCGACATCACCGTTGAGGGGCGCCATTGTGCGTGCAGGAACAGAAGGGGGAGAGGGGAGATTTGGTCCGACAACTTCACACACTGGCACCGAACTGGGAGTGAAAACAGGAAGAAAGAAGAGCTGGTCTGAAATGGGTGGGCAGGGCGCTCTTTTTATCGAGCTGGGCCGATCTGCTTCCTAGCTAGCTACATGCTTGCTACTGGCTAGGCCGGGAAGAGTAAATTTCCTACTGCTGCTACTACTACTAAGAGGTGGAAGGAAAAGAGCCATATCGGCCACTGACGGGGCATCGACAATTTGCGACGGCGTCATCTCGCTCGGACTTGGCGGCAGCTCAGGGTGGGAACCGTGGTGGGATTGAGGGATTTCCAGACCTGGAAGACGGTAGCCCCGAGCTTTTCCTTCCAACGACAGCAGAATCAAAACAAAGATTGGGCTTTTTTTCGCGCGTTGCCGGGACGCGAGGCGAGCCAGAGTGGTAGAAATCTCGGCGCACAGGAATGTCAGGGATGAAGCAGGATAAGGACGGGTAGGGGTCCGGGGGGGGGGAGGGGTGGCCACGGCACCCACCAATGCCACCATAGGCTTGCAGCGCGGGCCTGGGTGCGCCTCCGATCGCACGGGCGAATGAGGCCTGCATCAGGAATCAGGATGCACTGATGCAGAAGTGCTCATGGGCAAGTATTGGGCGGCAGGGAGGGAGTGGGTGGTGGTGGGAGGTGGTGGGAGGTCGCGGGTGGCAGCAGAAACCGTGCAAATGCAGACGAATGCGGAATGGGGATTAGTGAAGCGTGGACGTGGTGAAGTGGTGCAGCGATGCGTGGTGGAACCAACCGTGGAAGGCTCGGGAGGGCGGGCGCGGTGAGATGACGGAGTTTGGCAGGGAGGTGCTGGCTGGTGCTGGCTGGTGCTGGCTGGTGCAGTGGTGCAGTGGTGCAGTGGTGCAGCAGACAGCCGGCGATGAGATCCATGATTGATTCGGTCACTGTGTCGACAACTGCCACCGCGTGAGCCATTGGCCAATCAGCGCGCCCTGAGATTACTACTCAGCGTGCGTGCAGCTGGTGCAGCAGAGCAGGACTGAACTTTCCTTCCTCGTCAATTGCCGCATCGGCATAGGATAGGCGTGGTGGCCTCGTGTACGATTATTCAACACGGTCATTGTCACGTCGTGACGGACCAGGCACAACCATGGATGAGGCCGCAGAGCCGTCTGCTTCCCATCTATTGTTGCGACTATTGTGACTATTGTCTCCCTCACTGATCCACTTGGCAGCAACTGCTGGTCCACAGACCACAGGGCAGGACTCGGACGGCCTCGGAATCCCACAGTGCAAAAACAGAGCTCCAATAATGTGGAAAGCGTTGGATTATTAGTACTGGCTTCCTGTCATTCGCCCGCCTCGGCTCGCGCGGCAGCGCCATTGGCTGTGTTTCTGGCTGTTCTGCAGCTCTTGATAAGTCGAAGCTCTGTCCTAACGCGAGTCAGCTAGAGCTCGACCTCTGAAAAAGCTTAGCAACGTTAGCACAAGTTAGCAGAAGACGATTGACGTTTGGGCTAGGGCTGTAACGGGTGCAGCGCCAGAAGAATGCCCCTCTCGCAGCCTCATCTCCAAGCCCGCTTCAGCCCCTCGTGCTGGATTGGAGCTCCGTCGCTGCCTCCCTGCCTCGCCGCTCGCTGCTCGCTGCCACGGAGACACGGTGCCGATTAGCGCCACTTACGCTCCGTTACTCGTCCTCAGTCCTCCACTCTCCACTTTTGCTCTTATTGCTTATCTCTTTCGCCCACTCCCCCATATTTCCCAGGCCGACCAATTGCGCGGTCCAGAGATTATGACACTATTTTCTGCCCAGAGCCCCCAGTCCCAAGTGCCCGATTGCTCGCTTCAATTACTCTTGTATCGTGCCCCCCCGGTGTTTCCGCGCGCCGTTTCTAGCGTTTCTAGCTTTTCTAGCTTTTCTTCTCTGCTGCTGACCTTCACACCGCTGAAACAAATCCTAGGGTGTGCGGTATTTTCGCCATTCACGTCACGTGCCCGATTTCCCCGTTCGGTCTGGGGCTCTACTGTACTGTACTCTGGGGGGCGTTTCGTTTGGACGGGAATAAATCCTTGGCAGGCACGGACGGATGCAAATCTTGAAGGGAAGAAAAGTGCCTGGCAGCGGAAATGGGTGGTTCGGAAGGGCAGGGAAAGGCAGGCCCTGCAACGGCTGAATCCCACGCTGCAAGGAAGAGGCTGCAGCAAAAGAAAAATCCCCCGCGTCGCCGCCGTTTGCCTCGAAATACATTTCTGAGGCATTATTTTGAGCGCATATCATCCAGCGTGCCGGGAGTGAAATTTTCTCCGTGCAGCATCTCGGAATGAGCGCGAGAATAGAGGACATTCGAGACTCCGAGAGACTTCGCGGCTCGAATCGGTAAGGGAAACGAAAAGACCCCCACTCCGGCAACGTCCCATGTACCAGACGAATTCCAATTTTTGCAACAGATGTTTTGGCAACAAACCCAAGTTACCAACGCTCAAGGGTCCTTGTTCGCCTCGAACATGAAACAGCGACCATAGCGACCAGCAATCTTAAACGACGGACCAGAAAACCCTTTCGAACGAAGACGGTCACAAGACAACACGGAGACTGCTCGAGGGATGGGATAAAAGCCCACAGTCCCCGTTCAGAAGCCGATGCGCTTCCAAGAAAGGTATTGACTTGAGGGTCCAAGAGTGCCCCCAACTCCCGAGGCCAGGGCCAGAGGGTGGAGATGATGCGAAACGAGACCAGAGCTTCCGAGAGCAACTCAAATCCGCCAATTTGCGACCTGGTTTCTCTTTGGGAGGTCTTGGAAAACTTTCTCCAGACAGAGCGGGCTCCAAGGGGAGAGGGTATCAACGCGACATGTTCCATGACAATCTTGCGCCAATTGGGAGTCTTGTGGTTGCATTTGGCTTGAGATGCGACAGCTCAAGATCCCCGAGACAAACAAACAGGCAAGCCATTCGCATGCCGATCGAAACGCCAATTGCTGTTTCCTGGGATTGTGTTGCGCGTTGTTTTGTCCTGAAGCTGTGGTGAATCCGAAATCGGGGAGTCGCGGAATGGAATTTCAAGATCACGTGAGTCGAGCCAGCAAATTTTACATTCCAAGCCCAGCGGGCAAATTTTTCACATCTCACTCATCGTTTCCTGCATCTTCCAACATCTGCCACCGATTTTCATTTGATGTTCCACCTCTCTTTCTTTCGGTGTTCAAGGATGAAGCCGTCTCTTGAAGAGTTGCACCTTGCTCTTCCCACGAAGCTTCAAGTGACTAACGTACTTTGCGCTGCTTTTCTGGTTCATCTTGACAAGGCTCAAAATCATTGGACGGACTTCTTGCCGCATGTGCTGGCAGCATTTTCTCGATTGAGAGGTCGTCTATTCCCCGTATTAGTAGATACGTCATAATTGTAATTTACACGCGCTGTGCCCCGTAGCTCGGCTTTCGCTCGCCGTGTTTCTGCTGCACTTTCAAGGAAGAACGCGCAACATTTCGGTCACCCCGTCAATATCCGATCAGTGAATGATTCCATCGCAAAACCGAAGTTGCCGGACAAGCATTCTCGGATTTCAAGGCTGTGGAGGGATTTTGGTATGACTTCTGTGACCTCACAATTGTGGAGGGGATAAATCAGGTGGCAAAATCAGTAATCGACGGCACGGCGAAACGGGCTGAAAGATTGCCGATTGCCGCACGATTGGATGGGTCACACAACGCATCGTTGTGTACGCAGGTGCAGGTCTTAATGTTTGTTACGAGCCCAACCTCATGGGTCTGCGCTACAGGGCATTTTACATACAAATGAAAATCCCAAATTTTCTAAAATAGAAGTTTTGATTTTGCGAAGTGTAATTTAGCCATTTTCATACCCTTTCCCACGATTATAGATTGTTGTAACTAATAAAGGTTGTGAGCTTTTGAAGTGACAGTCGTGACTTTTGGGTTTTAATGCCTGAAGGCGTTTTCGCGAAGCCTGAAAACTCCGGAAAAAAAGCCCTGTGCAAACAGACCCATGAGGCTGGGCTCGTTACACCGCCTTTGCAGGGGTTGCGCTGAAATGTCCTGTAGCATTGCGCTGTAGCCGACTTTTGCTTAGCAGAACTCAAGGCGTTGTAACAAACATTAGGGCCTGCACCTGCGTACACAGGTGTGAGATGGCGAGGCATCCGTTCAGCTGCCGCTAGGTGTACCTTGGCCCGTGCACGTTTAGCCGAACTCGATCTACAAATCATATCGTTAGAATCCTTAATTGAAAGCCTCTAATTTGCTACAATTTTGCGGTACATTTGATCACGGAAAGGCGCACTTGATGGCAGCTGAACGGATTTTCCTCCAGCGAGGCTTCCCAATAGATTTGGGAGGCCTCATTCATGCACAAGGCTGAGCTGGGCGTGCTTGAGTCGTCGTTTCTGATGCGAAGAGCCTTCAAATAGTTGAATAGCCCGCGCAAAGAGTTTCCCTTTCAGTTCTCTGAATTGTAGTTCACTTTCTGAGGTAAATGCTTCTTAGATTTTCATGACATTTTGCTGCTCTGATCCACGAAGGGCTTCAATGGCATCACCTGCGTTGAACGAAAATGTCTTCTCAAAGGAGGGGAATTCCCTAGTTCGTACGGAGGATATCCCACAGCCTGCTGCAAAAGACAGCGACAAGTCTCCTCCCCGGCGCCCGGTGTATTTTACAGTTCATCTAATCATTTGCCTCGTATGGCTCGGCCCAGCAATCGCTCTTTTAGTCCTGAACTTCCAGAACCGTGTCGTTGGCGCTAGTATCGGCTGTGTCAGCTGCCGCGTGAACCCATTCTCCAGCACCGTATACCAAGAACAGGCGAACTTCAATAAGAAAGACCATACAGCTCTCAGCGGTCTGCAGTTCGCTGCCAAGGCCCTGGAAATCTGGTTTGCGCTCGTGGCAGCTGGTTTTATATACGATGTACTTGTGATCATCTCGGTACATCGCGGCCATCTCCCCATCGGCATGTTCGCGAAATATCTGCAATTCGGGGAACTCGTTAGCATTTTTCAGTTCCCATCTGGCTGCAAGAACCTCTTGCATTGGGGATTTATTTTCTTTGTGGTGTGCATGTGCCTTTTAATGAACGTCATCGGACCAGCTATCGCCATCTTGATGATACCGACTCTGCAATGGATCGACGTTGACTTCATGAGTACGGCAGTGTTCGATAAGTTGGCATCTAGCAGTCCTCCAAGCAATGTGGCTATCTCTCCGGGATGTACCGCATCTTTACTGGGAGTTGGAAATTTCTCTTGCACGGCGGAGCCATGCGCCCACACTCTGGATGAAGTATTCTCTTCCGTGGCGGCGTCACTAGGTCAGGTAAATGTTACCCCAATCGTATTCGATCCAGTCATTGTTCAGATAGATCACGTGTCCGTCATTGTCAACACGACGGACCCAGCCGTGGATTGGATCTTGAGCCGGCAGGTCGCCGGGGAGCTTTCCGATGATTATCTCCGCTATTCCACTGCACTTCAACAAGATCCCCCGCCTCCCAGGTACTCAACTTTGGAGAAATCTCTCAACACACTCCTCTCGCGAGAAGGTCCGGTTTTAGGTCTTGGTGGTGGTTGCTATAAGGGTAGTCTTGCTGTTGCTGAGCTAGCAGACGATAGGAGCATTCGCTGCTATGGTGGATGGAATCTGTTCTCCCAGGGTAATTCCGAGTATGTCAAGTGCATTCGCGTAGGAAATGGATGGGCTGGGACAAATTTCCAATCGAATTTATATCTCAGCAATGCCAATTCGACAGGCAATGATGTGGCTATAATCGCTCATTTCACGGATCACGCTCATACCCCACTCACCACCGACGACCCGCATTGCTTCGATGGTGATGGTAACCCCCAGTCGGATCCAGAATGTAACTGGGACGCCATATTCGCACAGTCACCTCCATCGGATCTATGGAATACCTCCACGAACTTCATACTCGTGGAATATCACATTCCGGGCCTCTCAACGCCAAACAACACAGTCTGGTGCGACGACATCTCATACCTAAACTTCCAAGGCTACTCCCTCGACCCATCGCCCTACTCAAACTTCATCCATCTAACCCTCCTCTCAGATTTCGCACCCGTCCTTCCAGGAACAGTTCCCCTCGTTGTACACCCGGACTGGATTCTCGCCGCCTGGTCAGCCGACCGAAACGGCACTGTCGACTCCACTCGTGCATCATCCTCACTAATGTCTGCTAGACTAGAGAATGCCCTGACGAACACGAATGCGAGTCGAGACTTAGATCTACTCAATTTCCTCGACGGCATCGTCATGGATCAAGCCCTCTCACTAATCGACTACTCCACCACGTCCACATCACCATCACCAACAACAACAGCGAAAACACGACCCAGCACCGACCACCCACAGCTCAAGACCTCGGCTCAGATCCAAGTCTGGATCTTCGGCTTGCACTCCGAGACCTCGAAACTCGGAGCGGCGGTCGTCGGCATCTGCTGTGTGGTTGCCGGGTTGCGCGTCGTCGCGGCGCTGAAGAGAGCCACGTTGGGCCATTACGCTGCGCCGAAGACGCTGATGGAGCTCCTTCTTGACGCGCTGCAGCACGATCCCTTGGTAGCGGCTCAGGAGGTCCATCCGAGGCGCGTGTCGGTGGGGGTCAAGGATCAATGGGGAAATTTGTCCTTTGTTAATACGGAAGGAATGGTTTAATTAACGGGGGAAGGGGGGGGGGGGTGCTCTTAATTGCGATTTCGAAGTGTTAGCGGGCGTGTTTTTGGGGGTTTGGGAATTGCTGCTTGGTTTATGGAGTTGGTAAAGAACGCGGAGTTGGTGAAGAACACGGAGTTGGTAAAGATTATGGTCAAGCTTCGTGCGTTGTCGGGACTTGCTTCACTTTATTGTGAGACCATCGTATTAGGCAGGGCTAGGTACTGGATTTTCTCTAGAAGCTGTAGCGTACTGCAGTTGTGTGTTCAATAATTTACTGATAACTGATTGACTCGTTATCGGGGGGCAGAGTTCAGGGGCTCGGCTATTTTGGCAGTGAAAAGGGGCAGCACAGCGTAAAGCGGACAGATTATGATTGACGGTACAGGGACGAAACGGTGAAAATCATGACTTATAGTAACATCGGTCTGAGACTGAAAGTCTAAGCAATGGGTTACGACTTTTGCACATTTCCTAGAAATGCGGCCGGGAGGCTGCATTAACGACACAGACCAGGTTTCGATTGGTTTGCAGATGGATAGACGTCTTCGACAGTGTGATTTGCCGGATAAACTCCATGACATGCCGTCAGAGAGAGATACTTCAGGCCTACATCGGCCAAAGTCGAAGTAAACCTGGAATCCCGACGGCTGACTTGAAGCAAACAACTCCCCACTCGCCTGCCCCTCAGCCGCTTTCGCCAAGTCAACTCATGTTCAACTGTACCCGCCTCAATACTAGACCTCAGGAATCACCTCGCTAGTCCTAACCCAGGTTGAATCTCTGATCTAATCTGTCAAAATCCGTAGTGTCGGATAGTCCAGGATGTCGTCGTTCGTGTTGGGCGTACCCTCTCTTCTGGCCTATCTTGTCACAGCCGCCCTCGTCTGGATCACCAACCTCGTGATATACCGACGCTTCTTCCACCCACTGGCTAAGATTCCCGGTCCACTCTGGGCTTCTATCACGCACTATTACATCGTCAAGTACAACCTATTCAGCGGACGCAGCCAATTCTACCTCCAAGTCGAGAAACTGCACCAGCAGTACGGCCCCATTATTCGAATATCACCTGACGAGATCCATCTCATTGATCCCGGTAACTATGAGAAGGTGTATTATATTAGATCTACGGCACCCTCGAAAGCGGGATATTTCTACGATGCGTTTGGATTGAAGACTGCCGCCTTTGGAACGACGGACAATGCGCTGCATCGCGTGCGTCGTGCGGCCATCAACCCCGTCTTCTCCCGCAAGGCGGTCTTGCAACTTGAAGATGTCATTCAAGCCAAGACCCAGAAGCTAGTTCATCGTATGGAAGACATACTCTCGGAAGGAAAACCAGTCGACTTGCACCATGGGTATCGTGCTTTGGCTGTGGATATCGTGACCGACTATTCTTTTGATAATTGCTATAATCAACTGGATATGCCGAACTTTGGGGCTGACTTTTTTGATATGACCGGAGAGCTCAGTCCAAGGGGCTGGGTGCTGCAAGCTTTCCCGATCCTGGGGCCGATCTCGAATCTTGTTACGCTGGGGTTAGCGAAGAGGATGAATACGGGTCTTTATCATTTCTTGCAATTCAGAAAGGTAATTCTCATCACCTTGTGCCTGAACCAAAAGACTAAAAACAATAACACCACACTAGAGATGCGTTGAAGAGATAACAGCAGTAAAGAAATCCATCGACGAAGGAAGCGACAAGTCGAAACACAAAACGGTCTTCCATCAACTCCTCGACCCCAACGTCACCGAAGGCCATGTCGTACCCGGGATTGAAGATCTCACGGACGAAGCCTTCACCATCCTGACAGCGGCTGCTGACACCACCGGACACGCCATGGCGATCCTCACCTACTACGCTGTCTCCAACCCCGTGATCTACCGTACTCTAGCAGCGGAACTCAAAACAGCATTCCCCGACCGCGTCGAGAATCTAGATTACGCAACACTTGAGAAACTACCCTACCTAACAGCAGTTATCAAGGAGGGATTGCGCCTCTCTTACGGTGTTCCTGGCCGACTTCCGAGAACCATCACCGCCCCAACGGCGACGTTCAACGGCTATACCGTCCCAAAAGGCACGATTGTGGGAATGAGTATTTACTTGATGCACCGAGCTCCAGATATCTTTCCAGAGCCAGATAAATTTGATCCCGAGCGCTGGCTCGATCCGGTGAAATCGAAGAAGTTGGATAAGTATTTGGTGTCGTTCAGCAGGGGCTCGACGCAGTGTGTTGGAATGCAGTAAGAGTTTTCAAATCATTCCTCTACTTCCTCAAACCCGTGCGGTTAAAGTTAAGGATCGAGAGGATTGACAAGCTAAATTTTTATATTTTAGTCTTGCGTACTTGCAGCTTTATGTTGGCATCGGCACCATTTTCCGCAAGTTCGAGAATCTTCGCATCTTCGAGACGACTCGGGAGGACTTGGTGTTTGATGATTTCTTTGGGCCGTTTTTTCTGAATGAACAGAAGAAGATCAAAGTTATCAATGGAACATAATGTTTTGGTGACATTTTCTATCAATTAGTTGAAGGACAAGCAATTGTTTGCCTGGCAGGGGTTATCATTTCAAAACTAGTTCAGGAACGTTGTCCCGTGACTGTCTCGGGTTCCACCGCAGACTTTTACTTACACAATTTACTTCTTCCAAAATAGTACATTTGGTCAGTGTAACTGAATCAGAAACATTCGATCGAGGAAGGGGAAATTGTCGCAAGGTTGTGCCTTCTCGCATGGTGGTGACACGGAACGGACTCTGTTTGGTGGCGTCCCCACGTGGGTGGTGGATTGGACATGCCACAAAATCTCGAGATTGGTTGGCTGCGTCATTAAATGCGAACGGGCAGATTATTTTTGAGGGTGGCATCGAACTTATTTAGTCCCTTCAATACTTTCCTGAGAGATTCCTTTGTCAATGGATGATCTTCAGAGGCGAGGGGTAAGCTTTGATGATCGCTGGATACTGGGCTTTACAGCCCAGTGAGCAAAAGCCTTTGCGCTACGCTACGCTACTAACAGCGCTGTTCACCTTAAAGAGCTGGACTTCATGGGGGACGCGAGGCCGCGGAAGGCTGTGGACGAACAACGGGGTTGCATTTAGAAGGTGGCTGCAGCAACGGCCCCCAATTGGTGGACCTGGGTACCATTGATGCAAGTTCCCGTTCACAGGCACCGAATGAAGAAGGTTAAACCCACAACGTTGACATGGGGAAGCTCCCCACGAATGCAGCTTTCCCCTCCATTCAAGCAAGTGCAAAAAGGACGAATGCGCGATATCTCAGGCACAACCAATAGTTTTCTAGTAGTGACACTCTGAGGCTGACTTTTCACCTGCTAAGTAGTTACTTCACGGCTGAGAAATCTACAAGCTCTTTGGCGAGGCACGTGGGCTTTGGTGAAGCTTGCTGCAACCTTGCCGTAGGCTTGCTTGTGCCTGAAGTCAAAATGGCGAGTTCGTCCCACTTTAGAGTATGCTCCCATGTCGGTGGATTTCCCGGACCATCTTGCAATCTTCACTTTTCATCATGTTGTTCAAAACTGCCACCGTTGTGGCTTTGGCAGCTACAGCCAGCTGCGCAACAATTCTGTCAGAGAAGAGAAATAGCGGCTGCCCTGACGATCAAGAACCCACTCAGGTCCGCTTGGCGTATCATGGCGATCGAGGCATGTCCGTCAGTTGGAACACGAAGTCGAAGTTGGCCAAGCCGTCCGTTGAGTTCGGGACGACCATGGAGCTTGGTGGGACTGTGTCATCCAGCGAATCAATCACCTATCCAACCTCGTCGACCTACAACAATCATGTTGTTATCACTGGACTCCAGCCGAACACCAGGTATCACTATCAGCCATATTGTAGTCAGCGTATCTACAGCTTCACGACAGCGAAATCTGTTGGTGATGGTGATGATTTTAAGTTCGCTATGGTTGGAGATATGGGAACGATGGGTCCTGATGGCCTCTCGACAACAGTCGGAAAGGGTGCTGCCAACCCCCTGAAGCCTGGCGAGAAGAATTCGATTGACTCCCTTCACGATCAGAAAACAAGTTTTGACTTCGTGTGGCACGGTCAGTCAGCATCGTTTGATATGGTTTCGAATCAGCTGACAAATTATAGTTGGTGACATTGCGTACGCTGATTCCTGGGTCAAGGAGGAGACTGGGGGATATGTCACACCCCTCAACCTCAACGACAAGGGAGCAGAGTATGACAAGATCCTCAACGAGTTCTATGACGAGATAGAACCAATCACCAGAGATGTTCCCTACATGGTTGGCCCGGGAAATCACGAAGCCAACTGCGACAACGGCGCGAATCTCACTCTGTGCTTGCCCGGCCAGCTGAACTTTACGGGATATCGTGCGCATTGGAACATGCCATCGGACGTCTCCGGCGGTGTTGAAAACTTTTGGTATTCGTGGAACCACGGAATGGTGCATTTCATCACCTTCAACACTGAAACTGATTTCCCAAATGCGCCTGATGAGCCTGGTGGTGAGGGTGCTGAGTTTGCTGGCCCATTTGCTCCAAGTGGTGCTCAGCTTGCTTGGTTGGCAAAGGACCTTGCGGCTGTAGACCGAAAGAAGACACCATGGGTTATTGCAGCTGGCCACCGGCCGTGGTATGTCAGCACAACTGAAGTAAGTTCTCTGACTACGTACCCTTCCCCTCTGTCTTTCAGGGTACAATGTTCAAAATCAGTATACCGTGGTCAGTACTGACTCCATACTTCTTTTTAGTGTAAGGAGTGCCAGGCGGCTTTCGAACCGCTTTTGCTCAAGTATGGTGTTGACCTTGTTCTTCACGGACACAAGCACTTCTACGAACGCGAGTCAGCGATCAATAACTTCACCGCCTCAGAGATTGAGAAGAATCCGTCGGCTCCGTGGTATATAGTCAACGGCGCCGCAGGCCACTACGATGGTAAGGCAATAAACTTTCTCCTCCTTTCATCGAGAGTTACTGACTCCCCAATTTTCAAGGACTCGACACTCCCACTTTCCCCTTGGTCCCAACCTCGAGAAAGCTGATTGTCGAATACGGTTGGAGCTTATTCACGGTGCATAACTGCACACACTTGACGACTGAATTCATTGCAAGCGGAAATGGCTCTGTCCTTGACACAGCAACTCTGTACAAGGCGCGAACTTGCGATGTTACCAAGGACCACCCCTAGTGGCTCTTGCCCGCATAATTGAGTGCTACTCACCCTGGCTTAGCTTTTGAAGGAGACGAAGACAGTACAAATGCGATTAATTTAATGGAATAATGAGACTTTAGTAATGGGCACCTGCTGCATAATATTCACAAGCTGAATCGTAAAAATGAGCCCTTACGTGCACGTGACTGCGAGCTTTGTGGTCAGGTTTCTCGAAGGCAAGCTCTCCTCGCGCATCTGTTTACTCGCTGTGGCTTCGTCTCTATAATTTGGCGAGAATGAGAGCAAGTGGATGTGCATCGCTTGATCCTTCTATAAATCTGGACTCTGAGACAAGATATAAGGGAACAATACCTCAGGCCGGTTGAAGGACCATAAAACGTGAGGTGCTCTCCGAATTCGCTTCTTCCTCCGCTTCGAGAAAGTTAACAAACCCAGTCTGGCCTCTTTTCGCTCGGCTCAAAAAAATTGCAAAAATTAATCGCGCTTTCTACCAGATCATTATAATTATTTGGAAACTGCAAAAGAGATCTAGTTATCGGCACTTTTCTGATGATGAAACCTACAAAATTGAGCATCGCTGACGTTTCATCTACAGAGTCGCTGCTTCTTCTTGTTGTCTAAATCACCTCTTTCATCGAGCTTCTTCTTGCACACAGAAAAACACAGACGATCAAGATTGGTAGTGATTGATGAGCTATGTGAGGAGTCACTTCTAATCAGGCTGAGGCTTTCTTGGATTTCCTCTCTGCAAGTGTTGGGAGGCTCTCTCCCTGATCTGAAATTGTGATCACACGTTCACATCCTCGTTTGAGTTTTCTCTATCAAGAACACACGCACAACGTAATAGGTGGTATTTTGTGAACTTTGTCAGAGGAACTGTATTCAATCACTTCGGTTCTTTCCTTCGTGCTACTTTTGATTTAAAACGGTGCCCAACCATCTTTCTTCAGATTGTAGCTTGGGAACATCCAACCTCGTCAGCGATTAAAAACAAGACCCGTGACTTGGAGTCATGGAGCCGGGAGTCTTAAATGCCATCTTGAATTGTGGACCAAAAAAGAAAACAGAACATTTAACTGTAAACAAGTGTTCTTGATTCCGCGTCAGGGCTGTGGCTTTGAAGACTTTCCTAGCAGACGCGCCTTTCTCTCACGTATCCGTGCTTCCTCTTCTTCCAGCCAGCGCAGCTCGCACTCGTCAGGTCCTGAGATCGGTGGTTGCGAGGATTCATGAGGATGTGAGCTGGGTGATGATGTCTCCGCACTGTTGTCCTGGACAGCTTCTGGGGATGAAAACTCGGTTGGTTTCTTAGATGACTTGAAATGTTACATAGCATATCTTAACAGGTCACATCAGGAACCGAAGTACCCTGTCCTCAGAATGAGTCCAAAAGAAGTCTTTGTCGGACCTTCTCACCAAGCCAGTACTCAGAATCCAGCTGTACAAAAGCGCGCGGCATTGAAATCCGTCCAACTCGATAAGCGAGGACGGGCGCAATTTTAACGCTCGCATTACAAAAATTCTCATAATTTCGCATTATATTCTATTATTATAAAAATTTCGCCGAAGTTAGATCTGCTTCTTTTCTATTACATAAAGCACTTTTGAAGAGTTTCGGGCGTTCCATTGAGATTTGGTGTAATTTTTTGAACGTAGCGATTTTGGTGTTCCTCGCATTTTGGCAGATGGACGGTTTTCAACGCCGCGCGCTTTTGTATAACTTAGAAGCAACAAATGGAATTTCACGCTTGGGTATTATTCTAACACTACCCAAACAGCAGTGGTAAATACAATTGAAGATCGAAACTTGAGATCCGACCCGAAAAATCACCAAACAAGTGAAATGTCATTTGATTAACCATTGCTCCAACGCAGGCCAAACGTAGTCGTCAATCAGGCCAAGCTTTGGGGGCGATATCGTCATGCGTTTTCACCTCAATTTCGGAATCATATGTCCACTATAGACTTGTGCAACTTAACGTTTGGTGTTCGTCTCATGTTTTTAGACGTTTTAATAAACGCTAGTCTCTTCAATTCCTGAGACGGTCTGTCCGGAAGCAACTTCAACCGAAGACTAAGTACCAAACTACCCTCGACACGGGTCTTAAGACTTCGAATATATGCAAGCTGCGAACCACGAGAACAGATCGTAAACCGCGGATATAAGACTCCCGCGCGACAGTTTCTCTCGTAGATGAGGTTATCCGTAACGACTGTCAATCCTGAAGGAGCAGACTCATTTCAAAGGTTGAGCCAGTTGTCGGCGTTGAAATACGGTACCGCGGTTTGGCTTCGTTTTCCGGCAACAGGTGAGCCGTTGAAGCTGCGGTGTTGGAACATGCAGAGGTACTTGATTGATTTAACCAGAACACTCAGGCAAGAAATAGCGAACTGATAAAGGTGGACGTGTTCGCATTACGAGGCCCAAGAGTTCGGTACCGCATTTCCAGAACGTTTGTGGGGTACAAGTGAACTACTTTTCAAGCTTTCACGACAGGCCCAGCCACGATCGCCGCAAGTTGGGAAGGAAGATAAGTTGGTCCTTCCTTCTTTTTGGCATATTCTGTTTGCGCAAAATTCCCTAATACAGGAGTTCCTAACGCATTCAGCACGCCCTCATTGCTGCCTGGTATCAATTATGCTTGAGCTCTCTGTTCACGCCCGTTCGTCAATACGAGCGGTTTACCAATCGGGCGCTACGATTGGTCAATCGGCCTTCCGATTAATCAATCGTAGCTCCCATTGATCAATAGGAAATGGAATACGATTCGCAAGCCACAGTAGGTCCCGATTAATCAATAAGGGGGCCGATTGATCAATCGGCTAATATTGAGGTCTCGGGAATAGCAAAAGCTTTACTATACATGCCTCCTACTACGTCTAGGCGCTCCTATAGCTACCCTAGCCCTTTTTGGTACCCTCCCCTCCACTTGATCACCTGATTCTCCTCCTTCTCTAGCTCCATTCTCACGTGCTTGCTCCTCAGCTACTCTCTTCTTTGCTCTCTCAGATACTCTTCCAGCCTTCTGAACTAATGCAATTGAACCACGATTATTCTCCTTTACTACCGCTTTAGGGAGGATGATTTTATCCCTCTTGTGGGTTGCACCAGTAGTAGATAAATCAGGATAAGTTAATTGGGAGATGATTTTATTAAGGGCACTATGCGGCCAGAGAGTAGTAAGCTCGCCATACTTAGTAGCTAAGCGGTAGCCCTATTTTAATTAGCTTTTATTAAAAGTAAGGCTTATAAACTACATACCTTTGGAGTCTTTTCCAGAACTCTTACTGGAATTCTAGCCATTTCCGTACCGAATCTGTATTGCTTTGGGATCTGGAGGGTTGCAATCTCTTGAATATCATATTCAAGAGCTTTGGAATTCGCTCTCTTTACTATATTCTCCTTCTGTTTTCTCATATGCTCCGTAACCCTCCTAGTTAGCTCAGATAAAATCATCTCCTCAGCTACTTCCTCCTGTTCTGCTTCCTCATCTACGAAAAAGCTATCCTCTCCATCCTCTCTATTCTCTCCATTCTCTCCATTCTCTCCATTCTCTCCATTCTCTCCATCCTCTCTATCCTCTCCAGAAGCGCTACTCTCAGTAGTACCTTCCATAGGCCCTATAGCCCCTAGGGCCGCACGTACGCAGCGAGCACTCTCCTTATGGTCTAGGAAATCAGTAGGTGGCTTTCGTCCAAACCAGACCTCGTATAGTGTATTTCCCTTAGGAAGAGCTGGTATAGCTATAGTATTAATTACCCATATAATTAAAGGAAGTAACTATATCCACGATTAGATACTAGTATCCGCTCGTACGGCCCGTAGTCGTTTTTTGAAGATTCGATTAGCCACTTTAATAGAGCCCTGAGATTGAGGATAATAAGCTCGTCCGCAAATAATCTTTATCCCTCTCTTCTTATAAATCTTAATCATTTTCCCCTTAAACTCACCCCTATTATTACAGGCTAAAATGGAAATATACCCGTTATTATTTAGCCATTTAATAAGCTCGTCCGCAGCTTCGTCCGTAGTCTTAGCCTTAAGCCTACGGATCTATACGAACTTGGAAAAGTGGCATTTTAATTGCCAGATCTATATATATTCTCTGTCCCGATTATACTATAATAGTATTAGTAATAGTAATATTATAGTATTAATAAAGTGTAAATAAAAAGGTTCGGAATTTACGAAAATCGCAGGAATCGCGAAAATCGCAGGAAAAGCTTAAAAACGTACGAAACATATGAAATGCAGGAAATATAGGAAATACAGAAATATAGGAGTAAATCACATGACTTAAGGGATACTTATATGAAAATCCATTAAATCCAGAACCATACGCTTGCCAGGATAATGAGATTGGATAGGTATAATCCCCTTAGGATTCTTCTGAGCCTTTTCCTTATTATAGTAAGTATAGCGGGCACTTATCCAAGTATGGTCGTTACAGGATAGGCCATGCCAAATACGTCTTATATACTTAAATATAGTATTAAAGGCTATTATATAGGTTATTAGTATAAAAATTAGTAAATTCAAGGGATACTTACCTGTATATATTAATTTCTCATGAATAGTAGTTAAAACCTTAAAGGCATTATTATAGTAAAGGGTATACCGGGCTAGAATAATCTTATTATAGCGGATATCGTGGTATTCCTTACGATATACCTAATTATCCTAAAGCTCGTATAATTAGGATTCATACTTAATATTAGCCTGGTAGTACTTCTTTGCTTTTATTCTACTAGGGAGTAAAGCATCAGGATTTTGTAACCACTATCTGATATCCATATGCTTCCTAATAATAAGAATTTTCCTACTACTGCCCTTAGCAAGCCTTTGATCCCATACAGCTTTGTCTTTAGCGGACCAATTATTAGTAGGGTCTTTAGTAATAGGGGAGGGCAAAAACTGAATACCAGAGGAACGTACTCCTGGTATAGTAATATCAAAATATTACTCTGCTCGGCCATAGATACATTAATGAGGTATATATAGGACTGGAGATAAACAAAGGATTAAAAGAGACATATTAGAAGTAAGGTAATTAATTAGGAGATATATAGAATTAGTAATTATACTTGGAAAGTAGGTGCTTATACTGTGAACTATGTACTGTAAACTGTATCTAGGTAGTAAAAAGGGAGCAGAGGCCCTATATATATCTAGAAGCTCTGGAGAAGTATCTTTACCCCTATTATATACTGAGAACTAAAGGGTTTCAGCCATTAGTCTTAAGGATATATTATTACATACTGAGAACTAAAGGGTTTCAGCCATTAGTCTTGAGGATATATTATTACATACTGAGAACTAAAGGGTTTTAGCCTCCTCAGCCCCGAAACCCCAATATTACCCGATTGATTAATCGGCCATTCGATTGATCAATCGGCCCCCTTATTGATTAATCGGGACCCACTGTGGCTTGCGAATCGTATTCCATTTCCTATTGATTAATGGGAGCTACGATTGATTAATCGGAAGGCCGATTGACCAATCGTAGCGCCCGATTGGTAAACCGCTCGTATTGACGAACGGGCGTGAACATCTCCTCCCCCACACCCCACATGCTAAACACCCAACCTACGATCTCATCACGAGCAAGTGGGCGATCATGCACACGAGGAGCCTTCAAGGCTTCTCCATGTCGTCTTAATTGTTCCTTTCTAGTTCATGGCATTGAGGCTCTGACAGGGCTTGGCATTTTATCACCATCTGATAATTAATTTTCTGATCAACATCATGCAAATAAACAACCGAACACATCACACACTGGTGTTCGTAACACCTTTCAAGTAGAAGAGGCCACGGACAAAGCTAATTGCAATCCACTCCCCGGTGGAACTGTGGACACTTCAGACCAATTAAGTCTATCTTTGAGAATTGGCCTATGGCTTTGTAACGAGCACCATCTTCAGACAAGCGCAAACTTCTAGAGGTAAGGTGAGCCGCGATGACCCTGGTCCCGGAGCGACGCCTATCCAAGCTGTCGGCCAGTGGGGACGATTTCTCAGGGGGGTAGCTAAAACATCGGATGGAGATGACGAGTCGCCAGTCGAAGCTGTTGGAAGGCGGGGCATGATGTCTGAAGATGGTCGGCAGATTCGAGATTCCGCGGCGCTTGCCAGTTCTTCCTTGTAACTGCGTGTCTTGATCTCGCTCCTTACCCCTGACGCTACCCCTGACGCTAAGCGAAGTCACGTGTTGTCTCGAGACAGGGGTGTCACACACCTCTCAAACCGATCCCAAATCCACTAGCGTGCCAGCCTCGTTCGTCCATCTGATAATGTTCTGCGCGATAACCTCCCATCGCAATGCCACCAACCGCATGAGCCTGCGAGCCCCAGCTGTAGCAGATTACCGCAATCATCGATCATCTCGCGTCTCCGTTTTAACGCGCTCAGTGGACGGCGTCCATCTCATCTCGGAAAATCATCAGACGAGATCTGATACCCAGCAACCGGTTCAGCCAGTGTCAAGGTGCACCTCGGCCTTGCCATTGGACCCATTCAATTCATTGCTAGCCAGTAGGTAGGTATGCCGACGCGACGAAGCAGCCACAGCCGCGCCCTAATGGTTGCAATACGACGCGCGAGGGCCAAATGGGTGTCCGATGTGTCGACCCCGAGCGGCTGTTGAGCCCTTTTCGGATGGACGAACTCCTCGAGAAACGCCTTGTTCTCGCAGTATGATCTGCCATGCAGATTGCAGTTTACGCTAAGGGTCACAAGAGGAGCATGCCATGCCGAGTCTGCGGTTTGAGAACGCCCTCGAGGAAATGACCGTTTCCAAACGATTCAAGCTATAAGGGCCTTCCAGCCACTTTGCATTGCTATTTTCTCTTCATCGCATTTCCAGTCTCTCTTTCAGTTCCTTATACATTCCTTCGTTACCCAGTTCTGTGAACTTCCACTTCTCCACATTCTTTATTGCTCTATTCACCTCCTTTAGGCCGGCCCTTACTTCATTCTTTGCAAAAAGTTTATCATCGTTCTCTACACATCGTCATCATGAAGTACGAATCGTTACCTATCGTTGCTGTCTTCCTCGGACTCGCAACTGCAGCACCCACTCCTGCTGCAAAGAATGTCGTCACATTCTCCCTCGCAAGGGCTATGGTGCCCCGTGAAGTCCCCCAAGAACACTCTCACAACAGATTTCTTGATGGGGTCCGTGTCAACCTGAACCTCAATAACCCCAACCAAATCCAGGACCCCGTCTTCGGTCTTCTCGGTAACGCAGCCGCCGCGGCTGGTGCTGGAAAGATTACCAACTTGGACTGTCTCCACCAAGCTACCGCCGATCAGGCTTTCACCAACGCAAAGGCAGCTGGGAATGTGACAGGTCAAGCTGATGCTTTGATCTTCGCTGCTTTGGAGAGAAACACTGGCAAGGTTGGATTGGCTAGCGTTCTCTGCACCGAAACCGCTGTCAACCCTGAGATTGCAGCTATTTCGCAACATCAAGATCCTGCTTCTAGCGGTGCCGCTGCCATCAACAAGAAGATCGTTCTTGCTCTCGCTCAACAACTCGCTTCTATCGGGGCTGATCCTCAACTGGCTCTCCTTTCTGGCACCTTCGCTCCAGGAAATGTGAGTTTTCCCCAATAGTCCTCAAAAAATTCATACTGACAGCTTAGGTCAACGACAACACTGGCAAGGGCAACACTTGTGATACCGCTGATGATGTTGAGGGTTGCATTTTCTCGCAAAATCTCCTCGTCGATGACGCTACTGCAGCTGAAATCACTGCTGCCGTTTCCGGCGTTGCTGTAGCTGCCGGTACCGCTGCAAATTCTCCTGCGGCTTCCCCTGTGGCTTCTCCCGCAGCCTCCCCCGCGGCCTCCCCTGCTGCCTCTTCTGGAGAAGCATGCGTGTGTCACCCCGGATTTGTCCTATTTTCATGTTTAAAGGCTGACAAGAACTAGCCCACTACCCCAGCCGTACCTGCAACTTCAGTTGCCGCTGCTTCATCCGGAAACGCTGTTGCTTCTGCAAGTAAGGACCCCATATACTCCATCCAGCCTTGGATTTGCCGGCTAACACGTGGCCTAGCTAATGAGCAGACCTTCACTGGAACTCTCGGAGGTGCAGCACCACCCGTCGCCAGCTCTGCCGGTGATCGCCCATTTTCTGTTAATGGAAACACTTTCGTCAACCTCGGAGCAGCCCTTCAACGGTCATGTGCCATTCAAAACAACGCATGCGCCAATGCCGCCAACTCTGGATCCCTCCCCGGTACCAGTGTGGGCGACTGCAATGCTCAAGAGACCGCCTGCAATGCCGCAGCATCCGCAAAGGTCAAGCGCGCTGCTCTTGATTTCGGCTCTTGCTCCGACCCCGCCATTGAATTCGCCCCTGGTCTTGACGGACGCACTGAGAACTCCTTCCAGGCTGTCAACCAGGTTGATTTCAACCACGGGTCCGCGCTCAACATCAAGGTCATCTCGAGTTTTGTCTGCCAACAACTGCAAAACAAGTGCAAGGCCTCGGCCGCTACCATCGCAGCTTGCACCACCGCCCAGACTGCTGCCAGTATGTTCCACCTCCCATCTTTCCACCAGTTTGCCCGATACTAACAAATTGATAGACGCAGCAACTGGCCAGGCTGCAGCTGACGCATTCAACTCCGCCCTCGGAGTTTCTGCAGCCAAGATGATCAAGCGCGCGAACGCGGCGTTTGTACAGATATAATGAGAAAATCCATATGATATCACCACGTTCTGTTTTTCATTTTCTTAGCTTGCTCATTGATAGCGAGGTGCCTGAATGGCGGGCAGGCGAGGATATCTTGCTTGTTTTTGTTTTAATGCACCGTAACGAATCTTCTAACTAGCTGTGCAACCCAAAATACGAACTTCTGCAAAGCAAACTGGTTTTCAGGAAACGTGATCGTCGTGACGTGGATTTGGAATACTTCTCATGGTTTCTCATGTTTTGAATAGTAAGCATGAAAATGAAATGTAATCGTGACTCCCCAATCCAAAGCATACCAAATTTCATTCCCAAACTGAAACACCACACCAGCACCACCCCTACCGTCGCCCAATTTCCCAACCAAGGCACGCCCTCTCCCTTCCACAAATCCAGCAATCCCCAATCCCCAATTTCCGCGGCCCGGAAAAAGACACAAGACTCAACTTAGGCAGAACTCTCGCTCGCCGAATTGCTCTTCTTGAAATGCCTCGCATGAAAATCCTTGGCAAAACCACTCACACCTTGATTCCCCGAGTGTGGGAGGGTATCAGCCCCATTGCCCTTGTCCTCCCTTGACGAATATCCGGTGCCAGCACCCGTGGCGGTAATCTGGTGTTCGAGAGGGCCTCCTTGCTCGTAGACCGCCGTGTCTAACGGCATGGTATCGAAGTGGATCTCGACTTCTTGCCCAGCGAGGAAGAGATACCAGTAGACTACGCCGGTGAAGAGCCCGCCGCCGACGAAGTTGCCAAGCAGGGAGGGGATCATGGATTTCCAGATGTAGTAACTGACGGTCAGGGGTTTGGGGGCCCCTAGGAATATAGCTAGGGGAATGAAGTACATGTTTGCGATTACGTGATCTGTTCCGAGGCCGACGAAACACATTACTGGGAACCAGATGGAAACGATTTTGGAGATTATTTCGCGGGAGGAGAGGGCGAGGAAGACGGCCATGCAGACGAGCCAGTTACCTGGGCGAGAGGGGTCAGCAAGTGACGAAGGAGGTTTCGTAGGTTGAGTTATGCTTAGGTGACGCGAGAAGTATACATACACAGAATGCCCTTTAAGAAGATCTGGTGCCACTCAGGAGTAACGCATTTAGCTTTTGCGAACGCGAGAGCTTCATCTTTATATGCGCCAGTCTCGAATGTGCCGCCATCTGCGAACCGTCAGCATTGTGCCTGCGATGGAGAGGGGTAGGAATCGTACATCCTGTGAGAACTGCCATGAAGAACAGAGCACCTGCCAGGTTCCCAAAGAAGCTGACAAACAATGTCTTCAGCAGATCTAAGAAGCTACATCGACGGTGAAGCAGAGCAACAACAGAATACATGCAATAACTTGTGAACAGATCCGCTCCTGTCAGGACCACCACTATCCAAGAACGGAGAGTCAGTACCAAGATGTTAGGAGGCTATCCTGGAGATATTCCAGGAAATTAAACGATCTGCTTCTGGCTAACTTACTGATCAAACCGACTGGGAAGACCATCGCTCCGATTGTACGGATGAGCCCGGGAGCATTGGTTTGGAACCATGGAGCGGTGTTAGTGGAGAGGGCGAGAGCACAGCCAAATGAAATCAATGCTCCCCCCATGAAAGAGTTGATGAACATCTTATCGATCCTCATCCGAGCCTTCTTCGCACCAATACGGGAGACGAGCTCCGTAGTCTGAGCGGGTGTGAAAGCATCCATACTGACGTTTTGTGCCAATTTATAGTGGGATTTTGTAGGAAATTCAACAAAAATGGTGTGTGCGGAGCTGAAAAGAAGGAGAAACAGAAGTGAAGAAAGACCGAAGATCAGCGAGGCACAATACAGATATCAATAGCTCGCATCGCTCCCACTGGAGAGGCCCTAGGCTGACAGATTTAAGACCGACAACCGCTTTTTCACTCATCCATTTTGTCAGACGCCCACTAAGTGTCCACCCCGACCTCTACCCTTGTCTCCATGTGGAGAAGCCCTTGCTCATGCTTATCTGGGGAACGGGATCATCTCCTTTGGGAACAAGACCGACGTTTTTGCCTTCCATTCCCTAATATTCGCACTTGTTTCGGTCATAGTTCGGTGGGTATTGTAAACATCGGGGTTGCTTTGGGTGAGGAGAGAATGAGGAAGGAGAAATAGATGTACAGGGGACTTGAGGCGGGGTAGAGCACTAAGCGCTGATGGCAGTCTGGGGAGCTTGTTGGAATTGCGGGATTCTAGATTGGAGATTGGCTGGTGGAAACTACAAATGTGGAATTGGAATGACAGTGCATGTAAGAAGGAAGGATAGTTCCGCCAAACAACTTTGACTGATATCATCCAGTCTAAGATGGGCACCAGCGATCCGGCTCTTTACTCTGGCTTTGATCGCTCGATAGAAGCAATTGGGTCTCCGGTCCTACTTCAGGCAGCCTGAAATAATGTGTGCAAAAGAGTCCGGTCCTCATACCAACCAATCCCAAATCAAGGATGACAAGAAGTCAAATGGGACTGGTGCGGGAATGCCGGATTTGCGATTTGCAATGCAAGCCGCGATTCAACTTTCTGCTTTGGGGTTCTGCTCCGCTGGCAAGTGGGACGCGTGGCATCCACTGAACCATCAGAAAGGCTTGATGCCATGGGGTGAAGTGTTTTGGAGAAGTGTAGCTTGATCTAGAGAAGCTTTTATGAGATCTCTTGGCTGCGTTGATGTTCGGGTGAGGTGTGCGCCCTAAAAGCGGCCCCTGACGCCACAAAATGTAGCCCATTATCAAGGAGCTTCAAAGTCAGCTTCATAAGCATCGGGAATTCTATTGTCTTTTGCTAATTTACCATACTTCACTTAATTCTCTCAATATTCTGCTTCAGTGCGCACTTTACAATCATTTGTCTGTGGAATTGAGGCCAAAAAATGTGCAGGGAAACTCCCAACTGTAGCCCCCGCAATTTATGGCTGCTTGGCGCTGCATGGCGCAAGCCATATCTTGGAAATGTCTTCCAGGCCACGCCTGTTCTGACCGCATTCAGTCAACGACGGATGCTCCTGACAATCCTCAAACGCATGGCAGATGCTTTGTCAGAGAGCTCGTGCTGTAATTACAGGGAGCTCTTGCCCTCCCTACTGTAGTGAAATCACAATCAGATATCCCATATCAGAAACCCTTAAACCTCTTGCATATATATCCGAGCACACAAATTATGACGAGGCTTCTCCCCACCACCGCCAAAGCGCAAGAGCAAAACTATCTCAAACAATGCACCCGCGCTCCGAAAACCGAGTACGACTTCATTCTGTACCCACCATCGAAAGTCTACCCTCTCATCGAGTAGAAGAAGTCTGGAGAAGGTGGGAAGGTGTCCCACCACAGATACAATAGAACGTTTATTGTTGACGGCGAATTGTTGACTCTGAAGGGAAGGGTGACTAGATGACAGAAGTCCCAAGACTAATTCATAGACGCGCAGTCCGTCTCTAGCAGATGCGAGGCAGATCGTTGTTAACATCGAGATGAAGATTCTTTAACGCGAGGTTTATCGACGGCAGTGTTGTCTCCTGGCAACAGTCCGTAGTGAATGGAGCGTCCATGTACCTAATTGCAGAGTTTGAATCAGTGAAGAATACCGTCCTAGCGACCCATTGGTCGCATACACTCTTGATTTGCCATTGTACAGCGATTCTGTGTTCATTGTCCGAGACGGCCCCGCCGTTGCCGAAAGTGCAGAAGAAGCCCACGGCGCGTTGCCTGCCTGCTGCCAATTAGCGTCTACTGCGCCAGCGTTGATTTGTGGGCCGGATGCAATTTTATCTAAATTACTACGGTGTTGGTGTTGGCCGGATTGAGGTGGCCGTTGCCGTTGTAGAAGATATAAGTGTTGGATTCGCGAGCCTCAAGAAGGCTAGAGGTTATGTTTGAGGATAGGTTTTTGCTAGAGAGGTCGCTGCAGACCGTACTGCTGGACTGCTTCTGGCGGGGGTGGTAGTAGATGTGGTAAGGCAAACGAGAGCCACCACTTGTAGAGGAAGAAGAGTTCTGAAAAATATCGTGAAGTGGCTTTCAGCAATTTTGGGCTTTGTTGATGAAGAGAATCGAGGTGCAGTAGACGATTTGAGATGTGATCTGTGGATGATTTGCAAAGCATTAAAAATAACAAACAGAGCAGGGGCTTCTGTCCTCTTATACACCCAAAAAAACCATTCAAAGCTGCACAAGCCTCTCCAATTTAGACCCTTGCGGCCGTCTAAGCCTCCCCGCACCGTGGGTGCACTATCCAGCAGAATGGTTGCGGATCACAAAGTACTATTCCCACTTTGATGTTGAGCCAATTAGAGAGCTGGTAATATATGAGAGATGGGCACAGTTTCATGTCCGTTTTGTTGTTAATTCTTCTCCTGCTGCGGTCCTCGTATTCGTACCAGGAGATGACCTTTGGGCTCTCGCATCTCACCATGCCCAATCAATGTAATTTGCCAAGCTGCAGATGAACAGGGTACTCGCCGCTTAGTGCAATCTTACTGCCCGTGAGGAACAATGGGAGCCCTAGAACTACAGTGTGCTGGCGAAGGCAAGTGCTGTGTGTCTCCTGCCTGGCTTGTCAAGTGAGGCATAAAGAGGATCGAAGTTCCAAGCAGGAATTTAGCAACCTAGCCCTGCTGTCTGCATTGGTAAAAAATGTTGTGTTAGTCCATCAAGCTAGTAATATATGCTGTAATACTTGGCTCAGTCGTTACCCAAGAGCGGCTCCTCTTGATGCTCCATTCCTTGGTCTAGCTTGACGAAGCTTGAAGACAGCGTCGCAAGAGCATAGAATCCCTTCCTATGTTAGCAATTCAAACCCGGCTGAGAGGTTTTAAACTCACAGCTGCAACGAAAAAGGGCATAGCCCGCCAAAATGGAGGTAAACCCAGACAGCCAGCAAAAATCAGTTGAATTGCGGGGTCGCCAACCGCATGCCCCAAGCTTTCGAGTACAACGATTGCTGCGTATAAGGTTGCTTTTGCATCATTGGAAATCCAATAAGAAACTAGCGAGAGAGCAGACACTCTGCTACCGAACCCCGCAGCGAAGATGAAGACACCTACGAGGAGATTAGCAGAAGCTCACATGGCAGGGATGAGCTACTTGCCAATCGGAAGGAATGTGCTACTCTGAGAAAGTCCAATGGCAAGACAGCCCAATGCTAAGAGCGCGACGCTTGTGCGGACGAGAACAAGGTCAATTGTCTCTGGTCTGACGTTGTATGCCAGACGAATATATGCAGTCGATCGAGGTACCAGAAACAAGAACAAAATAATATTGATCAGAGCTGTCTCTGTATAGAAGGTCGCACCCGTTGATATCTTGAGTCCGAATCGAACAGAAGCGTATTGTATCAAAAGACTGAGCATTGCGTATCTGAAAATGTTCACGAGGAAAACGGGAACGAGAAGCATGGTGTTCCGGTCCGACAAGGCGGCGAAGACGCCATTTACTAATTCAGACTTGGGCGAGGTCTTCGGATCCTGATCTAATAAAGAAATATTTTCTTCTTGAATTGACTGTGGGGGATTGGCTGAAAATGAGCTGTCAGGGGACTTTCTAGGATCTGGTCCAATTGCGAGAAGCATTAGACACAGAAACACAGACGCCATTGACAGACCACACGGAATCCAAGGTGAAATATCCATGGTGATAGAAGCTGTAAATGATGCAACAAGCTCTGCTACATAAAATGCAGAGAAAATGTAGTAGAATGCATGACTCCTGAAACAGCTGGCGTCAGCATAGAGCTTCCCGTGATCGACATGCTTTGAACTCATTACCGTCTCTCTGTAGGAACTAATTCTGATGCCATGGCCCACATGAACGCAGAAGCAGAATTCAAGCCTCCTCCACACAAGAGAATTGCCGAGGAGAGCCACACCAGTCGCAGGGGAAATATCTTGGGAAATGCACCTAGGAGGTGTCAGCAACAAATCCCGATCCCTGAATGACCAAAACCTTCCTGGAACATTCAGGAAATTCGCACTTACAAACTATGAATACCTCGCAGAGAGAACCAGCAACTCCTACCAGGGCCAAAGCCATAATTTTCCGGCGACCATGATGATCGCCAAGTCGTCCGATTGGAACAGCGACAAGTAGAACTGGGGTCTCATTAGCACCCACCCACAACGTCGAACCAAGCTCTCAGTACCAGGGATTGTATCAAACGTCGACTTCCATCCTCTAAGAGTTGCCAAGGAACGTTGAATCTCCTCAGTCTTGCAGAAAGACTCGTCGACTCCACCAGCGGGAAAATCGAAGTAAGAAAGGCAAAGAGAATTTTCATAGAGCCTCATTAATGGTGCAACTAAGATCATGTCGCAAAATGCCAAAAGAAAGTGTATAGTCATGAAGTAAAGAACAATGCTGGTTAATGGTTTGGCACGTTTCAGTATTGACTCTTGGTCCTCTCCGACGGATCCATTGATTCGGGGTCGACCATCATCGAGGAGAGGTGTTTCTGCGAGTGCATCTCCACGATGGCCGTCCGGAGCTGGTGTGCTTGCTTCACTTGAAGCAGCCATCTATTTTATTATTGACGTTATCGTTGGATAGGATGTCAAGGGACGAGGTCGGCGTCGATGCGAAGAATAGAGTACTCTCACCGCTTTATTCTGCCAAACGTGACCGGGCTAAAATCACGTCTCTCTAAATCTCTTCTCCCTTCCCAGACTCTCTCAAAACATGTCTTCAATACCTTCTCCCTCACCAAAGTTTGCAAGCTATTAGCTATACCGAGCTTTCATACGTGGTCACTGGCCGCCACTTGATGGCCCACCGCGAGCTCACCTCTCGGAAAACGGGCCATCTCGAGTTTAGACCGAATCCTAATTTTGAGCTTGTCAAGTATGCCGTAGCAGGCAATACCGAGTCCAGTCGCTCCAGTTTCGTATTTTTACACTCGGTTATAGAAACAACATCAATTCGCAGTATCTAGAGAGGTAGTGCTTTCTATGGTGGACGGAGAAAGTCTATCACGTGACTCATTTATTCGTTCACTCCACCATGGATCAATCTTCTTCTGAGAGTAGTGCTCCAAGCGACAGAAGATTCAAGAGCAAGATGTCCCGCAAGGCAACGTGGGTTTGTTCGAATGAAGATCGCCAAAGGTTGAGACAATGTTCAAAGTCACGTGACTAAATAGAAAGTCTACTGGGCACATTTGGGAGGGCAAGCAAAGCTTTCATGTTCCATACAGACGTCTAACAGGCTGGAATTCTTCAATCTTCCTATAATATTACGGAATGTTTCAAGGACAATGATGAACTGCCAGTGTGAGAATGTCTCTGAGCCACAAGTCTCTCAGTGGATGCGCGATTCAAAATATGCATTTCAGGATTCAACCGTGGCCGAATACGCCTTAACATGGTGGATATGATGGATTATTCTCGGGATCTTTGCATGTGTGCTTCTATTTTGATGCGTTTTCCTTACTCTTACTCGAATGTTGGTATTTTTCGGCCTTTACCGATCACCAAGCGTTTAGTTGTGTTTGCCCAACACCACACTTTCGTGACATGTTTGCAAGGCTTTTGATCATTCCATGAATAGTTGTCAAGTAACACATCGCTGAGTCACAGGGCCATGTTCGACTTCTTTGAGGTTCTTGAAGTCTCTGGGTTTGGCAGGCAGGATGTGAGGCAGCACACCCCCCTTAGAACAAAGGACTTGTCTAGCGAGCAGGGCTGGTGTTGAGCTGAATAGCTCTAATATAAGATGCAATGAACAGACTCAAGGTATTGCTTTTCATTACTATCCACCCGACATCAGAAGAGACAAAAGATCAACGGCATATCAAGATGCCGCCGCCGACAACATTCTGGGACCCACGCCTCCTTCTTGACTGTTATCCCCTCAGGGAGAATTTCAAGTGTACCGGAACCACGAAGAAAGGCGCTCGATGCGGCCAGACTTTCATCGAAAACAAATCAAAGTCCGACTCGGACCGCGTTCTCTCCATCCTCTCGAGCGAGGATATTATCGCAAATGGCCTGGGCGATCGAATAAAAAACTGCCTACGAATCCTCGCTGAGCTTACTCTCTGCCCAAGATGGCACCGCGGATCACAAATCAACACTGTCTATCTCAAGTGGTTTCGGACGATCAACAGCTTCATCACTGAGGAACGGTCGAGAAGCAGCATCCGTGCCGGTGGTAAATGAAGAACGTCCTCGACAACCAAGAGACGATGTAAGTCCCTATTCACGGGTGTTTCAGTACTTTCACTCGATGCTGATTTACTGTTCTAGCCTCAAGCACGGCAGCTGCCTCTGCCTGCTCGGAGAGCGAATCTCGATGCATACCAGCGCCTAATGGACGAAATGGCGGGGATTGATGGGGAAAGGGCCCAAATACAAGCACTTCAAGAATACATAGATCAAATGCTAGCTTATTTACCTGCTCGCCAAGAACGAATTGTCCCTGTAAGTGATCATCAGAATCTCCCATTTGACGACGTGCTACTGAAACAAACAGCAACATCCAGTACCTCAAAACGCTCCCGTTGAGGAAGATAACAATCACCTACCTCCACGAGAACGCCATCTTCGACTTGAGGTCGCTGCAGAGGGCGCAGTCAACGCAGTGGCAGCTCAAGCGCAACCACCAGCTCCTGTACGACCTCCACCGCCTGTCCTGGAGGTAGCTGTCCCTGTCCGCCGACATGCCCACCGCCCTGCTCGGGCGGCTGCCATCAGAAAGTCGTTGACTGAGGAATGCTATATTTGCTACGAGGCCTTCGACGGTCCCGATAGTGCTGTTTGGTGCCGACGGAAATGTGGCCAGAACATACATAAAGAATGTTTCGAGCAGTGGAGTGGGAATAAGGAGAGACGAGACGTCAAGTGCGGATTCTGGTAGGCTGTATTTTGGATCTTGTTCCGCTTGAGGGTACTAACGATTGACGTTTTAGTCGTGCAAAGTGGGTCTGGGAATAAGTTTGGACATGCAACTTCTGACACAGAATGGAGAAATGGTGTGAGATACCTCTGATAGCAGTTGGTTGATATCACTCAATAAATGTCGAGATCATCACTTCCAAATCCAAAAAATCCTCTCTACCACCATAATGTAACCGGAGGAAGTGGTTTATCATTCCCCTCTCCTTTCGAGCAGTGAAGCACAGCCTTCCTCTCTTTCAAATCGAAATCGTTCCTCACAATCCGCAACCTCGAAGACTTCGGGATAAGTCCATCAACAACTTCCTCCTCCTCTTGATCCAACATCCACGTTACAATCTTAACCACCATCATGCTATCCAACAATCCTTCTCGTCTGGGATGCTTCGAAAGCAGGGCGATTGCCTGTCGACAAACATCAAGCTCTGGACATCTGGTGGCAACCACAAGAAGACCAATGACCATCGTGGTTTCAAAAGTGAAGACTACCTTGCCGGGGGCAGCACTTCGACCATCCGTCTCCAGTATTTCACGAGCCAGCTTGACCACACGGTGGTAATCTCGGGTTCCGGAGGACCCTTTAAAACGCGATGGAAGATATCGAAGCATCAGCGTGCTTGCAGCCAAATGATCCTTGGTTCCAGGACAGCTTCTGGTCTGTTCAAAGATAGGAAGGAAAGCTTGATACCAGTCTTTCGTCACTTTCTGGAAGTCGTTCAGTTCCTCGATCGCCTTCTGGGCGGGGGTAGTTCCTTTTGTGATTGAATTGCAGTTCACATCTGCGTATTTGAGCATAACGGAGCCGGTTGGATGTGCTGCTGGGTACCAGAGGAACACGCGCCTGATGACCAAATCCCAGTATAGTCTAGCCTCATTGATTGAGGTGAAGAGGGCGGGAATCTTCGGGAATGCTTTGGTTCTGTATTTTGCTCTGCGTCTATCCTTGAAGGTCATCACTTGGAAGTCCATTCTTACAAATACTCCCACAATGTCATCATCAATGAATGTTGACCTGCAAATGTTAGCCTGAGAAAAGACGGACGGCAGTTGGTACAACTGAATCCTCACTTGTGCTCGAGCCTTTTTATTCTCGTCCAATCATCGACCGGTGCTTCTTGACATTCATTTCTCCATCCGAGAAGGACATTCACTCCAAGTTCCGCTTGCGAGAGAGCAAGTTCTTGATTTCCTATGTAACTTTCAAAACATGTGGTGAGCAGCGAAGACATGAGCGTGTTCCTCAGACGATCTGGATCTTGTTGTTTTGGGATATCTCTCATAAGTCGAATGGCTCTGCCGTATTCTTTCAATGCAAATGCGTAAAGAGCCTTCGCTTCCTGACTACCTCCAGGGCCGAGCGGAAATCCAGTTGGTGGTGTTTGCCTGATGTCCTGCGCTTTCCACACCGCACCTAGAGCAACGACGGCATGCCGAGCATATTCTTGGTCATGGCATGCTTGGAGGACTTTCCGATTCCAGACACTAGAATCAAAATAACCTGTGAGCTCCGGCGCAGTCCTCGTTTGAAAGATCATGAAATGCTGGCGCTCGATTTCGGTGTCAAAATGAGGGCTGGAGGAAGGTTGGATATAGACGCCCGTTCTTGGAAAGTGGGTGAACACTGCTTGTTGTGTACTGCTAGACTCATTAGGCTTGGGCAGGAGTACGGTCTTCCCTCGCCGGGGTAGTAGCCATTCGCACTCGTAGCCGGCACACATACAGCGTGCACACTGGGGTTTCGCTTCATCACATTTCACCTACCAACGAATTACCATCATGTTTCTTTATGGGGAGGGAGCCGGGAGCATGAAGCATCCTCCCGACGCGGTGAGGTAAGGAGCTCGAGGTGTAGGACAAAGAAATAGGTTGGTTACTCTCCGAGTTCTACAGACATGGTTAAATCTTTAAAGAAACAGTAGTCAAAGGAAGTAAAATTTGCTTTGGTACACATACTTGCCTAGATTTTGGTCAGCCAAGTCACTTTATTGAAAGCTCTCTCGTTTTCTTACATGTCTTGCAGCCAGTCCTCACTCTTGGAGCGCTTCGTCGTTTGTGCGCGGGAACTTTCTTTCCGTCTACCATCTGGTGAAATTGAATGTGAAGATTCTAGATGGACAGTGGTGTTTTCGCGGGAAGAGTTCTTTTCTATGCCCAATTCAAATCCCTTGCGGTTGAGAATGAATGCTGATTGCCAGGAAGGACCGACTTTATCGGCACGGGAAGTTTACGGAGTAATATACAACTGTCCGATGCCGTTGCAGGCTTCAAGATACGACAGCTCCAATAGAGACCCTGGAATTTCCGTGGCCTCAGTAGGGCGATTGATCCTGGAAATTGTTCCCTGCACATTGTGGGGATCAGGGAACGGTACCTGGTGGTACCAGGGTCTCTGAAACAGTTGACAAAGAGTGGTCAAAGAGTACCTCTTTCCATGATCTTTACAGTAACTGATTACAACTCTAAGTTTCAGGAGTTGTTTACTTTTGCGCCTTCGTATGTTCAAGATTGAGGTAGCACACTGGTCACGTGAGGAGGATTCAAGCGAGGACTGTCGCTTTCCAATGGAAGTCATCCAGAGGGCAAGAAGAGGCTTCCTTCCGTAGCAATTCAATCAACCTTCTGGCCCACAAGTCACCAAGAAACCGCGATACCGTGGCTGAGAGGGGTATTCAGCACGCGAAGACGACACAGTCCACCGCCAACCTCTCACCATCTCCATCGTTCTTTGACGTCCTCAACTCATCGAGATGTTCGCGAATTTGTGTCCTTGAACGCTTTAAAATTGGACCACGAACATTTTTATACCTTTTGATAGTCTCGAGAACAATCCCCAGTAACAACAATGGATGACCCACCCCGCTTATGGACAGCCTCCGTCCTCGCCATTCTGCTCGTACTTGTGCTCTCCTGGATTGTCAGCATCGTCAAGTATAGACTTGCATATAGTAAGCTTGTGAGTCCTCTTCAGTTCAAATTGTGGAATATCATCAGTGACCTTTGCGTCAGCATGGACCTCTCAAAGCGCCTCCCTTCAGCATGTGGTTTGGATCCATACCTGCGACAGCATCTCTATTCAAGCACAGTCCAATGGATACTCACCCAATGGCAACGATGACTTTGCTCTATCGGAAACATCAACTTGGTTCTATGTATATCCTTGACAATTGGCCATTCCTTTCTCAAAGACAGCTGGTTATCAACGATCCGGTATGGTAGCGCAGACACAGAAAGGAGGATCTGCTATGTTTGGGAGCGTATCCTGACTTCACAATAGGGAATTGCAATGCAAGTTAGCCAGAGCTCGCTGCCAAAATTTTGGGTGTACCCGAAGTTTATAGGCCACATTACGGGGATGAAAAGCATGATTCTGACTGAAGGTGCTGAGTGGAGACGAGCCCGAACTCTTTTCAACCCTGGATTTGCCCCGAGTCACCTTACGACGCTTGTTCCGAGCATTGTAGACGATACCCAGATATTCCTCGGCATACTCGCTGACTTATCAGAGTCCAAGAAGGTCACACCAATCGATGATCTGCTTGCCAACTTGACAATAGACATCATGGGCCACATCGTATTGGATCACGACCTCAACTCGCAAACCACTGACAATGAGCTAGTGGGAGCTTTCAAAAGTGCAGTATATTGGACACCCAACTCAAAATTCATTCATCCTATATTCAACTTAAATCTAGTCCGAGCTTTTGCACAGTGGTATCATGCACGAAAAATGAATAACTATATCAGAAAGGTGATTCGAGAGCGCTTGGCTCTACGGCACACCAGAGCTGGAGAAATGAAGGTCAAACCATCCAGGAGACCAGCGATTGACTTGGCCATCGACACATATCTCCTTTCAGACGAAAGTGATGGGGAAATGTCTGCACATTCAATCGGCAGTGAAGAGTTTGAACAGGTATGCATCGATCAGATGAAAACTTTCCTATTTGCCGGTCACGATACCACGAGCAGCACTCTTTGTTTCATATACCACATGTTGAATCTCCATCCCGCGGCTTTAGCCAAAGTCCGAAAAGAGCATGACGGCGTTTTCGGAACTTCCTCGTCGACTGCAACAGCCATCAAGGGAAGCCCGAGGCTGCTCAATGATCTGCCATATACCACTGCAGTCATTAAAGGTATGGAAACTTGAGTACAGCACGATTTATTCACTGACATACTTCAGAGACACTTCGTCTCTTCCCACCAGCGAACGGATCCCGGGATGGGAGTAGCCAATTTACACTAACTGTTGACGGTGTTGAATATCCCACGAAAAACACCATGCTTTGGCCCAATGTCCACACAATTCAACGTCGAGCTGACCTTTGGCCTCAACCCGACGACTTCATTCCCGAGCGATTCCTCCCACCTCCTCACAACTTCCAAGAAGTGACGAAAGATGCTTGGCGGCCCTTCCAAAAAGGTCCTCGTAATTGCATTGGACAGGAATTGGCAATGCTGAATATGAAAGTCATCATGGCGATGACGCTCAGAGACTTTGATATCAAGGCTGAGTACGAGGAATGGGACCGTGCTTTGGGGAGAGAGAAGCCGGGTGAGATGTTGGATGGGAGGAGGGGGATGTTCGGTGAGTTTCACGTCTAACATTACTTAGTCAAGCGTTGTTGATCTTTGAACAGGCCATAGAGCATATCAGCAGATGAAGGCTACTGCAAAACCAGCCGATGGGATGCCGGTGAGAGTCACGAGGAGAAAAAACATGGGAGGTTGAAGTGACACTAGCGACGGTAAACTCAAGAATCCATCAACACACAAGACAGAAACGTGTAAGAAGGAGCAAGCTAAGGTGATATATTTTGCCATTGGCTTGGGTGTATAAAATGATGTCATTTGCCAGTCTGTTCAGATCGACCTGGAAATACAAATCTTCCCACCTGCAGTGCAACATCCTCTCCTGGGTTTCCACGTGAAGCCATTCATTGGCGATATCTCTCAAATTCTGTTCTCCATCCTGTGGCAAGTTTCAAGTTGCTGCATGTTTTCATTCTTCCAAGCTGCCTTGCTTGCGGATTGCTGAGCACTAAGCTTTTTGAAAGTTGCAACATTGCGGGTTCCAATGCAGATCGGGATTGCGCGAGCCAGGCAACTTCAAGCCAGCCATATGGATTTCTAGTTAGCGGTGGCAACAAGAACACGTATCAGACCATGCCGGAATTCACGTCTCAAAAGGTGTGTACCGCTCCGTAGTTGCTCTCTTCACCAGCGACCTCTAAGCCCAGCGGAGCAACCCAATCCTTGTGTGAGGTTCTTTTGCAGGACTGCTCGCCCATGAAGTCCTTGTACGCAAATTCATACGAATACTCTTGGGTTTCCGCAGCCTATAAGTGTGCTCCATCCTCCTCAAGGGGATGAATCGGCAGCAGGCCTTTGGGGAAGATAGAGCGCAGGTTGTAGAGTGGCGTGTTGTGAAAGAGGAGGAGATACCGTTCTTCAGATGCGTTCATTCCGAGGTTAAGGCGAGTTTGCAGTGCTGCGGGTGGATTGGCCGCGATGAACTGCTGAACATCTGGGGGGGGTCAAGAATTCTCATTTTCCCGCTTGCGGGAGCAAGTAGTTAGTTGCTGTTGGGTCAGAAAATTGCTCGATATCCGTTGCTTGGTTCGGTGAGGCGGTCTCCCTGGCTGACTTCGGATGGAGGAAACTCATGATGACGGTTTGAGAGGATGAGAAATTGGAATAGATGTAAGAAACGGTGAATGCGAGGAGAGAGAGATTATAAACAAGAAACGGAACAATTCAAGCGCAAAAAAAGGGATACGGACAGAGCCGTCAAATACCGACAACGTCTATCTTTAACATCCACTGAGCTTGCCTACGGATGAGGTGGTAGAACTGCCCTTCGTATGCCATTCTGTCAGATCAATATCCTATTTGGGGAAACGGGGGGGAAGGAGTGTGGGGTTTGCGGGGAACAATGTCCCGAACACTTGAAGGTCATTTTGGAACAAAAGTGGGAGGTTTGCCGACCCCCAACTGGTGCTAGGCATTCAAAATAAAACAGACCGGGATATTTTACACTGAAATGATCACGTTCATAGCTCTGGAGAATTAGTATGGCAGGGATACATGTAATTCATCGCTCGCCTACTTAAGCAGTCGCCCATTGCCGTGATTTAATATCGTATGGTTACACAAACACTATCATGATATCCTGCCTCTATTGTCTTCTGAAAGCACCCTGAGGAGGCGGTCCTCTTCCATCAAACGGTGCACCAAACGCCATACCTTCGGGTCCTGGAAACATTCCCGGCGGCATAAATCCTTGTGGAAATCCTGGCGGACCAGCATTGTAGAATCCTGGAGGTGGTTGCATTTGCACGTTACGTGGAGGTCCAGACATGACATCTTGGGGTGGGAAATTGCCCATCGGGATTGGAGGGAACATTTGTTGAGGCATGGGCATGCCACGATTCGGGCCGTTTGCCAAGCCCGGAGGAGGGGCGATGTTCTGAGCAAGACGGTGTTGAGGTGGGAGTTGACCTTGGCGATCCCAACCCAGGTCCAGACCTGGAGGTGGTCCGGTCGGTCGCTGAAGGATCTGTGTTGGCTGAGGAGGATTGCCACCTTGTCTTTCGTGCAATGGACCACGTTGGTAGGCAGCTTCATCGAAGAAGCCAGGTGGAGGCTGGGGTCGGCGCTGCGAAGCACTGCGCTCTCGTTGAGCCGCTTCTCTTTGCATGTCTTGTTCTCGCTCAATCATTTGTTGTTGCATTTGGCGATCGACTGACGGCTTGTGAGGCATTCTCAAGAGGACTTGCTCTGTTCTTTGAGGTTCGGGAGCAAGCTTGACATCATTCATGAGACCCATGAGGAATTCTGCATTGGCATTGCGACTGGGTGGTTGATCAGGTCGAGATGAAGCTTGACTGGCCGCATTCTGACGTTGTCCAATTAAATCTTGTACCATTTGATCCGGTCGAATGGTCGGCTGGCTACCAGCTATCTGGCGCTGAGCTAACAACTCATGGAGGTTTTGTCCTGAATTGCGAGTAGCTGATCGATTATCATCTTGGCGTGCCGTCCGATATTGCTGAAACGGCTCTGGAGAGATAATAGGGTTGCTTGGCTGCATTTCCAGGACTGTTGGTTTGGGCTGCTGTGATATGTTTGCAGGGGGTGTTGAACCTGAGTTGGAGGGCTGGGTGGAGTGTAATTTCAACAGCAGCTCCTGGAAAGCTTTCTTTTCGTCCCTATCCGGCGGGTTGTTTTGGTTGTTCTGCATACCTCCAAATAATGCACCGGGGCCCCCTTGTGGTTGCGGCATCGGAGTTGGAGGCTCCGTCTGTCGGCGCGGTGGATCTTCTTTGGGAGCGAAGAAAGATGTAAATCTAGAGGATTTCCCCATAGTCTTAGACCGTGCAGTACCTTCCAGCGACTCTGATCCCAGATCTTGACCAGCCTCCTCCTTTGGTGCCCCCCACTTGCTCAGGAACTTGTCGGGCCCCGTTTCTAAGATTTCCAAGGGCGTTTCAACCTTCTTGTCAAGCCCGAAGAAAGAAGCACCGGCATCTGGCTTGGCTATATCCTCGGCAGGTGTCTTGCCGGCGTTGTCCCTTTTGTGCTGCTGCTCCCTCCACTTCTGAAAGTCTTCTTGGGTGTGACTTTGGGGTTTGTCCTCGGCTGGCTCATCCATCCATTCTGGCTCGCGCTCTTGCCGTTGGTCTCTATCTCTATCCCATCTTCTGTCACCACGATCACCCCTGTCACCCCTATCATCGCGCTCCTTGTCTCTCCATCCCCCCTTGCGGTCAGAAAATCTATCGCCGTTGCTGTTGCGATCTCTCGGGCCTGGAGGACCATCCGTGTTCTCTCTGTCCTTGAACCATGATGGCTCGTTCCGGCCACGGCCTGTGCCATTGCGTCGGGCATCTCTGTCCTGGTCCTGGTCTCCATCCTTGTCTCGGGAGAATGTCTCAAAACCTCTCGGCCTGTCCTTCAAATCGCGCTCTTCCCGGTCCTTGAACCTTCGGTCATCCCTATGTCTATCAACTCCCATGCGACCATTAAAACGCTCGGCGCCCTCAGTACCAAAGCTCTTTCTGGGTTTGACAGTGCTCCACCCATCACTGTCTTGATCCTCAGCTCGTTTTGGACGCAAGGTATTATTTCTACCTTCTCGAGCCTTCTCAGCGTCTCCTTCGCTAGGCTTGCCTCTGAAGTTATATCGATCTCTGGAATCAGCATCGCGTGCGAGTGCTGACCGGTCTAAAGAGTCGAATGTTTTGCCAGAATTTCGAATAGAGGTAGCTGACATAAAGGAGGTCTTGGGGGGTCCGAGGATGATGTCTTCTGGATCTGCAGCACTAAGGTTAGCAATAGAACATCTAAATATGCCAATTGGATGCCTTACTGGCACTGTTTCGTGACATATGACGCTCAGCACCAGGACGTCTGCTTGGCTGATCTAGAAGAGCGTTAGAGTCATGATTCTTTGCTCTGTCAGTAGTTGGTTTGGTCGCGTTACGAGTTGTGTCTGTAGGTGGTCTGGAACGTGTCAATGAGGATCCTCAATCGTCTCCAGAGCCCATCTGTCTTACCCCATCCATTGCTCTACGGGAGGAAGGCCTGGAGGCTTCACAACCAACGGCGAATCTCGAAGGTGTTTCAGCTCTTCCGGAGTGTATCTTATCGCCATGATTGTTGGCACGATAGAGTCTGCCTTGCGTGGTGCCGAAGACTCATGAGCTGCTTGAACTGTGCGGACGTGGTAGAGTTTGTGAACTTGACAGTGCGATAGATCGGAGAGAGGTCAAGAGGGAACGCAAGCTTGAGGTCTTGCCGATGGACGTAGATTGCGGTAGATTAAGGTGAATTAGAGGAACAGAGCTAGACCCTAAAATTAGGACAAGGCCTTCAAGCACGGCTATCGTCTGTTGTTGACAGGCTGAGCGCAAGGCGCAAAGGTCTTGCGTGTGCGATGACCTTGGCGAGGAGATGGCAGGTAGCTGTCAGGACCGGTATTAAGGGTGGTATCGGTGAGAAATAAAGGGTAGATAGATCGCAGGGAGTACTTGATTGTATATCTTTCGCTGAAATTGGTTCCCTAGTCGAAGTTGGGGCTTTGTTGGTAACAGGTCGTCGTGAACGTCTTTTCGATGTGACCGATCAAGTGCCTTCGCTAAAGTAGCTTAGCGCCAAAATCCTCGGAATATTGATTCTCCTGCCTCCATTCAAGGTCACCCATGGCTTTTAACTAAGTTAAGGTTGTGATATGCACTGTTCATTTTGGGGTATCAACTGTTGCTATCGATATCTACAGGTCTAGAATCTCAAAGTATCTACTTTAATTGCCCCCAAACTTGCACCCTTACTCCAATTCCTGACCCGTTGCTGATCACACGACTCGAGCATAGTTTCCATGAGGACTTTGAGGGGTATACCGGCTCCTAAAGACACCTGTGCCTGCAGCCAAGTCATGGCACTGAACCTGGTAATCAGCGTCGTACTCCCACCTTCAATTGACATGGCTCTGAATATAATTTTGAGGATCTTGTCCCGCAAACCGGGCGCAAGATATGTGCTATTGTAGATTGAAAAGAGCTTTTCGAAGACGTGCCGCTTACGGTAGATGGTCATGTCAGCTTGCGTGCGAAGGCCAACGTGCATATATGCCAAAAGCCAGCCCATCTCCATGTAATGTGCGTCGTCCAAACTAGGAGACTCATCGAGAATCTTGAACATCAGAGGAATCTTGTCTAGCGGCCAGATCGGGCCCGAGGTGAGAAACTTGTTGATCTTCGGGTACATGCAATGCAACGGATCGTTGAGAACTGACAGGGCGTGTGAAGCGAAGGCGGAGATAAAGGTTGACAGCGGCTCTTGATCAATGACTTGCTTTGCCGTTTCGACTAATTCGGAAAGGAGCAACCAGATCTGGTCCTTCTCATCGAATGATGATTCCTTCAACTTTGCAGCAAATTTCGAAATGTTTGTCGCGGCTTCCTTTCTGATGCTCAGAATATTGGAAGACAGAAGCGTGATCAGCGAGGTTGCATAGCCGCCCTCAATAATCTCGTCGACTTCCTTCGTTGTCCATTTGGTCAGCGCATTGTGGTCTTCCACCTCATTTCCGGATTCTGGATTTAGGCTACTCAAGATTTTCGATTTCTCGATTTCGGATATGGTGTTGGTCTCGGGCTTCGCTGTAAAGCGAAGGGGAATCTTTTTAGCGTCTGGAACCTCAATGCTGTCAACGAGTTTTCGAGTTTGGTCAAGCGTGTGCCTTGCAGCTGAGTTTTCGGGGGTCTCCGCGGCAAGTTTCTGTATCAAATTCTTGATGACTCTCTTATCTTCGTGGATCTTTATCGAGGCTGCCAAATATCGAGCAATAAATGTGGCTGTCTCCTTCAATGCCACATCCTGCGCCGATTTGACCATGAATGGCCATTGCTCAATAATTGCCAATGATAGCAAGCTCACCGCTGACTGTATTCCCTCGGATTTGTGAATCTCGGCGCAGATTTCTTCCAGAGCAAAGATATACTTGACAGGCTTTGCGGCACATCGTGAGACACAGTCATCGAGAAAAGTGTAGGTCGCGGATGAATGGGCACTGTCGTCGAGCTCCCGTAATCTCAGGATGAACGTATCTAATGCGGAGATAGTAGTCTGATTCTGTAGGATTTGGTTCTCCTCGACCACCGAGAGAAGGACTGATTTGAGTTTAAGAAGTGGAAGGTCTGCCGGAGCCTCGGCAGACAGCTTCAGCATTGCCATAAAAGGTGAAACCGAGAGGCCGTCTGCTTTGCCAAACCAGCGCATTCCTGGGGAGAATTGAGCGAATCTAAAAACATTCTCTAACTCCATGGCCCGGAGGACTCGATCCTGTGGGCCCAGGGTGGTATCATCCATAGCTTTCAAACAGTCGGCCAACGCTGCGGAGACGCCGAATTTAGCATCCAGGGCAATTCGAGGGACGACTTCAAAGTATAGCACCAGCAGCTTGGTAACCGCTTCCCTCTGCATGAGATCCGTACTTATCATCCTTCGGTAGGCGATGATCACCTCCTTAATGGGGGGGCACCTTTTACAGAATTCGTCGGCCAATCTATTTGCTGCTTGGGTCCACAGCGAGGAACCAGACCCATTCGCTGCCCCCTGATACATCTCCAAGGCTTTAGCCAGCTTGCTCATAGCAATAGAGAGGATTCTGATGGCGAAGAACGTGACCAAGCTGTTGTGAGGTTGAGTTAGGCAGCGAGTCAAGACTTTCTGGCTCAAGGGTTGAGGAAGAATGCTTTCCAATACCACAGCGGGTGGTGGTGGGAGTCTGGCATATCGTTCCTGATGGCCAAAGTACTCGGGGAGAGGGAGTTGTAGAGAAGAAAATATAAACGCTGAATATCCCATCCACGTGGAGGTGAGCTTGGGATCGAACGAGAAATCTTTTTTGCCAAAATAATAATCCGCAAATAGCTCCGGAGCAGATTTTAAGATAGACAGAAGAAGCTCGCTTTGTTTTGAACTCGACCAAGGTCGCAGATTTTGGATAAAATCGGACAAAATGGTGTTCCGAACAGGGACTTTTTCAGTATACTTGTCCATCCACTCGATGCTGTCGAGACCTAAATCAATAAACGATTCATCGGAGTCAACACCGTGAATATCATCAGGATCGATACCTCGGGGATAGAAACCAGACTGACGGCTCATCAGACCTACGTCGGGTGACGTGCAGGCTAATACCAGGAATTCGTGAGCCACTTCATCAACAGCCTTCTTCACGGTAGTTGGATCGTTATCTGGTTGATCATATCGGTACAGCATGGCAATGCGTCCTAGGGAGCTGGCATTAACAAGTTTAACCTTCGCATCTCGAGGTAGTTTTGTATCCAAGAGCACATGGATTTTCAGAGTTTCGAGGATATCGCGAACCATGAACGGGGGATCATCTCTAATATCTTTCGTCAAAGCTGAGACGATGTCTCTTTGATTCAAAAGTTCCCGTTTGGCCTCTGCTGGCAGAAATTTTATTGCGGAGAGTACAAGTCGAAGGGCATTTGTTCGCACCGACGGCTTCCTTGGGTCCTCTACGCCGTTACTAGCATATCGGAGGCCTAAGTTGCGGGCCAGGCCTTTGAATGTTTGATCTCTCCTGCGGAATACCTGCTTTGCGAAAACCCCACCATCAAAAATCGATAGCTCCTTGAGCAGTCGCAGCACGGGAGAAATCACAAATTCCTTGCTCTTGTTTGCTGTGAGACCTCGGGCTATCAATTCTTGTTGCCGTTTGAGGAGCAGCGTACGACCCAGTTTCATTCCATATTCAGTGAACTCGAAGATTGTAGAGATAGTTCGGAACAGCAGCGCAAGTACAGCAGGGACTGCGGACAGTAAGCTGTCATCGTTTGACTGCGAAGCAAAACTCCAAGTTTGTGTTATATCGGGCAAGAACAATTCTGCCTTGTCTTCATCATTGGTGGAGTTTTGCGATTCGAGGTATTCTCGAAGGATGGATGTTCGATGGGCATTGGCATCTTCTGGGTCCGCAAAACTGTCCAAGAACTTCTTGAGCGTTTGTATTCCTAGTATGTTTGTCAATTAAATTTCTATTTCTGCCCCGAAGTAGAACTTACCATGCTTTGACCGAGCTGCATTTTGATCAAATGCAAGTAGCTTTCGCAGCTGTCTTGCAGAGCAGACCTCGTCTGCTGGGGCTGCGTTCACTGAGGCTGTGATCTTCTGGCGTTTGAGATAGGCCTGGTTGCCATCTACGACTTCCTCGGCAGGTCGTTTACCCATTTTCTAGGATTCCAGTTGGTATTCTCTAGGTCATTCTTGGTAAAGGATTGGTAAACTTTTCCAGTTCAGCCTCGGAAGAATATTTTCGATTTCCCCGATTCTGCCGGGCGGTGAGGTTGCTACTGTGAGCTCCCACAGCTCACTCCTTGTATCTCCTTCACGTCCTCATCGTCATGACTTGATATATCTTCGACCGCCCACCGGGGTCCTTGGTTCAATGGCTGCTGTCCCGCCATTGACCCCACGCCGTGGGAACCAGCCTTCGCACCTGCGCCAAGTCAGCAATGGCAGCTCCGACTTCAAGCCCAAGAGTCGTCCTCTGACCGCGGCATCAGAATCCGGGACTGTTCAGCACGATCCAGTTCCTATAAAGCCGCCGGTAGAGAGGGTCTGTGTTTTATGGAATCATGATGAAGGGTTCTCTAAAGAAGAGGTTGTCATAAACCTTGACTTGTTTCCTGTCGTTAAGGCTGGAGAGCTCCTGGCTATCGTGGCTTTGAAGACGGAATCTGTCACCAGGGATTTTCAGGAGAAGGCTCAGGCGCCCAAGAAGGAGGTGGATGCTCTGGCGACTGCTATGCAACGTGAACGAAGCAGTTCCAATCCACGCAGCCCTGGACCCGTCAATGACAGCCATTCGAAGCATGATGTTGATCTTGGAAAGCGGTACCTATTCATTGCTAAGGACATGTCGAAAGAGATGAAGGCAAGACAGCCAATACTTGAAGTCTCTGTGGCAAAGCACATTGCCGACTTATTCTGCCTCAAGCATCGCTCTAATGTGCTTATCACCACGGTTTGTCTACCTACTCGACCTTCATGACTCTAACTGATAACTCTCTTAGATTGACCCCGAGACCAATTCTGCCTCTCACGTCGAGATGTCCTTCAAAGATGAATATCTTGCGAGATCAGATATGTGGAGATTGGCCGTTGGGGACCTGGGCAATAAAACAGTTTTCAAAGGCCAAAAGATCCTCTTCATGGGAACGATCAAGGCTCAAGTGACAGCTGTCTACGTCAACGGCCGCAAGGTGCAATCTGCCTTCTTCTCAACAAACACAAAACCGATCTTTCGGAGCGAGTCTGCTCGATACATTCTCTTCATTCAGATGTCAAGGGAGATGTGGGACTTTGACTCTGAGGGGTCTGGCGAGATTATGTTTAATAAGGTCGTCAATGGCTTCCTGCCAGCGCTTTTTAAAAAATGGGCGTCCCTCAAGGCGAAACATCTCGTTAGTATTGTACTTTTCACAAGAGTAGAATATGACACGGGACTCGCGTCGGAACTGGCAACCAGTACTCATGATAGCTCATATCATACGGGAATTCAAGCAGACGGCAATAAGAAACCGTACAAGGATTTCTACCGAGTGGTAGTTAGTGAAATGGCCAGCGGATCCTGGACCACGATCCTCTATCAGCTCAAGCGCGAATTCAAATTCTTCCGCAAAGATATATCCCTCCATCGCATTGACACTATCGGTGCTACATCTCAAGCGCCTCCGCAGAACAACATGAGAGGCGCTCTCGGGACCAGGATCGAAGCTGAACCATCTCTTGCCATGTATGGTAATGTGCTTGAGGCAATTAACCTTGCATCTTCTCAGTTCGCGCACGACTATATTGACCGAGATCTCATGAGGACGGGCATATCGATCGTGGTTATCACTCCCAGTCCTGGCCTTTTCGAGGTCGATTATGAGACTTTGAGAATGACGACGGAAATTCTCATTGGCAATGGAATTGGCATTGATCTTGTCTGCTTGCCAAAGATGCCGCTCCATTCAGTACCACTCTTCCGCTATCGAAATCCTCAATTTGCTGCTTTCCATGAAGCCGTCAATTACAAGTCACTTCGTAGCGAAGATAATACGCCCCGGCAGAATGCACCTATCTTTGGCAGCAGCTTCTCGTCCCTGAACGATTCGCTATCACCAACGAAGGCTTCACAACCGGAACGGTCCCTTCGCTCTGGATCCTTTGCAGCGACCACTCCACCCAGTGAATGGTCATACGCCATTCCTCACTGGATTGATGTGTCTTTCTGGACTGGAGCCTCGCAAGAACTCCGTCTGGCGAACCCTTCCACAAAGATCTCTGACAAGCCTTTCCGACGAATGGCTGCCAAACGAGCACCTGATTTTCCAGTTCGATGTAAGATGTATGAGATGGAGATGGCAAGCGTTATTGACAATGTCATGACTGAGATTGCTGTGACCCCTTTACAACACGATGCACTATTTCCCCAGATGTCCCGCGATGTGCCAAATGAGAAGAAGAATAGCGGAGAACCTCCCGAGATTTTACAACGACGGAGGGTGTTTGGCAGCCTGTCTGAATTCGTGAATGGTCCTTCGAAAGTGTTGGTGGATCGAAATTCCACACAAGACGACAAAAGGTTCTATCATGCGTTAGATACCTTTGATACCACCAGATCGGAGCTGCTAGAAGACCATCCTGGCATTCGATTGAACAGCGAAGGGAAAAGACCCTTCAAGACTGGCAGCGAGGAGGCCGCCAGGAAAGTCCTTGCTGAAGACCCGAAGGTATTTGGCACGTCTTTCAATGATGATTTGGCAGCGCTGAAGGGCGCCATTTTCTTGTCTGGTTCTTCAGGGCGAAGTAGGCAAGAAAATAAGAATACAGACGAGACGCCAAAGTCACGAAAGGACAGTGTGATCGGCAGCATGACTGCGAGTCCACGCTCGTCAACCGGCAGGCCCCCGAAACTCGGCCGTCAAATTAGTCTGGGCAAGCATGGCTTTGACATCACAGCACCAAAAGCTGCCACAGCAGAAATTCAAACTGAACATGCAAGTGCAGCAAAGCCAACATCCCTAAATAAGGGACCCGATTCCAAAAATGGTACAGGTTCGGTAACAAATCACTTCCTGACCCCTACAACTTCACAGGCACTTGAAAGACCATCCTCCTCACAAAGCGAAAAGTTGAAGATGAGAGTGGAAACACCTCCAGAGGCCAAAAACTCCACCGACACATCAGACACCGAGAAGAATTCATCTGCTCGGCCTATGACCATCAAGAGCGCACTTCAATCCCTGGACTCGACAAATCAATTCAAAAGCCGGTCGGTTCTTGGTTCCGTCTACGAAATAACCGACAGACAACATAATGGAGATGGTGCACATCCTCTACATTCCCTGCGTCAAGATGAGAAGTTATATCATTCAAAACTCCTTGCGGGGTCTGTTCCTGAACTTCCTGCCACACTATCCCCAACTACTGCTCTGTCGCCTTGGTTGAGCGTCTTGAATCCCTCGAACCCATCAGTAAATGACACCCTTGGACCCAGCCAATATAGACGATGGCAACACGTATTTCCACGACCAATACTTGCGAATACGATGAAATGGAAGTCATTGTGCTGCCCAGCCTCCGTCCCCTTGACCACCGAATTCTTTCCTACCAAGCATCAGCTCGATACAGAATACCAACAAAAGCCATACAAGATCTTTCAGAATGTGGATGATGAACTGAGTGAAGTTCCAAGATCTAAAGAGGAGTTCCTACGGGATCTTATAAGCCTCCGTCTGTCACAAGGATTTCAAATTGTGGTTGGGCCTGCTGTTGCCGAAGCCTTTGGCCAAAAGTCTCTGAAGATTGCCAATGTATTCGACCGAGATGCCAAAACCGATGTTGGATCCAGTGTGTTCATGTCAATGGGGAATACTATACATCAGCTGTCTTGTGTCAACGAAACCGAAATTGAAGTAAATATGTTTATCAGAAAACCTACTGCCCCGACAGTTACCAGCCCTGGCGCTGTTGTTCCGGCTGTATACAATCCTGCCATCCGCACAACATTGGCTGGACAATACGAGTCTCGTCAAATTATTCTTGGAAAGCCCAGAGATGACTACAATTGGAATTATGTGGATGCTTTTATTGCTGGATTTGATGAAAAGATGTCGGAAGGCCTTCGCTTCTGGCGTGCACGCTTCGTTTTGATACCGGTAGAGCGACCAACACAATCTCAAAGACGCCAGGGGGAAGACAACGAGGAGGAAATCCGACTTGAAGGAATCAAGAAGCTTACTCAAATGTGGCAACGACACAGGGTTGTCACTGCATCAGAGAAACGGTTTCAGACTCGTGCTTCCCGGAAGACAAAAGATCTCAATCCACTCGACATTGTCTATAAGACAGAAGATCCCTCCATTGTTGTCACAGCAGAGCTTGAAACTTTACCCCTATTGGAAACCGGCGACGCAGGCCCAAGACGAGGCTTCCTTTTAGAACCAGAACGCTTCCGAAAAGCAAACCTCGATACTGCTTCCCTTGCGGAAGCCATTCAGTCCTCAGTGGAAAGAGGAGGGGTTCGAATGCAGAATCGACGTTGGCATTTCCGGCTTCATTACAACTGTTTCATCGGGTCAGACATGACGACTTGGCTTATTGAGAATTTCGAAGATATTGACACTCGAGAAGAGGCTGTTGAGCTTGGCAACATGCTAATGGCCACGGATGACCCGCAGAAGAACAAGGAGAAGGAGAACGGAAAAGAGAAAGAGAAAGGCATGGGGATATTTGTCCATGTCGAGAAGCGTCATCCTTTCAGAGATGGGCAATATTTTTATCAGGTCACAGGAGAATTTGCAAAGCAGCGTCCTGAAACTAGGAGCGGATGGTTCGCTACGAAACGAAGAGATACTTCAGTTCCATCTACACCAATGTCGGAAAGTATAATGAAGGATCCTCCCAGGCCCGAAAGGTCGAGATCAAGTTCGAATCATGACGAGATCTCCTCCGATTCTGGCGGTACAGCCACCCCAACAACAACTGGAGGAAAGAGACCAAAGGTTGCTTTGAGCAAGGTCATGAAATACGACGTTGACCATCGCAAACGGTCATATCGACCCGAGCGGATTAACCTCCATTATGATCGCCTGCACAATCCGGATAACTGCTATCACATAAGGATTGACTGGATGAATGTTACTGCAAAGCTAATCGAAGATACTATAGAATCTTGGGCGCTGACGGCAGAACGTTATGGTCTCCGGCTTGTCGAGGCTCCCATCGGTGAAGCATGCTCTATTACCACTGTTCACCCATTCAGAAGCCCATACACAATCGAGTTGGCTTGCCAGCCTCCAGAGCAGCAACCAAGAACATATTTCGATGCGAATTCGTTCGGGCCTCAGGTTCAGTCCAGTCCAGCAAGTCGACACTACTACCAAAAAGCAATCATGAAGAAATTTAACTTTGTCTTGGACATCGAAGCAGCGAAGAACTTCCCCAGCAATGTGGACGTTACATACTCGTGGGGTCGCCCAGACTTCAAATACACCCAATACATCCACCGCTCCGGCGTGGTCCTTGCCCAAATCACCGACGAAGGCAACTTCCTCCTCCTCGCCAATAGACTCTACAACAACCGAACAGCGGTAATAAGAGACATCGATAAGTTCGTCAGGCCCGATCACAGCGAGCGGAACAACCGCATACCTTCCGCCATCTACAACCACGCCCTGTCCGACAAGGCCAGCCCCCTCAACTCCCCCCTCCTTCGTCCAACAACAACCATCTACGCAACCACTAACCAGCTCTCCAACTCCCCCATCCTACGAGCCACGTCAGACGTTCTAGGGTCCGGCCTACCTGGATCCAAAATCGCCAACGCCATCACACCCGAATCAATCAAGAACGAGCTCGAAGCCTTCTGCAGGAACGAGTCCTCGCTGGAAGCCTTCTACAAAGAAGTGTTCGAGAAAGCGACACCGCCCAGCGCGACGCCCCCGAATTGGAGGAGTGCCTATGTGGGCAGCTTGCTGGACTCGAATATCCCGACCCTGGGTCTGCCGCCCAACGTGCTGGCGAGGGACACGAGTCCGAGTCCGATGCGACTGAGTAATGTTCCAGGGGTTGGGAGTCTGATGCCTCACCTCGCCAGGAGACAGAGTGTGCAGATTGGCGGGAGTGCGGGCGTGTCTGGGGGCGGGGAGAGCCCGAGGGGGACTGTTGCGGATGGTGAGAAGGGGGCATAGGGTGATGGGGTGTTCTGGGATGGCGTTTTGTAGAGTGAGAGCGCGGAATGGGTATACCCGGGTGGAATTTTGTATTGTATGTATATATCATGCGGAACCAGATCTTTTCAAAGACTACAGTCGTTCCTACCGCAGCTCGTGAGCAGTGAATCCTGAACCCAAACAGCCGTCAACTTCTCGCCCCGGATTCCCGAAACAGGAAATAGCGGCATTTTAGATCCTCTCGACACCTCGTGGAGTGGCAATTCATCAACGGTTGTGGGGTTAAACACTTGGTGAGGTGCCGTCCACCTTAGAGTTGATATGAAGAAGAGGGGTGTCCAAGATAAAAGTCCCCTTAGGTCTCACTTCTGGATGCAAGGATGTTTCCGTTTCCACCTGCATCGCATTATCAAACTATTATTTATGCTTTCGCTGAGCAGGTGAGTGTATAATTGACATCAATAACGTTCAAGAGCTAATAAGAGCCAGATGTCTATCAGAGCTGGGAAGGACGCCGCAACGTATTTGGCATTGACCTAGTAGAAATGCACAGTGCAAGCCCCCATTTTTTACCCCCTTGAGCTCTCTGACCGTGTGATATGCTTGGTCGGGATGAAGAAAGTTGAAGATCTTGAAAGCAGAGAGTAGACAAAGGCACTAATGTATTGTGCCTATTGAGCATGATCATTGTAAGATCACTTCTAGTGAGGTTTGGGTTTTAACATGTAGGACGTTCACCGGCTCGCTTACATCAGGGGTCGGATGCTCGTCTTCGAGGCAACGTAACAATTGACGTTCACTTGAAACGAAAGGGATCTCTCCTGCCCGCTTGAGGCCCAGTCGACCTGCTGAATTAGGATACAATCTCCAGAAACCCAAACAAGAGTTCCATGAAGCACCGACCCTTCTTGCCAGGACAACACCCTTCACCGCTTTGACATCTGGCTGCCGCTTCGAGCCCATTCTAGCTGTCTTGGTTTAATCTCCGCAGCAGGTTCGCCGGAGGCAACGTCCCTAGTCCCCCCCGGCCGGTGAGCTGCACGCGCCCCTCCGAGGAGCTAGCTAGCTCTGGTGGATATACTTTCTAGATTGGGCGATAAGAATTTGTCGCCTTCTTGAAGTGGAGGAAGACTTCCGGTAGGTCCGCCGATCCTTCCTCCAAGTCAAACGGACAAGCCCAGAACACGAAGGTGAAGGCACAGTCACTATATATGTGAACATTTATGCGTGACGTCGACAGAGATAGACCCTGGGACCGGCAAAGCAAAGTGATTGTTCAGCTCACCCGGCAGATCCGAACGACTTTCTTAGTCAGAAGGAGTGAATGATCCCACGAGCCTGGTTAGGAGGAGTGCCCAGAGGACCAGGAAAAAGCAAATGAGACACTGACCCGGGAACGAGGCACTGGAGCTGCCAGGGTGACGGTGTTGGCGGAGGCGTGGGGGCTCGTGGGGGGCTCGTGGGGTGGTGCCCAATGATCACGTGGGTGGACAAGCCACCACAAAGGCGACGGCCCACGGCTTGGCGGGCTGAGGGCGTTGCGGGGGATTGGCCGTGTGGGATCAGACTCTGAAGATGACCAGGGTGCAGAAGTGCCGGGCTCTGCGCAGTCGAGGAATAGCGTGGTGGAAGCGGAGAAGTCGCTTGCGAGACACGCTGCGTGGCTGATACTGTATCCTGCAGCCGTGCAGCCGTGCAGCCTCACCGACTTTGCCTGCACGGTTGAGAGCTTCGCACTGGCTGTGTGCCCGCACGTTTCATCGTCTTATCTTTGCTTTCCTCAGCTTGCTGCCTTCGGCGCACGCATCGTTATCCTCACGGGCCACGGCCCAGCAGCTCGAGTTGCTCAACCAAAGAGCTCGGAGGATTGCACGCGGGGAATCAACAATCTGAGATTAGCTTCGTCCAATACTACCTGTACGTACTGTATCACTCACGCCCGGCAGTGGCAAACGTGGCGGCACTGGCCCACCGTCTCGCGTGCTCCGAATTGCTTCTTCTGCGTGGCTGCTGGAAGCCCAATAACGTGGGCACGTGGGCTCGAGGGCAGATGCTCACTCCTGTTTGAGGACCACGCCGAAGCCATTCAGAAAGACCAAAAAAGGGGGCTCGAGGAAGAAGCAGTCACCTTTCCCAAAAGGACGAACGCCGACATCACCTGCCCAGATGCCAGAATAATCAATATACTTGACTCTTGGCTCTTGGCTCTTGACTCTTGACTCTTGACCAGCACATCATTCGAGGGTCGGGCCAGGGCCAGCGGGCCAGCAGCAAACAACCTAAGAACGTGCAAGGCTGTGGCCTGTTCGGGATGACGACGGCCGTCGCAAACGCATTCCCTCATTCCCTCGTTCCCTCGTTCCCTCACGTCCTCTTGACGAGGATAAGCTGGACACCAAGTAAGCCAGAACATGGAGATACATGTAAAGCTGTGTTACGTACAGCTATTTCAGAGACCACTCGCCTCCTCGCCTTCGTACCTCGGACATAAACATGTAGCCGCGCCGTGCTGGCAGGGCGCGCTTAGCAGACCAGAGCCAGATGAAATCTCGCATGCCCGCTCCCCTCGGCCATATTGGACAAATCACTCGCGCCGTGCCGCTCCTATGCTCCCGAGACACATCAAGCCCACATGTGCGCCCCGCCTCACTGTTGGTTGCACAGCATAGAGCACTTTTAGATTGAAGGAATTGCGTGGGCTGGCCAAAGAACTTCCAGAACGTGAGGCGTGCGAACCACTGGGGAGCCTCAGGTGGAGACGTGTATTCCAGGCAACACCGTGTTACTGTACGAGTTTCGATCCAGCAGATCCTATCGTGCTCCTAAACCCCGTATGCAAGAGAATCCCATGTTGCTGAGACCTGCCTATCCCATCTCTGCTGGCTATCTATCTCTGCCACCTCTGGAGTCCCCTGGGTGCGGCGAAGCGTGCGACGTCTGCATCTGCCTCCCTCCGGCAATGTGACTCAGAGATCCTATATGATATATGATTACTGTATCTGATGTCGAGATTGTTGGTAGCGACGACGAGGTCCGTAAAATCCTTTTGCCAGCGGCCAGAGCTCCCATCATCATCATCATCATCATCATCATCACCACTACCACCACCACCACACCCGGACATCCCTCGGCTGTGGCTGCCCAACGTCGATTTCAGTCAGAGCAGTGAGACCCCGCAAAGGCCCGACGGCATCTCTGAGCCCCAGGCACCAGGAGAAAGCTCCGTCATAGTCGCTCGTCGTCTCGTGTGGAGCGGGCATTATCCCTATTGCTGTCTAATTCCCACAACCACTTCATCCACAATCCCGTCCCTGGCAGCCCATCTCTGAAGAGCCAGCCCTCGGTCCGTTCCCAGGCTTCCGAAAACCTAGAACCACGTGTAGACCTCATGCCAGTATTTATTCGTGATCCACCAAAAAGCAACCAGGAATCAATAAGTCCTCGATCGCACCACGCTTCGCCGGGGTCCGTACCGGAGGTTTCGAGGTCTCGTGGGCGGTGCTATATATATCACGAACCATATTACTCTCTTGGGTTAGCTGATCGAGCACTCACCCGAGGCAATTGTCCCCAGCGCCGGCTCCCGGGCGTGCAGGGCTGATCGATGAAAGTGCGCGTGGGCGTTGGGTTGTTGCTGCTAGTGTTCTGAGCCTTGTCCTGCAAGCACAGGGGGGCTGCATTTGCTCCCCGAGCGACGAGCGGTGTGGACTGGACCGTGGTGGACTAGCAGAAACCGCCAAATACTTCCACCAAGTCACTTCCGCCCACGGCCCACGGCCCACCGCCTCGCCCTCAACCTCCCAACATCTACTCCTGCTCCTGCTCGCTCTCCCCTCTCACAACCTCCCCCAAAGGACCAGACCACGCCGACTGCGATACATTGGATCGCCTTTGACCTTCCTCCAACCACTAGCTGCACTTGCATCCAACAAACTGGCTCCCCGACACTTGCGACCATGGCCACGCTGGTGCAATTCGGCTGGCATCCAGCTTGTTAGGAACCTCACACAACCCAGCGACTGAGGACAGGCCTTAGGGAAATACCGGGGCATCATGTCGTTGCTTGGTAGACTGCTCTCTGGCGCAGCGGGCGCAACGAGCTCGACTTCGAGCCCTCGAAACGCCCTTGATTCGAATTTGGAGGATCAGTTCACATACAATCTGCTCTTCCCGGATGCCGAAGCCCTTTGTCACAATGACCAAGTGTTTCCGCTCTCCTCCGGCACTGTGCTCACGCCAGTGCCCATCAGCAGTTTCGACATCAATGGAGACATCGACCTAGATATGCGAGACGTCCGAGTAATCATCATGCAGGAAGCTACGACCACTACCGGCTCGGCATATCTTCTCTACGACAGCCATACTCCTCCTCCACCCTCTCCATCGTTAGATCGCCAAGCAGCCAGCAATAGCTCAATCTACCAGGCTCGCTCTGAGGGTCGTCGTTCAATCAGTGCACCTCGAAAGACAAGCGTGGGGCAGAATTCGAGACCGGTCATCATACAGCAAGACACCTCCGCACCAAGACAATTTGGCGCTTTTGATCGCAGAACACACCACGGGGCCCCAAGTTACACTGAGACAGAAGGTCAAAGGTCGGCAAGAGAATACAGGGAAGAGGTTAACACTTTTTCAAACTGCATATTTGGGAATTCCGAAGTTCTGGCCTATAAAGGGACCGGAACTAAGGTTCATATTCTCCCCTCAGAGTCCAGGACAACATTCACGTCAAGTTCATATATGGCCGATGGAAGTGGTTCCTTCGGCCGGTCGAGCATGCGAAGCAGCAAGCTGGCACAGTCTTTCACGTCGGACACAGTGCATGGGCCGACATCGGCTGGTTTCACAAGTCCAAGCACATTCACCAGGGGTGCAGAAAGAAAAAAGGTCTTGATCACACGCATGTTTCCGGTCCCACTGCCCAATGATGATACAGATGATGCCGCCCAAAACACAACACCGACGCCTCAGAATGCGAATGAGACTGCAGGGTACCCGTTTCCGAAGGTTGGTGATAGACGACCGACTGAAAAGAAGAAACCTCAACCGAAGCAGAAGAGAACACCAATGTATGCTGTTGGCTTGGTTGTACACCTACCAGCAGCTCATCATCCTCCTTCGGCACCGGTTTCGAGGTCAAGCTTTCGTGGTCCTAGCTCTTACACAGAGCAAGAGTCTTACCCCTCTTCCTTCAATTCAAGTCGTCGTTCAGGATGGACTATGCTTGGTCATGGCTTTGGTGTGGAGTCTATGGATTCTTCCTTTTCCAGTGATGTCGACGACCGGATCGATATGATCACTCAACACTGGGACATCATCATGCGGACTTTATCACATCTCCAAGCTGTAGCAACAGCTTCACTTCTCCCTTTGCTCAAGCAAGCCGATATCAACTCCCCAGATCCACGCCGAGAATCTACAGCGCACCAACGAGCACCGTCTGCAAGCATTTCAATATCTGGAAAGCGTGTTGCTGAGGACATCAAGCCCTTCAAGATCCCAAAGACGAACGCCAAGATGGTTCAACTGCAGGCAAACTGCCTCATGCAAGTTCCGAAGATCCACAAGGAAGTCGATGCGTCACGCCAAAGGATTATCAGCGGTATCAAGGTACATCAAGTCGTTACTGGTCAAGGAAGATGGGGCATTTGGCGCGAAGAAGCAAGGTTGGTCGGCAAATGGGCTGGAGGAAAAGATGAAGGGTTTTTCTTCTTCAATCTGCTTACTGGCTTCCTCGGAAATCACACAGAATGGCTTCAAGCCCTCGGGCCAAGCTGGTATCGTCGTCGGCATTATCAACAACAACGAGCAAACAGGGATGACGATATATCTCTACCGGCCCGGACCATCATTGTTTCCGACAATAAACTCATGGCTCGCCGCTTAGTATTTCTCCTGGCGGCCTTTCTCCCGGCTAATCAACAACATCCTTCCGGTCGCCTGTATCGTCCCAGCACATCGGCATCTTTCGGAGGATACTCGCAATCTCCTCCGAGCTACACCGCGCCTATTCTAAGAGAGGAGTCATTGCGTCGCAGGATCAATAAGCGCTCTAGTGCTGCTCGAAATGCGCATGGTCGAACGATGAGTTTCCCCGCACCAGGTGCGCAAGGATCGGGGAATTTAGGGCCAGAAATCCATCACGACCGACGAACCTCGGATACTACCTCGATCAAGACTGCAAACCTACCAATCCCAGGAAGTAATATCGGTACGAGAAAGAGTTCTGCTGCAACTACTTCTACTGTCACGCCAGTCACTACGATGCCCCATTTCTCGAGGCGTCCAGTTAGAGTAGGCACCGGGCCCGCTCCTCGTCCGGGAAGTAGTGGTAGCCTTGCGACTGATGACCTTCTACGATCTTTGAAGCGTGGTGACAGCTCTGGTCAATTTAGCAATGCCAGCACCGACTCGCAACAAAATTCGCGATGGGGTAGCATGATTAGCGGCTTCTGGGGCTCCAAAATACGAGATTCGACGGCATCGACTAGTCTTGACCCTCGATCAATCGAAGGTCTAGAGATCAATGATCCTCATTACAAACCAGGATCTCCTAAGAAGGGAAATAAATTGATTGAGATGGTCGAAGAAGCTAGCTGGTGTTCCCAACCGAAGGATCAGCAAGATCGTGAGATGAGGAAGTCGGAATCCGGCAGTGCAACAACAGCGAAGCCTGATGATGAGCAGATCGAAGATATCCCTGAGCAGGTAATCCAGATTGCAGAGCGAGTCCCAGACCCGACTGGAGCGTACGAATCACCGGTCAAGACATCTATCAACGAACATGATGGGGTTATTGACATTGATGTTCCGCTTCCTGATTATCTGGCTTTCGAATCTGCCATCAGCTCTCCATCAAGTAGTGGCTACCTGTCAACTCCAGGTTTTGGAAATGGGATGGAAGGCTTCGAACATTATTCCCGTGCTGGCCCCGACGTGGAGACGACCATGAATGTTGGAGGATGGCTTCCACGCTACAACCCGGACTTTGCATTACAAGCAAACCCATTTCAAGATAACCTTACAGCAGAGATCAAGGAATCAATGCGTGCTGAACCAACACCAGCCATGACCTCGACGCCACATCCCGATGGCGGAGATCGATGGGTTGATATCAGTAGTGCCATCATCGGTGACACAACCAACTTCACCATCAGGCGCATTGTTTATCGGCGACTTGTCAAGACCAGAGATTCGATTCAGCCTACCCCTAGTCTTCCTCATCTGGACTCGCGATACGGAAATGTCTATGCTGCCGCTCAACTTACACCTTCGGCCGATGCCGACGCAAATCAGGTTGAGGAGCGCTTCGATGAGGAGCCAATCATCTCAATGGATGAAACGCTCATCGATGCCGTCGAGCGTATCATCGCACAGTCGGGGCAAGGATCTAAGACCTCTTCTGCTTGTTCTTCTCGCTCTGCTTCACGCAAGGGAGGGAATCGTGAACGCTCGAACTCGGATGCGAAATTTCCACCTGTTCCGGAGCATAGACTTGAGGTGCCACGGAATGAGTGCAAGAAGATGGTGCTGAGTGCACTTGAGGAGATTGTCAGAGAAGTGGCAGAGAGTCGGAAAGATGGAGACGAAGCTGAGAGGGCGCGGGAGTCCTTCTTGCGGGAAGGAGTGAGGAGTTGGCTTGTGAACGTCGAGACGATGGATTGAGGCTATTCGAGCTTGCTTTCGTTGGGTCTTGCTGTCAACCTCTATCCCAAAGTCGAGAGATGAAATGATTTTTTCATTTGTCTGTATCACCACCTAACGGCCGGTTATTTTCGTTGAGAGCTTACGATACCCATGCGACGCGATGCGCATACTTTTTCCCTTTTCTTGATCTTCCGACTTGTAACAACAGAAGACACGCCATGGAAGGATGGGATTTGGCTTGAGGATCTAGAGATTTAGCGTGGCTGTTTGGCGTTATGGATTTCAGATTTCTTTCTGATCTGGTTTGATTTGCTGGATGGCGTTTTAGGGAAGGAAGAGGGAGGCATGATTGGCGGGGTTTTAGGCGTGCTGGATGGATGGAAAGGTTGGAGAATACACGAACTGGGTAATTATGTAATGACATAGAGGAGACGAATAGAGAATACAGATGAGCCCATAAATTCTGCGAGCACATCGCACTCGAAGCCCGGTGAGTCTCCCCGTTATGTTTAGCGAGCAATTAGGGGTAAACTCGCTACAGAACTCACTCAATTGATAATCATTTAGCGCGTTTTCAGGGTGCGCGACCCGTGTCTCCCCAGGTCTTCTCTTCGGCCACTCAATTCCTACGCGTCATGTAAAGGACTTCTAGAAACAGCCGTCACAGACATCTATTCATCTCATATCCAACCAGCCACCACAATTACAGCAGAGAATTCTCTCGAAAGACGTGCAGGCGATGGCTTTCCGGTCTGCATGACTGTTACATGGCGAAGTCACGCAACGCTGCATGGGTTGTCTTCCGTGGGAGGAAACCCGGGGTATACTCCAGTTGGGATGAAACCAACGAGCAGGTAACTGGCTTTTCAAATGGGGAACAATATGGATTCAAGACCTTCCTCGAGGCGAGTTTAGCTTGGGAAGAATGGCAGAGAAAAATCACTGCTATGGTTGCCGCTTCTGCTCCCCCACCAGCTCCGCAACAACCTCCACAACCATATAAAAATCCAGCAAGGGCTTGGCAAGAGTCCCTAATTCCTGTTCCATCGTGGATTAAACCACCTGCGCGGCCACAGACGTCCGTAGGAGCAAGACCTGCGGATGCGAGCCAAGATCCGTGGCAGCCGTCGACCTCCCAACCAGCGCCATATTACTATGACCCTCCTCCTCTTCCTGAACCACTAATGCCAGGAAACTCGAATATCCGAAGACTCGCAGACAATACGATATATTATCCTCAATTACAATCTCCGCCACAAACATCTCAAGACTCCTCGAGCCCGCTCCTGCTATCGAGGCATTTTACCAATTTACCCAAGCCAGCGGGCTATATCGATATCGCCTATCCTTCTCCTCCACCACCAGAGTTTATACCAGCAATTAAAAGATCTGCAAGTTATGTGGATCTTACAGATGAATTTGACAATGAAGAACCAGTTACCAAGAGGGTCATGCAGGAGGTGCCAGGATTTACAGAGGCATCAGCACCGGTAGTACTCACGGCCGAAGAACGCTACGAACTCGATCAACTAGAACGGCGCCCAAAGCCAAAACCAATCCACGATGAGACAAAGATTGAGCTCTCCCCAGAGCAAGAGGAGGTAGTCAACCTGGCTATGCAAAAGAACAACATTTTTCTCACCGGCGCTGCGGGATGTGGGAAGACTGTTACGCTGAAAGAGATCTTGGCTAGGCTGAAGAAGAAGAAGACGGGGGGAAATGCGCAGGTTGTTGCTCCGACGGGCATCGCGGCCCTGCCGTTGGAGGGGAAGACTACGTATTCTTTTGCTGGCGTAAGTGGGAATTTGTTGAAAGGAGCAGGCAGGAGATCTAACTTGAGCGGCAGTGGAATCCAGACTCTATGCGGAAAAGCATTGATGAACTACTTAAGAAGCCGAAGATTAGCGTCATCAAAGCTATTAATGATCTGGACGTCCTTGTTGTCGAAGTCAGTACCCGTCCGACTTCTTGGCTTGATTTGACGAGTGATTGCTGAGTACAAATCCAGGAGATTTCGATGGTTGAAAACCAATTCTTGGAACGTCTCAACCTGCTCTTTCAGAACGCCACGATGAACAAATTGCCGTTTGGGGGGAAGCAAGTCATCTTCCTGGGCGATTTCCATCAGCTTCCTCCAGTGAAGCCCTTCCAATTCTGCCTACAATGTGGAGAGTCGATCCCCGATAAACCCGAGGTCGTATGCATTTCCAGCAAATGCAAGGGATCCAAAGACCAAATAACCTTCATCAGGAACACCGACAAATGGGCGTTCCGAGCCCCGGTGTGGAGAGAGTTGAAGCTACGCCATGTCAAACTGGAGCAAATCCATCGGCAGAAGGATACTCGATTTCAAGACATCCTAAACAAAATCCGGGACGGGACGAACCTAGAGGACGATGAGTGGGCTGACCTCGAACACCCAAAAGATCTTCCCAAGGATGCATTCGCCGTGCGGCTCATGTCGAAACTATTCAAAGTAAAGCAATTCAACGAGCAGCAGCTCAGCGCTCTCAAATCCCAGCCCAAATCATGGCACGCCCAAGATTTCTGCAAGAGGCTCATCGGTGCCAAAGAAGGAGAATGGCAAGACCCTAACATATCACACAAGATCCGCGAATACAAAGATACGCTCCGCGACCACCGCTTCACCCCAGACCTGACGCTTAAGGTCGGGGCCCGCGTCGTCCTGTTACAGAACCTGCACTCCAAACTCGTGAACGGGTCGCAAGGCGTGATCATCGGCTTCCAGCCCGCCTTCCAGGAGCTGGAAAAGGTCATGGAGACGCATGGCGAGCATCAATCCATCCGGGAAGAATCGATGATGGCGTATCACCAGTCGAATCCAAAATGGCGGCCCCTCGTCCGCTTCGCCAACGGCATCGCAGAGCTGATCCCCGCCTTCGCATCCGCCTCGTTGCGCGGCGGGTCCCAGGTGCAGGACCAGTACGTCGTGTGCCGCACCCAGATCCCGCTCACTCTCGCGTGGGCACTATCCATTCACAAGAGCCAGGGCATGACGCTGGACTATGTGGAGGTGTCGAGTCAGGATATCTTTGAGAGTGGGCAGCTTTACGTTGCGTTGAGCAGGGCGACGCATCTTGGGGGCTTGAGGCTGACGGGCTTTCAGAGGAAGCAATTACCGATGGATAGGGATGTGCTGGAATTTTATACGAGGACGAAGTGGGAGAGGTTGCAGCCTAGGGGGAAGGAAAGGGGTTGAATGAGCGAGCGGTTGTATAATATTTGATGCTGGATTTGGAGTGGACTTTTGTGATTGTTGGAGTTTTTGGAACGTAGATGTCTGGTTCTATGAGCAGCAATGCTTGGATGGCCGAGGGTGGTGTGTATCGACCGTTGGATTTCAGATGGCGTCTGTGAATATCGGGGTTTAAGGAGTACATGTTCGGTCTGATGGACAGCAAGGCTCAGATATCAAGGGCGGGACTGCATTGTATTTCTGAGGACTCGTTTTATATAATGCCTTCACCGGTGGGCTTGCATTTTCCTTCGATTGGCGTGCTAAAGCTCTCAATCTCCGCCTTACTCGCGTGGGCTAAAATTGCAGTGCATCATGCGGTGTCTGTCCGCTTGGCATAGGATCAGACATGGGTCGGCAGACGATCCTCCTCGTGTGCCTAAAATTGTAGTGCATCAAGGAGCCCAAGAGTGCGCGGTCAATAAGCCGTACGAAAAAGGCTTATGGAAAGAGTAGAAAGGAAAATGAGTTTGTTGTAGCTGAAGTCGTAGCAGCTACTCTCACAACTCTTGAGGATGACTCTGTCAAGAACAGGTGCTGAAAAATCATCTATTTCATTTGACTCCGCCCGGGAGATTTGCCTATTATCCCACCATCAGCCCCTTTTCGTATACACAAACAAGAATCCGATCTATATGCCAAGTCATCACGGCTCCATCATCTCACCCACCACCGAAGCACCAACATCCGCTTAACGCCAAACCATGCCGCTCGTCAGATCATGCTTCCCATCCCTATTTCTTGCTACCAAAAAATCCACGCTTCTTCTTCTCTACCCCATCGTCTTTCGCATACTTATTCTTCTTCTCAAGCTTCCCTTTGCTGCCCGATCCGTCGCCATTGGTACCATTTGGGGTAATGGGCCGGCCACCTCCAGAACTCATGTTCAGGGCAGCCAGACCAGCCGTTGGAGGCACTGGTTGAGGTGTGGCGTAAGGATTCGGATTGTACGGACTTGGATTGTATGATGGACTTTTCCCTGGAGGTGAGGGAGCGCCAGGACTTTTGGGTAGCGCGCCCCCTTTAGGAAAACCTACGCCTGGATTTAGTTTCGACTGGGAAAGACCCATTCTCGCCGATCCAAGTCCAGCGGGCGGAGGGGCAGGACGAGGGTCGTTCCGCTCAAACAAGTGGGCGGGGGCCTTCGGTTTTGGTCGATCCATTGGTAAATCCAATCTTCGTCGGTCCTTGCTCAAGTCGCTCACCTGCCTGACATAAAACGCAGGAGTCAACATGTGACTTGTCGCAAGGAACACATCTCTACTCCTTGATTGTGAGATCTCGTAACAAGCTCTAGACTCTGAGTAAGTTGCACCGCCGGCCATGAATACAATGATTCGTTGCCGGTTTTCTACCGTTGATGTTCGGTTCTTCGCCCACGTCGGCTTGGCACTTCGAAGTGATGCCTGGGACTGGGCGGCCAATTCTTCAGAATTGTCAAGAGGCGGCTTTACGTATGGGAAGGTTGTTTGATCAAGAGCACCCTTGGCAATATCTTCGAGCATCAGTTTGAGCATTGGCTCAAATCGAGAGAGAGCGTACTCTTCGCTTTGGGCGGTGGGGGCAGTTTTTGCAGGAAATAGAGATTGGGTTGTCCGTTTGGGGTCTTTCAGAAGCTTCGTCGTATGTGCTCCCAGGAGTTCAAGGTTTGTAAGGACTTCGGCATCTTGAGGCGGTAGGGAAGCGTGTGCCAAGAGACGTTGAATGTCTTCCATGATAATACCGTCCCGGAAGATAATGTAAAGCATGATCAGTCGTAATCGATCCGAAGGCCCAATGCTCTCGTCGTCCAGTAGTCGAACTATCTGATCTGCAAGGTTCTTCGGTTTTCGAAAGTCTTCGTCTAGCCCGGTGGCAAGGGATTGTTCTACAGAGGCAATATCTGGGAGTTTGTGGTGCTGGAAAATGTTCATACACTCCTGAGCCATATTCAGATGCAGAGAATATGCTTCCTTCAACTCTTGAAATTGCGGTAATCCAGCTAACATATCTTTGATAGCGTTCAAACTCGTGGCGTCTTGCTCGGAATTTGTGAAATGCGGATTCTCGTCGATGAACTTTTGAAAATCGCTCATCAACTTCTCGATTGTGTCTTTCATATGCCTGTGTCGATTTTCCACCCAGATCTTGTCTTTCTCTCCTATCTCCATCTCCTTTTCTTGCTGATCGGCTCCTCCTTCGTTGACAACTGTCTTGTAATAGACTTTGTCGGTTTCCTTTATAGGTAGCAGATCGTGTGCCATCGCCTGGTATGTGAATTCGTGGATGACTGGTGCTACTAGATCCATTGACCTGTCTGTAATGACAAGAACTCCCGGTGGTCGTGAGGTAGGCGGAGGAAAGTTCTGATTCCATTGTGCGTATGCATCGAGCTCTTCCTGGACGAATCTAGCCAGGTGACCGCAGAGCACACTGGCTTCGTGTGTTGGGTTTCGAGGTCTGTAGTATCGAACTTTGGGATATTCGCCCAAAGAGACGCAAATGCCAGTTATCTGGGAAACTCAGTCTGTGCTCAAAACAGTTTTCCACAAAATCCTACCTTCTGTGCAAGAATCTGCATATGATCGCGAACAAGATTGTTGCATGCTGGATGGTATAAGATAGGGAAACTCCAAGGATCTTTAAATGTGATTAAGTGCGACTCGCGGGGAAAATAATCTATCGACAACGTTTCAAATCCTGCCAACTGTTCTTTTGCTTGTCTGGAGGTGTCGATGCGCCGGCGCATCTGTGGATCTAGCAGGGCAGTCCATACTAGGAAAGTTTTTCGGTATCGTCGGCGTTCGAAGTCTGCCATTAGGCAATCGACAATATGTAGTTGCGGTGAGAGGATGTATATTGCATCCATGTCAGGATTCCTTTCCCTCTTCTCCTCGATCCTCTCAATATCTGGCTTGCGCTTAGCATATAGTCATTCAGAATTCCTCTTTCCCACCTACTCGCGATATTCTCGTTGAGGATGTCATCTTCCTTTACCACATTGTCTATTATCTTCTTGGAAGATTCATCGATGACCAGCACCTTCCACTACGGAGTGGTTTAGCAGTGTTGACTTGCAGAGCATGGCAGACCTACATCTCCTCGGGTTATTGATTTTATCGTGTCCAAGATTACTGTCATCGTCATCAGTTACAGTGTGGAATATTAGCATAACCTTGATCCTTACTGTCCCGCTGCTCCTGGATCGCAGACACCATCTTGGCATCCTCCAAAGACTAGATTCGATAAGTTGCCTTGATTTCAGTCGCTGTGCAGAGATTTACCGATTCTAGGTCATTCGCGTTTAGAACAGGGCTATGAGGTTGTGAAGGAAGATGCGTCGTGGCTTAGCAGGTATCTTGAAGCGTCGCGGGGTTTCGTTTCCAGCCTGCTCGGCCCGTCTGCTAGCGCAGTGCGGCAGAAAAAGGCGGTGAAGTCCTCGCACTCAATGACAGAGAGAGCTTTTCCTAAGAGATAATAGATCATTCAAATAGTGGTGAATTTGGGAAAAGGGAACATTCTTTTACATTACAATCACTTCGTAAAGTGTATCGGAAACGGCAAAGAGATATAAGGAACTCATTGAATTCTCACACTTGACTGCTGGCGTCTCTATACAGAACACTTTAGTCTCTCTGGGCAAAATCAGTGGCATTCTGCCTGGCTTCGCCTTACTACTGGAATTCGGACTCTTGTCCATCAGCAAGTGATCTTCTGCAGTGCCCAATTTTCAGTCGAATAACACAGGAAACTAACTGACGTGTCCGAAGACTATTGGTCTTGTTCCGCCTGCGCAGATATACAACCCTCCTTCGCTTTGTCTCCTTTCCATGCAATTTCTCGAGTACTTCAGCTCTTATTAGCATATCCACAACTAAATACCACAGAGGAAGATCCACAATCCTCTGGAGTAATGAGATCTGGTCCCTGCTGCCTCGAACTCGACTTCTTGCCACATGCTTCGATCGAGGAACATCCTGGGCGACGTGGTGGCTGGAATCTACTCTGGCCCGAGGAAAACTGAAGGGTCTTTGCAAAACCACTACCAGCTTCATGCCCAAATCCAAGCACAGCAGATCCATAAATCCAGTAGAAATTATATCTCATCCTCCCCGTAGGTATTGCTCAACGTCGTCATTTCTGTAGAACATCTCTCTCAGTCTTTCAGCCTTCTTCTTGTCTTTCTCGTGTAACTTCCTGACTTTCCCGGCATCCAATTTCTCGACTTTCTCCTTCTTCCTCCTGTCAGCCTCCTTTGGTAAAACCACACCAATTCCCAGCTTGTCATCTTTCGGCTTTGGTTTTATTGGATATTGAATACCTTGTCCCGACGCTCCAAGCCCAACCCTGGCATCGGGATCCCATCCATAGCTTGAAAGATATGCGAGTCCTTTTCGGTTCCGATCTAGGTGTGATGGCGGGTGAGAATGGGTAAGACAGACTTGGTGTGCCAACGATGCCTCGTGAGGTCGAAGCTTGGCTAGCACATCCCTTGCTTCGGATGTCTCTTCGGCAGCTCTGCCATTTGGGGTGCTTGTGAGAGGCAGGTTGCAGATCTCGCAAATCTGTGGTTCGAGCTGTTCTGATCGAGACTGTTGTGAGCTTTCGGAAAGGTTCGGTGTTCTGGACTGTGATACAGGGGCAGGTGAAGCTTCCTTTGAAGTCTCATCCCCAGATGGTAGTACTAAGTTGAGATAGAAAGCGCTGACTGACGTGGCAGAAGCTCCGCTCGAGATATGAGTGGCTGGAGAGGAAGCCGCTGAAGGGACAAACTTTACTCTTTTGCGTTTGATACCTGCTCCAAATACTCTTTGCTCTTGCAGTGGGATCTCGTATGTGTCGTCGTCAGACATCGCGTCCATGTGGGACGTCCTCGCAGCTATCTTTAACAGGGAGTCTTTTAAAGGATGGCGATTGCCTTCGTGGCCGCGAGGTAAGGTTTCTCATTTCGTGCGGCTAAAAATTTAAGCTTAAAAATCTGAGTGCGGCCGCTTTTCTGCCGACCCGGCGACTCCCAAATTCTCCTTTCGTGTCTACAGCATCTTCTCAGCCCCACAACCAGGTCCCAGGCTGACCTCAAACGCTCAACATGCCATTACCCATTATTGCGGAGTTTCTGTGGAAGGGCATTCCCAGTTTTCCGAATGGTTGGACCATTCTCAAAGTGGTGCTCGCCATTGCAGTCGTGGCCCTGATTAAATGGTCCTCCAAAGGAGCCTCCAATACCTCGGAGCGGCAGATGCATGGGAAGATTGTAATGATTACAGGAGGCACATCTGGAATAGGTGCAGCTACAGCTCTCGGTCTTGCAGAACGAGGCGCACAGCTTGTGCTCCTCGTCCACCAGTCACCAAAGGACATTTTCCTCGTCGACTACATCGAAGACTTACGAGAACGAAGCGGGAACGAACTGATATACGCGGAACAAGTCGACCTATCATCCTTATACAGCATACGTCAATTCGCCACGAAGTGGATTGACAATGCTCCCCCTCGAAGGCTTGACATGATCATACTTTGCGGGTCGACCCTCACACCACCTGGGAAGCCACGAGTGTTGACCGATGAGGGTATAGAAGAGACATGGATGGTCAACTATCTTGCGAATTTCCACCTCCTCAGCATACTGAGCCCAGCAATTCGTGCACAACCTCCAGACCGCGATATTCGAATCATATTTGCGCACTGCTCTTCCTACATCAGGTCTCCACCCATCGAAGATGGCAGTGAGGCCATGAAGAAGAAAGAGTGGACGCCATCAAAAGCATATGCAAGGAGCAAGTTGGCGTTGACGATATTTGGGCAGGCTTTTCAGAAGCATTTAGATGCTTACAAGAGACCTGATGGCCTTCCTATGAATGCCCGTGTTATATTTGTGGACCCTGGGTATTCAAGGACTCCGGGGATGCGGAGATGGCTTACGCGAGGAACCCTCTGGGGCTTGGGAGTATATTTAATTTTGTGGCAAAACGCTTGGTTATTCCTGAAGAGCTCCGAAGGGGGTGCCCAGAGCTTTCTCTACGCCGCGATGGAAGCTACACTTGGTCGTGGCGCTGGAGGAAAGATGATCAAGGAATGCCAAGAAGTGAACTACGCAAGGGCTGATGTCAAAGATGAAAAAAGTGCGAAGAAGTTATGGGAGAGTAGCGAAAAGCTTATCGAACGTGTTGAGCGGGAGGAAGCTGTGAAGAGAGCGTTGCAGAAGAAAGAAAAGGAGGAATTAGGCAAAAGCCAAGCACCGAAAGTACAAGCCAGTGCTACCAGTGCCACAGATAGTGGAACAGACAGCAAGAGATCGAAACCGCGAAAGCAAAAAAAGGGGAAATGAAACGACGGAACGAAAATATGAGGAGCATAGCGCAGGCGTTAATCATAGAAGCTTTGGCCGTTGTCCGACCGATTACGATAATGAAATTTTTAAGAGATTCGAATTTCATCTGGCAACGGGATTCAATAAAACAGTGGGAGGCGGAAGTCGTATAAGCAGTTGCTGTTTGATTGATCGATCGACCAGTCTTCAGTAACGTCATTTGAACATCTCAGTCACTGTATCTTTTCCGAATATAGCTCCTTTTCCTTCTTGCTCAGCTTGTCATTCTGCGAGTACAGAAGTCAGAGATAATTGCTCGTCATATGGCCCAAGTTTCTAGCTCTCAATTCCTCCTCCTTCTCCGTATGCATCAGCTCCCAACCCATCAAGCATGTAGGGGGAGCAGCACTTTATCTATAACAATTAGAGCTCACACCGGCTCAAATTGCTCTCCTCAAAAAGTTAACGAGTCTAGTGATTAGCCAAAGGTGGTTAGTCTTGCCAAAGGCTGTTCGCACGGCTTTGCCTCAGGAACACAGTGAGGCTACAGAACCAGGCTGACGCCGCAACATTTCAGGAAGGTGTGGAGTCTTCCATCTTCAACTTGGTCCCTCATCATGGGAATTGCAGACCTCATGGATATCTCATTTTTCAGGTTGCTGAGCCTTCTGTTAGTTTTCTCCTTGTCTCATCGGATTCTTCATACTATTTACAGCTTGTATTTTCATCATCTCGCGCACTTTCCAGGACCGAACCGAAGTTGACAGCAGCAACACAACGGTACGAATTTTAATACCAAGTCGTACGTGAAGGTCGTTTCTTCGGGAAGATTGACCGGATGCATGAGAAATATGGTGCTTAAAATTGCCTAACCACCTCTTGGTTCACTGCTAATGAGACTAAGCCCAATTCGTCCGCATTAGCCCTTTTCGAACTTCACATAAAGGACCCGGAGTTTTATGAGTAGTTACACAACTTCAATCCCGCTTTCGATAAAAGAAAGCACGAGAATGGTGACTACACATCGCGATGGTTTGCATAAGGAAGGTTAACAGGTCTTCTAGATACCGAATTTTTTTAGTGGACTACAGAACGTGACTTGCATCAGCTTCGACGTCGTCCATACAACCCATTCTTTTCAACACAATCAGTCACCAAGCTCCAAGAGCCTATTCAGGCCTCTACTGAAGACCTTGCAAGGCACTGTGCTCGAAGAAGAGAAGAGAGACAGGTGCTGACAGTATAACAGGATGTAGGCGTAAGCTCACCTTGAATGCACTCTCTTCCTTTATCTGAGTCTCACTTGGGTGGATAGCTGCTGAACTTGTAAGCGGGGAGCGAGCAGGGCTGACTCCCACAATCTTTAGGTCCGTCAATATTGGATGATCTAACTTCATGGCCGGTCTTTAAGAGAAAGAGTTCGCCTGGGTCTCAGAGGCGGGGAAATTGATAATATGGTTGAAGACGTGGAGCGGAACGGTCATCAAGTCCGGATTTATTCAACATTTGACGACTTAACTTACTACCACGACAAATTAAGGGTTTACCTGGAGCGGACTGGCTAAATATCTCTCGAGGGCAGCGAGTAAATTGCGATTTTGGGTGGAGAGCGATAAACAATACGGCTTGGGAACGAGGATTCTGGACCACGAGTTGTGAGTTGAGAAGATTCTTAACGGAGGTAATTGAAACGTTGAATTATACCATCAACAGTAATTCGCCAGCTGAAACAATAGCATAACTCAGAAATATTCACGGATTTCTGAACGAATGCAGCAAGAGGCACGTTGCCGTAACTCGGGCTCTCTTGTTGGGGGAAGAAGTTTCTGGGTCCCCAGAGGCCACAAGACGTGGCAATTTTCTAAAGGTAAGTCAATCTTTGTTTGCGAGATCCTTCAGCTTAACCCCACGTACTCTCCTCCTCACTCTTTGCTCAAAGATCTCCACATCACAAGTAGGCTGACAGTTCTGACTTTCAGTGGAACCGTGGAGCCAGAATATACGCGCGAGAGGTTACAAAGCTGGCCGTGCATGCCAACTATCCAAAGATGAAGGATTTTGCGGGGGAACTTGTAGCGCTCGCCTGCAGTCGCATGTTGCTCCGGTCACCAGACGAGAGCTCAGATGTCGACGAGCTCGAACAGGAGACAAATTTGATCCAAAATACCGTGGACGAGCTCGAAAACAACGAATATCAGACATGTATAGTAGAAATTGAAAGTCTAAATACATTGTCTGCCTGTTATGGAGTCAAGGTAGTGAGGAACAAGGGCAGAAGGTATGAGGGTTCTAACTGTATTGTGAAGTGACTGAAACTGAGAAGAGAGAAGGGAAAGAGAGAGAGAGACAGCGAGCGACTCCTCCTTCAATACTGCTTAAGCCCCTGTCCCACGCTACCAGCGCGTAATCACATGACCCTAACACTGCCCGTATAGTGTTCAGGGATGCAGTCGCCACGACTATGGAGAGCTCATTGCCAGCTGATCAGGTCCCGGATGACAGGCTTAGCCGGCTTACGGCTATTCAAAGCGCCGCGAAGGGCTTCCAGGACCTGATAACAGGGGTGATGGCACTTGATACATCCTTTGGCGAGGATAATCTTGGAGCACGCAAGGCTTTGAGCAAATGGACACCACACTTGAGCGAATGGGTACAAGTTGCAAAGAACAACACACAGAGACTGGGGACAGATCTAATGGACTCGATGGAGGCTTAGCTATAGAATGTTCTTATTTTAAAATAACTCAATGTAATATATCATGCTCTTTGTTTGTACAATAACGGGAAGACGGGCAAGCCTCATTCACATAAGATGACATTGGAGACCTGTTAGTAACATCAAGTAGGGCAGAAGGGGAACACAAATTAAGCGTGGAAAGGCAGACCCTTACACGCAAGATTGAACTGACCGCACTGAAAATAATGCGCGAAGTCCTATGTTCGTTTTCAGACAATCATTCTCCAAAGGCACTGCCAAGGACTGTCCTGTCAAAGAGACGCAACAATTCCCTTTCTCCTCGGTTCGCAATACTAATACAAAGAAATAGAATGCCGGAACACAGAAGACCCGCCAAAATCACAATTTTGCAGGTCGGAATTTGATCTCATCTGCTTGAATTGAAACTTCAGATTTGTCATGGCGTTTGGAAACTTTTCCACGAAGTGGTATAGAGACCCAGACAAATTCTATCGGGACCCAGAACCTAAGTGGGGCCCAAAAGTATACCCAACATACACCCCTCAGACTCCAACACACACTCTCCCTATTATAAACAAACTCACACGCACATTACCCTCATCAATAGAGATCATGGAAGCAATCGCCAAACTTGCAGCTGTTATGTCCTACATTACCGATATATATGGACTGGCTGGTGGATCAGCAGCGATATGCTACGCAACTGCTTATAGATTCCCCACACGATTAACCACAGACATAAATCTAATAATCCAACCAGATCTAGACATCAGAATCACTGCGGAAGAAGTCGCCAGGATCCTATGTTGTGTACAATTTTCGGACGATTTTGCTGTGAAGAACATTTCGGGCGTTGATATTCCGCAGGTGAAGGTGATGAGGGGCAAGAAGGAGGTGTTGGTTGATGTGGAGATCCTCGATTATCATGTTTGGGAGGACAGGAGGACGGATTATGATTTGAGCTTGTCGGGAAACGAGCGATGGGGTCTGCTGATTGAGAAGAAAGTTGATAAAAAGGACAGGGAAGAAAGTGGTGGACAGGCTGGTGGACAGGTTGTTGACCAGATTGTGGCGCAAAACGTGTTTCTGATGAACGCGGTGTGGATGTTGAGGCAGAAGATACTGATGTGGAATGAGAGAGAGGGGCTGCAGAGGGCGAACGATAAAGTGGATATCGTGACGCTCTGTGACGTCCTCGATGAGGCTAAGAGAACCTTGAAGATCAGAAATGAGAGGGATATCAGGAAGCTGAAAGAGTTTTTGAAGGACTTCGATAATGACCCCATGGTTTTGGGGTCGGTCATTGAATGTCCTGAGGTTTTTGGACCGTGGTATAATTTGAAATGGGTTCGAAGGACTTTTGCTGGGTTCTTGTTTTTTGCGATTCCGCTTGCTGTGGACTATTATACTGCCACGACTCAATAGGTCTTGCAAAGTACATTGCGCTGCTGTGCGAGTACCTAATAGGTTTTGAGTAGGAAAATGAAATGCAAGGTTCGTCATCAAGTCAAGGAAATTTCAGAAACTGCATTATGAAGATTTTCGAAGCTGTCTGTGAAGTACGAATCGAGGCATATCTCTTATTGGTCTCTACAAGGGGGATTAGAACGATCAAAGCAATCTCGATGCAGTCACCGAGCTTTCGGGTGACCACCTCACCCTTGGTGAGTTCAATTCCGCCTCGAAACAGCTGAATCAATTCGCTGCTCTCCTTGACTTCCATAACAGTACATCGAACCGACTGCACTTGACATTGCTTTGAGGGGTACTTATCTGTTGGTCGAGAAGAGTACAGTGCGAAGCACAAGATGTCATTCATTCCAAGAGGCGGACAATGAGCAACTTGTTCGAAATGTACATATAAATATGAGTTGATCAAGATTCTGTTAAGAGCATAGAAAGGAAGCCATGCATGTGCTCCGATGAAGTTGACACCCTGCATGTCGTCACCGCAGCCGAGGTGAGATCTCGAAGCTACCCCACACTCCGAAAACCATCTTCCATCAGCACCATCGGACCTCTACTTCACAACTCCGACGATGAGAAAGTGAAAGTCAACGAGGAGTACGTTCAGACAAATAGCAATCGAATGGGAAAAGCTTCCTTACCAAGCTCAACCTATGCTCCGTCGCTCAATCGTGTAGATCTTGCCCAACCACATCGACTCGAGACAGTAGGAGAACAGCACAATGATCTCTTCCTTGCAACCCTCACGGCCTAGAGTAAGGAACCCTCAAACCACGGTCCTGTCATCATCCTTACACAGAACGGGAGCTAATTATTCATATCAGTACCCTCCTCAGTCTATTCCCCCATCTCTAAACCAACAGCCCACACGCTCCCATTCCTCTACGCCATCAAAACCCACACCCATATACACGCCCCCGGCTCCAAGAACCCAAATCGAAGCCATGCTACCCAGTCCATTACCCACAAGTCCACTACAAGCCAGACAAGTGCTTTTAGATGCAGCTAAACGACACCCTGTTTTCTTCACAGATCGGTTAAAGAAGGCGCCTCTGGGCGTCAACACCGGAGGTGGAAGTTGGGTCAGTCCGGTTGCGATGGGATATGTGTTTAATGATGGAGCGAGGAGAGCAGAAGGAGGTGTAAAGTTGTAATTGTGATTAAGAGGCGATGGCGCAAGATATTGAGGCCCTGCGACATCCTAGTTTGTTGATGTGATTGTATGAGATTCGATTAGGGATACTCAAGAGAGTTGTACTATAGGGAGCATATTGCTGAAGGTGGAACTGGGGAAATGCATTCGTAGAGGGACGTTATGCAGTTTCGGGATTACCCTCAGCATCAAGGAATAGAACATAGTAGAGTGCCGATTCAAGGCCATAACATGTTACAATGTCCCCACCATAAAATACCATCGCCTCCCATCCAAACTCCCTTGGTATAATGTGAGTTTGTTATCCTACAACTCGGCAAGCTGACACCACCACCAACCGAGGCCCCAGTATAACTCGTAACTTGAATACCCATATTTTGAATAGCGATGCCCTGATTTTTTAAGACTGCTCTTAGTTCTCTGCCACACCTCACTTCCCAATGCATTTCGACCAGCCAGGCAACCCACATCCAAATCCAACGAATAGGTAGACTAAGAAAATGATGACCAGAACGAGCAAAGCCATCAACTTGACGTTCTTGAACCACATCTGCCGCCTCAGAGTCCTACTTCTGACTCGGAAATCGTGTGCGCTGCCTCCCAATCGATCCGTCTTGTCAACCAGCAAGTCAATCCTCTCGCCTCTCTCCAACAAGCTCTCAATATTCTGGCTCATGATCCCCCTAACGTTATCTATCTCTCCCTGAACATTGCTGATCGCATCTTGTTGGCCAGCCTTGGTAGTTCCATAATCGACCATCAACTTCTTCAATTCCGTGTTGAAGCTGCCAGCGCCATAGTTCGGGAGACTTGCAAAGTCGGTACTCTCAGGCGGATACTGGGCCAAGAATCGCTTCTTGATTTCGAAGAGGAAGCCAAAAGGCACCCGTCGACCGAGAGAAGAGTCCGCGACTACGAGGTAGGTGAGTCCGCCTGCGGAGGAGGATTGGAGCGCATATTCTGAAGGGGCATCGGCGATGTAGTGAATGAAATTGTTGTTGTGAGTGTAGGTCAGCTTTTGCGCCGTTGTGTGGGCAATCTTGGGGAGCACAAGAGAGGCTAGGGATGAGGTTTGAGAAGAGGCAGAAGTCGTATGCTCGGTGAGAATGGTTGTGTTGTGAGCGATGCAGGCACTGAGGAGGTTAGTTTTGACATGGCAGCCAGTAAGTAGGGAGTGACAGACTAGAGAAGAGGAGTGGGAGGTGTCGATGAGGACGCCATCTTTGTGAATTTCCAAACGAACTCGCGCGATGTGGATTGTTCTGGTTGTTGTTGGATGTTTGGCCTGTCATGGCAAAGTTGGTTTGACCATGACGCGGGAGGCTGCAGTTTCCATCGGCGGGACGGAGCGGAAGTTTTGCAGTTCCGCCGCCGAAGCTAACCTTGAACGTTCTCGGGGACTTTTTTTCTGAAAACAATCGAAGCATACCATTCCTCACCATCAACCATAGTAATGCCATTGGCCATACGGAAAGGTGGGCAATGTGCGTTCTGTGCATTCAGAACTTCAGAATGGTTGGCACCATCTTGTTGGCAGCCCGTTCAACAGCAGAATGGAGCCAGACCATACTCCAGGACGGCTTTTGACAGAGTGAGTTCAGCCCTGAGTTCAGTGCAACACATCGCTGACTTTAAATTATAGCCTCTGTCGAGTAGCCCACCAAGAAACAAAAGATCTCTCACTAAAGGCCGCCTACCCTCATGCTCACAGCCACCGCACGATTTTCAAGGGGGAAGGCTGATGCCGCGGAGCGCATTGCGAGTTCCCCCAGAACAAGCGGCGCTTGGAACCTACAACCTTTTCCCACGAATAGAGACGGCATATGGTGTATTCGGGAAGCTTCTGATAGAACAAGTCGCTCTCCTTAGAAAAAGACTCCAAAATCGAGAGCATCGTCTTGTCGCCGCTTGGGGAATAACATCGAACCAGGAACTGGAGAGAAAACTCACAAGTTTCGGAGAGAGCATCGAAGAATGCACCCGGCATGCGGAAAATGGCGTTGTCAGTAAGGCGGACAACCCGCTCTTCTATCGACTTCGCCAGGCATTCGTGCTTGGAAACGTCAAGGAGTTGGTTTCGGAAATGAAATATGCATTCATTAACTACGTTGTCTCTTCCGGCTTCACCACACAAGACAAGGCGAATCAGGAAAAATTAGCAGATCTCCGATATCCAATAGAGTGGTTTCCAGCGACCAGAGCTATCCAGCGGACAGTCCATCTCCATGTTGGGCCCACCAACTCGGGCAAGACCTACCATGCGCTACAAAAACTGGAGGCAGCAGCGACAGGTGTATATGCTGGACCTTTAAGATTACTGGCACATGAAGTGTACTCAAGGTTCAATGCCAAGGGTAAGCCCTGTGCCCTTGTCACAGGTGAAGAAAGACGGGTACCTGAAGGCATGACCCATCTCATGAGTAGTTGCACTGTGGAGATGGTTCCTCTCAATGCTGTAATGGACGTAGCTGTCATCGACGAGATTCAAATGATGTCCGACGCAGAACGAGGATGGGCTTGGACACAAGCTTTCCTAGGCGTCCAGGCCAAGGAGGTCCACCTTTGCGGCGAACTGCGAACCATCCAACTTGTCACAGATCTTTGTAAAGCGCTGGGTGACAAGCTCGTGATCCACCGATACGAACGACTCAGCCCGCTGAAAACGGAAAAGAAAAGTCTTAAAGGCGACTTGAGACGGCTTGAAAAAGGGGATGCAGTAATTCTCTTCTCACGGGTTGCCATTCATGCTATGAAAGCGGATATTGAAAAGACCACTGGAAAGCGATGTGCTGTCGTATACGGATCTCTCCCGCCGGAAACCCGCGCCCAGCAAGCTGCTCTCTTCAATGACCCCAACAACGATTATGACTTTCTCGTCGCCAGCGATGCAGTCGGAATGGGGTTGAATTTGAGTATCAAGCGTGTCATATTTGAAGCAACGTCAAAACATGATGGCATTGGTTTCCGACTTATCAAGACATCAGAAATCAAGCAAATCGCTGGAAGAGCAGGTAGATACAAGACTGCGAGTGATGCAATGAAAAAGGATACCTTGGAGGTCGCAGGTGAGGAACTTATGAAAGTTGATGAGGAGAAGAAGAAGCCGGTCAAAAACATAGGCCTTGTTACCACCCTCGAGAATTTTGACTTGCCGATCGTCAAAAGGGCAATGGAAACAGAGGTTGAGCCCCTAAAGACAGCAGGGATATTTCCACCAGCGAACATTCTCCTTCGCTTTGCCAACTACTTCCCACCAAAGACGCCTTTCAGTTACATCGTCCTTCGGCTCCACGAGATCTCTTCTCTTCACCCAAGCTTTCACCTGTGCCGCCTGAAGGAACAGATTGAAGTTGCCGATCTCATCCAACCGTACAACCTTACGAACATGGATCGAATTGTCTTCATGAGTGCTCCGGTTGCGATAAGGGAAGCTGGTTTCTCGGACGTCATCACAGAGTTCGCAGATTGTGTCGCAAAGCAGACAGGTGGTGAGCTTCTAGACCTCCAATCCCTCGATTTAGAGCTGTTGGAGATGGACATCCATGCACACCCTCAAGGTAGCAAAGGCTACTTGAAGGAATCAGAAGCTCTGCACAAAGCGCTGACGCTCTATCTCTGGTTGAGTTATCGCTTTGCAGGGATTTTCAGAAGCCAGGCCCTCGCATTCCATGTGAAGGGTTTGGTGGAAGAGAAGATTGATCAATGCTTGGGAGAAGTGCACTGGGATGCAGCTAGGAGGAAGCAGCTCACCAGACTCAGGCAGAAGGCTGTGGAGGAGCAGGTTATTGAGATGGAAGCGGCGGAAGACTTGGGGGAGGATCCTGATTCGGCAGTTGAGGGAAGAACGCCGAGAGAGAAGGATGGGTCGGATGCAGACGAGGCTTTCGAGGACCAAGCTACCGAGATGACCAGTGAGGGTGCTGATCGTGAAGTACTTTCTGGGGCAAACGTCTCAATCCCTCCACCTTCTGAAGGAGCGAAGTACGATTCCGCTAATGTGTGATTACGATTAGGAGGCTGTGAATATGTAACATAGTAAGCGGGCACGGCGTTTTGACATAGGGAACCTCTATTTTGACGCAAAGGGAGATGGCAGGTGTACGACAGGTTTCGAAATGTAGCATATGGTACTACTAGTTAGTATACTTGAAAAAGTAATGGATTCATTACTCTCTTCATCTTGTCATTTGTATTGCCCCTAATCCTCTCTGCAATTCTCTCTCTGTATAAGACCTCGCTTCTCTTGAACATAGAACCTCTAGGACCCTCAGTGGGTCCCTTACAAATCCTATGGAAAGGATTTTTCAAGTCGCTCCCCCTTCAATGCACAGCTTTGAAGGTGGGTATTCGTGTGTGGCACTGTGGCTCCTCATTATTCGTCCAGACCTATCAATCCTCACTTTGAGTTTGTAAAGCATAAGTGCCCACGCTGGCCTACACTCAGCCCCTTTCTCAAAGCTTGTTGTGCCCAAAAACTCCTTATTTGAGTTTATCAAGGCAGGCGTGAATTCAGAGAGGCACGTGATCAATGGATCTGCTATGCTTCATATTATTCTCAGCATCTCCAGACCCATCTATTGCAAATACAATTCTATACATGAGTTATCCTACATCTTTTCAAGATGTAAGTTATACCCAGCTCACAGTCTCAGATCCGAAAATCTCTCCTTGCCCCTTTTCACGAACCTCACAGGCACTGGATCGCCCTCCATCTTCAACGTAAAGGTCATCTGACTCCCCCTGATCAACGCCCACGCCCTCTTCTGCGCCTCCCCATAAACATCCCTCTTTTGTTGCAGCGTCATTTCCTCCACCTGCTCATCACTCGCCCACGCGCTCACATCCAACTCGACACTATACTGCTTGAATACCAACGACAACACAGCCGTGACTTCAACCTCGGCAAATCGTCGGCCAGGACAAGCTCGCGGTCCCTCAGAAAACGGCATGTATGCTCCCTTGACCGGACGAAACAAGGAGCCGTGCACTTCAAATGAAGCGACCTCCATACCATCTACCTGCTGTTCCGTCGTTTCTCCCTCGCCACTTTTCGGGTCTTTCTGCAGCCAGCGCTCTGGTACAAAATCATCGAGGTCGTCGTCACAATCAGTGATTTTGGAAGGACCGTATGGATAATACCTCCTGCTTCGATGAAGAGTGGAATTCTCCAAATGAACGAAGGTACCATTCCCAGGGATGGAGATTGTCCTCCCATCAACCTTGACCTGTTTTGGGCCACCACGGTTGATCTTGGGGATATGGGGGACGGGCGGTATAAGACGAATGGTCTCATGAAGCACGCCGCCAACCATGCTGTTGAACAGGTTGCGCATGTCAACTTGATACGACCAAGACGAAGCCGGCCGATCTCCAATTTTTTCGTCGATATCTGACTGAAGATGCCTTTGGGAAGCGAGGTTTATGGCCAGGAAGAGAAACGAAAAATGGAGGACGTTGGCTGTCGTTTCGTGGCCTGCAAACATAATGACGAATGTATTGCCCGTGATCTCTTCCTCGCTGAGACCCTCATCCTGGGAGACACCCTTTCCCTCCGCCTTGGATCGCTCTGCATCATCTGATGCCTTGACGAGGGGGGCTATTAATGTGAGGAACTCGAATTTTTTCTGGAAATAGGGGAACTAACCTATGAGATCCGTTGCGTCCTGCTCGAAACCCAATCTTCTGTAGTTTCTTTTCTGCTCGATGAGCTCCTTGAGATAAAACAGACAGTCATCACGCGCCGCAATCAGCTTCTGATGGATCTTGAAGGGAGATTTCTCTACAGACATGTTAATGGTGTCTGATTCTGGATGGTGCATCGCTTACGGAGAACCCATTCTGGGAAAACACTGAACCAAGCAATTTGAAGTCCTGTAGTGTAAACCAGTGCTTCCTTGAACGTGAGCTTGTGGCCCTCAGCTGGTCGTTTCGTATTGAGTCCGGCCATTTTCTTGTCTCCCAAAATCGATTCATCTTCATGGGGCCAGATCTGTGGAATACCGAAGCCAGCACCACAAATAATATGCAGGGCAAGCGTAGCTGTATCTGATGCCGTATTTTCGACTTTCAGTTCCTCGATGCTGCTTCCTCCTTTACTTGCCCAGTACTCCAACATACTTTGCCCCTGCTTCAAGCCGAGTTCCCAAACGCGAGCATTGTTCCGTTCAGTAAATCCAGGCGAGATGATCTTGCGCTGCCGCCGCCAATCAGGACCATCACTCGTAAGAGCATTTCGACCAAAGACATTGACAATGGTATATATTTCAACGGGCTTCTCAAACTCAGCACGGCGGTTTGCTACTTGAGTGTTTATCTCGGCGTTCATCGACTCAAAATGAAAGCTGGATGGGGACACCGTAGCGTAAAAGTCGCCAAGGCTACCAAGATGGGTGCGAAGGAAAGTCCAATGATTGAAAGCGTTCATGAATCTGTCATAGGTCAAAATGGTGCTCTTTGATGTGCCATATGTTAGTACACATACTTCGGCCAAATCCATTTATGTGTGAACGGGAAAAGCTTGAGAAATGGAAGCAAAATAAGTTCGACCAGCGCTGAGCGGGCCACCCCGACTTCATTGAAGGCTTGAAACCCATCAGCATAATGTCGCACTTGGCCTCGTGACTAGAGCTTACGGAGTACAACATATGGCAGTCCCCAACATTTGACAAGAGCTATATTCCGACGCAGAGAAATGATGTTGTTGACCACTGTGTACAAAAGATAGCTTATAATTGCGAGGAAGATGTAGAAGAGCATCTTGAGCTGCAAAGTGAATGTGAGATTGGATTGGCATTTGAGGGATGAGTAAAGGATCTTTGACTGATTATTGTAGTGCTCCAACTGTCCCGACCAACATGGAGATCCCGCCCCTTGTCATGTCAGAAGTATCTAAGCCTGCAGTTACGATACCCAATCACTTCTCGCCTTGAGCAAAGCACATGCAAGGGGCCCACTTTTATATTGAACTGTGTCGAGAACAGAAGCAGGACTAATAAAAAGGTCTATCGCACTTACTGAACGGAGTAGGACGGCCGCCCTATAATAGCGTATAATGATAAGAAATATAACTATGAGTAGCTTTATCTTAACTGCTTATATTTTACTATTAAACTAAAAAGAGATAAGCAGTTTTATTTTACTTTATTTAGCGAGCGCAGGCGAACAAGCTACTGTTTCAGCTGGTTTGGTCGCTGCCTTCCGCAGCCGACTTGCCAAAATTTCGTGCTTCTCTAACGAGGGTATCCCTCGTCCGGTAGAGACTGTGCAGGCGTACTTTTGCTTATAAACTTATTAGTCATCTATATCTTTTCGCCCTGAGCTAGGTCCCAAGGGGTACCACACCTTTTTAAGGCATATCCCCTGTAAGCACAGGGGAAGGTTCGCTAAGGTACCCTATATAAAATGTGGTTACGTGACGAAGTTACGGGCACTACCATTTTCCCCTGTGATGTGTACAGGGTTATACGTGACCAAATTTCATGTGACGGACCTCGGGTGTCAATTAGGAAAATCGATAACACTCTCACACGTTATTATTATACTACTATTTATAATAATGCTGCTCTCCTGCTTTATTCCTCCTAGATTCTCACGCAGGTTTATAATAAGACCTGAGACCACTTGCCCAGTACGGGTTTTCCCGCTACAATAAATAAACCACGCATCGAAGACACCGAACCTATCAAATGAAATCCACGTGTCTCAAACCTCTCTAAAGGAGCTAGCCTAGACGAGAGGGGTAAAAGGCCCCCCCTATATATAGTCTCCATAATCACCTTCATAGCTTTACAATAACGTCTACTTTGACCAACTGACAAGACCCCTTGACCCGAACTCCAAACTTTGGTTAATATCCCAATCTAGCTTAGTGTATAGTAAGTCTTTAGTGTACCATTCCTCCAAATTCAAGGTTCCCGTGTTCTGAGGATGATGTACTAGCATTTTGAGAGGAAATTCCCGGACTAGTGTAAATGGACGGTCACTCACGAGAACCTCTAGTCAACCAGATTTTTGGGATACTCTAATGACGATTTGATCAAAATCTCCAACCATGAGGTTTTAAAAAGAAAATTGCCCAAGCACGAGACAAATTAACAATCAAGTGCATCGTTTGACAATGAGCCACGTGAATCGCAATGTATCCTCATAAGACTGGGTAGCAGCCTTCAACTCCTAAATCATTTATTAGCCCATTCGTTGTGTGCTGTTTTAATGGAATGGGGCGTTGCTTGGTCAAGCCTAGGTCTCGCTTGGATCCGCTATATAAGTGGCAAAGCACGGCCTAGACCATTTTCTTCTTACTGACTTCTTACCTGCGATTGCGAGAAATCTTCATTGTCACTATAAAGAGTTGTGTGATATCGCAGCGTTCACTTTTAATTTGGTTGCAATGGACTTCTTCACGAACGTATTTTCCTGGTTAGGATTACTAGCCCCTCCTCCCCGTCCCAACGCACTTGAGTTCTCCACTCTAAGCAAACTTCCAACGGAAATCATTCTCCAAATTTCTCGTCTTTTGCCTCCAGAGTCGGCGGCAAGTTTCTCCATCTGTTGCAGGCCGATATATTTCGCGCTCGAGACCCAGTATCTAGAGGATCTGAGGCCGATGGAAGGGTCTCCTGGGTTACATCGCGAGCGCCTCCTGAAATTATTAGAAGCAGATCTTCCTGACCATATCATTTGTGGTTTTTGCAAAAAGCTCCATGCAATAAACAAAGCTCGCCGGTATCTGCACTCAAACAGCGATTACTTTAATCACTTGAAGTGCTGGAAGGTGGACTACGAGTCATTTACCAGCTTCTTTATTCACAGAGAGTTCTCATCGTCGATCTTCGAAATGACGATGAAGCGGTATCGACAAGGGTCGGAATACTCCGACCTTCTCGACCTCCTGTCGTTGAAAGCTATAACTCACTGCCGTATCGGCTACGTGGAGCAACAGACAGCTGCCGCAAAGCTCATCGATGGGAGCCTCATTATTCGGGAGCAGAAAATATTCATGATACCAGCAACACAACCAATTCCATTTCCATGGGATGCAAACTTCGTAATCTGCCGCCATATCAGTTTCCTCACCATCAAGCACTTGAATCGTTATCTGAGAGACATTCGAGTTCCGGATTGGAAAATACAGAAGGGCTACTTGAATGGAGAACGAGTGATGCGATGCAGATATTGTCGATCGGAATATCAGATCGATTTCAAGCAGTTTGGTAGACATGGAAACGCAATGTACGTTACCAAATGGCTTGATCTAGGCCAAAGTCCGTTGGAGTACAACTATCGGAGCCACCTGCGTAACGCTGATGCTTTGTCTGGGCGGCGGATCGAGTTTGATTCTGGGTCCATTTGTGCTGCGTTTGAAGGGAGAGGGCAGTTTGACTTCGACAGTGATGCTGTCATAAATTCGAAAGATAGAAAAGCGCTGTTCAAGAAGAGCCCGTTTAGCTGGCCCGACCATTTGTAGCTCCTTCGTAGCTTCCAAATTGAGAACTCACCAGCACCTTCCTCACTGTGACTTACTTGTTAGTTCAGACTAAAGTTATAGTCTCGTCTGCTCTTTTGCTTTCTTCTCTTCTTTCTGTCGCCGTAATCATGCCTTCTTTGACCGATTGCGCTGGCTTCGGCATTGGACTATTCGTAGTCCTGCATCTGATCGCCTTCATAAGGCCTCATGGGTGGGTGAGTAGACGTCTTCATCCCTCCTTCACAGCTCGTCTCGATATTGCGGATAGGAATCTCCTCCTTCGACAGACATTGGTGTTGGAGGAACTTGTCGAGCTTGAGAGGGTTCGGCAACGGCAGCCGGATCCCCTTGGGGATCTTGAGCTGGTTACAACCGTTCGCCACAGCCCTCGTCGAACCTGAGCTAATTCTTCTATAGATGGGCTTCGGGGACCAGCCCTGTGAATGGTCCCTGGCCCTGATGACAGACTCTTCTGTTTAGAGAAGACTCTCGAGGGGTCGGCCAGCAAAGTCGAACTCCCACCTGTCCGTGGTGCTGGCTACGAACCTTCAGCTTCGTCTGGAGAGCCAACGGGAGTCGCATTCATCCAAGTAAGTACTGCAACCTCATTTTGGTTTGATGCCAGACTGCTTCTTTGGGTCAGCATACAGGCACACAGCTTTCATAGACATGGACATGGACATCAACTCCCATCCCAGATCAACTCTCCTCGAAAACATCCGACACCTCGTCTCCAAAACGCCAACGAACCTGCCTTCGCTCTCGTAGCCCATCAAATACCAAAGCGATATCAAACACAGATAACACCTTCTTCAACCTCGTCACCTCACCATCAATCTTCCTCCTCTTGCATACCACCAACACCTCGACCGATCATAACCTATAGATGTAGACGGCCGGGTAACATTACGAAAAGGGATACATATGTGAAATGGACTGTTCCCGTCTGGCGATATCCAAAAGCGGTCGAATATGATGGTAGGGCAGGTTATCCACCTCGCTGGCGCTGTAGATAGCATGATCCGTGCAAAACTTGGCAAGGTATACAGTCGATACGCTTTTCCCACGTCGATAATCCACAGCAATATAATCGTCTCAATTCCCCACCGCCTTTGTTTTGTGGAATTCTTCTCTTTCTACCAGCGGTGCGATCTGAATGATAATTTTCCTGTTCGTGGGTCTTGTGTTCGTGGACAAGTCTCGGCCTACCATTGTCCCCCTTTTGGTATTCCTCTTCTCTTCTGCTTCTGTCGCTTTCGTACCTGTCGATCATGGGGTTGTCTAAGGTAGTGCTACAGCAATCGTGGCTCTCGTGACAATTTGCATGGTAATATATTCCCCTTCTGTCATTTCTGACACTATGGGTGACTTGTCCTCGGATTCTCCTCCCGAGCTTTGCTCCGGGTTACCATATTTATTGATTCTCGTTGTTATTTCGTCGTCGCTATCTTTTGTCGTGATTGGCCGTAGTTTGATTTTCTTAATGCGGTGTCCACATTCTCCAATCATCACATCTTCTTCGTCCGAGCCGCTTTCCCTTTCTAGTTCTTTTGTCTGAGGCATTGTCCTCTGCTGATAGTGTTTCCGTTTTGTCTGTTCCTTGCAACGTAGCACAGAGTTGCATAGGTCCGTTGTAGCCTCCTCTCCCTTGGGCGGCCCTGGGGAATTGGGTTGTTAACCTCTGAAATATTGCAATAACTGCGTAGTGGTAAAGCGGTCATTTTCTGATGCGACTTCGAAGAGTCGGCCAATCACAATAGCCAATTGAAACTGCAGAATCATTGTGCCACTATGCTGTTCGCGTGTCTCCGGTCGGCAGCGAAGAATGCGGCCTTACTTTCTTGATTCTATCGGAAAGGAGGTAGTCTTTAACAGAGAGGTGAGCAAGCCGAATGGCCCATGTATCCTCGGGATGACTGAAGTCGTATTCGGAGTTTGTTGGCGTTCTTTTGTACTTCGTCAAGACTGAATGTTGTACTTTGGTGACTAGAGTGGAACACAAGAGCAGGACGTCGAGTGAATCGAGGAGCTTTCTTTCTGGGTCGTCATGAGGATAATCTCCAACACCGACTGCGAGAACTTCAGCGGCTTCTTGGACGCTAACTGGTCAGGCAGCAAATAAGAGCTACTGGAGGATTCGAAGTGCATTTTGGCGATGACTTTGATCGATTCGGAGCAAGATCTGGTCGTACGTTTCATCCGATGTCCTTGGTAAGGTTTCGAGCTGTTTTTTTATTAAAAAAAACCATTGACTGTAAGGCACCGTTTCAATGTGTCAAGCTGGCAAACAGCTTGACGAAACCTGGGGAAAGAATTCAGATCGAGTATCAACAAGGGTTGACGCTACTCACATGTCACCTGCTCCTTGCCTCAAAGTATTTTGTATCAAATGCCGGATATTTGATGGCCATTTTGCCAGACTGCGGTCCGTTTCACGCGTATGCGAAATATATAGGAATATGTCTCTATCAATGAGTGACTCGTCGATTGAGATGATCGCTGTCGTTAATGCGGCCAGCGTTTCTACAATTTCGGGAAGAAGACGACTCGTCACCATGATATGCAAATGGCCCACATGCCATTATTGCATAGCAATGAGGATTTCGAGCATTTCATTCAGATCAATGCATTCACCCAAAGCATCGACAGCCTAATAGACAGTGCTAATTTCAAGAAGCATTTCGGAAATGACAGCGAGTAGATCAGCCATTCGTGACTAAAAAGCGCCACTTTCGTATTGTACAAACGTCTTCTCAGAGAATAAGGTGCGCTTACCATTTAAGCACTGAGTTGTGCAATGAGAGACCGAATCAAAGATTCCGATTTGCTGTTTTCACTGTCATTGAAATCGAAGTAGACATAGGAAAGTGCAGCACCTGGCAACTGTTGGGACCTCACTGACAAGTTGTCGATGATTTTAGAACTAACACATGAACGGCCGTGTTGCAGAAGCAGGGATCAAAATTCACTACAGTATGGTCTTTCTACATCCGGCTTTCGGAAAAGTTAGCAAGACATTAGGTGGGATGTGAGAAGTAAGGGAAGAGAGGCCGAAAAGACTCACGGATTCCATGAATCCACAGGAATGAGCTCGGAGACTGAGACCATTCATTGAACTTGCTTCCATTCAGACACAATTGTCCCGTGACTGAATAGCACTTTTTCCTCGCAGTGGCATGACACGAAACAGAGTTTGGTGCCGCAAGCCATCTATATATCTTTTCTTGCTGAGTGCCTGGTTATGTGGAATCAGCTATAAAGCATTCAAGCCAGGACTGGGAACAGACTTGAAATACTTTCAGAGACTTGTTGAGACTGAGCTTCAATCCCTTCCTGTATTGCGGTGGTCGCTTTCCTAGTCCCACGATCAGCTTAGACTAAGGATACTTCAAAGCAGGCTACATTTGATCCGCTGCAAGAGCAAGTTGAGTTGTAGTCTTGGTGCTGTTGAGATCTTGAAGTATCTTAATCATCTCTTGTTCTTTCAATGGCCGAAAAATTGCCACTCTTGCAGCCTTCCAGCCATCTTTCGGCCCCAACTTTTGGGCCAAGTTGTTCAAGCACACCTCGCGCCTTTCCAGAGGACCACCAGCCTCTGCAAGTTTTCCCAAGGCCGATCCCCGGGAAGTCTTTTCTTCTCCACCAGCTTCCAAAAGTAGAAAAATGGAATCAATCCCAGTACGTAGACTATTCAATTCGTTGATGATACGACTGGCATCTTTTGCTGCGTTCTTCGAGCGGCTGCGATAATCGTATAAAGCATTGATGATGGCACCACTAATTTGCAATATAGCAATGGCGCTTGCCGTGAGGCTTAACGGGTCCGTGGTCAAATGCTTGTCAAGACTTGACAAAATTGTTTGCTTGAGCTTGGAACGATAGAAGGACGTGTGTGAGGCGGGAAGCCTTGCACCAGGAGGCCCAAGCGAGCTCAGCCCAATCACATGTGCCTCATTGCTGGTGCACTTGATCGAGTGTGCACACTTTGTTCACAATATTAAAATGACAGTTCTGACAGAAGTGCTGACTCTACGAAGCAGATCATCCACAATCTCATTTTAAATTGATATTTTTTTTTAATTCTTCTTGGATGGAGCGGAAAGCTTTTGAGGGGCTCGGCTCAACCAGATAGCCTAACCACAATGTACCTCCTCCTTGCTTTCTATCTTACCTGGTATTGTCATTCAAGGTAGGGAAGGTTATGGATTTCCTCTTTTCAAGTAGAAAAATAAGTATATTTAAATTACCCGGCAAATTTTCTCATGTAGAGTTGGACTTTGGTCATTGAGCTTTGCCAACCGTCCACAACGAGGATTTCAGGGCCCGGACGGCCAAAGGATCCTCAAGTCCCAGGGTTTTCGCTTTGTTCGGTTCTTTCTAGGGCTTCGTTGTGGTGGAAACAAAACTGTAAGAGAGGCAAAAGTCAAACTATTGTTTGGTTCTTGAGAGGAAAGGGCTGATATTTCTGTTAGCCACAATATTCAAGTATTATTTGAATTTCTTTACATTCGAACCCTTGCTACTTTCGTAAAGAGAAATCTCAGTCAAGCTGCCTTGACAAAGAACTTATAAATAAGATCTAATAACCCACATCTATTGAACCCCAAGAACCAGGTTTTACGCCTAGATTGCCACAGGATATCGTACCCTAGACCAGGACAGCGGAGCTAAAAGTGGAACATCACATATTTTAAGTTGTATTTTCGCAACCACTTCAAATTATGTATACGGTAACAATCAAGGACCGTTGGGAGACAGAATTTATTTGTTACAGCATTCATAATCATGCAATTCATGGAATGCAGTAACTGGCATCGTAGGAAGTATGAATCGTGACACTCGCTTAAGGCCAAGTCCACGTTCTCATTGCCCCTTTCTGCCAAAGCCCTCTCGAATCCTTGAAACTTCGAGATCCTCAGTAACATCTGTTGTCATGCTTTTCTCCCATCCACAAAAGAGATAAAAAACACTCAAGGAAGCCTTCGCACTTTTGTTGTTTATTTTCGGATAGAATTAACTTTTGAAGGAGACCCAGGAAACACCCCTGCGCTGAAAGCAACCGCTCAGAGCTCGTACTTTTTGATATAATGATACAGTTGGAGAGACATCTCTCTATATCCAATCGTACACACATATATAATACTGTACATTCTTGTAACATTCAAATAAGCCAGCGCTTGCCGGACCTTGGACATTTCCAGTCATAACTTCAGCTACTTCTCCTTCTCTGCCACATCAGAAACCGAAATTTCAGTCTCCCCACCCTCCCCAGACTTAGGCTCAACCCACGGCCCAATTCCCTCCCCCTTAAAGATCTTCTTCCCACCCACTCCCAAACCCCTAATCCTCGCCCTCTTTCCCCCCATCCACCGACAAATAGTCTTCTTCCCCCCAAGCAACGTCCGATCCATCTGACGTGTCGCCCTGGTCGCCTCTCTCGAATTCGCAAACGAGACAAACGCATACCCTCTCCTCTTCCCATCAGCAGCAACTGCAATATGCACCTTCAGCTTCTCGCTCTTTCCTTTAAAAAGCTCGAGTAAATCCTCCGCTGTAACATCATCGGAGAGTTGTTCGACCTTGACTAAACGCCTGGGATCATTTATCCCCGCCAATTCTCGGTCTTTCTCTTCCAACGCCTCTTCCATCTCCCTCCATCTGTGTTCGTCTTCTTCCTCTTCGGGCTCCATATCATCCATCTCTAGCTGGTTATATATATGTTTGCTCGTCTCGGATATTGTACCGGTAGGCTGCCACCTGCGAGATCCCTCCATACGGTGTTTCGGTCTAGGTTCAAATGCTAAGCAGGTTGCGATAGCATACTCCCCGTCATGACTGATGCTAATCTTCGCCTCTTTTCCTTCTTCCCAATTGCCTGATTCTGGCAGGATAACGGCTAGAGGGGGCTGAGAGCCTTCTAAGGGGTCGCTGCTGGGCGGTCGGTGGATGGCGATGGAGTGGTATGTGAGTTTGCGGTTATGGTGAGCTTTGATAGCTGCTTCTTTAGCGGCGAATCTGTTCACAAGAAAAATATCAGTCCTGTATCCTTATTTTGTAGGGGGGGAGAGAATCCAGTGTAGTACATACCGACCAGCCAGAAACTCCGCCGCTTTCCACAACCCTTCTGCAGCAGTCTCCAATTCCTTCTCATGGTCATCCAGTAACCTAATCATAATATCCGCATCATCCAGCCTCTTCTGCTTCTTCTGCGCGGGTGTCTCTTCCTCCTTCTTAACTTCCGATCCCTCTTTCTTGTCCACCACTTCTTTCCTTGCTTCCTCACTAGACGTCGCAGTCTCCTCCCCTCCAAAAACGACAGTAGACTCCTCACCCTCTTCTCCACCCATCCCAGCATGTTCCCTCGCCAGCACCGCCTCCTCCCCATCCACAAACTCCTTTTCACCCTCCTCTAAATGCAATTTCCTCTCCGCTTCCTCCTCAGCCCTGATCTCCCTCTCAAGTTCCCTCCTCAACTCCTCCCGAATCGCAAACCGAATCTTCTTCCCCCCCTTCCCTCCCTTTCCCTTCCCCTTTCCACCCTCCGCCTCGTCCCCGTCCACCTCCCCCATAAAATACGCCCCCAACCCACCCGCCTGCGCCTTCAACTTATACCTCCGCTTATTCAACTCCCTAACCGTGAGCCCTAGTTCCCTCCTCTTCCACTCCAGCACACTCGACACCCGTCCCGCTAACCTCCATCTCTGAAGCGGCCCATCGCACCTCTCCAACCCCTCATGTCTTTCCCGTTCAATTAGCACTCTTCGCACGAAGCGGCGCCCGTTGCTGCCTTTGAGGATGCCGAAGATGCGGTCGATGGAGCAGATGTCTGTGCCAACGTTGAAGGGGAAAGGGAAGGGCCGGGGCATCATTATCGATTTCGTTTGCGTGGGTGCATTGTTCACAGGAAGAGGAGGAGAGGGAGGAAAGGGGACAAGGCTGATGCAACTTTTTTGGGGGGAGCTTGGGCCACTTCACGGGGGTTGTAGCACGCTAATAGAAGGGGGTTGCGGGGTAGTTAAGGCGCACTTCACTTCTCACTTCCCACGGTTCACGGTTCTTCGTTCTTTACATGGAAGCATGCATTCTCTAACGCCTTTTTTCGACTTTTGTGATACGCACACCGAGAAACCCATGCACCAGCTGACTCCACTACCTCTGAAGCAAGGAGAAAAAGAACTCTGCCCCAAACCACAAACAGAGCGGAGTGGTATCGCCGTTTCAGAAATCATGAATCGAAGTCCATCACTGCAAGCAAATCATGTTCGCCACCAATGCAGCTCTCGTTCCATTACCCATTCGAGAAATGCCAGCCAATCCATTTGAGCTCATCGCTGACTGGCCGTGTTTGCCCTCTACGCGTCATCCAACAGCGGAGCTCTCTCCTGGTCTGCTGGGACAACATTCTGCTCCCGTCTGAAAGAGAATTCCTTGCCGAAAACGCCTGGGAGCGCAATGCCAAGTGTGGCGATGAACAGGACTCCCATGATGACGAAAGCGAAGATCCACTGGAAGGCGATGGTCTTCGTCAAGAATTGGCCGACGCCGAGAGAAGCAGTCAGGATGCTGAGTTCGAAGCCCATGGTGTAATCCTGTGTCATGTGAGTAATTGAAAGCTGTACGGTCAAGGACAACAAACCTTGTAGACAGCGAGGAAGAACAGGCCATAAACAAGAATACCCCAGATGGCAATGTTGGCCAGGATACGAGCTGCCAATGTCGCGTGGTGGTGATTGAAGACAATAGCACCATTCCAGTACAAAGCCACGAAGGTCCAGGCAAGAGGACCTGAGACAGCTCCGATGTGGATAAGTCGAGGATGTGTGTTGTGGCGGAAATAGAGGGCGGTTAAGTTGAAGAAATTGACGATCAAGATAACCTGAGCCCAAGCAAAGTGACCCCGAACGAAGAGCATGACGAAGGCAAACTGCAAGAGGTTGTTGAAGATGAAGTGGCTTCCTACACCAGCGGCAGCTTGGACATGCTCACTCTTGTTCGAGAATAGATGCCAGAGGTACGCGATCTGAAGCAGGAAGAGGGCGAGCCTGGAGGGAATCAGCACGCATTGAAGGATAGTTGGGAGCAATCTCCTACCAGTAGAGGGAGGCGATGAGGGCATTCAAAGCAAACGGGGTTGGGAAGGCCGCATTATGTCCCCAAATGGTGTTTCTCCAGTGCTTCCTGTCATCCATGGGCATGGCGAAGGTGTAGTATACACTGGACAGCACGGTGAGAAGCCATGTTATGACGGTAAGCACCTTGTACGTCCAAACCGCTTGGACGCTATGGGACTCGTGTCTCGCGAAGGGGTTTGCTTCGAATACGTTAGCTGTGCTATTCTCAGGTTCAGAGTGGTTTCTTACCGTCGGAGAGGGGCATTCTGGAGTATGCGGACTTGAATCTCTGGTAAGAAGTTCCAGGTCAAGCCTTGCGGACGGGTTGTGGATCGTTGATGGTTTTCAAGGACCTGGATGGGAACGGAGAGAAACGAGGCTGGCGAGTCACAGGAGTTGAAAGCAATTCCTTTGTGTTTGTTGAAGAAGAAGAGAAGGGAAGAGAAGAGACGAGAGAAGAACGGAGAAAGTGAAAGTGGAAGTGGAAGTAGAAGAGAGAATCTCCTGCAGTGTCAGAGGAGAAACAGGCAATTCAAGGGCATGGCAGTTTCCCGATTCATCTGTGACGTACCCAATAGCAAGGCCACGAGCAAATCCGACCCAAATTCGACTGGCCACAACCCCGAATGCTCCCACCCGCAGGCCCCTCCAGCCATCCAGCTCTGACCCCGCGACACTTGCAAGATCCTATCAAATATTGAAATTTTCACACCTGCAACATGGGAGCACCGCACTTCCTGGACACACGCGTTTCGGGTGGCGCTGGTGCAGTTCAATTGGAAGCTGCGATGGAGGGGTTGGCTGCAAGTGGAAGTGCGGGGAAAGAGCCTGGTCAGATGCCCGCGCGGATCTTTGGACATTCCCATGGCCTGCATAAGAAGGCATTCTGTGAGTAATGGCGCGCGTTGCTGGTCGGGCGATACTTCGACTTCATCCACGGCTTTTGTTGATCGGATGAAACGAGTCTCTCGCTGCTTCCTGTGCTCCCAAGACCCCTATTCTCGTGGGTAAGGGTCGCACGCCAGTCCATGAACTGAGAACAGGACTAGGCCGGCGTTCTCAAGTCTGCAGCTTAGACAGGTCCCAAGGAACCGGGTATGGGTGTGGATCGACGAATTGTACTAAGCCGGAGGTACACACAGGCACACGAAGGGACGTCATACAATGCTGTGTCGAGAGAAGGAGCACATAATTTGGAAGAATAAGACACTGGTTATCCACTTGCCATCTTCCAAGCTGCAAGTTGTACAGAGCTTCGGGGGAGGAAGTTTGGGGACCAGCAAAATTCGAGGATTCCTCGACTGCATCACGTCATGCATCACTGAAACGCCTCTCCTCCCCAGCCACCTGTGCCACACATGGCCGAAGCCGAGCCGCGTGCTCCTGCTCGCAGCCTGCCCACTGTGGTTCATCACTGATACCGACATCCATACGCCTCTTACATTGTAATCAACCAACCAAGTCAATATGAAGCTCTCCACCGTGTCCCTTCTTGCTCTGTCCGCCGCTGCAGTCAATGCCAGGTTCGTTGAGCAGCACGAGACCAACCAGGTCGTCCTCGCAGATGTCGAAGAGCAGTTGTATTTAATAGAGCTCGCGCCTGGAAAGACCCAATGGGTGACGGAAGAGGAGAAGTGGGAGCTGCGCAGGGCAAGCAAAGCTCAAGAGTGAGGATCTCCATATGCTGACAATAACTCCTAGAATGGCCAGAACTTTATGGACATTACCGCCACCCAGCAACTTGGTCAGTTGATGTCAACACAGGCAAAGAAGGAGCCCAAGTTCCCAGCAAAGCCTACCCTCCAGAAAGACCTGGCGCCGATGATCAAAAACCTGTCGAAGGACAAGATGAAAGAGAATCTCGAAAAGTTCACCTCCTTCCACACGCGATACTACAAGTCCGACTACGGCAAACAATCATCAGAGTGGCTGTTGAAGAAGGTCCAATCAATTATCGAGGACTCAGGTGCGGACAAATACGGGGTGCATGCTGAGCATTTCAAGCATCCTTGGGGCCAGAACTCCGTTATTGCTACAGTTCCAGGATTGGAAAATAGCACGGTGGTTGTGGGAGCACACCAGGACAGCATCAACCTGTTCCTCCCCTCCATTTTCTCTGCGCCGGGCGCGGACGACGATGGTAGCGGAACAGTAACCATCCTCGAAGCCTTCAGGGTTCTGCTTTCATCGAAGGATGTTATCAAGGGCAAGGCCCAAAATACAGTCGAGTTCCACTGGTATTCCGCGGAGGAAGGTGGATTATTAGGTAGTCAAGCCATTTTCTCGGAATACGAGAAGACTGGCCGGGATGTCAAAGCTATGCTACAGCAAGATATGACTGGTTACGTGCAGGGAACCTTGGATGCAGGCAAGGAAGAGAGCGTGGGAGTCATCACCGATTTCGTGAACCCCGCTTTGACTGAATTTATCAAGGAAATTGTGACAGAGGTATGTCTTCCACCACTCACACTTTAATCCGTTACTAATTCCTCTTCAGTACTGTGAGATCCCGTACATTGAGACAAAATGTGGATATGCATGCTCTGATCACGCTTCGGCCTCAAAGGCGGGATATCCCTCTGCTTTTGTCATCGAATCCGATTTTGCGGACTCGGATAAGAAGATCCACACTTCTGATGATACGATCAAGTATCTCAGCTTTGATCACATGCTTCAACATGCGAGATTGACTCTGGGTCTTGTATATGAGTTAGCCTTTGCTAAGTTGTGAGATATGTGTTGATGAGAGAAACGAATCGATGGGAACATATTGTAACACTTACTATAAGACACCAGCTTCACAGTCGGCGTGAGGGTTGACAGCTACCATAGTCATGAGAATAGTGTATATGAGATTCAGAGCTTCAGCCAGACAATAAACAATATTTGCAATTTAATACTTGATACGTCAGTAGCAACTCACATGTTCCAGCCGGAGCTAGTAGATTGCAAGCTTGTATGTCTTGAAATTCGATTGTGTAAGTGCTCTATTCTCAATGACTATGCATCTGAGATCCCACCAGTAAAGCATCTCATTCTTGAAAACTCATTTGCGGTGACTAACTTGGCTGTTCAAATTACCCCTCAGCCCGCAAGACAGTTCGAGTCACTCATGATGCCTGCACGATGTTTCGGGCGCTATTCCGATTGGCCCTCAACGCAAGCTCCAGCTCTATTCCGATTACGCATCGACCTTATCGGAGCATGGGTCCCCATGAATCCCATCCATCCCCTTCAACACCTCAGCATCAATCCCCTCACTTCCATCTCTTCAGGCAAGAGATTCACTCTTTAATTCCCTTTTCCTCATCCCTTCCTTCTCTTTCAATCCAATTTCCCATCCCCATCCAAGAAGTTGAGCACCGCAATCATGGCCATTTACTCCAATGTCCCGCCTCCCTCCCAACAACCCGCGCAAGCAACAGTAGAAATCGAGGCCTGGACCGCCACGGCCCTACAAGCCCTCAAAATCTCCCCCTCCGTGCATGGCACCGGCGCAACTCTCTCCATCCCCCTCGACTCTGACGAGACCCGCAAGGCTACCTTTTATAAACCGCGCAAAGAGCCTCTGAAGCGCGATAGCCAGAAGCGACGCGAGGCGCTGCTGAAAGGCAAAGAGGGAAGTCGGCGACGACAGAGATGGGAGAATGGTGAGTTGTGTCTTACGCGGGATAGGAATTGCAGGCTGGCTAATGAAGTCTTGGCAAGATCGTCTCCTCCACGTCCCAAACGCACAACCTCCCCTCCCCTCAGACTGGGAAGTGCACCCCACGTACCCGGTCCACACCGTCCCCTATTACCTCGCCCCTCTCTGGGACGCAGGGGTCCGTCATCGCGCGGAGGAGATCGCTGAAGAGAAGAAGCGTCTCACTTCCAAGCGCTCCGGCGTCGAGGAGCAGAAAGGCCGTGTCCCGCAAGAACTGAGGCAGAAGTTGAAGAAGAGTAAGGGTGCTAAATCTCTGCTTCAGGAGCTGGAAGAGGAGGTGAGGGCTTTTGTCAAGGAGTTTGAGAGGAGGGAACAGGAGAAGGACGGTAGGGGTGAGGAGGTAGAGATGGATAGTGAAGATGAAGAGATCGTTTTCGTAGGCAGGAACGGCGTGATGAGTGATGAACAAAGGAAGACTGTGGAAGAGGAGCTTGAGCGCGAGAAGATGATCTTCGATGCGTTGGAGGGGGACAAGGGGGCTAGTTTTGGGCGGTGGCTGGTGCATAGTATTGCGGCCTATTATGGGTTGAGTTCCAGGAGCGTGACGGTGGGGAATCCGAGGAGGAGGGAGGCGTATGTAGGGATCCGGGAGATGAATGCTGGGAGACGGCTTTCTGATGTGAGTGGTGAGTTACCGAGGCCGCTGTGGGGGATGATTTGAGGGCTTTGCAGGAAGGAGCTCGTTGGCTATCAGTGCCGTGAGCTTGTACCTGCTTGGCTATTTGTTCTGTTGGTGGTTTGGTTTTCTAATTCGATGTTTGAACTATTTTTGCCGTATATTTTGTCTGAACTTCTGATCTTCTTTGTACCAGATGTTTTGATAGAGCATAGAGCATACAAATAGACAGATTTCTCTATTACACAATTCAATACAATTTCATACTATGCTCTGTTCCTATCTCGTTTCGACTTTAGCGAGCCCCTGAGCTCGCTTTCTGAGACATCGGAAACTTAGAAAGGTGTACTATTGGACAATCGGTTGAACAGTTTGACCCAGATTATTAGGCCAGACTCAAGAGAAACGGATACCATCATTACTGTGCAGTTGATATTGGGAAAGTCCCATACCGGATCCGAAAGCGAGTTGGGACGAAATCAATATGCAAACGCAGAGATTATGAAACTGTAGGAGGAGAAGTGAGAGAGAGAAACAAGTTCTATAAGCAGATACCAGATGCTGATTATACTTTCTTCCCCAATTTTCAAACTTGCTTTCAAGAGGCTAAGAACCAAGACTTGGCAGGTCAAGAAAGAAACGTGGAGCAGATCGAACATACATACAGATCAACTCACACCAGGAGCATTTCTCCTTCACCCTTCACTTCCCATCACCTGGACAATCTCAATGCCCCAAAACTTCCTCGAATGTCGAATTCGATGTGCAATGAAAGTCTAGGGGGCGTATACTTTATTCACTTGAAAAGTAAAGCAGGCCGGTGAGAAAGTAAAGGCAAAGGCGAGCCGGCGACAGAGAGATACGATGTGCAACGAAAGTCTAGGAGTTTTACACTTTATTCACTTGAAAGTGAAGGCAAGCTATTTCGATAACAAAACAAAGACAAAGGCGAGCCGGCGACAGAGAGGTACGATGTGCAACAATACCGATTGCTCTTCCCTCCACTGGCTTGAGTCCCCTCCTCTTGCACATTCCTTTGACAATCTTATAGGTCTATGTGATAAAAGTGTGGGCCAAAGCGGGCGCATATTCCGGACAAAGCTGGGCAGCTCGATGGAGCGATATTTTTCCTTCTTGTTGGACATTGGACTCTTTGAATGTCCCGAGTGGTACCTGCTGGAGTCTATCCATTCTCAAATCTTTGTACAGTGTATCAACAAATGAAAACACTTGCACAATTCCTCAACGCCGTGAATGCTTTCGTCCATGCCCATCATCGTACAGATCCCCATCTCACACCAAGACCAACCAATATCTCAGCCCTATTCATCATGCAGCAGCCTTCTTCGGCTTCTTCGTCCCATACTTGCTCCGGCTCGTCGCTCTATTCCCCACACCACCCAAATCCATCGCCCCCCTAACCAAATGATACCTCACACCGGGACAATCCTGACTCCTTCCCCCCCTAACCAGCACAACACTATGCTGCTGCACATTATGGCCCTCCCCGGGTATGTACGCAGTAACCACTCTGCCCGTACTCAGTCTCACTCTCGCCACTTTTCTTTCCGCGGAATTGGGTTTCTTGGGTTTGGTGGTCCCAACTTTGACGCAGACGCCTTTGAGTTCTGGGGCTAGGACGTCGCGGAGCGCGGGAGAGACGGCGTGGCGGGCGCGTTGCTGTTTGCGGCAGCCCTTAATTGAGGTGTCAGTATAGAATATAGATGTTGGGTTAGGGAGGGAGGAGGGGAGGAGGGACGGGGGAAGGTGAGGTACTTTTAGGACTTGGTTGTATGTTGCGAAGGGTGTGGGCGTTGAAGAGAATTGGCGTGTCAAAGAGGGCGTTGAGGCTGCTTTTGGGGCGGATATTGAGATTGGTATCCGGGCGGACGGTATTAAGAATCTCCTGAGCAGTGAGACGGCCATTGTGGTTATGGTCATCTGGTCGTGGAAAGCTTGATGTCTCCAAAAATTTGGCTCGTGAGCACACGTGACGGCCATTCTACCGAAATGTGGCTTTCGTACCAAATTACCATCGACCCCTCATTTCTGATTGCACAACTTGAACAATCAATGAATCGAAGCATTGAGATCTACAAGATTCAAATCTCGAAGTCCTGGGCCATCAGGTGAATGGAGAAGTCTCGGAATACGTCCCGTCTCCCACAAATTGATCCCCGAGATGGCCAACAAGCAAACATTCACGGACCTCTCATCCTCACACAACAATACTTACAGTAGAAACTCGCTATAACGATACCATTTTTAGCGCCATTTTCTTACGATATACCGAGGTATTATTCAATCAAGGATTACGTACATATATACTAAATATAGAAGGGACTAAAGATATATAAAGAACCTCTTAACCCTAACGCCTTACTACTTGCAAAGAACCTCCCGAGAACTCCAAATAAGCTTGCCTTATCTTTACTGCCTTTCTTTGGATATATATAGCTTTTATAGTATCAAGCTTACATATAATCTCACTTTATCCATCCTCCTATTACTTCTTATATAGATTTAGTAAATTAAGTATAGCTATCGCTTTAACTAACTTTACTTCCCTAATCTCCTCCTACTCCTCCTCCTCCTCTATATTAGACTAAGTATTCCTTAAACCTCCCTATATATAGTAATTCATAATTACCTCTAGAGTTATATTCTTATTCTCTATAATTTCCTTATTAATTAGTATAATAAACTAGCTAATAGGAAGAGGATTATTAAATTGAGTAGTATACTAAATAGTTAATTAGAGGATTTTAATTATCTCTCGATCCTTTACTTACTAAGTAGCCTATTTTAGATTAATTTTGCTATAGGTATCAAGATCTCTACTAAGGAGAGGTTTTATAATAAGGCTTAATTTATACTAGTAATTTGTAATTATAGAAGCTTTAATATAGTTATTCCAGGTATATACTATCCAGTTAATTATATAGAGGAGAGTAACTATCTTATTAGGATCCTTATCTACCTCAAATTACTTAATTATATAGCTAACCTACTACTTATAATAATAAAGCTTAAAGGTACTAATAATACCTTAATCTGCCGGTTACTAGTATAATATTATATTAGGAGGTAGCTATTCTACTCATATATATAAGAGAGCTTGTTTTCTACTAACGAGATTAATACTATATTAGTATTTTGAGAAGTTATCTATAAATAGAAGAATATACTAGCCTTAAATAGAGTACTTATAATTAACCTAGTAGAGGTATTCTATATAAATAATACCGGTTATCTACTTAGAGTTATTATACCTATATTATATACCCAAGAGTTATTAATTAATATACTTAAAATACCGAGGATTTTCGCTCTTTCTAATTAACTAAGGCTCTTACTTATTAGTACCCGTAATATTAATTATAAGAGCAAGAATAATTCGGTCTTTACTCTTTCTGCCTCTATTACTAGCCTTAGTTACTAATATATGGTTTAGTAATAGTTTCCAGAATAAACCAGTTTTATTTATATTTAAGATATTCTTAGGAGGATATATAGCTACCAAGTCTCGATTCTCTTATATTTGCTTAATATTCTCAGGGCTATTAATATCTGCCATACTCCCTTTACTATAGTAAATATATTCCTTAATATAGAAGTAATTCTTGAAGTTAGTTAACTACCTATTAGACCATTTAGGTTCTGGTTACTCGTAATATTAAAGGAGAAGGTACCAGATCTCGTATACCTTCTATTTAAAAATATTGCCCGTAATTACTGCCTTCTACCCTTATATCTTTTATTACTATTTAAAGAGTACCGCTTTAAGATCAGGCCAATTAGATTAGCTTAAATATTAAAGTATAAGGCTTATATCTTTTCGTATATTGGTATTGAGATAATTAAATTAAGGGCTAAGGCTAAGGGAAATAGTCGACTGGTTAATCTTGTAGTTAAACTCGTCCTGGAACTACTTAATAAGATTAGTATATATAGCTTTGGGATAGGATTATTTATACCTCCGTAGAGCTCGGCAATTAGCTTCTGTTATGCCTCTTCATCGTTTTTTAGGCTATTCGGGGACTAGAGAGCCAGAGATAAGAGCCTAAGAGGAAGCGGATAGCCCTGAGGGCTCTGGAATATTAATAAATTAATCCATTACTCAGGCTAATTTAGAACGATATACCACCAAAAATCAAGGGTTGGGACCGAAGAACCTAACGATAATCGTATTACTAAGGATATCGTAAGCCTAAGGCTAAAAAAGCACGGGACCGTACGGCCGTATCGTATTACTAAGGATATCGCTATATCGGGGATCGTTATAGCGAGTTTCTACTGTATACTCTCCCTAATCTCGTATCCGGAAAGAGCTACGTGATCACAGTTGTCGTAGACAACAACGGACTAGACGAAAACTATAATATAGGTGGAGATAGCGTGAAATCCCCCTGCGGAATCCTCAACTATAAGCTCAGCGGATACTCCTAATCAGACGTCGCCTGGAAATTAACTGGAAATTTCGGCGGAGAAGAATGCATCGATAAATCTCGCGGACCTTTGAACGAAGGCGGTCTTTATACTGAGCGTCAGGGATTCACGCAACCGTTTCCACTAATAAGAACTAGGTGCAAGGCGACCTGGAGACGGGAAGCCGTGCAGCGGGCATTGCTTTCTATCAGGCCGATTTCCCTCTGGACTTGCCGGATATGATATTCCACTATTGTTTAACTTTGGGAGTACGACGATCAATGGTGTTATTGCTGATTACAGAGCTCGGTTGTGGGTTAATGGGTCTCAATTGTAGATTCATCCCGAATCCAGTTTTGCTGTCCGGATCCTAACCACACTATATTAAGGCTGACATTTTCTAGTGGGAAATATATAATTAACATAGGACTTGAGTCTTCCTTCCCAGTTACGCAAGGTATGTCTTTATAGTCTTTTGGCTCCATTAACTTGCTCATGGATTCTTGACTATCTTGGTCAGAACTGGCTAGCTATAGAGTTATGGGCTCAACAATCCACAGGAGCTCACCTAATAAACTTCTCCCTCCAAGTCGTTATCGTAGCTTGGACTTCCGTGCCTCTACCGGCACTGGTCCTTATGCCAAGTTATAGCCAGAGATTAGGCGCTTACTGAAGAGTCTAGTCAATTGGGTATTCTCATTGTTCTACAAGTCTACTGTATATACGCTCTCGCCTAAAAATGGCGAATTACCAGAGTGGCGATGATGGTGACTATCGCTGCTCCCGTAGCAGCTCCCTCTAACGCAATAATCGTGACGTCTTTTTTCCGCAGTTCCATGACTTTGTCACTGAACAGATCTTGGACTGCTGCCATCCAAGTCTCTGGTCTCCTGAGCTTCATGAGCTCGGTGGGTATGTGCATCTCGGCTGTATCCAGCGAAGCAGCTTCAGCCAGTTGTCCTTCTCCTTCTCCTTCCCCCTTTATACAGGCTACAACCGCCTCAACAGCTGGCTCCGCACTCCCTGTCCCGCCCTCCATCTCGACCTCCAATTCCTGAATGCCAGCCGTAATCACCCCATCCAGTAGGACATCCTCAACATCCCTCTGGTCCTCTTCCGCCCCCTTCGAAGCCACCTTCTCCTTCTCCAAAGCCTCCCTAACCTTCTCTTCAAACCCATGCACCAACCGCCTCCTCCTCCACGGCTCAAATCCAAACTGAAACACCAAAAACAACAACACATTGACCCCCATCAGTCCCCAGGTCCCCCACGTACTCATCCTCCTGATCTTATCACTCCAAATCTGCTCCTCATGATACCTGCTCAAAATACTACTACTCAGCTTACTCGCCGCATGTTCCGCCTCCCTCTCCGCATCCGCAAGTCTCGTCGCAGCTTCCTGCACCGCCTGCTCATTACTATGATCCATCCTATACAGCGCCGTAAACCTCTCCAAATCACCCGGCGTCCAGCTATCCTTCCTCGCTAGCAGCGTCGTGACTTCTCTTTGCGTAGAAGCCCTATCTGCAACGGTCGTTTTGTATGTGAGTCGAGAGGAACGAACGGCTTCTTGAGCGGCTTGGACGCGCGATTCGAGCACATTGATGCGCGCTTTTAGGGCTTCAATGCCGGAGTAGCCAGTTAGATCGTTGATGCGTTGGGAGGCTATGAAGATGTTGCCTTGCAGGTGGTCCATGAGGGAGGAGAAGCGTTTGGTGACTGCGAGTCGACGCCCCTCCTCTGCAGAGGGGAGGGGCAGGTCCTGCGTGACTTCATCTGGGATGGAGGGCTCAGGTGCTTTCTGAGAATTCGAGGATGGAGTCTCCGCAGACCGGACAGAGGAAGTATTCGAGGGAGGAGGCGGTTTGGGTGAGTCGGCGAAGTGCCGTGTCTGGATGCGGATCCTGCATCCTAGACAGGTTGATGCTCTCGCCGAGCGTCGGTTAGGGATTCGTAGAGATCGTGAGACCGGAGATGAAGTAATTGAATCAAAGAAGAGCCTTGGGACAAACCGGGCCAGTGGCTGCATGGCCGCCCTTCTTTGGTCAACAATCGTACAGTTTATGTTGTTGGGATGAAGCTTTTTCGAGGTTGCAGCTCCAACGGAAAACTCCCGAAATGACGGCAGACCCCTTGACCGCTTTGGTGGGGCCTGAAAGGTACCAACTTCACCCCACCATCAATCTTTTTTCAACCATCTACATAGACCAATTTCTTCCCCAGTTGGTTGATGCATAACCTCTCCAGTTTATGGATTTGGTTAGACTCTATTTTCTCGTTAGTTTTCACTTCATCAAGTATGTATCCCCTATATCTGATCCATTAGCAATATCTCCTCGCCCAGACGACGCCCAGAATACCAGAGACGCCAAGCAAGCAAACGATGAGGCGGAGGACGCCCGGATCTGCTGGAGACACTCCCTATAACAGAGCACATATCTTCATTGAAGAAACTCGTTAGAACTGAAGCTAAATATTTCTCCAGAAACATACACACACTTCCATCAAAATGGGTTCCTACACTCTACCCGCAATGCAAACCAGTCCCCAATTCATCTTCTTCACCGACTTCGACGGCACAATTACGCAGAGCGATTCAAATGATTTCCTAACTGACAACCTAGGCTACGGCCAGGAGCTCCGAAAGCAAGGGAACCAAGATGTCTTGATGGATAAGATGTCCTTCCGAGACTCATTCCAATCCATGATGGAAAGTGTCAAAACTCCTTACGATCAATGCATAAAGACATTATTAGAGAACATCAAGCTCGATCCGCATTTCAAGGAGTTTCATGATTGGTGCAGGCAGAATAATGTCCCTGTTGTGGTGTTGAGTAGTGGTATGGAGCCCATTATTAGGGCGTTGCTGGTTCATCTTGTGGGGAAGGAGGCGGATGATATTCAGATTGTTGCGAATAATGTTGCGCCAAGAGAGGGAAAGAGTATCAACGAGCAGGGGGGCTGGCAGATTGTGTTCCATGATGATAGGTGAGTTGGTTTCATCTGAACTTTGGTTCAGGCGAAAGGAGGCTTTCGACTAATGAAAAATAGTCACTTTGGCCACGACAAGTCAATTGAGATCAGACAATACGCAAAACTTCCTGACAGCATACGACCAACTATGTTCTATGCTGGAGACGGAGTCTCAGATCTTTCAGCTGCTAAAGAGACAGATTTGTTGTTTGCAAAGAAGGGACATGGTAAGGCTTCCCTCAAGACAAGAACTGGGAACCGATTCTGACAACATCATAGATCTCGTCACATATTGTGTACGTGAAAACGTTCCTTTCACAGAGTTCGAGAGCTGGTTCTCGATTTTGGCTACTGTGAAGGATATCGTTGCCGGGAAGACTACAGTGAAGCAGGTTTCTGCTCAAGGAGTTGAGGACTTCAAGAAAGGAGTCGAAGTGAAACATTAGAAATGGTGACGTGTTGCATATAGACATAGACCAATTGACAGAGAGTTATCACCAGTTGTTCGTAGTTCCGCATATATCTCTTACGTGCAGAGTTCGCATGTCGATGTTACTCGGGCAGAGTATAGATTTAGACCGATTAAATCCACCCTCTGGAGGCTCCTCATCAAAGATACTTGCTCTGCCCTGATGCCATGCGAACTAGATGGATTGAAGAATAGCTCATATTCACGTAAGGGAACACTTCAAAAGTTTCGCCAGTTCCACAGTCTCGAACTTCTTGTAGACAAGAGCAATAAGAGATAGAATGTGTTTTAATCTCCTGGTTTAGTCCTTTTAATTTTAAATTCCGTTGTTCTATCAAGACATCAAAGTGTTATGAGTGCAAGTTGTATTCAGCTGAAAACCCATAGCTTTCCCTTGTAAGGTACATGCCCTTGACTTGATTCGCTGCACCACCCTTGCATAACGCAGAGCCCCACGAAAATCTGACTAGGATTCTAATCCATTGAATCCAATAGGCATTGAAAGTCGTGTAAGATAAACACTGTTTCGAATTATTCAGTATAAGGAAAGTCTTTTTGAACTACGGAGCACCGTTGACTGATGGAAAGGTGAAAATTGCTGGTCCAGCCTCGTTGAATACGAGCCCTTCCGTAAAGCCACAACAGGACTGAATGGGGACATGCTGGACGAGGGTTGTCGTGATCAAATACGCTGTTTTAGAGAGCAGAAACCAGCGTGGTTGCCAGATACAAAATGTTCCCCCCAATAAGGTTGGCGCGGACTCCAAACGGCCTTGAGCATGTTGAAAGCCTTGAATCCATCTGAGAATAAGGTTGACTGGTACATTTCGTGTCTTTGTTACTCGAAGGCTCGCTCGAGATTTTAGAACCCTTTCCGCCAGCCACGCTATGACAGCCATTGTCACAATAAAGAAGATCCGTAAATAAGGCGGACATGGCTCGCAGATATGATAGTTAGAATCATGACGAAGAGCTGATGAAAGTCCGAGATCAAAAAGACAAATATGAGAGCAGATTGGCTGACCAAAAGCTTGGAGCATCCAGATGAGATGAAAGTGCTGGTGAGAGATTCCTCATAAAACGTTTCCCTCGGAAGGCTGAGTGTAACCTTGACTTCACAGCCGGGTTTCCTGTGAGCCCTGGCTTCGCTATCATCTGCCCTAGGCAATAAAGATGGCAAAGGTGACGATTGAAGTGTCCGCGGTGGTCGAAGGACATGTCTTTGACATTCTCGAACAATACTAACAAAGCTAGACGCTAGAGACATGACTGGCTGGAAAGCAGGTGACGTAGCTTCACAGGCTATCACGACACTCGTATAGACAAGATAACCGAAAAGAAAACCCTGAGATGCGTGGCAGGCTGCGGGATGGAAAGAAACATCGAGTCCCCCAGAGCGGCTGAGATAATGCCGGACCCTATTCCACAGTTCGTTCCGATGGGGTGGAGGACCCAGCGAGTCTCTTCGTACTTCAGCAGCCACTTCCCCATCTCCGGGAGTCCGTGAAAGACTACCTGCTGAATATCTCGTAGCCTGATAGAGCGCTCGTTGTTTGGCGAAAGGTCCTGGATCCCACTACCAAATATCAGGTATTCACATAAATACCCACTCGGGCAAGCTGATTGAATTCATCCCCCCGCTACTTGAGATCTTATTTGGCAAATTGAAATCGTAGCTTTGGTCCTTCCCAGACTCCCGTGATATTTTTGGGCGGAAACATCGGGCGAGGTTTGAATTTTGAAGCAGGTGAAGCTCGACGGAAGCTCCAGCCAATCAGACCACTCGCGGAACCCATTACACTATGGTCTTCCGAATCCCTGCGAAGAACCTCAAAACTCAGCTCACAACTCCTCCTCGTCCCAATTCCTCCACCACGACCCTCTTCACAATGGCCTCCCTAACCCGCAGCTCCCGTACACTCCTACGGACGCTCCCACGGTCCTCAATCGCTCCCCTCCCTCTCCGTGCGCTCTCCACCTCATCCACGAAACGCGATGCAACCACAAGCTCTTTCGACTCGCCATTCAAGGGTATGGGCGGCGACACCGCATCCAAGATCCCCGATTTCTCCCACTACAGGAGTAAGCAAGGCTCGAACAGCAATCTTGTGTTTCAGTACTTCATGGTCGGGACGATGGGTGCGTTGACGGCTGCGGGGGCAAAGGCTACAGTGCAAGGTATGTAGATTTCGCGCAATGGTGGTTGTGGCTCTGGAGGTGCAGGAGGGCATTAAGTGATGGGAATTGGTATTCGGGGCTCAATTGGTGCATATGGCTGATGTTCAATGTTCCGCAGATTTCCTGGTCAATATGTCCGCATCCGCAGATGTGCTCGCCATGGCCAAAGTCGAAGTCGATCTCTCCACAATCCCCGAAGGCAAGAACGTATGTTACAAATTGGTCAATGAATAGAACAAGATGCTGATAACACTAGGTCATTGTCAAATGGCGTGGCAAGCCCGTTTTCATCCGCCACCGAACAGCAGATGAGATCAAGGAGGCCGAGAGCGTCAAAGTCGAGACATTGCGGGATCCCCAGAGGGATGAGGATCGTGTTAAGAAGCCTGAGTGGTTGATTATGGTTGGTATGTGCTCAATCCTGTTTCCCCTTCTCTTGCCAACAATATCTAATTGGGGAACCAGGTGTCTGCACACATCTAGGTTGTGTACCGATCGGTGAAGCGGGGGATTTCGGAGGATGGTTCTGTCCCTGCCACGGCTCTCACTATGACATTTCTGGCCGTGTACGAAAGGGCCCGGCTCCACTGAACCTCGAGATCCCAGAATATGACTTCCCCGAAGACGGAGCGCTGATCATTGGTTAGGGATGGGAATTTGTGTGTAAAGTTGGAGGGGCTTTCTTTTGTTGGTGGGGAGCTAGGTTAGACGTGGTGGGATCTGTGGCCTTGTAGAAGGAGAGGAGATCAGAGATACTGTTTGTACAAAAGAGAGCCTAAAGCATTCTGAAAGATTGAATAGGTGTAGGTTGAGTGATTTTGACGGCAAACAAGGTAAATTACAAATCTTCCATAAGAGATGCTGAAGGATGATCAGTGATCACTCTTGGATTATACTCTGGTCTCGGTCTTCACTACCAGCAGCTAAGTTCGATGCTCGAAGATGATATGGAACATTCACCATCAATGCTTTACATATCTATTCCGTAATATTACAGCATCGCTTGTCATCGCTCTTCAATGTCCATGTCCATCATCTTGTTCGCCTCTCTGCTCCGGATCCAGCTTAATCAATGTATCTATCCTCATAATCGAAATACAAGCCTCAACAGCCGACTTCAACTGTCTAATCTTGCTCATACTTGGCTCCAAAACGCCAGCCTTGATCTCATCCACCACCTTTCCTTTCGTCAAATCGAGACCATAGTTCTTGTAGTTCTTCTTCTTCGCAATGGTCTTCTCGTCTTCATTGGCGTCTCCTTCCTGGATTCGTTGGGATAGAGCGTGTCTGGAACGAAGTTGGGCAACGAGTTCGGAAGAATCTTTAGCTGCGTTGACGGCAAGGGTCTTTGGGATGACGAGAAGTGCTTGAGCAAATTCGCCGATAGCAAGCTGCTCTCTTGACCCAACAGTGCCAGCGAATTCTTCCAAGTAGATGTGAAGAGCTGTCTCAACAGCACCGCCGCCTGGAACAATGCTACCACTCTCCAGCGTTCGCTTGACAGCACAGAGTGAGTCGTGAACTGATCTCTCCATCTCGTCAAGTTGATAATCGTTAGGCCCTCGGAGAATGATGGATGCTGAAGTATGTACTTTTGTACCTTTAACCAAGATACACTCATCGTCCGAAATCCTCTCTTGAGCAACTTCCTCAGCATGTCCCAATGAGGAAGCTTCAAACTTCTCGTCGCCATTGAGATCTGACAGCGAGCTGACCAGAGTGGCACCAGTCGCCTTGGCTATTCTTCGAAGATCCTCCTTTTTGCATCTTCGCACAGCCATAGCTCCATTCTCAATGAAGAGCTTCAGGCAGAGATCATCAATACCCTTAGTCGTGAGGACAACATTCGCACCAGCCTTCAGAATCATCTCCACGCGATCCATGACAATACCGGCTTCTCGTTGTCTGATTTGCTCCAGCTGCTGTGGGTCGTCAATGGTGATGTTTACACCAAGCTTCATTCTCTCCTTCTGCAGGTTCATGTCGAGAACAGCAATCTTCGCATCGGTAATCCTCGTCTTCATGGCCTGCGAAGCAACAGTGCAATTTAATGCATAACCCTTCACCAGAATTGACTCGAGGGCTCCCTTTCCGTGTGCCTTAAGGATGTTGACAGCCTTGACCGGATACTTCACTTCTTGTCTGTTGTTCGTCGATTTCACCGCCTGCATAGCATCCACGACCATATTTGCAAAGAAATCCGAGTCTGATCCGATGATTTTGCTGGACATGGAGGTTTTTGCGATGTTGATCAGGGATTCTCGGCCAAGATGGTCAACCTTGACGCTGATATTCTCGTGCATGTACTTGACAGCTTCGCGGAGAGCTAAACGGTAGCCAGTGATAATCGTAGTGGGGTGTATTCGGTTCTTCATGAGCTCGTTCGCTCTTCGGAGAAGCTCTGCTGCAATAATAACCACCGACGTCGTTCCATCACCAACCTCCTTGTCTTGTTGCTGTGCCAAGTCTACCAAAATCTTTCCTGCGGGGTGTTCGACATCGAGTAGACTGAGAATAGTTGCTCCATCGTTCGTAACCGTGACATCCTGGATAATGTTAGCAGCTTGACCAGAGCTCTGAACAGCGGCGAAGCTTACTCCTATGTCGTCCACCATCATTTTGTCCAAGCCGCTTGGACCGAAGGAGCTCTTGACGACATTTGCAATAGCCTGAGTCGCAAGAACTGTTTATGGATTTAGTTTGCTGCTTTTAGAAGCTCTTTGAAGGGCATACCATTCTGATCTCTAATGTCTGAACCGCTGATTTTTTGGCCGCCGAGGACTGCATCAGATTAGCTTTGTGAACTCATTTTAGCTTCGCAAATATTTTACACAGAGTTCCAGCATTTCTCGGTTGTTCGAAAAGGGATCCCATTTTGATGTGTTGACGTGGACTGCTGGTTGCTGTCTCCCAGGTTGAAGTTCTTAATATTTTTCGCGACGGCGACGCGTGAACCTCGAAAATTAGGCACATAGTCTGCTGGGTCGTACACCCCGAATTAAAAGAGCACGTGCCTTGCGGTAGACATAAAGTGTGAGCGAAAAATTTGGCTTAAGCCTCAGGCACATATTTCGCTTAATTATGGCGCTAAGGAGTATTTAGCCTCGCTCCCAAGCTTCTACGAGCTTCACGCTTCTCTTCTAGAATTAATTGTAGTTCTAGAAATCTCTTGTGTTCGTACGTGACGTGTGTAATACCCGGTAATTCGTCAACCTGGTACTTGGTTCACTTCTGCCTATTTGCCCTCTGGATCTTCAACAGTAATACTCTCCCCCCCCCCCCCCAAAATAAATGTAACAGTGGGTCCAAGTGCAGGGGTTTTTTGGTATGGCAACTGGACCGTGCCAGGCTGGTTTTGCGGGGACCCACTGTTAAAGAGGGTGGAAGCATCGGCTTGGACGCCTGTACGTGCAGCTATATGTCGGAGACGGGTATTGCTACAGTGAACGCACGTGCACACCCTGCTCTTAAACTTTTAGGTGTAAAAAGCCTCTATGGCAACAGCACGGCGACATATGATCTACGTACAGGCGTCCAAGCCGATGCTTCCACCCTCTTTACATTTAATTAGGGGGGGGAGAGTACTGTAGTGTACAAAGTCACTAAGCGAGGGCAACTGTGGTCATATGATCCAAATCACCTGGCATTCCTCCACTTCCAGACTCGTTTCTACTGACATAGAGTCAAATGTGCCATTTTCTTTAGGCTCAAACATCGGCGTCATCATTTCAATAAGGGCGTTGCCTGCTATAAGCGAGTGCTATGGCTTGTATTCCTCTAGCAGTTGCGCAGGGGTTTTTCCATTCAGATCCTTCACATCAGAGCGCGCTCCGTTACTCTCTAACAGCTTCATGGCGTCGACTTGGCCACCAGAAGCGGCGAAATGCATTGGCGTCCAGCTAGGATATAGGGGTTTATAGAATTGCGATAGAGTGTCTGCCGGATGTAGCTCGTTCGCGTCAGCGCCGTGCTGCATTAGGAGGCGCATGGTGTCGAGAGCGCCACGATTTGCAGCGGTATGTAATGCGCCAGAACAAGCGACGGAGACACCGTGCTTCAATAGCAATTCGGTCATGCGAGTACCTTCAGCCCTGGCGGCGAAAGACAGAAGAGACGAACCATAGCTCATAACTTTATCAGTACGTATCGGATTTGCACCATGCTGAAGAAGTACAACGACTACTTCGGTTTTCCTTCGCTTTATAGCTTGAACAAGTGGCAGATTGCCGTGACCGAGTGGAAAAGTGACGACTTTTGGGTCCATAGGTATCATTGCCTCGAATACAGCGGCGTGTCCATTATTAATGGCCCTATCGACTGCCCACCTCATTATAACAGACATAGGTTTTATGCCTTGCTGCGACGCGAAGCTGAGTAACGTCGAAACAGCTGCAGCGTGGCCGTCCCTAGCTGCTATAATTATTGCCCGTACGAGGTTCGACAGTGGCATCGCCATTACGGTTCGCACATGGTTCTTATCATCGATTGGGCGGTCTTGGTTATAAATGCAATGCGGCTCTTCAAGCGCAATCTTAATCCACTGTGGCTGCGAAAGCATGTTTCGTAGTGTTGTGTTGTCGCTCGAGGAGAGTGCCTCAATGAGAGGGAGGGCGGCGTCCTCGCCGATAAGTACGTCGAATACTTCTCTTGATGACTGGTAGTTGCCCGGGTAAGGTTTTAGGTCTGCCATGGTCAATTCCGCCATGACTACAGTGGAGGAGTTTGTGATGATAATGCTGGAGGTGCTTTGGTATTGGAAGTCGGAAACGTAGACGAGGGTTACGTAGTCGTGGTCGTGGTTGTGGTCGAGCGAAGGACTAGGTGTGAGTCTTGCAAAGGAATACAAATGCGAAGGTGATGTGCAGACTTTTGAGGAATATATATATCCTTACAGACGTCAGCTGCAGATTCACCTCTAAAAACAAGAAGAGTTTGGCGGGGCTATGTACCCTGAAACGTTCAATCAGCCTCAATGGATTGGACGGGGAGTGCCCCCACGGCGCAGCCACTCGACAACCAACACGATCCCTCTACGGCTGGATACGGCTGGATTTTAGGCGGTAACCTTAAGTAGTCAAAACACTCGAGCACCAGAACACCAAAACCACGAAATTCAAAACTTCTGGTGGGGGGGGGGGAGCTCCCTCGGAATAGCTTACTGCGATACGTGAAGAGCTCCCATTAATAGCAAGTACGAGTCTAAGTATGATTTTAGTGCAATTCTATACCTAATTTTAAGTAGCATGCGATTCGTAGTTTTGAATTTCGTGGTTTTGGTGTTCTGGTGCTCGAGTGTTTTGACCACTTACCGCCTAAAATCCTGCCCTAATCGCGTCCCATTACTTCATCCATTCGTACATACCTCACTGTTCGAGAAGATTACCAATAATAAACCTCGAGGCAACAAGGCTTGGACCAGTCATGTTGATGGAGCCCTTGCTTTTGTCAAGCTTCGTGGCTTTCAGCAGTTCCAAACCACCTCGGAATTTCATGTTCTGATACGCCTCATCAATCACTACATTGCCAGCAGTGTGACAAGCGCTGTCCAGGTTCCCCCATAATTGCTGGCAGTTCGAGATTATGTTGCAGAGAACCTAAATTATGAAGAACACACAATGCGAGCATCCGACCTGACCGTTGAATATGCGAAACTACGGAGCGAATTTCGGAGCGGTACCTTACCGAACGACGAGTACGTGACGGCGTCCAAGGAGCTTGATTTGAAATTGGAAGCACTCGACCTCGATATGCCACAAGCTTGGCACTACTCAACCACTCTGGTCGAATATAAATCGGACAGGGTCTTCGATCTTCGTTTGATTCCTATCCGCATCGAAACATGTTATGCACGGGATTTTCTCTGGGTTGGCGGGGTCCTTCTAAATGAAACGCTTATTGATGGCTATTTGGGGTCACCTGAAGGAGAAAAGTATAAGGCGTTGATGGGTGTAGCGCATGATTACATCGATACATTGGCGGGAGAAATATGCGCATCTGCACCTCAATATACCGACTGTGATGGCCTGGCTCGACAGAGATTACCTTCTTTTGAGAATTCGGAACTCAGGGATCATGGCTCAAGATGAGCCGCTCATTCTCATACCCTCCACCATCAAGCGGAGTGTTACTCGCTCATCTGGCCACTCTACGCCGCGGGAAGATCTATGGCTGGTCCAGACGTCAGGCCATGGGTGATCAAAAAATCATGTTACATGGGTAACCTTAGTCACTTTAATATTCGCAATGCGGAAGCCGTCGCCCAAACCCTTGAAGGAAAAACAGATGCCTGCCCATGGGATGTGTACGCCATGCTTGGGTCGTATGCGTTCAATGCGTGAGGATAGAATACGAGCATATATTTTTATGATATGTGAAGATTGTCTTGAGATTGCTGTTCTGGCATGTTGAAAGGCCATGATCGGGGGCTGGTCGACCTTCGATGTTCCAGAAGGTAAGTCAACTGTGGTGAACACCTCCTGTCAGGTCCTAATTTGTTTGCAGAGGGCCGAGGAGCAATCAAACTTTCTCTCCGAGGAACACACTGCAGGCCAGGCCAAATGGAACAACTGGTACCCTGGTATTAGCAGTTAGATCATCGCTTTTGTGTTTGATTTGAGAGCCTCGAAGCATTGCATACTTCCCTCCTTCCCTTGGGTTTGCATCGAGTCGGTCTCCTGTCATGATTTGGAGATCACATTCAAGTTAGGATTAGAAAATGGGATGAGAAATAGCTTGGATATTGTTCAATTCTGAGCCAAGGATTGATGTTCATCTGACACTGGACGTTCGGATGTTCCCAGTGTCAACGAGGTAGAGGAGAGTATTCGGCATGAAAAGGAGTTAGAAACCTCCAAAACGGGGGTCAAACATGAAAATTGCGCAATTAATAGAAATGATATCTCACGTGATCTATATTAATTTCAGATACGTCTTTGCATTCACTTTGTGATAGCTTCTCAAAATAACACCGACGAGGCTGGGAGCTATGCAAGGCTGAAATCTCGCTTCGGAGGAGCGCACGACCCATGCATGGCGGGGGAAATCAATTTAGAGTCACCTCCACGTTGACTCAACCTCAAGTCCCTTTCCTCCTCAATAAAACACGCTCCCGCATACATTGACACTTCAAACGCAAACATGGCGGACAACACAGGAGAAGCCTCCAAAAGCGCCCTCAAAAAGGCCGCAAAGCAAGAGCTAATGGCTGCACAAAAAGCAGCTAAAGCAGCAAAACAAGCAACCGTTGCCGTAGTGGGAGGAAAGAAAACAGACGACATAATCGGCATCACAGTCTCGAAAGCTGAGAATTTCTCAGGATGGTACCAAGAGGTTGTTCTCAAGGCGGAGATGATCGAATACTATAATGAGATCTCTGGCTTCTTCATTCTACGTCCGTCCTCGATGTACATCTGGAATACCATCCGCAAGTGGTTTCAAGAGCGCATTGAGGCTTTGGACGTCGAGGAGGCTAGTTTCCCTATGTTCTTGTCGTCAAAGTCTCTAGAGAAAGAGAAGGATCATGTTGAAGGTTTTGCTCCTGAGCTTGCTTGGGTCACAAAAGCGTTTGTTTTTGCCCCGCCATTGCGCCGATTAGATTCTGACTTGATATAGCGGAGACAAAGATCTCGAAGTCCCGGTCGCTGTTCGTCCTACCTCAGAAGCTGTCATGTACCCGTACTACTCGAAATGGATTCGAAGTCACCGAGATCTCCCACTGCGACTCAATCAATGGAACAGTGTCGTTCGGTGGGAGGCCAAGCAAACGACTCCTTTCTTACGAGCTAGAGAATTTTTATGGCAAGAAGGACATACCGCGCATTTAACTGAGGAATTGGCTGGTGAGGAGGTTCTGCAAATTCTCGAGCTGTACGCTGGTGTCTACGAGCAATTGCTTGCTGTCCCAGTTGTTCGGGGCCGCAAGACTGAAAAGGAGAAGTTTGCAGGAGGATACTACACCACCACAGTTGAAGGCTATATCCCCTCCAACGGCCGCGGCATCCAAGGTGCAACATCGCATTGCCTAGGCCAAAACTTCAGCAAGATGTTCGATATAACGGTCGAGGACCCTGCTCCCAAGGCTGGCGACAAGGCCAAGCACATCCATGTCTGGCAAAACTCCTGGGGTCTGTCTACACGAGTTATTGGCGTTATGGTCATGATCCACGGTGACGACAAAGGGCTCGTCCTTCCTCCGCGCATCTCCAAGCTCCAAGTTGTCATTATCCCCGTCGGCATCAACAAATCTACCACTCCCGAAGACAAAGCCAAGCACTACGACCAACTGCAAGAGCTGAAAGAAACCCTCAAAAAAGCTGGCGTGCGCGCTGACTACGATATCCGCGACGGGTACACCCCAGCCTGGAAGTTCAACGACTGGGAGCTGAAAGGCGTCCCCTTGCGTCTCGAGTACGGCCCCAAGGATGCTGCGAAATCCGTCGTGTCCTTCGCTCGTCGTGACACCGGTGAGAAAGGCACAATCTCCATCTCGGAGATCGGAACAGAGATCCCTACCCTGCTGGAAACTATCCAGAGCGATATGTACAACAAAGCTGAAGCCTCCTTCGCGGCCCACCGCATCGTGATCTCGAAGTGGGAGGAAGTGGTCCCTGCTTTGGACGCAAAGAACGTAGTCCTGATCCCGCATTGCTTGAAGGAGAAGTGCGAGGACAAGGTTAAGGATTTGACGACTGGGAAACAGGAGGACGCTGAGGCAGGAGAGATGAAAGCACCGAGTATGGGCATGAAGAGTCTTTGTATCCCGTTCAAGCAGCCTGAGAAGCCGAAACTTGTTAAGGGGGAGACGAAGTGCTTGAACCCTGAATGTGAGGCGTTTGCGGAGGCGTGGTGCATGTTCGGCAGGAGTTACTAGGCTTTGACAAAGAAGAAAAACGTTTCCTGGCCGTGAGTGAGATGAGGAGTGAATGGCTGTGATGATTATGAAGAGTTCATGAGTGAATTTCCTTGCTTGACGTTGATGAGCTATGTGGACTTGCATGCGTGGGAGTCGAGACTCCTACTTGGAGTTTACAACATTACGAGAGAAGACAAAAGGGCAATAAACCTGCTTTTCAAATACAACTGTCACAGATAAATGTCTCACAAACCTACTGCCAAGATTGGAAAGTATCAAGTGATCTATTAAGAGGGCTAATACGAAGAAAGACACCGCCCTATCCCGATGCCATCCGATCCATCTTAGAAGAGAAAAGAGAACCCTACACCACTCATTTCATGACTTTTGATCAATCATCAATCAATTCATCCATCATTCATTTCGGTGAAATGTAAAGCCATCACGGCATTAATCGTCCCCTTTGCCTCCTCTGCTGAAGTAACCCCCCCCCCCCCCCCCCCCCCCCCCCCCCCCCCCCCCCCAACTCCTCATGTCGGATGAACGAGAGACGAGAACTCCGATTTCATGCAGCGAACGTATGCTTTTGATTACCGGATGCAGGGGTAGTCCTATAATTGAAGGAAGATCGGTATGCAGCCGCTCAAATAAAGTCTGCAGAGTACGAGAAGCCGCGGAATTCTTCTTGCATAGCTTGAGAAAGCACTGGTGGACATATTAGCTTCATCATGCCAAGTGAAGCATGTGAAAAACTTACCAGATTGTACAGGTGTCAGAACAGGCGTCACGCTCGTAAATTCCGAGTCGAAATTGCTGGTATCGGTGGCACTCGTAATTTGGGGTTGGAATGGTGGTTGAATTCTCTTGTGATAGACATCGTCCCAGTTGATATTTCTGAAAAAGGGTTGGCTCATGATTTCTTGTGCGTCAGTTGGTCCACTTCCCAGGCGTTGATCAGGTTCTCTGGTCAAGAGCTTCTGGAGGATCGCGACCGAGTCTCGAGGCATGTGGATTGGGTATAACGGCTCATCGGCTAGAATAGCGTCGTAGATTTCATCTTCATCCTCTCCTCGGAATGGTGATTGCTGGAGAAGCATCTGGTAGATGAGGACACCGAACGCCCACCAGTCGACAGCTCGACCATACTTCTTGTCCAGTAAGATCTACGAGTGTAAGTTTAGGTCAATCTATCAATGCAGAGCGACTTACCTCAGGTGCCATGAACTCAGGGGTGCCACAGAAAGTACTTGTTGTTGAACCATACCACATATCTTCTTTGCAAAGACCGTAATCAGCAACTTTGATGTGTCCGTCCAACGTCAACATGATGTTGTCCAACTTCAGATCACGGTAAATAACACCATTTTCATGGAAATATTTCAATGCCAAGCAGACCTCAGCAGCATAAAATCTGGTTTGATTAGCAATAGAAATTCGTAATTATCGTAAGATCACTTACTGTGCTCGTTTTGTTCCAAATTGGCCACGCTGAATGTGCAACATAAGATCACCACCGCTGATATATTCCATAACGAAGTACACTCTTGTCTCGGTCTGGAAGCAGGCGTGCAGGTTGAGCAAGAAAGGATGGCGCTCCTTGTTAGCGATCAAGAGGACTCTCTTTTCTGATCTAATGCTCTCAACTTCGTCATTTTCGATAATAAACTCCTTCTTCAGCACCTTAATAGCATACAGCTGCTTCGTCTGTTTAGTCTCAGCAAGCATGACTTTACCAAAGTTACCTTTGCCCAGAACGGCCAGGAAGTTGAAGTGATCTAGACCGATGCGACGACCAGTGCCGGCTTCGTTGGCGGGAGGTGCTGTCTTTCGGGGAACAACAGCTGTTGAAGAAGGCGTCTGTGGTTCTGGCGCAGGAGTAGACATCTGATTCCCATACATTGCATTTGTCGGGGATGGCTGAGACGGCTGCACTTGTTGCGGTTGCGACATAGGCTGAGTTGGTGGATAACCACTCACCTGAGCATAAGCTGCAGGATTGTAGCTCGGTTGAGTGGGTGCTTGTGGCTTTGGAGGTGAGCCGTAGCTATCTTGAGATTCTCGACCATAGCCAGGAGCACCGGAAGGACGTCCTCCCCCATAGTCGGTAGGAGGTCCTCCATATTGATCTCTTTGTGATGGACTTCGAGGCCCGGCCATAGCCACGGACGCAGCTGCTGCTGCCGCTGCTGAAGAGGAAGATGTTCGATCAGGTCCAGCAGGGCGCTGGGGTGATATCTGGCCTTGGGCGGCATACATCACCTTAGCAGCTTCAGTTGCCTCCGAAGAAGGGGTAGTAGGTCCATAAGACTGGCTTCGTGGAGGCCGGGGTGCATCAGGGGGACCACCATATGTAGATGACTGCCCCTGCTCTATAGTTGAAGGAGGTTTAGTTGATTGTGGTCTCAACGTTCTTCCACTCATCGATGGCTGCGTAGTCTGCCGACGTTTTTGATTCCGGATACCGTCCAGGATCACATTTGCAACAGCCATTGACATTCCACAGAAATCCGGAACCAGGTGTACACATTGTGCGTGGCAAGTAAGACCACATTCTAGAAATTTTAGCTTAAGTGTACTTCTAAACAAAGATTGAAAACTTACCAGAACATTTCCGACAATTCTTCTTTCCAAAGGGCAGAATGTAACCACAGTGGCAACACCAATTTGCACTCATATTTGAGAACTTCTCGAAGCGATGAGGAATGCGATGGTTGATCTTCTCTTCGTCTGGGTCCGTCTCTGCGTTGGATTTGCTTATACATTTGGTAACAACGCTGGAATAGCATTTTGTGTGACAGGTGTATTTGCAATCCTCGCACTGCATGCCAGCAGAATATTTGAGAAAGTCCCCACACAACGCACAACGCATAATATTGTAGAATTGCTGAGACACGAACTTGTGACCGTACATCTCGTGCACTTCCTCTTTACGTTGTCTAATGGCACCTTTTCGGTTGAGACCAACATCGAATGGCCGGCGGTCCTTGGTCTGCTTGGTGAAACCTATTGTCAAATGGGCCGCACCGGTAGGTTCGAGTGCAAACCATGCATCGATTGGCTGGGGAGGAACGATACCAGCCCCTCCCATTTGATTGTTTGCTGGTTGTTGGGGTGGTAACCCGGCACTTCCAGGAGGTGGTCCGAATTGAGGAGTTGCGGGGTTCATGGGGAACTGTGGTGGAGGACCCCCACCATTTGCCATTCTGTCTGCAGAAACCCACCCAGAACTGTTGATCTCAGCCTCAATTTTCTTCCGTCGCATTTCTTCAACAATATCAGATATCCGAATCCATAGAAGACCAATCGGCAAGGGATGATCGCTGGGCTTGTCATAAACTGTCAGCTCGATCTCGTTTGCCTTTTCCACATTCAAGTTGTGGTACTCTGCTTCCCATCTATCGGTTCGTGACGCCTTCGTACGAGCTACGATATTGTCTTCAACCTTTACTGCCACAAAAGTCTCGGGTCCGCGAGCAAATCGACTTGTCGTTGCATGATCTACGTCCTTCACAGCTTGTATCCGAATCGACAGTTGACCGGTTAGAGGTTTTCGCATATTTGGTGTATTTATGCTGTCATCTGGAGAAATATTAGAACCCATTTCCTCTATGTATAAAATGAAACTTGCCATCTGGAGCATCGGCGGTGCTTTCCATATCGATGTGTAGATCCTCGTATCTCTTAAGAGCTTGCTTGAGAAGCTGGATCTTCTGCGTGCTTTCCACTTTCCGTCCAGCAGCATCTGCCTTGCTTTTTCGATCGCCTTCCATATTGTACAACTGAACCATTTTCTCGATCCCCTTGAGGTATTGCTTCTCGACATTGAGTTTAAATTCCAATTGCGATAACATGAGCTGGATTCGTGGGCCAAGATAGGGAGTGTCGTACTTGATGAGATCTGTAATCTGGTTAGAATATTCTTAAGCCTTTGGGACAATCACATACCAAGCTTTGTATAGTTTGGCCGGCTTCGAGGCATGCCCTGACCAGGCCCTGGGGGTGCATACGGGTGTCTTGGCGGCATCATGTCCCCGTGCCCACCAATCTGACTATATTCTGCTGTGCCATAACCCCCCCCAGCATTGGTATAGCCTCCTCTGGATTGATTGTTTCCTCTTCCCCCCATATCCTTTGGAGGCGGGGTAGGAGGGCCATCACTATCGTTGCGCAGTCCGGCACTGTGGGGTCTGCCAGGGGCTCCAGCACTGTTTGGATTCAAGTTCATGTCGTTGACGCCTTGGCCCATCCGCCGCATCTGCAGTTCCTGCATACGCTCTTCCAGATACTGGATGTTCCGACGGCCCTCGCGCATCTGCGTGTCTATCCTGGCTCTGACCTGCTCATTTTGGGTCTGCTGCCGCATCTGGTTCGCAGCATTGAGCAAAGCCCGCTCGCGCTCGATCTTCTTGTAGACCGAGCTGAGAGCATCATCGTCGCTGTTCATGATGGCGGTGGCCGGCGCGTCTCTCCACGCCGCGAGGTGTCTCTGTGTTTAGTCGTGGTACTCGGGGCTGGTCGAAGGGTGCTTGTTGATTTAAGGTTGGTTGGTTGCGAAGTGGGGTCGCTCGTTGGAGATGGAGAACTTGGCGAGGCGGCAACGGTCCTTTGCGCACATGCGATCAACACATGAGAAGAAGACGATGTGCGGGTTGGTCGTGCTTTGCGGCAGAGGTCAGCTCGTGTGCGTGTGAGGTGTCGAAATATTTCTCGCTGTGCTCTCTCCACACGTGAAGAACCCCTACGTAGAAGACTCAGCCACGCCTAGCCAGCTGGACCCACGGCGGTTGGAGGGAAGGAGGCGGTAGTTGCACGGAGGGGCGATAAGAGGGTGTCAAGAGAACTTTCGAGGAGTTTAGAAGGCGTGACACATTAGGACTCTTCTCCGGCCGCGTGCGCAAGACAAAGAAAGAGTCACCGGTCCTGCTGGTGGGATGAGGCTGAGTTGGGTTAGGCACAGGATCTGGAGTGATTCCACACTTGTTGACTGCGCGTGCTGCACGGTCAAAGGATGTGGATTCAAGGGCCAAGCAGGACTCCCAACTACTGGTGCGGTTGCAGAGCTGCCCGCACATCTGGCACGCCCACGCCTCACTGCCCTCCGCTCGTCTGTGCTCACAAAAAACAATCATCGTCATCGGCCGCCCCTCTCTCGGCCTTCTCCTCTCCCTCTCCCTCCCCCCCTTAGCACGCAGAACATATGTCCATATTGTATTACATGCATCTGCCACGTCTGGGAGGCCTTTGTAGCACGCGACTCGGCCAAGAAACCTACAGCTTGGAGAGGTCCAATCATCAACTCTCACTTGGTTCTTGAGCTTGATTTGGACCCGTCAATCTCGGGAGTCGCCGCCGGGTCCAAGTCAGACCAAGAAATCTCCGATACAGAAGATAGTCCTCTGTCACACAACACATCTCGTCATCTAATCAAAGCTTTCATTTCGGTGTGTCTAGGCCCTATGAGGTTGAGTACTGGCTCTTGAGCAGCTTCGCAATCGTCGTCAGCTGGATGTTGCTGGTGCCCTCATAAATAGCCCCTATCTTGCTGTCTCTCCACATCTTCTCTGCAATACCTTCTCTCACGAATCCCATACCTCCCATCCACTCAATAGCAAGGCCACTGACTCTCTGGGCAACCTGTGACGCATACAACTTCGCCATCGCGGCATCTTGTACAAAGTTTTCTCCAGCCTCCTTCTTTCTCGCCGCGTTAAACACCAACGCTCTCGCCGCCGCAATCTCAGTATATGACTGTGCAATCTGGTGTTGCATGCCCTGGAAATCGCCTACTAGTTGTCCAAACTGCTTTCGATCATTCCAGACATATCTAGATTTTTGTTAGCAGGCGAAATACTGATTTATAATCCAACGTACTTGGCAGCATTCTCAAAAGCCCCCAGGGCTAGACCAGTCATCTGAGCAGCGATGCCGATTCGACCTTCATTCAAGAGTCCAATGGCGTACTTGTAGCCATCTCCTTCTTTACCGAGCAGATTCTCTTCTGGGACTTCAACATCGTCGAAGTTGAGCACGCAAGTACTGCTGGCTTTGATGCCGAGCTTCTTCTCCTTCTTGGCTATTGAGAAACCCTTCATGCCCTTCTCGACAATAAACGCGGTGATTCCCTTGTAGCCTTTGCTGGGATCGAGGTTTGCGAACACAATGAAAAAGTCGGCCTCCATTGAGTTGGTGATCCACATTTTGCTTCCTGAGATCTTGTATCCAGAGTCCGTCTTTGTAGCTTTGGTAGCAAGGGCAAAGGCATCTGATCCCGAGATTGGTTCAGACAGACAGAAAGAGCCTAGAAAGTCAGAAACTATGCTTCAAACCTGCATGTAGGACGCCTTACCAACGGTATTCGTAGCCAACCGCGGCAACCACTTCTTCTTCAGCTCCGTACTCGCATACTTTATTATCGCCGTATTGACCAAAGTATTATGCACATCGACCATCACACTGACACTGGGGTCAACCCTAGCCAGCTCCTCGATTCCCACAATAGCTGCTGTGAAGTTCATGCCCGCGCCACCGTATTCCTCCGGGATCTCGACACCCATCAGCCCTTGTTCGAAGAGCTGCTCTACTATCGATGGATCCATAGTTTCCTTCTCGTCCATCTCGCGGACTTTAGGTGCTATTACGTCGTTTGCAAATTTGGAGACCGAGTCTGCCATTGCAACTTCTATTTCGGACATGTGGGTAATGGGCGTGGGAGGGATGTCGCCGATGTCGACTGTGTCATTGCGTCGTCGTGCAGTGGCAGATAGATGTCTGGCACTATGATCTTGTCACTAAAGCGTTCAGAATCAGCAATTGACATTTGCATACTGTTGGTATATTCTGCTCGGTCTGGCGGGTCTGAGAGCAGGGCGAGCTGTTGAAGTTGCCCTTTGGACGGCTGGCCGTAACACCTTGGCAATTGACGCCATGATGATCTATTTTGGAGGATTTAGAGGTTTGAGGGGAATGGATTCGTGATTTCTGAATACAGAGGACAAAATGTTCAAAGGTTTGAGGGTTAAAAGCACTAAGACGGTGTTTGGCGCAACCTTGTGACTAGAAAAGTGTAAGCCTCGAGAACTTAAGCCGAGCCCCGTCAGCCTCGGCAACGACCTTCCTTCCGCAAAGGAAACGCCACTCCACAAGCACATCCCACATTCTCCAAAGCGGCTGTCCGGGATGATATTTCTGGCCGATACGAGCAAAAAGATGCATCGTCCCAGCGAATTCGGCAGAGAAGGCTCTCTCGCCGGGCCGGAGTCGGCAGTCGTCATCATTCACGCCTTGTTCTGTTTGTCAAATAAATTTTATCACATGCAAATTCAGGGGCTCAGTTGACATCCAGTTGAAGAAGGACTAGCGGTTTTTCCGTAATGGGTGCCTCCTGATTTTATTGCTATGAAGCAAGTGGAAATTTCCCCCATTTTCAATTTTGACTGTTTTGCTTGGTTTGCTTGGTTTGCTTGGGAAGTTTCCCCGGGTCTTTGCCCGAGGCATCCAGCGCCGTAGCCCGCTGTGAGGCTTTCTTGGAGAGCTGAGAAACTTTGAATGCCACGTAAGCCAAGGCTACTGATGCGTAGCGTCGGTTTTCAGAACTCACATAAGTGGGACTTTGAGGCTATTCTGTTTGGCCCCAAAATAATTGATCAATGCCAGATCAGGGAGCAAGACAGTGAACCATCACTCAAAAACCCCACGGGGGAATCATTAAACCCAATGTGTCTTACTTTTGCGGCAATCTATCAAGGGAAAACCTTGGGGAATGACGTCCTCCGTGGACATTGGCACAGGTTGAGCAAGACGCAAAGGAATCCGGATGCCAGACGTGTTTGATACTTTGCTGGATCGCCTCCGACTTCGTTTCGGGGACCAAAACACCAGCAAGTTCTTTTATGAACTACAATATAATAATAAAAAACATATAAATATTTAGTAATTTCTAATATTTAAATCTATAAAGTAAGAATAGAAATACTCGAAGAGTTAAGATAAAGTTTTGAGTACCTCCTTTCGCAGCCTCTTGATTTCACAGTAGTAATTTGCCAAGCAGACTTACAATGGCGACTCATATGAGATCTGGTAAGACAATCCTGTACCAATCATAGACCTCCTTACTAATTACCTCTTCAGTGGCGACTCAAACGGATTGAGCACGTACAGCTTTGTTCGACCCAGCTCAAACAACCAGTCCAAGCAATCGACAGAATCAAGTACCATCTTAGCAGTTTCCTTATCACCACCGTCAAGTGCTGCGGCTACTCCGACCTCGGGTTGGACTAGCCTGGGCTGTGACAATGGTTCGGCCGGAGCTCGTACACTTGCCACCCCAGTACGGCAACAATGTCATGACTGTTGAGTTGTATCAAAGTCAATGCAAGGCCGCTGGTTTTGTTCAGGCTGGTGTAGAGTATGCTGGAGAGCGCTATTATGACAATTCTTTCCAAAATTATGGGGTTCCTGTGACTGATGGCTGTAATTATTCCTCCAGAATCTCTGCTATGTTAGTCGATGCTAATTGCGAGTTTTCAAGGCAATATGGCTTGTCATAGTTCAGCAAATGAGATATGCGGTGGTGATGTTAAACTTAACATGTACAAGCACGCTGTCGTTACGGCTTCGTCTTCCAGCTCGAGCGCCACAAGCTCTTCCAGTACAGTTTCTTTCTCATCAAGCTCTCGCATGTTCACGGTAAGCAAAATCCAATGTTCCAGCTCCTCGACGTCGAATACCGTAAAGACAACATCTTCCACAATCAAGACAATTTATTCTCGGTCAAAAGCTCCTCTGGAGTCAAGGCAACGTCTTGTTCACTCAAAACAACTTTATCTTCAGTAAAAACAACTTCCAATAAATCAAAGAGTACCTCTACGACATCTGGGCGGATTTCGAATGCTCCTCGAGGTGTATAACCCAGCTCTTTGACATCCAGTTTCTCAGCATCCAGCCAATTACTCAGTTCCCCGACTTGAAGCTTTCTGCTTTCGTCCACAATCTTAAGTCAGTCCCTCAGTGCGTCGACGGCGACATCCTCGTCAGCTGCAGCCTCATCAAGTACCGCTGTTTGCTAGTAACCACTTCGGTGCTACGTTGATTCTGTCGGATCCAGAACACTAGCCAGTGGCATGCAAGTGTCAGGCGATGGAGGATCTATGACTATAAATGCATACACAGCTGTCTGCAAAGGCGATAAATATACTCTTGCTAGCACCGAATATAGTGGAGAATGTTATTGCGACAATGCATTCAGAATAGTAGCAGACCTACCCCGGACGGCAGCGTTAGACGGTAAGCGATTATGCACCCTCAACCTCTTAATAAACTAACCATCATTACAGCAACATGAGATGCAATAGAAATTCTTCATCGGTATAGCAGTCGTGTTCAACATCTTGGTACCGGATCCCATCTCAGAGTGACGAACACTAACTTGCAAACACTTACCTCGGACCTTCGCGATGCCCCGGCATCGACTAGGAGAGAATGCCTTCTTCTGGCCCGTCGTCGAGACTATCAAGCGGACGCCTATTTCGTCCTTTTCTTCGGGGGCATCTCACTCAACCTCTCTGCCGCGCTGCTCTGCCACTTCTTCACCATCAAGAAAGAGTAGACAGCCACGGCCAAAGAGATCAAGAAGCAGGGCTTCCGTGTCGATCTCGACAAGATCTTCAGGGACTTCAAGTTCATGTACTGTTTCTCTATGCCTGTTATTGGTGGTATGATTGATCTTGGCACGACGGCGCCAAGAGGATGGGCCATCAAGGATACCGCTGCGATTGTGACTTTGGCTAATCAGACTAGTATGTCATGTACTTCTGCCGTTTGTTCTTGGCTTGGTGTAGATTGGATCGGCGTGCTCTCCTCTCCCTTCCCTACTTTCTTTCCTGGTGTCGGTGGCAATGGAACTTGGATCTGTTCAATGGGAGGTGTTGGAGTTTTGTCCTAATAATTGTTTGCTATTATATTAGACCTTTTTCCAAATCTAATGATCCCGTACAGTACAAACTCATCTGTTGTTGATCTAAGTGCTTTCCTTTCCTACCCGAACATTTTCTAAATCCTCGAAAATGGCTCATCTATCTTCCCTCTCATCCCTCACTCATCCCAAATCACACTAGTAACCTGCCCCGCAACATCCATGCTCGCCACAAAATCCCCAAACGTCCCATCCGCCACATTTCGTTCAATAACTACCACTCTCCCATCCATCTGAAGTCCTACAGCCACCATATCACCAGCCTTATTCACTGAAAACTGTCTCGGGAACGAACCCCCCGCTGGAGCAATCTGCTTGAGAGACAGCTTTCCCATTGCATGGTCGATCGCCCAGGAGTGTAAGGTGTCCGAGGGGATCTTGGTGCTGTTTGTCTTATCGAAGTTGTCAAGTTGGAAGAGCGTTGCATTGCGAGAGGAGGTGAGGAGGAATTTGTTGTCTGGCTGTTATTTCTCTCATTAATATTTGATTAAAAAAAACCAAGGGTGGAAACTTACGGATAATATCGCTTCAGCAGCTGCTGCTCCGTCCGGTGTTGTCCTGTTTCCATATGTACCGCTGAGGAACACATTGGTGAAATTCAAACCCGTGGCACCGAGGTAAGATACTTCATACGATGCAATTGTGTTGGCGAGCTCGGAAATTAAGAAGAAGAAAGTTTTTCCAGAGTCGGCTTTTAGGAAAGCACCGTGACGGGGACCGGAGCCTGCGGGGACTTTGAATGGGGTGCTTTCCGTGAGAAGGCTTGTTTTGGGGTTGATAGCGAAGACGCGGACGAGGTCGGCGCCTAGATCGGGAATAACGATGAATGATCCTGTGGGGTCCAGGATCACTTCATGTGGGTGGGGTGCTTCTTGACGGCTGGGGATTGTGCCTGGTGCGGTGAGGTTGAACATGAAGGTTTGCAGGGATTTGAGACCTCCTGAAGGTAGGATGTTCCAGCTTGTGGCTGCTGATCCAGAACTATAACCAGTCAGTGATGGGGTGTTGAAAGAGGGGAATGAAATTACTAGTGAGCTGCTGCAAGAGCTTTCCCTTCATTGTATATGACGGTGCTTACTGGCCCAACGACTGTGGCCTGGGTATCAATGAGGGACAATGTACCAGATTTTGAAGTGGTGTACGCGGTCATGGTTCCATTGGGAGTGCTGAAAGCTAGTAATTTCAGAAACTGCTTAATGAAGAGGTTCAAAAACTAACCCTCGTCTACACAGCTATGAAAGAGGTAAGCCAAAGATCTAGTCAAGCATTTTAAGGAAAGCGACTCTTGAGGGAGTAAAACAAGGAACCTGTTTTGGTCATAATACGTACTAAATAACATTGTTATAGGGATCCTTCGTCAGCCACGATGGCTGAGGGCCAGATTCATTATTCGAAGCCGTAGTTGTCAAAACATATCCACCAATACCAGGACCCTGAGCGCTGGGGGCCAATTGCAAGGATGTAACAATTCCCGAGTAAGAAGATACAAACAAGTTAACGGCGACAGCGGAAGTCGTCAGTCCTGCGGCTGCGACATGTTGAAAACGCATGCTGACCAACGGATTTTGGGCAGAACGCAGACTCGAGTATGCAAAAGAACGAAGGGACGAGGAGACGACCGACAGATTAAGGATGGGCAGCTGCACCATTTTAAGTTCTTGGGGTCGGGATCGACCTTGTGGGGACAATTGGAGGGTGTCCAGTCAGGTACCGGGTAAATGCCGTCCCAGGAGAAAGTGCAGGGCCTGTTTGAGGTAGGGGGCGATCCTGATCAGCAGTGAAGAGCGAATGGTGAATTCTGCTGTTGTGACGTGCTCTTTCTGTATTCTTTCTGTCACATTTCGTGTGTTCAAGGCAGAGAACGAGCGTGGGGAGCAGGAGCCAGAAGTCGTCTGGTAGTAGCAGTGTCAGTGTAAATGGTGGTTGACCTGTGCTACAGTACGGAGGCTGAAGCTGGGGGGGAGGCTAGGGTGGCACGGGCCTCGGACAGGTACCCCTGTGTTTATCATGGGATAGGGGTCCGATTATTTCGACTTCCTTTCGTCTAAACACACATCACACTGAGTTGCTGATGTGAGCAGCATCCGGCTCTGAAGTTGTCTCTCCTTTCCTTAGAAACAAGCCTTCCTACTTCCGGACTCAAATGGCTCTCGGCCATGTCAAGGGATATGGCTTTACCACTCAGTAAGCCCGCTCCTTCCTTCTTGTTGCTGCCTCCAGAGGTTCGAGATTGCATATATGACGCTGCCTTGAGCTGGCCAGTTATTTCGGACTTGCCCAAGACGGTTCCCTTGGAGCCAGGTGCCACAGTTCATGGACACTGGGAACAGCCCCTCTGCACCGTTCCCAGACCGCGCTACGGTCCAATGAGAACGCCTTCCCTTCTTCTGCTCAATCGCCAGATCACATCGGAGGCACTTGAAGTGCTTTACCGGAAGCCTCTCATGTTGGATACAACCCCTCCATACATACCACAACTCGGCCAGCCAATGGGCATACCGGAAATTATCAGCGAAACCACACTGCAGAACCTCCGGTTTGTGGTCCTGAGGATGGACTTGGACCAAAGACAGAGTGCGAGGTATTGGTTTAAGATTATTGAGATGCTGCTTGATATCTGGTTTGTGAAGAACAACCTTGAGGAAGTACAGGCTCGGATCCAATGTCCTCCGCGCCAAGGAGACACACGAAGAGGCAGTCATGACGAGGGGATTCGTGCTGAATACTATCGCAGGTTGCTATCGAAGGTAGGGCTCCTTGAAGTCAACTTGGAGAGCAAACGACTAACTCGTGTCAGTTGAGAGGGTTTGGAGAACAGGTCCCGTGATAATTGAAGAAGTACTTGCCAAGGATTTGAAGGAAAGCTTGGAAAGAGACCCCGCTCCTCCAGCACACGGAGCTTCCATGCTCACCTCGCCAATTGCTGGGATCTTCACCTTGCTAGGCTAGAATTCGGTTTCTCGGACCGTTTCTGTGTTCGGTTTCTTCGGTTTCTTCAGTCACGTGGTTGGTTGCTACAGATTCTTGAGGAACGTCATTGATGCATTGATGCCCCACCTCAGCCTTTCCTTGAATCTATCTTCAATTTGTAATCCACAGCCTTCACTTCCCGTACACACCAACAACAATTTCCTCCTATTTGCCCAAACGCGGATCAAGTCCAATCGCAGAACTGGAATCATGGCACCGAAGATCTTCATGTAAACCCCACCCTTCCCAGAAACTGTACAACACCTGACATTTACCTGGCAGAACTGGGACCACAGGTTACATTGGAGGAGATGCACTGTACGCTCTTGAAAAAGCACACCCAGAATACGAGTATACAGTACTAGTTCGAAATTCTGATAGAGGAGCCCCAATTGCTGCCGCCTACCCCAAAATCCGCCTGGTGTACGGCACCTTGGACGACTCGAAATTGCTCGAGGAGGAGAGCGCACGTGCCCACATTGTTCTGCGTAAGTATTTCGCTTGGGAAGCTGTTCTAATCGCTAATGCTCTCTATTATTCAGATACCGCTGATTCATCAGATCATGGAGGAGCCGCAACTGCAATCTCAAGAGGGCTTGCCGCCGGGCACACGAAAGAGAAGCCAGGCTTCTGGATCCACATTTCCGGGACAGGCATTCTCACCTGGAAGGATAGTGAAACCAAGACCTATGGCGAGCCTCCATCACAACCTCCCTATGATGACCTCGAGAACGTAGCTGGTCTCACCGGTCTTCCCGATTCGGCCTTCCATCGGGATATTGACAAGATTGTCCTGGAATCAGCTTCAGATTCCGTCAAGACTGCAATTGTATGCCCGCCAACTATTTACGGTCCTGGTCGTGGCCCCGTAAACAAAAGGAGTAGGCAGGTGTATCACCTTGCCCGGATTACACTTAAGCTTGGCAAAGCACCGCAAGTTGGGAGGGGTCTGACTGTAAGTCCATTCCCTCCCAGCATTACGTCTTTTGCCCTTGTCTTGCGGGTTGTTCACTCTTTATGTGCTTGCTCACATGACGATGTCTCAACCCCAGCTATCAATCATACTTTTAAGACAATACTGAATGAAAATCATTTAGGAATGGGACAACGTCCACGTCCACGACCTCAGTGATCTTTTCATACTTCTTGTCGAGGCTGCTGTTGCAAACAAACCCGAACTGGATTCCAAGATCTGGGGTAAGGAAGGCTACTTCTTAGCAGAGAATGGCCACCACGTATGGGGAGAACTGTCAAAGCAAGTTGGTGAAGTTGCGTACGAAAGGGGGTACATTAAGGAGAAAGGTGTCACGGCAATGTCTCCCGACGAGGCCTCGAAGCAAGCTGGCTTTGAGGCTCTGTCGTGGGGCCTGAATTCTAAAGGCTATGCTAAGAGGGCGAGGAAGTATTTGGGCTGGAAACCGAAAGCTAGAAGTTTGAATGACGAGATTCCAAATATTGTGGATGGCGAGGCGGAGATCCTGGGGCTGAAGGTTGGCCATGCGGAGCAGGTTGCTACTGGCAAGCAGTGATATGATGGATCTCCTAGCAGAGTCTTAAGTGGCCATGCAAGTTCATGATTACATATCCCAAAAGACGAAGAGCGTTCAACTCTCCCACAGTGTCGATCCGGCTTCTAATGTCTGTTCTGGCCTCAGCAGCCTAGGCGATATTCTTCAGGACAAGGCTCCATCTTCATTCATCGAATCTACCACCATCTTCAAATCAGTAATCCGTGGAAGGCGTTGCCTACTGTTCCCATATCTGCCAGAAGTTCCGCTCTCGCTTGCTCGCTTGCTCGCTTAAAAATAGGGGTTCCCGGAATTTATCGCTGGAAAGCTATTTACCTTGATGTACTGTACTAAAATATGGATTATTTTGTCTACCAGCCTAGGAGCTCGCTTGTAAGTTAGACACTGGGAAGTGGATAAACACTCCGGAATGTTATTGAGTGTAAACTAGCCAAAAAGCGCAATATGCTGCGTGGAGGCCTATTCAGCTTTTGTTGGGTTGGTTGATGCGTCCCTCAAGACCACGGCCTTTGCTTGTCATTCTCCGCTTGATAGGTAGATGGACTTTTGAGAGGGGGCTAGGAGTTTCGATTCACTGAGTTCTATCTATGTTGAAGTGTCCGGGCACGAGGGCTACTTTGTGAAGCTGTTCGCAGCTTCGGAGAGTCCAGGGATAGTCCAGAGTACCCAGTTGGCACTGTCCCTTCAATCTTCGCTTCCACCATGTCAATGTGGCAGGAAATGCAGGTCACTTTGAAGTCAAGCCAAGTAGAAGCAGATAGATAAAACGGTGCATAGAAAGCTACTTTCTTGAGCTACGGTCATGGCGGCAGCCTGACTGCAATTGCATTGAAAGCGACGGTGCATGTGACTTCCAGGCAGCGTGGTTCTTGCGTGTGCGCGGACGTGTGGTAGGGAAAAACTTTTTCAACTTGATGCTTTCTTTCTCGCATTAACCTGAATACCACTCACCTCTCCCCCGGCGCCGTCTAGGGTTTGTCTCTATAGGTGAAATAATTATTTCCATAGCTCCCGTTCGTATGCCAGAATTTCAGCACATCTTTCCCTTATTCAACATCACATCTTTGGAAATGCTCGCGTCAACACTCAGACCTGTCCGTGACACCAAGTCCCCTTTGCGCATTCAACCACCTCTATATTCGTATTACTCTTATCATCCAGTATCACTCCCATTATCACGCATCACTCCTATCATCTCGCGCTACTTCTGTTGTCACGCACCACTTTGTTGTCACATACCACTCCTTTCGTCAAGCATTACTCCTGCCGCGAGCGGAGCGCTAGGTATAAAAGGAGACTTTTCACGCCTTGAGAAACCTTCCCCCGAAGATACCTTTTCATGGCCACCGTCACGGGGTCTGACCACGGGACGGCCGGCCCCAAGATGTGCGCCTCGGGTTATTCTGTGTCGATAGTTGCGGATGTGATTCTCCTTCATACGTGTTCAAATACGCTGGGAATTGAAGTTGGACTTTTGCCCCTACCCCATGGCTTTCATCTCTCCCAGTTTATACTTATGGTTTCACCGAATGCCATTATTCTGTATTCAACATGTACATTGACGCGACGAATTGGCAAAGGCATGAGTTTACGTGATCTTCTATTCAGACAGTAATGCTACCTATCCTCTAACTCTACCCCGTCATCCACATCCTCCGTTCCATCCATCATATATGACGTTGGACCTGCGCCGCGAAGTGGGGAAGTCACCAAGTCTTCGTGACTCCCGTTAATTCTAATCCTCCCTCTGCTCACATGGTTTACCTGATCTGATACCCATATCGCGCTCTTCTTCAACACGCCCCAAAGCCGCTCCTGGCTCTCAATTATCTGCCTATCATCTCTCGGATTCTCACTGGCTTCCACCTTGAACTGATATTTCAGGCAATCCTTGACAGTCACAAGGCCAGTCAACTTGCCGTGGTACTCAATAAGGATCACTCGTGGTCCGATTTTGCGGAAGAGTTCCATGACTGTTTCGAGAGGAAGGCGGGGATGCGCTGTAACGGGGGTGGGGTCGATAAAGCGGCTGAAATCAACGGACGAGGAGGCCATTCCGTCGAAGGTGGTGGCGGGCGTTGCAGGAGTAATCGGTGCGGATGCACCGTGGGTCGTTGACGGAGTGAAGTAGCATACTGCAGTGGGACTGATCGACCGATCCTTCTTTACTCGATCGATGGCATATCGAAGCTCGGTGCGGCCGATATATCCTACTAGTATCTTAGATGTTCGGTCTTCCACAATAGGGAAGCCTTGGTATTTGTCCTCGCGCAGTAATTGCTCGAGGTTCTTCATGCTAAGCCCCGCGGTTGGCAATGCAACCACATCGCTCGTCATGACTTGCGAAACAGGGACACCGAAGGTGTGGTCCTCCTTGTTGTCCAGGAAGGGAAAGCCGTTGAACCAGATCATCCGGTCCGCTATTCCTCCTTTTCCGAACAGTTCGCCGACTGCTTTGGTGACGCCGACGACAATCATTGTAGGCAAGATATAGGTTAGAGCCCCTGTGAGCTCAAACATAATGACAACCACAGAGACTGTGATGTGCATGATTCCACTCAAGGCTGCCCCAGCACCGAGAAAAGCGTAAGTTCCTGGTGTGATGCAGGGGACATCTGGCTGGCAAGCGGCGAAGAAGACGGAATTTGGATAGGCCTCGTGAAGCGCCTGTACCAGAATTCCCACTGTCCTGCCAAATGATGCGCCAATAGCCATTGACGGGACGAAAATACCGGCCGGTACTTTGCAACCATATGAGATGATAACGAGGAAGACTCGTATAATTGTTGCCAACGTCAACGAGATGATCATCTTCCACCTGTTTTCTCTGTCGCAAAGACCATTGTAGTCTTCTGAACCCTCACATTCCAAGAACAATATCTCCATGCTCTCTGTCATATCAATCCTCAAAAACATATTCGGGTAGCAAATTATGGCAGTTCCAGTCGCCAACAACGTTGCTTCGAGAATAGCGTACTTTGTAAGATACTTCTTTCGAAATGCCTGGGCTCTCAAGTTCCACTTGATGACGAACGCTCCATAAAGCCCTCCGAATATGCCGATGATAATGTAGAATACAACCTCAAAAAAATGCCACGACCGATCGTAATGGACCTGAAACATAACTAGCTGGCCGGTACGAAAAGGATTCATCGCTGCCAGGACAGCAGTTGCAACTAAGGCGCAAAAGTAACTTCTCCACACAGTCTTCAGCGGAAAGTAAGACGACATTTCTTCCAGTGAGAATAGTACCCCTCCTATGGGACTTCCAAAAGCTACTGCGACTCCAGCAGCTGCACAAGCACTCAGGATTTCCCGAGTTTTCGATGCATTCCTCTTGTACTTTTCGAACAGCCTGGAGATGACGTTGCCAGTACAGACAGCGTAATGGACACTGGGCCCTTCTTTTCCAACCGACAATCCGGAGGCAATGGCCAGTGGTAGGGCTACGGACTTGATCACCAACGTCCAGAAGCCAAGGAAGCCTTTCATGACGAAGCCGGCTATGATACATTTTATTTCGGAGATTCCAGACCCGGCCGCGTAGGGCGCAAATGATCTGACGAGACTTGCCGATGTTAGGGCAAATATTGTCTAGGAAAGTCAGCAGATGAGGAGCATGGAAGAAAGTCAGCGTACAGCAAACATAATATATAAGAAGTAATTGAGTGGAGGTAAAGAGCTCCAACGGTGCCAATCATCGCAACCTGTGGGTTGTCAGATTTTATATTCTCATTTGGTTTCTCATCCATACCGTTGTCCTCTCCCCAACAGCAGAAGCTCTCGTTGAGGTAGAAAGCAGTTTCGCAATACCCCAACTTTACATCTGACAGCCATTCCGTAATAATATTGAGAAAGGCCGCGTTTACACCAATGGCTGCACCTGTGCATATATCAGCTTCTCAACTCTTATTCCAGTCGTCCATAGTTACCGATCAAGGTTACCACGATCCATCCCTGCGCTGCTTCATAAGACTCCCAAAGCCTGTATCTCCATCCAGCGTGCCCACCTCTTTCGAAGAAGCCTGCTGTCTCTTTCCGTCTAAGTTTCCGTCGTAGTTGTTCTCTTGCAGCGTCTTGGACCCAATCTGAAAGGGCTTGTGTTAGTTTCGAAATAAATCCGATGCGTGTCAAAGGTACCTATGGTTGTGAAATCCTGGGAACGAATTAGTATATAGCTGATGGGGTCACTCTCCCAGATTATTAGTACATACCTCATATCTCTTGATCTCCTCAATCTCTTCATCTATCTGATGTTCTGAAGCTCCTGGGGCAGCTTGCGCCTCGCCCTCCTCGACACTGATAGCAGACAATCGGGCAGAGAAGGATGGATGTTGCTGCAGCCGCGGAGTTGGGAAAGATATGGAAGACGACCGGGAATTCATCGTCCTAGGGGTATTGTAGTCATATCTCTGGAGTCCGTGAAGCCATCCAGAATGTTTTTAAATGCTAGATGCTGTTGCACGGCTGTGGCGGTGATGTTGAAGCCTGGCTGAGCTGCAATCGCGGAACCAGGCAGCCGCTAGCGTCGGTCTGGTCGGAGCCTCCCCTATTCAGCCTTCACATCCTTTCCAAGTTCTTGACTTATTGACTTCTCTCTTTTTTTAGGGCACGAAAAAGATGAGAACGTACGGTATTTTGTCTGAGATTGGAAACTATTTGAATGTGTGCACACTCTTCAGTTTGTTTGCTTATTATTGGCTTGTTTTCGTCCTTTTTTTTGATTTTCTGAAACGCTAGCAGCAAGTCATCTGCTTTGCTTTCTTGGAGCATAAACTCCAACCTAGGAAGACTAGAATCCCAACCAAGGCGTTCCTTCATATTAGTTGCCGACCTTCTCCTCCTCGTCAACTTAGTCAAACATTGCAGCTCGATCCACATCGAAGTGTTTGACAGGCGTTGTAAGAATGAGGAGGAATTCAGAGAACAGTGTGGGGAAAAAAAGAGGACAGTAATCGGGTCTGTCTCAGGTATTATTGGCTTGATTCCATCCCTTTCCTGAATGTTTAGCAGCAAGCTCTCTCCTCTTCCTTTGGGAAGAGCCAGTTCAAAGATTGAGAAGACTGGCTTGGGTGGACACATAAAGCAGTACTGGATTCTCAGTGTCCCAAGTCGCCTTGAACTCTTTCAGATGCTTTCCCTTTAAAAGTTCCTTCGATTTAGGTGCATTCAATTTTTGCTTCCTCCCAATGTCTATAAATTTCTGGAACATTTAAAAATTGTCCCCTTTAATTTTCAGCTTGACTGGGGACATTGATAATTAGTGCCGCGATTTTTGTCCACCATGAGACCGGATACCTGACTCCAACCCCCCTTCGCCACCCAGATGCACAACATCTTTCCTCTTAGACGAGATTTCCAACAAAATTCAAAACACCGGTAGCAACCTCAGCAGTACCTCGCAGCCCTTCAGCACCGGACTGGTCCCTCGAACGGACTCTTCTGACGTCTTTCGCTCCTGGCTTGGAAGCTTCCCTCTCCTCATTCGTGAGAGGTATTCCAGTGAAATCCGCCCTGAACAATTTCCCCGGGGGCTCCGCAGGAAGCCCGAGATCCTCGACTCGGCCGTATCTCCCTTTCCATTTCAATTTTATCCTCAGAAGAGACGGTTCCTTTTGCTTCCCTTTCCCTTCAACACAAAATGTGGGAAATTCAACCTCCTCTAAACACGTATCAGCCAACGGTCTCTTGGGATTGTGAAATACTGACCATCAATACCGTACATCAGACTTCGGCCCTCAAAGTTCGCCTCCAGCCCCGGTATGAAGGAAAACTTCAACCGTACTCTGACCAACTCCTTGTCAATCCCAGCTACACGGTCGTGGATCTCTACGTCAATCATCTTCGAGTTCTTCGGAATCTTTAGAAGAAATGGTTGATTCCATACCGGGTTCTGTGTTTTTGGTCCTGGGTCCGTTTTGAGATCGAACAACCTTATGGCACCCCCGAATTTATTTGGTCCATAGAGGACCACTTTGGCAAATGCAGATGGCGGCCTGAAGTTGGATTTCGGTAAATTAGAGGCAGAAATGATTGTGAGATCAATAACATCATCGATTTCGCTCCCTGACAAGATTTTCTTCGATCTTTCCCATTCTTTCAATGCCGCTGAAGCGTGGAGACGCAGTTCTGGACGCAAGCCGTACCAGTCCCTACAAAAGGATACTGCTTCCTCAACTTGTTCCCAACCAGCAAGACGCTTCTGCATCCAGGCTATTCGGGTATCCATTTCTCGATTGTTCCATCTCACTTCGAGTTCGTCGTGGTGGAGTGTTATGAACGTTAGACCTGATAAGACGCTCGATAAAGCTTCCAGAAAGCCCATGATGTAAGTGAGGAGCGAGTAGTAGCTCTTTTGAGCAAATTCAAATTCTCTCAGAGGGAATTGCAGGTGGGGTTTCTGGACAGTAGCCACGGTACTAAATTTAAAGTCCAGTGCATCCAAGTCGCTGAAGTTGACACCGCTGTTGTGCTGACCCCGAACCAAAATGAACTTGCTAAGAGCGGTAGATGCGATGTTCAGGGATTGAAAGACCTTTTCAATTATGTTCACTTCTCTCCTGTGTTCGAAGGATACTCGTAAAAGCCGATGCAATCTCTCGATCTGTTGGAGACATCGCGGCGCTGTTTCGTATGCCATTACTGAGAACGAGGCTGCGTCCATCATTTGTATGATTTCATCCGAATCCTTGTACTCTGCTATCATTGCCTTGGGCAGCCAGTCGCAAGGATGGGGCAAAAGATCCGGTGTTTCTTCTTTTGAGAGAAACCTTTTGGTGGCCTCGATTTCTTTGGCTTTCTTGATGCATTTAGAGATGTCGGCATCCAAGTCCTCTTCAATCCCTTCCTCGAATGTATATGGAGGGGCCGCATTGGAAGAGGTCGGAATGAACTGCTCAGGGTCTACCATCGTCATCATTCTCCTGGTCTGCTCTAGATTCTGTGATTTTTCTTCGATGGTTCCGCGTTGTGCTCCAGGAGTGTAGCCTGGCAATTCTTCTTCTTCCCGCCGATCAACATCAACAACGGGATGATTTCTTAGCATATCTTCCTCTTCTTCCCGATGATTTCTCCCGAGCAGATTCTGAATGAAAAAGAACTCTTCATCAATTAGGTCTTGTGAGATGCCATATTTGAGAAGTTCAGTCTCCAAGACTGCCCAATCCGAGGAAAGTAGCGACCGCTGGAATTCTGGGTTGGGGATACCTCGTAAATGCTGTAATGCGGCCGTTATCTTCTCTTGCGAGTGACTTGAAATATAAATTAGACCCGATTTGACGAAGAATGTCACAGCGTAGAGCAGAGTTGATCGTAAGACATATCAGTAACACAGTAGAGTTTCCAATTCAAGATTCCATAATCCAATAAAGTGTTTGAACATCAAGCCTGAATGATCTCAAAACTTCAAGACTCAATTCCCAAGACTTTACGGGTGAGACTTTGAGCAAGGTATCTAACCAAAGAGAGATTACTCACCTTCGCAAGACCTCGAGGAAAGCAGCCAGCCTGTTTTGGTGACCACGAAGCGGTTGCTCACGGATGCTATCAATACCACCATGATTCTCTTTGACTCCCTTCAATGCAGTCTCCAATTCCGAGAGCATAGCATTGACCCCGGAAACAAGATCCCTATATGTGTCCTCGTCGGCGGGAGAAAAAAGGCTATTTTGGCCTGTCTTCTCCACCAGGTAGAGGAGGTTAATGAGAGATCCGAGACTGCTACAGGCAGCTTGTAGTGCGGGGATGTGTAACAAAACTCTGTAGTTCTGTCTGATGTCAGAACTTTGCACCAAATGAGAGATCAGAGTGCTGTGTTACCTTGTATGCTCTCTCCAACAACTGTGGGACATTCTGGGGAGACATTTTCACTGATGTTCTAGCAGCTTGCTGCTCTGGCTAAGCCATACGGGAAGCTTCTAGAGACGGCTAAGATACGGCTGCTTCGGTTGTGTAATTTTATGAGACGAGAATGGTAAACAGGAATTCGAAAGTTTTATGTCCGATGCAGTAGGGCACACTGCCGAGTCCCGCCCCCCCTGTTGGCAGGCACAGCCGCATTGCCGGTCTGGTCATCCTCATTATCAAATTCCGTTCGTTCGGGCAGTGCTTTCGCAACAACCACATATTGGAATGAGTTGCTTGGCCTGGCGAATAGGAGACGGAGCAAGTCCTCATGCAAAGAGAGAGCCTGGATGTAAATCGGTACATGGTCACGTGAGCTGGACTTTCCAACCCAAACGCGCCTCCCACGCGCCTTCCCTCCACACTTCACTCGGCAATTTCATATTTCTTAACATCACCAACCGTATGCCCTCAATCCCCAGCAAGCATTGCAAACCTATTCACAAGGTGTACTCTCCTTTGATTTATACCACTAGGAGTCCTCAGAGACTTCACACCAAGCCTTCAGCTGTCCAGGAGAGCCGGAGGTCTTCTACAAGCAAACCACCTGCACGGACGAATTGTTGAGTAGGAACCCTTTGCTTTCGATCACGTCTCTCATATATAACGCGTTTTGTTGAGAAGACACTCTGTATTGCCTGTGGTGTGCCGACCCAAGCTGGGTCTGTGGATCTGACGATTCATTGAGCTCCTTCAGTGCCGGATGGCCCCCCTATCGCCGCCTTTGGCCGGTCCCCAGGCTAGTGCCACACTCAAAATATATCTCAACGCGCAAAGGCAACTACATTTCTTGAGAATCAAAATCAACCACCACAATGGAGTCGTCCAAGGGCTTACACTCTTTCCAGTTCTCGCCCTCGGACCTCTTGCAGATCAAGGGCATTTTGAAGGCGTCGGACTCGGAATTCTCGAAGCTCTCGTACGAGGAGATTTGGGAGACTCTTATCTCTTACAACCCCTTTAAAGAAATGCCTTACAATACAACTGCCATCCCTCCTCGGAGAGAGCCAACAGGCTCGACGCAGCTCCCATGTAAGAATCATTACCACCCTGATCACGAATGTGTCTAACAGTTCCAGTGTCACGAGTCAGAAAGATGATCGCCATTGATCAAGACATCAACCTGTGTTCGAACACCGCTGGCTTCGTCATAACACTGGCTACGGTATGGCCCCATCTTTACTGAACCGAGAGCATAGACTCATGCTTAAGATAGGAGTTGTTCGTCCAATACCTAGCTGAGTCCGCCCACAACGTCGTTAAATCGGAGCGAAAGCCTCGCCGAAATATCCAATATCGAGATATCTGTAGGCCCCTCTCCCCTGTTCAATTCCTCCTTCTAACCTTCCACAGCCAGCGCAGTCTCCCACCTTGACAACCTTGAGTTCCTGGTTGACGTGGTCCCGAAGACCGTTCCGTACAAAGAAGTCAAGGAGAGGAAGACCACCGCCGGACCTAAAATCAATGGTGAGAGCTCCGTTGAACCAGGCCAGACGACGCTCGATGGCAAGAAACCGGCTGTCAATGGAACGAATGGACTTGAACATGCTGGGCCGTCTGGAACTGCAGGTGAGGATGATCCCAACGCGCAGCTGGAGATGGAAATGGAGATCAGGGGAGCAAGAGCCAGTGTCGGATCATCGTCGGGATATGGTGGCAAGGAAACTTCTCAGGATGTCGAGATGCATTAGATTATTAAGCTTTATTTTCCTGTATTAGATTATCTGGCGTTCTGGAGCAGCATTTGGTCATCGAAATGAATTAATGACTTGTCCTGCAAAAAGCTGGAACGAATGTATGCGAACTAATCATTTTCAGACAACCAGTTTTCTATATCCACAAAGAGCTTGGTAGCCAGAAAACGCCCATACTTTTTGTCATTCTACCGCCAACGCCTTGATATGCAGAAGTTCGATTTCATTTTCCCGGGCAGCTCTTCTACTCCTCCATGGCCTCATCAGCTCCTTGTGCACCAAGTGGGACCCTCCCTTCGTTCAGCTCTTTTTCTAAGCGTATGATCTCCTGTAAGCTCTTCGCGTTTCTAATCATCTCCTCGACCTTCTTGCGCTCCTTTTCCGTCAGCTTAACCCGGTAGTTCTTCGATGACGAGTTGGCCGAGGCACCATTCGCTGAAGGGATGTCAAAAGTCTTGGACTTGACGCCCATGATCTAATCTCAAATCAGTTACATGTTCATCAAGCTTCGATTGGAGCTTGGGCTGACCTTTGAAGCAAGGGGAGATGGCTCCAAAGCTGTGCCAAACAGCTCCTTTGCCTTCTCACGCTCCACATCCTTCACCTTCTTATAATCCAGGAATCTCACAGTTGGACATCTCCACAAGACCCAGTAACGATAATTCTACACTCCATCAGCAACCATCCACAGCTTTCTTTGTAACAAGAGCCAGGCAGACTCACCTCTTTCCTCGTCACGGGGTTCTCCAACAGCACCAAGTGCGTAAGGCGCCCAAACGTAGCCAACACATCCAAATCGGCCAACTCGGCAAAGTTATTCAACGTGAGCACCAGCGTCGTGAGATTGGGTATCGAATTCGCGAGCGACGGTTGAATGCTCGAGATTCTGTTCCGCGCGAGCAGCAGCGTCCGTAACCGTGGGGACAGCGGGAAGTTCCCTAGCATCTGGATATCGTTGTCGGTGAAATCGATCGCATCGTGAGGCTTCCATTATCTATTAGCATACGCTCTCTCCAAGCCCATCTCCTTCTTCACGAAGAGGGGGTAGGATGAAGGGGGGAAGACTTACGCCCGCAACACCGAGATTCTCAATCGCTGGGATTTTGTGTCCTGCAGTTCCAAAGATTTGATATCAACTCAGCTCGCCTCAAAGTGTAGTATCATGTTCTTTCCAGCAAAGTACGCACCTCGGAGATCAAGTTCGCGCTCTCTGAGCGGGTTGAGGTAGGAGAGGGAGGATTGGATGAGGTCTGCTGTGAGCCTCATGGTGGCGGTTTACCTAGAGCTTTGCGTGATATCCTGGCTGGGGAATTTTGCCCCGGGAAGAGGTTGTATGGTGTGCAACTTTGTTGGAGGTGGACGAGGCTGAAATTCTTGTCCCAGATTTCAGACCTCTAGATTTGGCGAGGGATTGGCGCTAGCACGTATTAGGCACAGAGGCACGAGTTGATAGACTCTCTCGTCAGTGAATGATGTTTATATTTGTGTCAGGAGTGAGACTTTAAGAAAGTTGCTTTGGTTTATGTTCTCAAGCTGTTCAGAGAATAAGATCAAATCCGAGTCTCCGTAAATCTACCTGGGTAATCCTGACGCCGCAACATGACCTCTGAACACCCATAAACTCCTTTCCATGCATCCTAACTTCTTACTGGAAAACAAATACAACACCAGACCTGTCCACAGACACCATCATTCCATAAGGCGATTCTAGTAAAGCAATATCAAGAATCGAATCCAAATGCGACTTCAGCAACTGTTGCTGCTGAAGAGAGATCACTGTCGATCTCGGCGGTCTCCCACTCGACGCTTTGCTCGTAGTTGACACACGTGAGCTAGCTCCTGCATTTGGAGCCGTTGGATTTGGCCGTGGGATACGTTCCGTATTGAGGGTCAATGAAGCAGTTGGGTGCGCGGTAGTGAAAGTTGGTTTCGGCTCTTCTGTATCAAGTCCACTAACGACCATGGAGTTCTCTACTCGCGTTACGTCCCAGAATCGAATCTTCTTGTCCGATCCTCCAGTAATTATAAATCCATATTTTGATTCGCGGCTGTCGTCGTGATTGTCTGTGCCTGCAATCATGGCTCGGATCCCTCGATCGGAATTGCTAGATCCACTGGGCTCCAAGGCGGTTGCAAAGCGCCCCAACATCCCTTCGGGCCGGTCTTCATCAACTGGCCATGGATCGTAACCTTTCGGGCCATCGCGATTACCCCCTGTACGGTAGACCTCTCTGCATTGTGTTTTCTCAATATCCCATATTGTGACCTCCCCCTGACCACTACCTCCTGCAACGCAAACCCATCGGCCCCGCCCTTTGGTTGGGTGCAGACACATCCTATAAATGGTTGTGGCTCCAGGTACTCCCCAAGCCTTCAGACGAACTCTGAAGCGCAGGTCCCAAAGGTCCAGAACGCCGTGAGAAGTACCGAGCAACAGCCAATGACGCTTTCGATCTACAACGAAGCAGGTGGGTGTGCCATGATGAACCGGGTTGTCTAAAGTGTAAAGAACATCCATCGTCCGCAAATCAATCGCGTGTATCTTAGATCGATTTGTCGCGACCAGTAGGGTGGAACTGGTTTCGATCTTGAAGTGATCCGACCAGACAGCCATTTCACCTTTAGGGAGTTGGTATTCACGCAACATTCGTAGCTTTCCATATCTCACGGCCCCGCTACTGTGAGAACACTCGACTCTAACCACGTTGATGCTTCCATCGCTAGCACAGCTGATGAAGGAGTGAGTGTGCTCTACAAAACATAACGCCGTAATTCTTGGATCGCTTCCCTGTTTGTGTGTTGCTCTTGAACGATGAGTGATATTCCGCTCAAGTCTCCCGGTGTCCCAAACCTTGACGCAGCCATCATCGCCACCTGTGAGGAAGAAGAGATGATCAGGGGCAATTGCAATGTGGTGCACAGGCCCTGTGTGTTCTGCAAAGGTAGCGACCAGAATGCCTTCCGGCTTCCAGGGTCTGTCAGGCGCTTGGCTCGTACTCTTGTTGATGGTCTTTCGTCGACTGGAAGGTGCAATCATAGGCCCAAACTCAGCGATGTCGTTAGGATAGTTGTCAATGTACATCGCATCTAGCATTTTTAGTATGCTTGGATCATTTCCGGTGTATGTATGAGCCCCTCTAAATCGAATTCGATCCTCGGCAGCAGTATTCTGCTCCTTTGCTAACGATAATGCAGACGGTTTGCCCGTATTTTGCGTGAATGGACCTTCAACTTTGCCAAACGCGTTCGTGGAAGTAGTACCAGTTTCAGGGAAAGACTTTGCTGTATCTTTGCGGCTCATCAGATTCATTGCACTGATCTTATGGTGGATACCATGGTGAACTTCTCGAGAATTGACGCTTGATCCTGTGTCAGCTCCTTCATCATCGCTACCTCTGCCTCTTCCATTCAGTTGAGCGGAGGATCGGCGACGAGGTTCTGGATCTGTTCCTGGAGATTCTATATCTTTCGGGGACGGTGAGAGTGCGGGAGATGGTGATACGGGGGATTTTCCATCACGCTCATTTGAGGCGGATGCTAAAGTTCCGCCTTCAGTAGTCAACCTCGTTTTGTGGTTGTTAAAAGCAGAGCGACGCCTCCTCGCAATCGAGTCATCGATTGACATAGAGGCGTCGAGCAGTGCATCTGCGATGGTATGTGGTACTTTATCGCTTCCATCAGAACCACTGTTGATGCGGCGGAGGGGTTCATCCATGATTTGCTGATCATCGAACATGACTGTCTGCGGAGTGATCCCAATACTGCGCAAATTGACGACATTGTTCAGATATGACGGATGAGGTGTGGCTTCCCGTGCCTTCGACAGGGCTAGCCGCCAGATATACTCTCTCAAACAGAGTAACTTGAAGTCATCTTCTGCCGTAAGTCCCATGTTTCGGAGTTTTGATAGCCATTGCTCATCTTCTTCATTTTTAGGTACTTTCTGGAGCGCGTGATGTCCGAGATCCTTGCCAGAGATAGTTGGTATGATCAGGTTATTGGAATCAAATGAGAACGTTCGAAGTTGGTGCACCGGTTTCCAAAATATCCCTCTGTCGACCTTGGTAGCCCATGTTACGGAAAGATCAAGAATGGCACGGGATAGAGGCTTCTTCAAGTTGTCCAACAGCGCTACTTCCGAAAAGTCTTTGATGGGCATTTTAAGGTACGGTCTAATCAGTGGCAGGACGATACATTGATTGTCGGCAATTGATAAGAAAAGAGTCGCAGAGGAGAGGAACATGGCTGCGGCCTCGCGGATCCAGATGTTGGGATGCATGGTAAACCTTCCGACAACATCGACAAGCTCCCACGTCTTTGCTCGTTGAAAGAGACCTAGCTGTGCCATACTGGCGAGAGAGTAGAGAACACTCTTCACCACAAAATCCTCGGGATCGGTCAGTGCTTGGACCATTAAGGGCAAAATAAACTCTTCTAGGCTTGTGCCACCCAAGAATGTAGCAACCCCTACAATGGTCTCGAAGAAGGCGCACTTGAGCATCCAGTTCCGATCATTGAGATAGGTATTTAAGTGGCTCAGGATGATATCGTTTGAGTCCGCGGTTCCAAAGAACATACAAAGTTCCGGCACGGAGCCAAGGAAAGCCCTTCGGACGGAGGAGTCGCCATCTGTGATCAACGCTTTGGTATGACTTGCAAAGGTCTCAATGAGCTCCGCGCGGGAATTGTCGAACAGTCCCTGAAATGCTGCATCAGCGCCGCCGCCGTCTTCAGTCTCTGGGTCCGCCGTGGGCAAGGAGCCGTCTGCCCTTAACGTGGCCACCATATCCAAGAACCGCGAGGCTGAAGTCGCAAGACTCCCTAAACAAGCTGCATAGGTTGCCCGAACAAACGATGCAGGCTCAGATGGTGCCCCTGGGAGAAATGCTTGCATGCGAGGCAAGATATATTCTGGGAAAACGTGGGCATTCACAGGTGATACGACTGTGACGAGTGCCATAAGCTGAGTCAAAGTACGGATCGCGGCAACTTTCACAATATCGGCTTTGTCGTTCAGCAGAGCGACCAAGTAGGGTAAAACTCGGTCCAGTTTTGCTTCATCGGTCAGTCGTTCAGAAAAGGCCAAAAGAACATCACAGGCTCTTATCTTCGCTGTGGCTCTTGCAGTATTCCGAATAGATGACACGACCAAGGCCAGGAAAATAAGCGTCCCATCATCGGTCGGCCTCCTGCCAATAGTAGAAGCTTGATGTTCGTTATTCGGGATGTTTAGATGAACTGGGAAGAGTTCTAGACCGGACGCTGTAGATGTAGATTTCGCAATGACTCTCTTCTCATTCTCGTATCCTAAGAAATAAGAGATTTTGTCAAAGTCATAATATATGCGGTCGATTCGCTCATCCGCCTCTCCGAGGTTGGCTGAGGCTCCTGAGATAGGGGTTCGACCAGAAGATGGATCGGTAATGAGACCCATGTATTGGTGCAGAAAGCTGTAAAAGTAGTCTGGGAAGACCTTTTTCCTCCAAAAATCGAGATACTCCTCTGCTGAGTATCTAGATTCGGGATCAACTTGTATCATGTGTGCAACCATCTCTCGGACATCGCTGTCCACTATTCGGCTAAGGTGTGTCGCCACAGGATCGTACTCCCCTCTCCGGTATTTATAAAGCTGGCTCAGGTTGAATATAGGTGCCTCCAGAAATAGTTCAGCAATCACACACCCAGCACTGAAGACGTCCATAGCCCAAGTAATCTGTGCCTTTGGATCTGGAGTCTCACCGGCAGCCAGAAATCGCTCTGGTGCAAGGTAGCAGGTTCTTCGTCCAGCAGTGTCGAAGAAGTAGGAGAAATCGGCAGGATTATCCTCTGGTAAAGTGGTGGGTTTGAACGAGGAAGAGAAGTCCGACAGGTATAACCAGTTCCACGAGGTGACTAGTGTATTCTCAGTCTTAATATCGCCATGGAAGATTTCCCGAGCATGACAATCTCGGATGCCGCATAACAGCTGGAAAGCAAGCCATTTCTTTTCAATATCTTCCAGAAAAGGTCGCGTGCTCATACGATCGTAGAGTGAGCTGTAGAGGTATTGCCGAACAAGGAATCCGCTCGTCTCAGTCTCGATGATTCGCTGGTAGGCAAGAGCATTAGGTACATCTGCTAAGGCTTTTCTTTCCTCTGATAAAACAACGTTAGCTTATGCTTCTCGAATCTAATGATCAGGACTCACGAATTATCTTCCGCTTGTATTTCTCCAAACGCATGGGATATGGCTTCACAATGACTTTGACAAGGACCACACCATCCTGATGCCTAGCCCGGATACTTTTCATAAACCGCGCAGTTCCCATGGACTTCTCATACACCAAGTCCGCGAGCTCTGGGACATCGATGCCGGCAGAGCCCGCGGAGAGCGTTGTGAGGGAGAAGCCTTGTCCCATGCTTGTAAAGCACCAGATGTCATCTAGGCAACGTCATGGATGGAGAGGATCGGGGCAGCTTAGGACAGAGTGTTATGTCCTCAAGCTGCAGAGTCGGTGGGGGAGCTGTGTCGCTTTGGTGCAAGAGAAGACAAAATGTTTCTCAGAGATGGTAAAAGTTCAAGGGATCGAGCTTGATGCTTCGCAGGTGCACGAGGTTCCGCGTCGTACGGCAGCCCAGGAAGACCCGATGCGTCAAAGCCTTGCGTGCCTTGCCACAAGGCTGATAAATTTGTTAAGCACCTGCTTTACCTACGCAACTCAACTATCGAGCGCCAAAGAATCAAAAACAAGTAATAATTTCTGGCACAAGATAACAAGTTGTTGGAAGTGCCGCAGTAGTCTTTCTTTTCATTTTGGATTCTAAAAGCTTTAGTGGCGACAACCTAAACAGGAACAGTCATGCAGTTTGAGGTCCTCATATAGACAAACTCCATCTATGCCCTTCCCTTTCTTCTGAGCTCTTCTTCTTCCTCCGCCTGAATCTCAGCATCGATTTCCGCGCCCCTGCTGGGTTTGTTGCCATGCATTTTTGCCGGCAAGGTAGGGTCCTTCTTCAATGCCTTCGTCTCTTCACTTTCTTCATCTGATTCATTCTCGCGCTGTCGCTGTTAGCAATGTTCTTCAAAGAATAGTACACATATCCGCTGAATCTCAAGCATATGTTCGCACCTTCTCTTCGCGAGCTAGTTTGTTTGCGATCGATCTCTGGTCCTCTGGTAGATTAACATTAGTACTGTTCTTGGAGAAGAGTGACTCTCGGCTGCTCACTGGAGTCGTTTGCCTTATGGCTGTTTTCCTTTCCCTCATGGAATCGGTTATCCTTTTTCTCCTGCTCGATCTCGGACCGGGGAACATTCTTTTGGTCTCCGTCCTCGTAGACTTGAGAGTTCCCGACGTTAGAGCTCATTATGATAACGGCTGAAAGTAGCTATATGCAAAGTTTATTGGAGAATTTGAAAAGAGAAAGAATCTAGAGGTTGCACTGTTCTAGTCGATTCTTTTGAAGAAGTTTCCTAACTTCCCTGGTGCGTGACAGCTTGCCACTAGTTAGTGCAGTTGATGACCACAAGATACTACGTCATGCTCAAACGCCCTTTCACCTCGAATCGAGCGAGCGCACAGGACGTTTCTGAGTAATCTTTTCAAGTAATCGCCAACCTTATTTCAATCAGGAGAAACAGGACACGGAAAATTGTCTTGAGAACGCGTGGATTTTGAAGATCTGGGAGAGGCAGGTGGATGCCAAATGCAGCAACGACATCGAAACATCGATGCCCAGGAGAGAATCACCGAAGCTAATTTGTTTGGAATAACAAAAATAGGTCCAATACGGAGAATGCCCCATTGTTCAGCGTTCGTCCAATCGAATACGGTAAGTTCAATGGTGGTTAGAGCTGTTGATCAAGTGTTCCCCAGCTTTTGGGTGATCCAGAAAATAAGACAGACCACCCACGCTTCACTTCTGATCTGACAAGTGTCAGAACTCACTTGAGCGGTCAAGAACTGTTCCTCCACTGGAAATACCCGTTCTTTTCATCTGAATTTCATCTCTTCTCCGTGATTTGGTCACTTTTTGTTTTGTTTTGACGTCCTTATCAGATATCACTTTGAGACATCTGCAGATCATTTGAAAACTTCGTCAAGTTTGTCTGAGGCGTTTCACGTTTCTTTTTCTCCACATTCTGTTTTGAGCTGTGGTAGTGCGTAATTTCGGATCGTTTCTTTTACTGTAAATTCCTTTGCAAAGAAGAACAAGGGGATCGTTTTTCAAACTTTCTCCTATTCAAAGTTCGTAGGGCATTTAAAGGGGCGATCAAACCAAATATTACCGGGAGAAATAGAGACCAGGGCCAAGTCCCCTGTGCACGTGGCGACGTGGGAGTGCCGGGTCCGCATCCTGCCATCCCGTTAACATCCCACTCATTTCCGAACTATCCTGGTCTGCCAGGAACGAGGGACCACACCGACGAATCCTAACATAAAAACGACATTTCCATCTGCACTCGAGTTCGAGCACATGGTCAGCATCAATATCTTGCTACGTAAATACAACTCCCGGCTTTCACGTAACTCAATAATTGGAGCGGAGCAATGATAATTCTGTCTCCGGTCGAATCGGCCTGGCCTCTTCGAAACGACACGCCAGACAGAATCGATCGCAGAATCGGTCAGCCCTTTGCGATCTCCACCCCGGAGCCGGGGTACACTCATGCATCAGTAATGCATAAGGACGCATCACGGCCAAATTATGTTCTTAAATAAGGACCGCGTAGAACAGAACTCTAGTTCTTAAACGCCATGCCAAATCTGCCGTACAGAGGCTGAGGTAAGAAAGGCATTGAAAATAACCTCAACGCATGAAAATGTGGAGACAGTGAGCGGGTGTTTCTTGAGGCTTTGGAGACAAAATGCTCGCAAGGGAAAGTGGGCAGGGCTCGTTTCTTTTGTCATCAAAGCCACGCAAACATTGGACGAACTGGATATCGCGCCTCCCTTCCTCCCGTGCCGTCTCACTGCGGCTCAGATCAGTGATATCGAAAGCCTCAATTGCAGATTCAGCTTTCGAGGCCGATTTCGGGATCCTCGATCTTGAATCTCCTGTGTTGTGTCCAGAGAGAGATACGGCGGGATGGTCGTCATTCGCATCCTGACTTGACAAAGTTTGGTACTCGGGACGGATAGAGACAAGCATAATCCAAACTTAGACATATGCTAGTGTATTTGTTATGCAGATGCGCGAGAACAGGTTCATCAATCAATCAAATCACGGTTTCAATCTCACGGTGCCCTGAGAAGCAACGCCGCACCGATTGGCCCATTGACGCGGCAGATGCTCTCCACATCCACTTTTACTGCATTTATTGGCCGTGGATATCTTTGGATGTTGTTTGGGGGGTCCGGGGTCGCTTGTGCACCAATTTCAGAGCTCATTTCCCGGCACAGATCCTATCCTGGACCGAGCATCATGTTCTCACGAAGCGACGAAACCGAAGCTGGCAATCAGCGGCCCTCCCCGTGAAACCAATCGAAGGATCAGAAACGCTCCGAGGATGGGCAAGGCAATCTGGGAGTCGGGTCTGAGAGTGAGGACGGGAGCCACGCAAAATGAATCTGGCACTCGCCGGCAAGCAGACCGATGCAGAGAGAGCCAGTCTCCGTCTCAGATGCTTGACTGACTGCTGTGTCCGGTGCGGTGTGGTGCGCAGCAAGCAGGTCCACTGCAGGTGCCGCTGTGCTCTGCAGAGGGCCCGACGTTTCTCTGATGTATCCGCGATGTTGTGCTTCACAGACCGCGGAGTGGTGGGTATTGAGTGCGTGCGTGCGTGCGTGCGCGCTTCTTGTCCAAAGGTCAGGGTCTGGTCCACGGCCTCGCTGCCGGCCGCAAACAGGACCAGCGCGTGGCATCACAACACCCAGCAGACCTACATCATATGTGAAAGGAAGTCGACTACTTCTGGCAGGCGCAAAGTGTCATGCTTCTTGAAATTGGGCTGAGGAGTCCGTCCAGACTCCAGCCAGGCATCTTCCCTCCTCGCGTCCACCTCTGATGTGGTTCTTCCCGGTCTGCTGCCCGTACAAAATACAATTTAATACAAAGCACGCGTAGCGAGAAAAGCGTGCGCCGAAACCTCGACCTCGACCCCCCCCCTCCCCCTCCCCTGTCTGGCTAGCGCACCGGCCGCAGAGCACTCAACTGCGCTCTCGTCCCAGTGCCCACTGCCCACAGTCCCACTGCGCTGCTGCACTCTGCACTCTGCGCTGCTGCACCTGCTGCACCTGCACCTGCACCTACAGGCTCTTTCCTCTTTGGTCAGACTCAGACCAGCCACTTCGCCCCGGCCCTGTCGATGCTTGCTCGCTGGCTCGCTCTGCTTTCTTTCCTTTCCCAACTGCCACCACACTCCTTCACAAAGTCATTCGTTTGGATCTTCACTTCGTCCGCCCCAGAGTTCCACGGCTCATCGTGACTCGGGCATTTTTGGTTAGTCGCGTGGTGCCCGTATCGTTGTTTGCGCCAGTCCAGGCCCCGAGGTGGAGGAGATCAACAGCGCCGAAGCTTTACGAGGCACGCTGGATGAGTGAGGAACACCGCAAAACGAAACATGAGGGAGGAGAATCTGGAAAAGGGCCACGACAGCACCATCTATCCGTCGTCACCACACAATGCGAGCCCCAGGGAAGTAACCACATCGTCGCCACCGCCTCGCCATCCGACAATGGCACAGAGCTCAAGCTCGAGCTGTAGCTCGTCGAGGGGCGCCAGGGGAGATTGCTCGACCAAACGAAAACAACAGTCGACGGCCTTCAACACCAAGACCGCGCTCCTCTCCGTCCTGGCAGCCGCACCGGGGGCAATGGCACAGAATTGCATCTCGCTGTCGGGCTCGACGCAGTGTTCTGCCTTCAATACTTCATCTATCTCGACCGACAGCACGCTGGTCGGATTTTTGTAGGGCCCCTGCACTTCACGAAATTGGCCCCGCTGGTTGCTAACATCTTCGTCCACGCAGCCCATTCTTACAGTACGTCTCGAGTACTGCCACTTTTGACGAGCAATTGGCATCGTACGTCTCCACGAGTTACGTGCAAGAAAAGTAAGTGCCACCTCTTGTCACTGTCCTCCTAATAAACAACTCTAACACCAATATGTAGATACCAGACGCTTCTCGGCTGCGGAAACATTAATCTTACGAACACCACCAACCTTTACGCACGCTTCACGACGACAGTAATATGTAATGCAATAATACAGAATTCCCGCACACTATGTGGCTTATCAGCAGCAAACTCGCCGCCAGTGTGTGCCGATACTTGCGTATGTTTCTACGAAGCAATTCCCATATCTCGATTGTATTAATGTTGACATCTTTTAGGCACAACAAGCCTCGAGCGAGTCAATTATCATCGCTGATTCTGCCCTTTGCTCCACCCCAGGTAGTAATGCCGGTTCGCAAATCAGAGCCGACTTCACCAATTGCGCGTTACCGGCCAACTCGTTATCCGGTACCTGCATCGAAGGAGCCGCAAACGAACCGGACAATTGTGGGTTCGGCAACAGCACCATTGGCCTGTGCCAATACTGTGGTTCAGGGGGACAGAACAGTACAGACACGTGCTGTTACAACTCACAGGCAAATCAAAGATGTGTCGGTGTAGTATTGCCGACGATTACTGCTTTCATGACTTTTTCGACGGCTTCCCCGACTGCCACATCAACATCATCGGCTTCCGCATCCGGCACTAACACGCCCGCAAGTTCAAAGAAAGGGTTATCGGGAGGTGCAATTGCTGGCATCGCCGTGGGCTCAGTCGCCGGGGCAGCACTTCTTATAGGATTGCTTTTCCTCGTGATATTGTGTTTACGTCGCAGACGTGGAAGTCAGAATGGAAGCGTCTTCAATCAACCATCCCCAGCAAGGCGAGGTCAAGCGGGGATGGCGTATAATCCAGTAGGGACTAATACCACCCAAGAGGGCTACGAAGTTCTTCCTGGAGGACGTATTGCGCGCATGTCAGCACTGGAGGGACATTCTGGAGATTCGCCTCCACGTGGTGAAATGGCTGGGAATGCAGCTGGGGGTGCTGCTGCTGGCGCTGCGGCCGGATATGCTGCTGGAAGGAGGAGAAATCATGAGCAATCATCATCTGATGAATATAGTCCGGTGTCCAATCCCGCCGGAGGAGTACTGCGTCCTCCACCAACGGGCCGGCGCAACGGGTCACTATCAAGTAACTCCGTTCTTGGTGGTGAAGATCCCCAGTCTCCGCATTCTGGCAGTGGTGGCGACATGTCATCTCCACAAGGGGTAGCGAGCCAACAATCCGAACAGCTGCCGTTCTTCAAGGATTATTATTCTCAGGACGAGATACATCCTGGCGACAAGGTTGCAACCCTGTGGGCTTACCAACCACGAGCCAGTGATGAGTTTGCCCTAGAACGAGGAGATATGCTGAAGGTTGTCGGTATCTGGGATGATGGTTGGGCGACTGGAGTGATGATTGACGAGCGAGCCGATGAGTGGGATGCAAAGAGGAATGCTCAGCGCGACAGTGGTGTGTCTAACACATCAGGCAGGAGGGATGAATCTCCAGCCGTGAGTGGTGAGATCAAAGCATTCCCACTGGTCTGCGTCTGTCTTCCGGACCACTGGCGAAAAACGATAGAGGGTGACGGGTCGACGGAGACGGGATCCAGCGCCCCGCATGGTACGGCTCCATGACCTACTGGCCTTAATGCCTAATCGACCTCCATTTTCTACGGCTTCACGACGGAGTTACTTCTTTTTTGGTGTCGGCGTTCCGGCTCAGTGATATTTGTATTGTCTCTGAGCACACTTTTGCCCCATATATAAAGCCTCGAGTGCAATTCTGCATACCTTCCTACAAACTCAACAAACCTCGACATATCGACAAGTCACAACCTTTCTTTTCCCTCGCCTTCACGCCTGTTCCGTTCTAGACCTACTCTCTGCATTGTATTGCATGGCATCGCATCGCATACACCCACCCACACATTGCTGGATATTGCATTGTACCTCCGGCTTATCAGCCGTCCGAGGCCTTCAACCCACCAGCGCTCTAATAATATCACGACAGCGTACACTGTGTGTTTTGTTTTTGATTGCCCAGAGAGGTGACGCTGTTAACCACTGGAATACCTATTTTCCTTTCTATATACCCAAATTCTTGTATGGAGTAGTGAGTTGTCTTGGATTGGAGAAGCAAGAAGACAGAAAGGTGTTGGGTTGTGGTTTTGTGTGGTGTATTTTTGGAGGACGGAAGAGTTGAACGTCGTTATGATGAAGACTCTGTTTATAGGGGCTTTTTGAAGGGTGGGTGTCGCTGGTGTAAGAGGGCACGAAGTAGGATAATCGGTGGCTGGCGAGGAGTAGAACTGCTTGAGAGCAGAGTTTATAAATAGGAGATGCTGTGGAATGCAATATCAAAACAACAGGCTCCACTTTCGTTGGTGCACATTGGTGACCGAGCATCAATAGCAAGCTGGACGCTCGGATGAAAGTTTCTTCCACTTGAGTTATCGTCTAGACTTCGGATGAAAGTGAATAGACGCGACGGTCGCTCTACAGCCTCGCGAGATTTGCAACCAAAACATGTGGACTTCTCGATGAAAGTTTTGATGAGAGGTAAAATAGACCTGACTTGTGATTCTAAAGGATTCCGGGTTTTAATTTGGCAAAGTCGCCATCTATCATCTATCTATCAATTCCCATCATTAACGCCAGCACACCAAAAATTGGGTATCAGATGTAAGAATTTTCGAGTGGAAAAGAGTCTGAGGGACTCGGATTCTAACGGGTGCCCCTATTCCATCTCGATGGTTCCAGGGGGCTTGCTCGTCAAGTCATACTCCACACGGCACACCCCGTCAACTTCATTCACAATCCGAGTCGACACCCGCTCCAAGAACTCCCAGTCGAAGCGGAAGATATTGGCGGTCATGAAATCCGTCGTCTGCACAGCACGCAGCGAAATCACCTGCTGATGCACACGCTTGTCTCCCATAACGCCAACCGCCTTCACGGGCAACAGCGCAGCAAACGCTTGGCTGATCTGGTCGTATAGACCCGCCGCTCGGATCTCCTCGATGAAGATGTGGTCTGCCTTTCGTGCAATGGCAACCTGCTCGCGTGTCACCTCGCCCAGCACCCGGATTGCAATACCTGGGCCGGGGAAAGGGTGGCGCATCACCAGGTCATGCGGGATTCCCAGTTGGCGGCCTAGTTCGCGGACTTCGTCTTTGAAGAGCTCGCGCAGGGGCTCGATGAGCTTGAGGCCTTGGCCGTTCATCATGCGCTCAGGGAGGCCGCCGACGTTGTGGTGCGTCTTGATGGTTGCGGAGGGCCCTTTGAAGGAGATGCTTTCGATTACATCGGGGTAGAGGGTTCCTTGGAGGAAGAACTTGATGGGGCCGGCTTTGGGGGAGTTTTTGGCTGCTTCTTCGATCTTCAAGGCTTCGGCTTCGAAGACGTCGATGAAGGTGCTGCCGATGAACTTTCGCTTGGCTTCGGGGTTGTCGGATATGCCTTTCAAACCGTCGAGGAAGAGGTCGGAGGCGTCGACCACAGTCAGGTTGATGCCCAGGTGCTCGGTCAGGGTCTTCTTCACCTGCTCGCATTCGTTGAGACGCATGCAGCCGTTGTCCACCAGTACAGCGTGGAATCGGTCGCCAATGGCTTCGTGCATGAGTTTTGCGGCGACGGTGGAATCAACTCCTCCACTGACGGCTCCAAGAACCTGTCCCTTGTCTCCTACCAGGGCTCGGATTCGGGCAATTTCTTTGTCCACGAACTTGGCCATCGTCCAATCTTGTCTTGCCCCGCATATACCCACGGCAAAGTTCTCCAGCAGTTTGACTCCCCGCGGTGTATGGGTTACCTCGGGGTGAAATTGTATTCCATAAATAGGTTTCGTTTCGTGTGCAATGCCTGCATAGGGAGAGTTTTTGGTGGTCGCAATGGTGTGGAACGAGGCAGGAAGTGCACCGAGTTTGTCTCCGTGCGACATCCACACCCTCAAATCATCCTCCAAATCCTTGAAAAGCTTGTCGACATGGCCATTGTGTCTCTTGGCCTGAACGTCTGCATGTCCATATTCCCTCTCGGTTCCAGCAACAACATTCTTCCCGTGGTGCCATGCTATCTCTTGCAATCCATAGCATATCCCAAGAATCGGTACTCCGAGCTCAAAGATAGCTGCGTCGACATGTGGTGCGTCTGTTTCGTAGACGGAATATGGACCTCCTGAGAGGATAACGCCCTTTGGTTTCCAGGAAAGCTCGGCCAGCTTCTGGGTGCAAGGGAGCATCTCAGAGTAAACATTGAGCTCACGCAGTCGTCTCGTAATCAGATGGGAATATTGAGATCTGTGGTTTTGTTAGAACGACACGGTTTTTTGCGTGTAAGAGACGCGTAGGAGTCACCGACCCGAAATCGAGGGTGAGGATCGTGTCGAATGTCTTGTGTGGCTCGTCAAGAGCGAGAACTCCGTTGGTTGCCATGATCTGAATAAACAAAGCCGACACAGAAGTTCTAAAGTTAACCAGGGGGGAGTAATATGGCGGTGGGGGGTTTGTTGTGACCCTGAGAGAGTAAGGAATGCATATGAGGGGGAAGAAGTGGGGTCTTCGTCAAGAAAAAAGGGCGGAAATTAATTTTTCGGATCTTATCACCACGCGAAAATACGATAAGGATTTTCATTTGAAACTGGGGACTAAACTTTACTTCATCTCACTTCCAAACAGTCACAATGGTCAAGAAGAGAATAAGAGACCCCGAAGTCCTCGAGGAGGCGCCTCCACCTAAGTCTGGGGCTGATGATAGTGGAAGCGATGATGTATAAGCTCTCCTTCTCTTCCCACTAACCCCTGCTGACCGAATCTCAGGATGTGGACATGGTCAATATTGAATTTGAATGGTTCAATTTCAAACCGGACATCGATTTTCATGGAGTCAAGAGCCTATTGAGGCAACTTTTTGACGTTGACTCACAACTCTTCGACTTGTCCGGCCTCGCAGACCTCATTTTGTCGCAACCAACAGTTGGCTCTACGGTGAAGGTGGATGGAGAGGATACGGACGCCTACGCTTTCTTGACAATACTCAACCTCCATGAGCATCGAGAGAGAAAAGTCATCAAGGATTTGACGGCTTACCTGGTCGAGAAATCAAAATCGAGTCAAGCACTTGCACCACTCAGCAACGTGCTCGCCTCCTCATCGCAAGTCGGGCTTGTCCTAGCGGAACGTCTGATCAATGTTCCTGCAGAGATTGCCCCACCGATGTACACGATGCTCATAGATGAGATTGAGGCTGCTGTGGAAGACAAGGAGCCTTACGAGTTCACACACTACCTCATCATCTCAAAAACGTATCAGGAACTAGCCTCAGCCTTGGACGAAGAAGACGCACCAAGAACAAAGAAGAGCAAGGCGAGCAAGACTAATAGGGAGACTTTTTATTTCCACCCAGAGGATGAGGTTCTGCAACGGCATGCTCTGGCATTGGGATCATTTGAGTATAGCAAGGATGAGGGCGAAGGAATGGCAGACAGCAAGAGGGCATTTTCTGACATGGGTATCAAGCCACAGGGTTCAATGATCTTGATTGAAGCAGGTAAGTTCGAAGGTGCAGTAAAAGCCATCAGCGAGTACTTGAGTCCACCGCAATAAATCGATGACCATCCTCAAAGTCTGTTCCATTTATTCTGGTATCAGTCTCTGCATCAAATACTCGACCTCGACTTCCTTCGTAAGTGGAATCACAAAGTCAGCATACATTGCGACCACTTGATCTACGTTGATTTTGTTTGGCCCTTCAGCACCTGTACTAGGGTCCGTCCCATAAGTCCTTGCCTTCAACCGTAATCGCTCCAACACTTTCTTCTCAACAGCTTCATTTGTAATCGCTGCCCCGATCCCCTCCCGATCCTCTGCCTGTATCAACTTTGTGAATCTCTCTGGCTCCGCCTGAAACTTTGACTCTGCAACAAACTTGCCAAAGTGGATTCTCCTTGAGAGCGCCTGTAAGCACAAGATGTCGGCGGTTGCTGCCGATCCATAGTTCTCCTCCGTCTCGCCCCTGTCTTTTCGACCAAAGTCTGCACATGCTGCTGGGAGGAAGTTCTTTATGTAGTGATCTTTGATCTTTTGGTTGACATTAACATCGTTCTTGTGGAGGATTTTTGGATAGTGAAGAGGCTGAAGAATGGGGGATTGCAGGGCGTCGGGGAAGAAAGGATATTCGTCTGGGGATTGGAAGCGTCGAATTAGAGAATCAAGCTTCTCCCGCTCACGTAGTGTCCAATCAAGAAAGCTGAGGTTGCTGTTGGGTATCTTGAGAGCTCCAGGCTTGTAAATGGTGCCGTTTAGGGGAAATTGAACTCGCTCAATGAGGTGAAAAGTGATGGTGTCCTCCAATCGACTGTGAAAAGTATTCTGTCAGCTTTGGCGTAATTACTAGTTTCTGATACTTACATGAGCTGGAAACGGATGTTCGAGAGGTCCAAAGCCTTTGAGGCATCCGAAAGGTCTATTGCTGCATCCATTGCTTACAGTGGTGGGGGAAGAACGAGTGAGTGAACAGCCAACGGTGAGGGGGAGAGGAAGCTTTTAAAGCTGAGAATGGAAAGTGAGATGCACAATTAAATCCGCGTTCGGAATCCCTAGGTCTGACAAGTCAATGGCTTATTGTCATCTCTCGTCAGACTTAAGTGGAAACTGAATCCTCCAACTCTTAGGCAAGAACCTTAAGCTCCCAAGCGGCCGCTCCCAAGCCACAAATGTGGCGTTCGAGGGAGCCTGCGAACCAGAGTCCCGTCCACACGACCAAGATAATAAACAAGACACTTGACTTTTGGCTCCTGTCACCTGCTCCACCGCCTGCAGATCTCGACACGACCTCCCAATCATTATCGCGACTTTACATGTTTTGCGTACGGTGAAACCCCACGGATGGCAGGTTTGAGCAGCCGCAATGGCTCTGACTTTGGAGGACCAGAGGAGGAGGACTCGATAATATCGGTAGGTTTTGCGGTCCCTCGAGCTCGATCCTAAATCTGATGCAGCGCAGACACGAGGAATCGAAGCATTTGGGCGGAAGGTCACGACGACTGCTGGGCATCTTTTAATGCCACTGGCAACTGGGGACCCTCCTTCAAGTACACATTATCAGACTGCAATGAGCGACTTGCACAAACAGCTAAGACGACCAAACCTACAAAGAAGCGTGTTCTCTTTTGCCAAAACTACACCTACCGACCTTGTTCGTTCAAAGCTATCAACCTCAGAAATCCAATACCGAGCCCTGACATATCTACCTGACGAGCTCCTGGCGAATATTCCCGATGATGAAAACACATATTCCTTGTTTCAGGGCTTTCAAGCCACGATGCCAGAGAACAGCGCGGATAGTAAACGGCATCGAAGGCGGATATCGAGGGGGAGAAAGCTTTTAGAGGACGACAAGTCGGAATCAGAGACCCCGCCAAATATTGGGAAGCTCAAGAGGGAGAAGAACTCCTTGAACCACCAGCTAGAGATGATGAGTATTCGCAAGAATATGGCCAGCAGCGAGATTCACGAGATAGACAACAAGATTGCGAATCTTAATAGCATGCGGAAGATAATATTGGAAAGATTAGCAGGGCTAGAACAGGAGGAGGCTCTGCTGGAGCATGACAGTTTGTGCTCCAAAGCTCCAAAATTTGCGGTAACGCTGACCTATCTATCTATAGTTATGGATGTTGAGAACCGACTTGAAGATGCTCAAGAGCAACTGGACGATGCTGAAGCATTTGCTCTGGCTGCAAAGGAAGAGGAAGATTTAGACAAGCCAGACGATTCAGCAATGGATGCATCTTTCATGTCCGAGTCGATATATGAGAAGCTCCCTTCCGAAAATAGCACACCAACAAGACCGAAACGGCATAAGACCATTCGCCGCAAGTCGATGCCCATTTTGCATGAGCATTTTGAACCTGGGTCTATGATCAGAGAGATTCAAGCTCATAATGATAATATCACAGCTCTTGATTTCGATGTTCCTTTTGGTACTATGGTTACCTCTGCTCTTGACGATACAGTTCGCGTCTGGGATATGAGTGCAGGGAGGTGTATTGGCCTTTTGGAAGGCCATACTGCTTCTGTACGAACTCTTCAAGTAGAGGATAATATCGTTGCGACAGGTTCCATGGATGCAACAATTCGGTTATGGGATCTCAGCAAAGCACGTTATGAACCACAAGATAACCGTATCAATAAGGGCGTTGATGAAGACGAGGATCCTTTAGCATTTGGCAATCCGGAAGATGAAGAATTCGAACCGCCTATGGACAGCATGGCAGACTGTCCATTGTTTACCTTGGAGGCTCATGTGGACGAAGTCACTGCATTACACTTCAGAGGCGATACCCTTATTTCGGGTTCGGCGGATAAGACACTTCGACAATGGGATCTCGAAAAAGGGCGCTGCGTACAGACTTTAGACGTCATGTGGGCGGCAGCTCAAGCATCCGCAACTATGGGTTCTAGCGAGGGTGGTTGGCGGCAGACCGGCCGATTGCCAGATGCATCAGCAGATTTCGTGGGAGCTGTACAAGTATTTGATGCTGCACTCGCTTGTGGGACAGCAGATGGTATGGTCAGATTATGGGATTTGCGGAGTGGCCAAGTTCATCGGAGTCTTGTTGGACACACTGGTCCAGTAACTTGTCTGCAGTTTGACGATGTGCATTTGGTCACAGGTAGCGCGGATCGTAGTATTCGAGTAAGTCTCACGTCACCTCACGTCACAAACTCGTAGTGTGCTTGACTAAAAGCCGACAGATTTGGGATCTTCGGACAGGTGCAATTCATGATGCCTATGCATACGATTCTCCAATCACAAGCATGATGTTTGATAACCGCAGGATCGTTTCGGCCGCAGGTGAAGATGTAGTAAAAGTGTACGATAAGCTGGAAGGGCGACACTGGGATTGCGGTTCGGGCGTCACCGCCGAAGAAGAAAGCAGAACCCCTGCCATAGTGGAACGCGTCAGGATCAAGGATGGGTATGGCTCCCGTTTTCGTTCTCCCGATTTGTTTTCACTCCTCAGATATGCCTTCAAAGCATACACTCGTGAAATATTGTTTCAACCTTCTCCTCTCCTCTCACTAGGCAATACTAACGCCTGTAGCAGGTACCTGACCGAGGGCAGAAGGGACGGAAAAGTAGGAATATGGACGTCTTGATCATCTGGACCATGGAATAGCATATAGAGGCGTTTTGCTGGTGGGAGAATCGACCAGGGGATGGCTCCTTGTAAATATTTGTACGGATATACCTCCAATACATATTGCCGTTCGAGGAAAGCGACTCCGTCAGTCTACGTTCAGTGCCAATGCATGGATGTTACAATGCTTCCATCTTCTAGCTGCTTATCTAAGCTGCTTCTCTGGTGCCAAGTCATTCAAAAGGGACACCTCTGTATTCCGACAAAGCCATTCTTTAACGGTTTCCCGTCTTTCCCTACCAGGAATGTGGCAGGTGCAATCTGCTCGTAGATTAATTACAGGGGGGGCGGTGGGCGACGCTGCGCTGGCAAAATTGAGCGAGGCCTCAGAACATTTGCGGCAAAAGATTTGGAAAGGAGGGAGGCACCGCCGAGAGCATGGGATGAAAGTGACTTGCTCGCCCCCATCCCAGCTGAAATAAGAATATTGTGGCATTATTGTCTCAATGAGCCGAATTACATCAGACCATACCTGTGTCAATGCTATATAATGATGATTATGTCCACAATTCTCTTCATCCGAAGTCGAGACAGTAAGTCGAGACAAAAAACTCATCGAAGTCCAGACGACAATTTGGAATATACACATTATCTGAATACAAAGCTTATTATTACAACTTGGCTATAGAATTGCGGAGATGTGCAACAGAGCGCCGAGAATGAATTGGAGGAGACGATGATCTTCCTGCAGTTGACGATCTTGTTGTATTTGAAGGTGATGGTCAAATTACCGGTTTGGTCACTATAATTTGAGCTTTTCCGCACTCGAGATTCACTATCCGTTAACGACACCATTTCTCATTGTCTCAGGACCTTTGGAATATTGAAGCGATATGCACTTTTCAATCATCATTGGATCCATATCTCAAGGAGAATCTCGATGTCCCTGAATTATTGGTAACGGTCCCTCCTCGTGGCACTACTTGCAGATACCAAATCTTCTAAGGCAAACACTTCTATAGATGTGGTGCAATACCTTTAAATGCATTATCTCGAATAGAAATGTTTCATTTCCCTCCTCCTCTAGTGCTCAAAATTAAATTTGTTTATGAATGGAATTTTGCGAAGAATAACATCTGTACGTGAGTCGAAGAAAACATGCAAAAACTGAAATTCTTCAATATTCTCCATCGTATGTACTAACCCGCTAAACACTTCCCATCCTCCTTTTTATTTATATTGGTGTTCAGTCTGATGTCCGTTGTTGCCCCATATAGGGAACAATAAAATCCGCTTCGAGTCTGTGTGTATGCTCTCAATCCCAAATTTGACCTCAATATATCATCTTGATTTTCCATCCAACCTTCAGAACTCTCGCAGCGATCAAGCATGCCGCAGCAGCCGTATAGGACAATCCAGCAAAGATAATCAAGCCGATGTATTTTCCTCCATTGGCGATTAGGATCTGTCCTCCGATCGGGAGTGCCGTCAGAGTTCCGAAGGCCACAAACATCCCTAGGTAACAGGGAAGTCAGCAATTGCTCAATTGGGATTGTTTCGGGAGAGGACATTGACTTAAGAAAGTCTCATGAAACAGTCGCAAATAGGAAGAGGTTTCTCCCCCAACACCTACAACAAGTGGAGTAGTATCTTCCGTAGTGCTCGGTTTTGCACATCTGGCCAACGCAAACAGGGCTGAGGCTGAGATTTGAGCCGCTGACGAAGCCGAATATGACGGCAAAGACAACGGTCATTGCAGTCGAATCTCCGGCTGGCAGCCAGAGCGCAAAGCATGTGATGATGCACAAAACAATGCTGAGGATGAGAGTGTTCACTCTGCCTATCATGTCTGCGGCCAAGCCAGCGAAGAACCGTCCAAAGAAAGAACCACCGTTCAGGACAGCAATGATTTGGAAGCCGAAGGACGAGCTGTGGCCATGAGACGTGGAATAGGACGTGAGATAAGTAAGTGGTACAAATATTCCCCATTCCATGAGAAAGATCCCAAGGCTCACAAACGCGAAAGGGGGATCTTTGAAGACCGTGAGGTCAGGGGCCACACTCATAAAACTGGCCATCGGCTTGCCGGGCAGCCTACCCCTGACCAAAATATTCGCAAGCCCTAGGAGGCCGGCGAGAATGAACCCCATGATTCTGGTTGCCCACGCGAAGCCTAGCATGGGAAACAGCTTCTGGAGCATCAATGGGAAGATGATGCCGCCTATGGAGCCGCTAGTCATCGCAATTCCGGTGGCGTTTCCTCGCCTGAGAAGGAAGAAATGGCCGATTGATGATATACACGGTGTATTGATGAAAGCACCACCCAGGCCATTCAAGACGCTGTACACCATGAAGAAATGCCAGTACTGTGTACATAGTCCCAGTAGGAACATCGAAGCGACGAGGAGCACGGATCCACAAAGCATCAGTAGCCTTGGACCGTAGGCGTCAAATATGGGGCCAATGGGGGCTCCACAGAAGAAGGTCAAGAACACTGGACAAACCAGGTCAGCACTGGTTCATTTTGAAGGGGAAATTCCCGGGGGCATAGAAGATTCCGATGTATCACAGCTCGCGAGACATTCCATAAGATGAGGAGAGGATATGCATACGGGAAAGGCCAAAAATCCATCCTATCTGACTTGAAGTATAGTCTTTCAGCTGATGAGTGCTAAAGTACTCAAGCAAAATCCCAGTAGAATTAATAATCCCGAAGACAGAGAAGAGCCCACAAAATGCGCCGATGACGACACAATAGCCCCTCAGGCCGCCTTCAGGAAAGTCATCTTGCTCATCCGTGAGGGTCGAGGTATCAGTGTCTGGCTCTGCGTTTTGGTCGTAGAGACCTTTTCCGCCCTGATCGGAGGGGCATTGGGTGTTCAGTGCAACGTCATGTGCAGTGGGGTCTGAAGGGTTTATGGCGGTCTTTTCGACATCGTAGTCTGGAGTAGTGCTAGAAACTTCATTGTTTGTGTGGTTTTTTAAGCAGCTGTCCTCTGCCCCATAACCAGCACTTCTTTGCATGCGCTCACTCCAAAACGGCCTTGGTGTTTCACAACGCAATGGTCGAAGTTAGGAGATCCCGGGAGGTGAAATATAAGAAGAGAAAGAAAACCAACACAGAGTGGGGTAAGGAGGAAAGATAAAGAAACGCTTCGGAGGCGTCCGATGTGGAGGCCGCTGCACGTGACGAGACAATTAGGTAATGACTACCTAGCTGGGTACAATACGTCCCAAGCCACACCCATCATCTCCGGAAGTGCAGGTCATAGAATGTGGACCCGTCTTGCCCTGGAGAGGGGCTCTCTTCGAACGTCCGCAGCCAGTGCCACACGGAGGACGGAGATGGAGATAGAGATGGATATTGGCTTTGCCTGTCTCTCCATTGGCGATATGAAACCCACTTGATCCCGTCTGCATCAACCGAAATCCCGGGGACCAGAACATTACCTGTTGGAATGCTCCCACATAGAAGGGGTCCCGGGGGCCAGAACCTTTGCTTTTGGAATGCTCCCATATGGAAGGAGTCCCGGAGTTAAGTAGCCAGAAAATGAAGACACACGGACCACCGTGCATGCTGAGTAAAAAGCTTCACTCTGCAACCCCCAGGGCTCACATATCTCTCGGGAAAACTCCCAAAAGCCAACCTATAGAGAGTGAAGATACCCGGATTGCGAGTACGAAGGCTTCAAGCTTGCATCCTCCTCATCCGCGGTTAAACGCCGGCGGTGATAGCTAGTATGAGTATCGTTCATTGGCCGCTGTATCCTGGACCCCGTTCTAGATGTTGGATGATACCGCTATGAGATCATGGTAGCATTTTTATAAATACCTGACTCTTTCCCACTCTCTCGTTCCTATTTCACAATCCCTATTACCATCAGTTGACTTTCTCTTGAAGCTTGCATTCAGTGTTTTTTCCATCTCTAGTACTACCACCGACTTCTACACTCAACTACAATGGCTTTTGCACCTCCACCGCCGCCTAAGACCGCCCTGGGCTATTATCGCATGCTGGCTCCCACTGCCTCTGTTAGAGTCAGCCCGTTGTGCCTCGGGGGCATGAACTTTGGTGATGCTTGGTATGTTCTCTCAATCGCTTCAAGAACCCAAATATTTATGAGGAGACGACAGGAAAGATTTCATGGGCGAATGCGGCAAGGAGGAGACCGAGAAAATTCTGGATTACTTTTATGAGTGTGGCGGGAACTTTATCGATACGTCGAACAACTATCAGAAAGAAGAATCCGAGATATGGATTGGGGAGTGGATGAAGAAGCGCGGCATCCGTGATCAGATGGTGATTGCAACGAAGTTTACCACATGCTACAGAACTGGCTATGGTGAAAAGGAGATCATCGTTAACGCTTCAGGAAACGGGACAAAGTCGCTACACTTGTCACTGGAAGCTAGCTTGAAGAAACTTCAGACCAGCTATATTGACTTGGTATAGTTACTATGTTGCTGAAACGCCCTTTTTGATGCTGACGCAATGTCAGCTTTACGTTCACTGGTGGGACTTCACCTGCTCTATCCCGGAGCTGATGCAATCTCTCAATACTATGGTGCTACAAGGGAAAGTGCTTTACTTGGGAGTATCGGATACACCTGCCTGGGTAGTTTCGAAAGCCAACGAATATGCCCGACAAAACGGCATGCGTCAATTCTCGGTTTACCAAGGGCGGTGGTCAGCCGAACATCGGGATTTCGAAAGGTAAGGAGCGGGAGAAACTTTTCCCTTATTCCAGTAGCGTCTGGAACAACACCTTTCATGAACAATTGCTAATTCTCTCGTTCCGTAGGGACATTATTCCCATGTGCAAGGTAAACATTCCCTTTCCGGGATCACCGGTATCCAGGTATATATATAGTGTTGACCTTGCCCAGGAAGAAGGAATGGGATTAGCTCCCTGGGGCGCCTTGGGAGGCGGCAATTTCAAGAGTGATGAACAGAGACAGAGCCAAGAGGGCCGAAAGATGGGAGAAGCAAGCCCAGCAGCAATCAAGATCTCCAAGGTCCTTGAAAGAATCGCCAACAGCCACAATGCCGAGATTACCAGCGTCGCATTGGCGTATGTGATGCAGAAAACACCTTACGTCTTTCCAATCGTGGGTGGGCGTAAACTCGAACACTTGAAAGGCAATATCGCCGGGCTAAGCATCGACTTGAGCGAGAAGGATATGGAGGATATTGAGGAAGCAAACCCCTTCGACATTGGATTTCCCATGAACTTCCTGGGTGGACCTGGTAAGTTGTGTTCACTTTTGCCCCTGTAATAATATCCCACAAGTTGTGGTAAACCCAAATTTGGGGTTCAAATTCTTGCTTCACTCCTGGAAGTGGATTTCAAGTTCCTACCTTATTAAGCAGTACTGATTCAGTAATCTTCAGGCGGCGTCAAGGATCCAAATGACGTTTGGCTGATGTCGATGGCTGGCAAACAGCAGCATGTGCCGGCTCCTCAAGTATGTGGTTCCTTCCCTGGCAAACCATAATGTCCGAGCTCTTACTGATTTTTCATCTAGGCAATCAAGCCCGTCAAGGTGGGAAAATAAGGTTTACGAGCTCCTCAATGTCACTGTATGCCGGATGTTTGAAGAAAGATAATTTTGAAATATGATTTTCGACCTGATTTCACTGCTCTTTGTTCGATGGAGCAGGAGACTCTTTCAGATTTCTATCAACATGTATAGCAGCTCAATCCCTGCGCCTTGAGCGAATTCACCAAGCGCCGCTGTATGCGAAGATACCTTAATCCTGTTAAGTTGACTGCGAGCACTGTAACTCTTGCCTCATTGTGGTTGACTAGGACCTTTTGCCACAGCTCGTCGGTGTTTTGCTAGTAACAGGATGGGCAAATACACGAAACTCTGACCATATTGTGTTTCTTACAATTAGATTGAGAGTTAGTCCGACACCAAGTAATACTTTCTCCTTCTAGTACTTTTTTGTTTTGATATCGGCGAGTTACCGATGGCTACTTGCCTTGCCTATTTGGGTACAGTAAGCAAGAATCCGGGGTAATTAGCGTGTTTCAAATCAATCGCTTCCCAGCCAGTCCCAGCTCAGTCTTCCGTGACGCATTCACCCAACAGGGCAGGGCCAAATCCAAGGACAATACGAGGAGAGCCCTCGTGGAAAATTCACGCCAAAACCAGACAATGGAATTGACACAATCCGCTGTCGGACCAGCTTTTGCTAGAGCTTCGCGCGACAAAGAACCCTCTTTCAACCTTCCTCTCCCGGACTTCGAATCCTTCCAACATCCTTCAACACGGTGTTGAATCTTTGATTTCTGCCTTGTACAACAAACGACCAACAACGCGACCTACGCCCCAATACCTGCTCACCTAGCTTCCACTCGAACGATCGCAAGCTGAAAATAGCTTGGTCAAAATGGAATTCGTCTACCGACTCAAAGATTCTGTCGTCCAGTACCTTTCTCCTCCCAGCAAACGCCGTCGCACAACCGGCCCTGGAAGCCCCTCGAACGACGCGAGGGAACTTCCTCTCTTGGTTCCTGCCTCCGAACCTCGAAACAGAAAGGCGCAAGCTGCGGTTCGCATTCATGTCAACAAGAAATTCCTTTCTCCTTCCAACACAAAGAATCCGCGAAAGCGAACCCGTGTTGAGTATGAGGCTGATGAAGAAACCATAAGCCCCGATGACTCGATTTCCCAGGTGACTCCTCAGGGAGACGGTAGTGAGGAAGAGGGCAGCGAAGGCGGTGCCGATTTGGATGCTGATGTAGAGATGGAGTCGGATGTTGAAGGCGACGAGGAGGAGGAAGTCGACGAAGATGGCAGTGAAGTTACGGCAGATTCATATGATCCAGATGTGGAGATGATGTCCGAGGGAGGGGGCAGCGAAGGCGAAGCAGATTCAGATGCAGTCACAGATCCAGGGTTGGAGCTCGAGTCTGGGGAAGAGATGGATGGTGACGAGGAAGAGGTTGAGGAAGAGGGTGGTGAAGATGCAGTCACTCATCAAGATTCCAACATGGAGGCAGCGGAAGAAGAGATAAAGGAGGAGGAGGTCGATGAAGAAGCTGCTGCGGAGGCTAAGGTCCAGGAATATCTTGCACGACAGGCCGAGTAAGTGACCCGATTTCATACCTGGACGACCATGTAATTGACAACTTTGATAGGTTAGCTTTGATTCGGGAAGAAGTTGAGAAGGTCAAGGCAGCCGGAGATTGGCATGCAGATGAGGTTTACCTCTTCGAAAGACTCTCTATGCGCAGCTACGAGGAGGTTATATCTTCGGAATGGCGGATTGATCTCCCGACGCTCCCTGAAGGTCTATTCACCACTGATCCCGAGAAGATTTTTATCAAGAATAATTGCAATTCTAGCTACAGTGGTACGTTCTGTTCGGTGAATTTACCCAGCTCTGTTAATCAGTTGGTACAGGTGTTAAGGCTCTCCAGCGCCTCCTTGTACTCGGATATCGCGTTCGAGACCTGTTGTGCAATCCTGGACGACGACCTGAGATTTTGATTACGAGGGAGGTGAAGAGTTACATCAAATGGGCGGAGCGTGATGGCGACTATGTAAAAAGACGCTTCATCCCAGTTCTCACTTTTGTTTCGGCTAAGCCAGGACAAACTACAGACTCTCTCAGCAACTCGATTACCAACGAGATGATGTTTCTGGCTCAGAAGCACCGAGAAAATTTGGCCAATTCCCAAGGACAGACCGGCGCCGTAAAGTACAGGAGACGACCACCACTCCTTTATGGAATCATCGTCGCTCAGTCAATTGTCATCTTCGTTACCCTCGACTCTGCCAATCCCGAAGCAAAAGTCAGACATTTGACACACTTTGACTTTACGGATAAACGCATGGTTGTATGGAATGGCTTCGCTATTGCATACATAATAACTATGGCCAAGGACTACATCATTTCCATCAGAGATGATCTGGAAATTGACGATACGCCTGACTCAGACCCGGATGCTTGACGTCCGTCGCTTCCGCGGTGGCCTCACGATTTATGGAGAACTCGACTTTTTTTTTGAAAAAAATTTAGCATGGTGGATATGGATACGAAGTTCTTGTTTGCGGGCTATTACTGGAGTACGGAGTTGAAATACTCTACCGACACGCTTTTCTTTTGTTCACGGAGGACGGAAATACCCCAAAGCTGCAGCACAAGCTCAGCACAGCACAACACATATTGCCAGTTTGTACGCAATGATACCCGACACACTTCGTTTGATCCGAATAGATTCGTCTCAAACCTGCGCCCTTGTGTTGACTGAGAGTCGTGAGACGTTGCCGTAACGTACAAGCTTCCCTCGTGAATTTACACCATTATAAAACAGCTCCCAATACATTCGTGCCTTACCCAGTGCCAAATAATCCTGCCTCCCTTTTATTCCTCTGAAGCAGCCTTCTCCAAGCCCGCAACGGCATTATCCAACTCCCTAATCCTCTGCCCAACCCTCCTCTGGACCTCCTCGCCTTCGCTTCCAGCCAAAGCCTCTTCAAACATCTCCTTCAATTTATCCAGCTCTTCCCTCGCCGCAGCGCGGTCATCGGCCGCATACACAGATTTCTTCTCCGTTTCCTCGGTGGCGATTTCGAACTCGTCGCGGGCAGTAGCATACTGCTCTTGGATATTCTCTATCAACTCATCCGCTGTGGATTTTGTGGCGAAGTTTCGTGAGGGGATGAGAATCGAAGATGGGTGAGGTTTGGCGGGGGGCTTTTGGTACGCAGAAGGCCGAGAGGCGTTCGTAGAGAGGAGCGAGAGGGGTCGTGCGGAGATGCGATTGAGACGCAGACACTTTGCGCAGATCGAAGGCCTGCCCGCTCGAGCTGGCAGAGTGCGTAATGAAAACATAGCCTCTATTTCAAGACCCACACGAGCTTGTTGGGATGAAAATGGAGCTCCTGAAGCTCTGTCGTGAAGAGGACAGGAGCGGCCGATGACGAGGCGCGTCAAAAGGTCCGAGCCAGCCTTGCGTTCCGTGTCTCAGAAACCGTGTTCCGAACATCCCATTTGCACTTCTCTCAAACGTCTAACTTCCAAACATTGAATTTTTAATCTTGGCGAAAGACCTTGAGGATGGCAGAAGAAGAGAGTGAGCCTTCAAGGCATGTAGCCTATTATCGACAGGCAAAGGATCTCGCACTGGGCCAGCACCCGCTGTCGAAATATGGACCTCCCTTGTTGCTCGTATTTGATGCGCTCCTCACCAGTTTGATTATTTCGAAAGTTGCTTGTGAGTTACTATTACTTTCTGAGAGGAGTCGTAGCTGACATGTGGGCCGCAGACACGGAAATCGATTGGAAGGCGTACATGGAGCAGGTCGAGCAGTATATGAATGGAGAACACGACTACACCAAGATCAAGGGCGGTACAGGCCCGCTGGTATATCCCGCTGCTCACGTGTATATCTACTGGATTCTTTACTATGTAACGGACAAAGGGAAAGATATTTTGCTTGCGCAGAGGATATTTGGGATTTTGTATTTGAGTACAATTGGGACCGTGATGGCGTGTTACAGAAGGGCTAAAGCACGGGACCTTTATCCCATTTTATAACTTGAAAACTGCTAATTATTCATATAGGCTCCTCTGTATATTTTCCCAATGCTAGTACTCTCGAAACGACTCCATAGCATTTTCGTTCTTCGATTATTTAACGACTGCTTCGCCGTATTCTTCCTCTGGGTGGCAATCTACTTCTTCCAAAGGCGATTCTGGACAATAGGGAGCATGGCATACAGTTGGGGGTTGGGTATCAAGATGTCACTTCTTCTGGCCCTGCCTGCCATTGGGGCCATCCTCTTCCTCGCAAGAGGTGTCGGAGGTAGCTTCAAACAAGCATGGCTCATGATACAATTGCAGATTGTGATCGCTTTCCCATTCATGGCGAACTTAATGGGATACCTAAGCAGAGCATTTGAATTCTCGAGGCAGTTTCTTTTCAAGTGGACAGTCAATTGGCGATTTGTCGGAGAGGACGTGTTCTTGAGCAGAGAGTTTTCGGTATCTCTGCTTGTAGGACACATCAGCACCCTCATACTCTTCGCAACAACAAGGTGGCTGCGGCCTGCCGAAAAGCCAATATCTGAGCTGCTCAGAAATGCGGTGAAGTTTGAGGAACCGGGTGGGAAGATGCAGCATGCCATTTCTATTCGAATCTCGCCGAACTACATCTTGACGACCATCCTCACAGCCAACGCCATTGGCATTCTCTTCGCCCGTTCGCTCCACTACCAGTTCTATGCCTACATCGCACCCGCTACGCCATTCCTTCTATGGCGAAGCGGGTTGCACCCAGTCTTTCAATACGCCTTCTGGGCTGTTCAAGAATGGGCGTGGAATGTGTATCCGAGCACCGATGCCAGCTCTATGGTTGTAGTGGGTATCCTTTTCCTCACGGTTGCGAGTGTGTGGTGGGGGACTCGGCACGATTTTGTAAATCCGAAAGGCGAGGGCGCGGCAAGTAAGAGGTGGACTTGAGCAGGTAGATGGTATATTGGACATCCCTTCTATTCTTCTTCCGAATCTGATGGGGGCATCTTGCCGGCGGTCGATTCCTCGTCGGAATCCTCGGGGTATGAAGATGCCTTGGCGAATTCCTTGGGCCTGAAGCATTGTTAGTAAATGATGCCACCCTGTGGGGAACAAACTTAGAGCGTACCAATAAGGCTCCTTCCTCCATATATGTTCGTCACGGACAACATTTATGATCTCGCCATCAATCTTATTCTGCCGCACGTCTGTTTCCCTGGTATCAATCAGGACATAGCCTCCACGTTTGATCCAGATGGTATTGCGGAAACGAGAGAGGAGCTCGACAAGAAGGAGCTTTTGGTCTGGCAGTGAGCAGGAGTACAGGCAGTTCCCTTCTGCCTTGATGACACGCGCAATGGCTTGGGTGGGTGTCAAAGACGGAGGCGGGGTAGAAGTCTCTTCGGCGGCTGCGAAAACGTTGCGCTTTGGTCGCCCCATATTGGGATCGTTGAATAATGGATTGACCAGTCGCGAGTTTTGGATTGGTAAGATTGCAATTGGCTTGGGTCAGGACGTTTTTGCCCTTGAGCTTGAGCTGTTCTGCTCGTCCGTAGGTTTGGGAAAGAAAAAATTGTACTCGGAGCCGGGGCCGGAGCCGGAGAAACATTTATACGGCGGGGTCCTCAACCCTAGGCGGAAACCGTCAAGCCAAAGACGATCTCCCATTTACTTTTACTTTCTCAGCGGCCCCTCCATCATGCACCGAGATGCTCAGCTGCACCAGCAGAAGACCTGACTCCTCATACCGTGAACTCGTATCAGGAGCGCATGTTCCTCAATGCGTACTGCCAGTGGCATACCCCGCAGACCCTGGCTCAATCGGTCCGGTCATTGATTTTCAATGAGGGTCTGACAATTAACGGCGTATGGCTAGTCTTGCCACACAGCATCCTGAGATTTTCATAAAGTCTTGACGTTTTCTTATTTAGATATGCTTCTCTCTACAACTCAACCTCTTGTGTACCGATCTTCTCTACTTCTCAATTCATACCCTGATATATAGATTCCACAAGCGCATCTAAATCTTTTCATTGACCTGGTTAGTTTTAATGTGCAGTCTGGTTCAAGATGACTTCTTACGCTTTTGGAGCCCCCATTGTCGTCGAGTCGTCTGACAATTCCCAAGAAAAATAAATTGTACTTCCGCCAAAGGCTCCTGCTCACACATACTCTGCTCAGGATCCCATCGAGCTTGCAGATTTCAATGGAAACCACAATGGGCCTTCTGCATCGGGACATGCCACGCCGTCGGGGGCACAAACTACTTTCACAAGCTCAAGTCCCAGATGCAGCTGAGACAGGTGACCCGGTTAACGCAGGACATTGAGGAGAAATAAGAAAGCTCCTGGCTGAAAGGTGACTCTTTCAAACTATACTAGCACTCTATGCCCCCTGGTATCATGCAAAACACCCAGATATGCAATGACAAAAATGTAATGCTGCGCACAATGCAATCATACCTTTTCCTTTGCCGCCTCATTGGCGGACTGCCCAGTCATCTCGCCATCAGTACCGCTCTCACTCGAGGCTGCCCTCTCTTCAGCCCTCTTCTTCTCTTCCGCGTACTTCTCCATCCTAACCCTTCTGTCCTCCCTCCAGATCGGTCCCCACTTGAGCTCAACAAGCAACATAGGCATCGCAGCAATGCACACAAGCGCGAGAAATGTGAAGCACCACCCTCTTCCCATGTTATCTATCATAATGTTAATGATACCCGTTCCAGCGGCGCCCATAAAACATCGAACCAAGTTATTTGCTGCCGTTGCGGTGGAAGGGCTTTGGGGGTACAGATCTACCACCAAAGTACTCAGTATGTTGAATGCGCCGTTGACACACAATCCAATGAAGAATTGAAGAACGAGTGGTACCGCAAGATTCGCGTTCTTCTCAAGGACCCATCCATAGCATAAGACACAGGCAAGACCGAAGCCTAGCAACGGCCATATGATTTCCAATCGTGCCCGTTCAATAGGAAAGTGCCTGAGATCATTTCCGTGCTTCCGGTCGATTGTAAATCCAATCTGTTTAGCAACTCGCCGGAAATTATGATCCAGCATCTTTCCATTGATGAAGCTTGCAAGAGCACAGCCGCACCCAAATGGCAGGTAGCAGAGTCCGATTTGAAGGTCGTTGAAATGGTAGATATCCTGGAATAGTTTTGGGAGGGATGCCATGATGTCGTAGAAAGCGGTATATATCAAAGCATTGTAAATGAGAACAACCGCCATGTCTTTCTCCATGGCGATATGAATAGTCTTGAGCGGGTTCGGCCATCGTAACTTCCTCGTTCGAGCCAGTTCTGCCTGGGCAAGGCGACGACCTTCAGCAGTATGGGATCTCGACAGCCCGTTCCCAGATGTCTCCTGCTTATGCAGCTGAAGCCACTCGAGAACGGTCATGTTCCAACCTTGTGGCGGCACTGAACCATTTCCAACCACATTGCGGCCAGTTTCAGGAACGGTGAGAGCAAAGGAAACCAGGAAACACCCCGCAATGATGACCAGAAACCAAAAGATAGACCGCCAGCCCAGAAATTGGGCAAGGATTCCACCAATTACAGGTCCCAGCGCTGGGCCCATCATTGTCCCTGCCCCAACCATGCCCATATAACTGCCTCGTTCCGAGCTAGTAGAAATATCTGCAACAACACCAAAACCCAAAGCAATTGCTCCACTACTTCCTGTACTTTGCATACATCGAAGAACGAAAAGGGCAGCATAACTGTTCTGCAGCGCCAAGCCAATGTTTGCGCCTAGATATATTGTAAAAGCGATTATGTATGCCGGCCGCCTCCCAGCCATATCAGCCAAATCGCCGAAAACTGTGGGCGCGAGCCCTTGGAAGACCATATAAGACGTAAGAGTCAAGTTGATCAGCGTAGTTGACACGTTTAAGTCGACTTCGAGGGGATTCAACGCCGGGAAGTATATGTTCGCTGAAGTTGGAGAGATGAAAGCGGCCCAGGTAACCTAGCGAATCTAGGAGTTAGCATTGTTTTACAATGAAATAATTCGGGAGTTGAAAAGATGATTGACAAAGCTGGATGAATTCCAGTAGTGACATTGTCTCAAAAGGCTAGATAGCCGCACCCTTTTACCCGAGAGCCTTGCTCTAAAGATCTGTCTCGAGAGTAAGAGCACCTAGCAAAGCCATCTGGAAGAGGAAAATAGAGCTAACCATCACGACAATGAACCGCTTCTGCGCTGTACTGAAAGCTGAATATACAGGCCCAGTCGAGACCACAGCCAACTGTTCCAAGTCTCGAGCGTCATCATGGGCAGCTTCAGTCTCTTCGGAGTGGGAGGAGCAGGTCTGAGATATTCCATGCGCAGGTGCAATGGCTGGTTCGAGGACGGCACCCTGTATACTTGCACCAACTTCCTCTGCTTTCTCTGCGTCCCCTGAAGAATTATCTGAAGCCATGACAGAAATGACAGTAAAGCATAGTATAAGGCTGAGAGACGAGAGACTAGAGAGGAGGAGGAGAGAGGGGAAGTAAAGAGATGGCCGAAGTAGAGGCTACATCCAAGAAGGGAGAAAGCTATGGAAGGAGAAATCTTCAATATATATCCACCTGAGGGGTCCAAAGTTTTATTAGTGGCGGTGATCCACACCTATTTGCATACTGGAGCAAAACGTCCCAGTGAGCAGGTTCTGGCGCAGCAGAAAGATACCACTGCCAGTGGACTCTTAGAGATGGAGATCCGATCAAGCTCCGACAAGCAATCCGCCCCACGGCACGCTATCCGAGAGCGAGCGTGGCGCATCATGCAATGAGGGGCGGCCGCGGGCGGCGTTGCGCCATGTCTTTCTTGGAGCATGTCTCCAGTGCTGTAAGGATCTGAGAAGGAGAAACTGGGCAGTATAGGGGGAGTGGTAGATGCAATTGGAAAGTTGTGAGCTGAAGAAAGGAGAGGAAGAGAGTTGCAGGAAGCGACGATGTTTTGCAGGGGGGCTTTTACAGTAAGCGTTGAAGCGTCGAAGCGTCGACAGGGTTCCCAGAGTGAGTGCAGCGGGTAGGGATGCGTAAAAAACGGTTTTTATATGTTCACGTGACAGTAGAGCGTGACTTGCTAGCCTAATTTGGTGTTTCATTGTTTTTATCCTAATTAATTATATACACGTGATTGCCATCCAAATAAAAAAAACCAACGGAAATTATAAAAAAATCTTTTTTTATTTCGAGAAAAATATAAAACAGCGTGTTTTTTTATATTTCCGCATCCCTAGCAGGAGTAGCGGGCAAGGATGAGCGGGAAGATCCGACGAAAGCGAAGGCGAAGAAGGCTGGAAACCAGTGAACTGTCAAGAATATCACCACCGCCACCACCACCACCTCGAGAGCATTCGACACGCCGAATTGGGTTGACTCTTTCAGCCCACAAGTAAACAAACTTTCCTTGTTTCCAACACTTCACCTTCAAGATCTCCCACACATCGCGATCCCCAGTCCGGCCCCCTTCCTCCGACACAGCCATGACCGACCTCACGCCAATCCTGAATGAGCTCCTCAAGAGCCACGATGCACCAGCAACGATCGATCCGTCTCTAGCCCTGCAGAACATCGATGAATTCCTGAAGGAAGCTTATCGGATAGTAAGCACATATTCGAATACTTGAATCACGCGCTCCCTTCTAACCCAATCACCAGAACGCACACATAGCTTCCTTAAACTCATACCTGAAAAGCATAAGGCAGGCCTATCTTTCAACGGCCCCCCCACCAAGGCGAACCGGCATCTCCTCGAAAGATAAGCAGTCGAAGCATTTAACAGATCGTCAGAAAGAGGAGGTTGATGCCGAGGCGAAGCAATTAATTCGCCAGCTCGAGGCTAGTATTCGCAATTTAGCAGATGCGGAACTGCTCTCCCAGCAGACCGAAACCACGCTCATTCGAAAGAAATATGCACGGTTAGGCCTTGGGGCTCTGGGATCATGGGCTGCTGGTGGAGCAGGCCAGCCGAAATCACACGATCAGGAATTAGATGAAGCCAAGGCCAATGCCATCAAAACGCATCGGGAGGCCGTTATTTGGTATCTCAGTCAGAAGATACAACAATGTTCATTGTTTCAGGCCGTGATGATGGAGAAGAGGTTACGCCGCGAGATGGAGAAGAACAAGAGTGCGCTCGCAAAGTCGCGAGCGCCTATGCCAGAGTTAGGAGGCTTCGACAATGCCCCCCTGCCTCCGACGAAGTCCAGCGCATCTGTGCATTTGGAAGCGCAGCAACTAGATCCGGAGCAGGAGCTGAGCCCTGAGCAGATACAGATGTTTGAGAAGGAGAACCAGGATATGCTGAAGCACTACGAGAGCACACTGGACCAAGTCAGGTATGCCGGTCAGCTCCTGCGATTAGAGTAGTGCTGATCAATTTTGCAGAACGGCTGAGAAGTCGTTGGTAGAGATATCGGAGTTGCAAACACAGCTCGTTAGCAACTTGGCAACGCAGTCCGCACACATCGACCAGCTCGTGGCCGATTCCTTCTTTACAGCAGAGAACGTTGGGGGCGGCAATAAGGAGTTGAAGAAGGCAACGGAGCGGAAAAGTACAGCGAAATATGTGTTCTATGCATCCTGCGGACTGAGCCTCCTCTTGGTCGTCTGGGACTTGGTTATCTGAAGCCACAAATTCTATAAGAGCCGGTCCTTCTTGAACCCGAGACGGATATTCTGAGCAACCTGACGCTGACATGTGACGGCGGCTGAAGTGATACATGCGATGATGCAAGAATGCAGGCACGGAAGCCACACGAATGTGTCTGCCCTGGTTTCCGCCGACCGCCTCTTGTTCGGCACATGCTTCGAACGTCGAAACTGTATACCATGTGCTCAGCACAGCACCGCAAGCAAAGTAGGTAGCGATGATCTCACTGGGCCCATCCCCGTCCCCTTGCTCGTGCTCGTGCTCCCTCCAATTAAGGATGCGGTAATATAAAACACACGGCTGGTTTATATTTTTCTCGCCATAAAAACCCTGTTTTTTATAATTTCCGATCGTTTTTATTTGTATGGCAAACACGTGTATATATTTAATTAGGAAGAAGGTGGAGAACATTGAAAACACCAAATTACGCTAGCAAGTCACGCTCTACTATCACGTGGAAATATAAAAATCCCGTTTTATATATATAAAACCAATAAAATATGATACAACCCTACTTTTTATACACAAACCATTTTTTACGCATCCCTACTCCAAGTGCCGTTCACAGGATCGGGGGACCTCGGTTCTGGGCGCAGCAAGCCCGCCAGCCCGACGTGAATCAAGTGATAAAGCCGGCAGAATCACCCCAGAAGCCACTGTTTGCCCCAGAGCGCAGCGCGGACTCGACCCACTTTAAATCCACACCAAAATCCTCCGTTCCTACCCCACGATAAATAATGAGTCCCCGTCTATCAAATCTCTCACCTCCATCCTCACCCTCACCCTCATCCTCCCTCTCCCGTCCTACCGCAACTTCGCCCTCTTTAAGACTGCAGAGCATCACCGGCCATATGTCTCAATCAACATCCACCAGCTTCTCCGCCGAGGCGGTGCCCCAAGCTCCAGAGGATCCCCTCTTCGGACTGATGGCAGCTTACAGAGCCGACTCCTTCGACAAGAAAGTAGATCTGGGAATTGGCGCCTACAGAGACAACGACGCCAAACCCTGGATCCTACCTGTCGTCAAGAAGGTCACTCATCCTGTGCAGTTATTTAAATCAATGCTAACCCAGAGCTTCAGGCAGAGGAGATCCTCCGCCGGGACCCCGCCTTGAACCACGAATACCTCCCCATTGCCGGCCTCAGCACCTTCACATCCGCCGCTGCAAAGCTGATTCTGGGCGCTGATTCTCCAGCCATTGCTGAGAAGCGCACATGCTCCATCCAAACCATCTCTGGGACTGGAGCAGTGCATTTGGGTGCTCTCTTCCTCGCCAAATTCTACCCCGGCCATCCCAAGGTCTACTTCAGCAACCCAACCTGGGCCAACCACAACCAGATTTTCTCCAATGTGTCTGTTCCCATCGGTACCTACCCTTACTTCTCGAACTCCACAAAGGGTCTTGATTTTGCTGGAATGAAGAATGCGATCTCCGAAGCTCCTGATCACAGCATCATCCTTCTTCATGCCTGCGCACATAATCCGACTGGTGTCGACCCGACCCAAGAACAATGGAAGGAACTAGCGGCTCTTCTGAAACAAAAATCACACTTTCCCTTCTTCGACTGTGCATACCAAGGTTTTGCATCTGGTGATCTTGCGAAGGACGCCTGGGCTGTGCGGTACTTTATCGAGCAAGGATTTGAGCTCTGCATTGCTCAATCTTTCGCTAAGAACTTCGGCCTCTATGGTGAACGAGCTGGCTGCTTCCACTTTGTGACGGGCTCAGGTTCGGATGCCCAGAAGACGATTGGCAGAATTGCCTCACAACTCGCTATTCTCCAGCGATCCGAGATCTCGAATCCGCCGGCGTATGGTGCGAGAATTGCAGGACTTATACTGAATGATGAAACTCTGTTCAAAGAATGGGAGGAGGATTTAAGAACCATGGCAGGGAGAATTATTGCCATGCGAAAGGCGTTGAGGGCAAAGTTAGAAGAGATGGGAACACCAGGCACCTGGAACCACATCACCGATCAAATAGGCATGTTCTCGTTCACAGGCCTGTCAGAGAAGCAGGTCCTGGAGCTGAGAAATGTTGCTCACGTCTATATGACGAAGAATGGACGTATTAGCATGGCTGGCTTGAATACCCATAATGTTGACTACTTCGCCAAGGCTGTGGACAAGGTTGTTAGAGAGACGCAGGGTTGATCATTTGATTGATGCTGCATTTCTGAGATTTGGAGTTGGGGGCGGTTTGTCATCAGATGGAAATTGTGTTGGCATAGAGAAAATCATTTCCTCTGCGCCCTGGGTAACATAGATGCATGGGAACAGTCTCTCCTCAATGGATTCACCTACCTAGGCTTGTCAGATTCAAAGACCATATAGTCAGTGCTTGGAAAAAGTGGTTTACTTTCCCTTTGCCGTTCGGACTTCTTTTCTGGCATGTGTCAGACTCGGTCTCCTTCTGCAGAGCAAGACCATTCCTCCTGACTCGGCCGCTCCTCGGCCGCTCCTCGGTTCCCTTGCCAGCCGGAGACCTAATTGTTGTCAACATGCAGACATATTGATCACGAACGTCTGCATTCGGATCCGAGCCACGAATTGGCGGCATCTGTGAGTATTGTTAGTCGGATGATTGGGTAAGTCCATTGCCCCAGAGATCTTGGGACATTCAACCAAGCAAGGAGTTTGAGGAACGACTTACGAGTTCACCTCGTTCAAGGTGGCCATCAAGAAGGGTCCTTGCGCTTCTCTCTCAAGACTACAAGCGCCGTAGCATAATATTGTCGAATTTGGCTATCGTTCCAATTCTGATGGTGCGCTTCTCTAAGATATTGGCCGGCAAGCTCGGCATTGTGCCTGCGGAGGTGGAACAGTCCACGCCTGCTGTAATAAGCTGCATCCTTCTGCGATTGCTCCGTCTCTGAGCAGCTACAAGAAGAGGCAAGTTCCACTTCAAGGTCTTTTATCGCTTGCCCATTTCTCGATTAATTATTCTCTGGTCTTTTTTTCGAGGTTCTGGTGGAGTCTGATATAATCATGGCCTTCGCTGAAAATGAGGACATGTTCAGTTGGAACTTTGTGATTCAGGAATACTCTCTGGTCCGTAAAAATCAGCCAGTGCTTTGCGTTTGGTGGTATTTTGGGGGCAACGCTTATTGTCCACTTCCTTACGATCCCCTTCTGCGAGCGCACTCTGGAGCTCCTCAGGAAGTCGTCGATCTCCTTGACTCCTGATAAAGCGCTCTCCTCTCCTCAGTTGCATGATCCAGCCCATCCAAGGCATTAATAGCCACATCATGGATCTTATTGTCCTGCCAAGTTTCTGATTGCCGTGGCCATGTAGAGACACATGCTTCTGAATCTCGTCCCTCAAGTCGGTGGGCAGGTTGGACCAGCGGTAACGATTCAGACGGAATGCATCTGCAAAGAACAATCCAAGGTGCGGCCCAAAGCTGGTGAGTATATCGGCCGTGTGGTTAAACTTCGCGGCATGTTGCTGAGCGAGCCTGCTGAGTTGAGCGATTTCTCCATAGATAACGGCACCTGGGCTTAGAGGTCCAGCCTGGTTCTTTTGGTTTGTCCACTGCCCCATGTAGGAGAGGACCTCGCGGCCTCGTATGTTGTAGTATTAGTGCGTTTTTGCAAGTTTCTTGATTTGGGGAAGACCATATCTAAAATTTGGTTATCAACAGAGAATTCGACTACCTCAAGAGAGGTGATGACAAGGCTATGTCGGATCCTTCTAGTGGGCATCCGCCCTTCACTGTTATCTTGGTCGCAACGGCAAAATAGTTGTGATTTGGGCCAAAAACCCCAAATTGAAAAGACACCGCCATCACATATCGAATGACCCCTCTCATTGAGGCTATGGAGCAGGTCTGGAAATTAAGACCAATGCTCGTGCCAGTGCCGAACAATGGCGAGTTTGTGCAAGCTGCAGTCCCGGGCATGGCGTGATTAATGGAGGTCCTTTCGATGCTTGTGTCAGATGACCAATTCAATTGCAAAGTGTGACGCCTGGCTGTGGTTCTGGGACTGGCGGGGGTTGAGTGAGTCTTGCAGCAATTTCTTAGATGATTACGTTGCAATCGCCTCATTTCACACGTTGGCAGAATATCGCAATCCACATCGCGATATTGGCCTGAAGTCATGTACGAACGTGGTAAAAGAAGGCTAAACCCCACGCGTCTTCAGAAAGTTTGGCTTAACTTTATGAACTGCGTAAGGTTACTTCACCTTGAACATCCTACTTCGTTGTTCATCATTTCCCCTCTCTTCGGGTGACTCTGGCATTGACATCCTTTCTTGTCCGACGTTTTCGAAGTTTGAAGCCCACTTTCGAGGTAGTAGATTCTCTAGCGCATCTCCTCGGGCTCTTATCCACCGGCAATGGATGTTTCTTCTGGTAACTGTATATCCGATGACAGAGAACGTCGGCTAATGGCTGTGTAGACTGGGTTCCTTGCTCGGAATTGGGATGAATTCGATTACTTCTCTGTCAGTCAGGTGATGCCAATAAAAGCATTTTGGAATGTCGGAAGCGGCTATTGTCTTGGTTCTAACAGTCCCACGCATTCCTCGTTTTATCGGTGCAATGGTATTCAGGCCGGCAGCAGATCTGTGGCGCAGGAAATGGCCATTTATCGTTATTTGTGGCCACCAGGCTTTGACGTCAGTAGCCCTGAGATGGCACACGGGAAGGTGGTGAGAGTAGAGAGAGAACTGTAACGTAGGTAGGAATTCCAATGAACTACAAGCCAAGCTCCTTCGCGTATCAAAGTGGTTAGAGGGAAGGCTCACAGTGTATTACGGAGGCAGGCGGCATATAAAAATCGTCCATCGGCTAAAAAGCGAGGAATGCCAAAATTGCTACGTTTGGAAAATCACACCAAATCTCAATGCAACGTCTAAACCTCTTTAAAATAGCTTTGTGAGATAGAAAAGAAGCAGGTTTAACTTTTATGGAATTTCTTAATGTCGGTTCACCAGTAATGCGTAGCACCGTCACGTAATATGCGTGGAATGCAGGTGCGTTAAAGTTAGTGAAGTGGTTGATATTCAGAAGTAAGGATCGCAATATCGTGGTGTTGATATGCGATCCCTAAATCTGCTAAGCCTAATGGGGACTTGTCTACCAGTTGAGTCACGCATGTGACGCGAGGTCACATGACCCAGGAAATTCGCAGTGCAGCTATTCCGACACTTAATAATTAAATATGATTCGGAATTACGAGAATTCCAATATTGCGAGAGTTAAGATGGTTCCCGCCCTCGCTTAGAGAACTGGACGATTTTTAATGCAGCCCGCCTTCGTATTTGGTAAATGTCTCTTTTACATTGGGTCACCCCCTTCTGTCTCCTCTTACTGTCTCCATGAAATGCTGAAAACATCGCATAACTTTCTAGCAAGATGCTCGCCAATTTCATTTTATCCCAGCCCAATGGTGCTCGACCTCTGACCTCGCCAATGGGATTAAGTCAATACATAGCAAGCACTACATTCTTGAATTCTGTATCTGTAAATATGACCTCAAAGAAAATATACAGCAAGATTTGTTGCCATCACCAATCAATTCTGGGGCCCACGTATCAGGTTCTTGATGCCATCCCCTTTCCTCGTCCTCTCCCATGCGTCCGTGGTGTGCTCGAAGTCCACAAATGAGGAAATGAGCTCCTTTACAGAAACTCTCTTTGATTCGAGAAGATGCAGCGCCAATTCGTAGTCTCCTGCGCTGTAGCGAAAACATCCCTTCATGGTTATTTCTTTCTCTGATAACGTGGTGATCGGAAATTGAATGCCTGGATTCCCAAGGCCAGCCTGAATGAATGTTCCACCTTTCTTGAGAACGTGTATTCCCGTAGAGATACAGACTTCTACTCCTGTGGCTTCCAGAACTGCGTCAGCTCCTCCGTCTAAATTGTGGGCTTCTTTGATCTTGCCCGCGATAGTCTCAGACGAGTCGTTGTCAGGCTGAAATGTACCAGTGGCGGCAAACTTTCGAGCAAACTCTAGTCGACTAGCGTTGACATCGACAGAGATAATCTGTTGTGCTCCCAATGCTTTTGACACTGCAGCACAAAGGAGACCAATAGTTCCCGAACCAAAGATTATCACGTCTTGTCCGAGTCTGATATCTGCCAGCCGGCAAACATGCATTGCAACTGCCAAAGGCTCCACCAAAACACCCTCCTCTAAACTGACAAAACTCGGTAACTTATAGCAAAAGTCCTCTGCCTATTATTTCAAGTTAGCAGTTGTTCAAATATAGTCGGGGCATGGCTTGCTATCTTAAAATACTTCGCGAGTGTCCCATGGGAAAAGGGAGGAGAGGCCGCAAACACCATCTTGGGACAGAGATTGTATTGACCCGCTTTGCAAGGCAAGCATCTCCGACACGGCACACCGGGTTCGATGGCTACCTTGTCCCCAACATTGAGAGACGACACTGCAGAGCCGATTTCGTGGATAGTTCCTGATGCCTCGTGGCCCATGATCAGAGGACGGGATGCATCAACCTTGGCGCTTATTCCTCCTTTCGTCCAGAAAGATATATCACTCCCGCACACTCCAACATAAGCGATTCGGATGATAACATCGTGCTCTTCCGTGATACTGGGGTAGGGACTTTCTCCTACCCAAGCGTTTCCCGGTCCTGAAAGGAAAAGCGAAGGATTCTTTTCCACGGATACCATTTTGTGTGTTGAAAGGTTGTATAAATGAGTATTTGAAGAGAGTTCAGTTGTGAGTCTTGTTGCAATGTGGGATAACCCGAAGGCACTCACTCTTTTATACGTAAACAGAAAACATAACGCAGTCAACTAGCTCATCGACGCTTGTAAGAAGGCGTAATCGCTCGGTGGTTCTCACCTCCAACTCGCTTAGCACGCCTTGTAGGTGAGGGATAGCAATACGCAATGAACAGCGATACGCAAATCGCACCAAAATTTGTATGGGCAAATCGGGCAGATTTGCATTATAACAACGCCTTAATTTTTTAGTCTTAAAAATTTACTAAGCTAAAGGGTCTACTTCTTAGGATTAATTCCCAATACTTAGACACTATTTTAATACGTTGCGTTGTAAGAATTCAAAGGGAGAAAAAGAGAGATTTTTGGTGGGATACCACCAAAATCTCAGACCCGCGTATCGCTGTTCGTTGCCTTCACCTACAAGGCGTGCTAAGCGAGTTGGAGGTGAGAACCACCGAACGATTAGCTTACGCCTTGAATTTCACTTGCTATCAATCACCCAGGAATGATGGAACAACGAAAGGCCTGTTTCAAGACAACGAGTTGCTATGCGCAAGGCGTAAGCTGAGCCTTGATCAATCCGTTCGTTCAATGCACATATTCCCTGGAGATCGGTAAACCAACAAGGAGCGAACAAAGGGGGTCGCTTAACTCAACCGAAGGAATGTGATTGGCTACGCCTTTGAACCCCTGCTTTCACTATAAGTCAATGCAGATCCCCACGTACTGGCACCTTTTGCGTGGCAAAATGTGGAATGCACCGTGCCTATTCCATTCAATGTTGACCTGGGCAATCCGGGAGATCTGGGGTTTACTGAGTTATCAAAGCACGTCCTTCGATCCAAAGATGCGTACTGTTTACCTCACGCCTCTGCGGGGACCAGCGGAGGGCTTATCGACAATTGCCTCGTTCGCGAGTCACAGATTTCTGCCGATTTTAGACATGTGATAATTTTCGTATGGAATTTTTGGCTTCTTTTTCGAGGAAATTGTCGGTAGGGGGAAGTTTTTGCTGAAATTTCATTAATGGTCGTCTTATTCAGATAAATAGATGGGTTAAAAGTGGTAGTGCTTCTGTTCATTGCCTTGAATGTTCAAATGTCGTGTAAAGTTTACGAATTCGCATTTTGACGTACTCGCATTCTTTGCTGTATCTTCATTGTCTAAGGTAATGTAGGATATCCCGAGGCAAGACGTTGAGTTGTGGTGTTGACATAGGCAGCTGATAATTCATGTTGCGGCGGCCGCATCGATTGCTTAAAAGACAAAGGTCTTGAAATTTCCGACCCCTTGTAGCACAACTCATGGTTAATATTTGAATGAACGTATAGTGTCGAAGCACCCATTATGCAGATATGATGTAGTGTATCCAAATGCCCACCAAAACACACGCAAAACACCCACCTTTCGCGCCGTTTCGCCAATTCCGTCCCGTCATCACATATCACAAACAGCATTTTTATACACCCCCCTCCAATTTTACATGTTAGCCAATTCGGTATCAATCGTCCTGTCCAAAAATGTTCTCCTCTCGCCCACTAACTCCGTTTGTAGCCTTTGCTCCACTAATGCTCTGACTTGCTTCTTTGTAATCTAAAACCGAGAACATCAGTACTGCATATATAGAGCAGAAATTGGAGCTTGGACAGTGTTTGAGACTTACGTTATCTAGATCAACCTCTCTTAAGCAATTCTGGATAGCTTCCACGATCATCATATCATCAGGTCCGCTATTGCCTCTTTGAAAATCAAAAGTTGAGACAGGTCGCATTACTGCCTCGGTGCCAATCGGCGTGCGTGCGCCTCCCGTGAAGCCAATATTACGAGGCTGGTGAAGCGGGGAAGGCGAACCACTAATGAGATCGGTTGATGATGGCATCATAACCATACTCGGGCGGTGGGACGACGTCTGAGGGTAATCCTGATATGGTGAACCGGAGCGGTCTTGTAATCCTCCGCCGAGTGACATTACTGACTGATGACGACCGGTTGGATGATCAGCATATGGGGTTGAGTAAATGGATTGTCGAGGTCCACCAAACGCAGGCGACTGAGGTGGCATATAAGGTCCTCCTCGTTGGGGAAAACCGGTTAGGATTGTAGAAGCTGGCTTGACCGAGGAGTACATTGACTTCATGTCGTCTAATTCATAGGTGTCCTCGTAGCCATCGTAGGCTTTCTCCACATGAACACCACGGCGGCCAGGAAGATTGTTGGATAATGCATAATCGCCCCATCGTTGTAGTGGAATACTTCTTGGATCGAAACCCTCGTCGTCGACTGCGACTACCTGTTTGCTGCCCTTCTCACCAATGACAATACGGGTGTTGCCCCACGTGAAATTGTCTTGGTTCCAGAAAGAGTACACAGGAAGAACAAACGCGTAGATAGGAAATGCGAGGATATAAATTATCATCCACCCGATGTGTTGCCATTGTCGTTTAAGGATGAAGATGAGTGCCTGAAGACCATATACCGCGGCTATCATGACGATGGAGATCAATGGGAATTGGCCGGAATGGGTAGCTACTTTGTAGATGAGGTATCCAAGATAGGCGCAGGTAGCTGGTAAAATGATCGTCCCGAACAGATCGATAAAGACGATGAATCTCATGCTGAAGCAACAGAATCCACACATTTCTTTGAGCCAAACCAATTCCGCTAGATTATGGATGGTAGAATTGATCCATCTTCGCCGCTGAGAAAGAAGAACGCTCCAAGTTTCGGGAGCTGCGGTACTGGCGTATGCATCAGGAATGAATTTGTACGACATATAAGGGAAGTGTTTGGTCATCAAAGTTGTGAGGTATCGATCTTCACCCAGTGACAGCAGATTCTTCTTGTGTAACGTGTCGACGTTGCAATCGCTATACTCGTGAATCACTGCATCCGAGATGATCAACGGCTTGCCCTTGTCAGCGGTTCTGAGGCGGTACATGGAGAAACTGAGATATATTAGCACTGTTTGCGGAATGCGCAGGAGCTTAACTTACCAACCAGGCAGACAGGTAACACTTCCAAAAAGTGACTCGAAGGCCTTCGCCAAATGATGGGAGATGAAATATTCGTAGACTTGGATCATAGTCCACCACGACCGTTCTTCATTCTCAAGACTGGTTTCACCGCAAATTCCGGCGATTTTAGCATTGTTCGCACAAGCGGCCACGAGCCTGTTCAATGAATCTTCCCTGACACTTGTATCGGCGTCCACCATGAGGAGGTACTCGTAAAGCTCGGGGTCCACGCCAATAATGTTATTGATCTGGTGGAACATTTCTAACTCAAGCGGGTTCATTGGTGATCGGTGGTGAACACGGTTCAGGAAGCTCATAAGCAATATCTGAGAGTCTCTCTTTCCGCGATTGCCCGGTTTGGTCTTCGACTGCTCAGACTCCTTGCCAACCTTCACAACCACAATGTACGGGACAACATTTCCCTCGTATTCGTAAAGACCGGAATAGACTTTGCCATAATTAAGCTGCTCATTACTTTCTCCCACCGATTTGAACGGGAGTGCTGGAGGATCGATTTTCGGATCGACTCCTAGGATATCCAGGACAATCTTTGGTGTAGGCCTATCATTGCCGCCACCCACAATCATACCATCGCAAATCACGCAGATCAGCTTCCTTTTATTGTCGTATTGAAGCGCCGTCAAGGAATCAAGAGCCTTCCGCAATGAATCTTCGCCCTCGGTGTAGGCAGGAACCTGGCATATGACGAATTTATCTTGCGGCGACGGGCGACGTTTTGATCCAAATTGGAGAGCTGCCAAGAATTTGACCAAGATGACCGCACACAGGATGATCGTAAATGCCAGTAGAATGTAGTTGTTGATTTGGCATTGGACCGATTGACGAAAGTCAGGAATACCAACATAAAAGGCATTGTTGAAGCAGTTGACGGTATTCTCAAGAACGCCTTGCTGAGACGAATTTGAGTTGGCGTAGTTCGTCTCCCATAGGCTGGTAATGTCCAGGCCGGGGTTCTCCTTAATCATGGCAGACACTGTGGTATCGATAAACTCATAAGAAGCCACGTTGGCGTAGGTTTTCAGCGTATAGAAGTAATCTGTCAGATCATAGATCTTGCCATTTAGGATGAACCAATAATGGTTCTCGTTCTGTCCCTGGCTGTTGACGGTGCTTTTCTTCGTAACCAAATCACCATGGTAGTACTCTTCTATTTTGGGGAGGAAGATGGTCCCGTACCAGTCGATCCTGTGCAATGCACTGGCTGTGTATGGCGAGAGCGGGCCCGAAGTGTGAATACCCTCGGGGATAGTCACGGTAGTGTTTGCCAGGAGGGTGAGGCTCGTGTCCGTGACAAGACCTGGACAAGAAACTGTAAGAGGCGGAACGAAGTACTCGTCGAGATTCATGCCAGCAAACTGCTGCATATTATCCGAGGAGGTCTCGATGTCGGTGTCACTGTGTTGGAGTTTCCAGAATTTCGAAATGTCGTAAACTTTTCCATGAATGCTCACCCAAAAGTCGCTGGATCCTTGATGTGTACTGACCTCTGTCTGGTCCCAGGCTTTGTCGAAGTTCGGACAGAGCAGTCGACCGAACTCGATGATCCAGAAAACAACAATACCGTTCATGAGTAGGATCATCCAGACGAGTACGAGCTTCTCCCTCCATGCCATGCGGACATCTGGGCGCTTCATGCGGCCGATGTATCGCAAGAGGAATGAGGGAATCCAGAAAGTAAGCATCCACACAATAGCAACCCAGACACGGCGGCCTCTCGACATTTGCGAAGTAGTGATGCTCTTCGGCTCCGCAATTTCCGGATCCATGTTATCGACAAACTCACCCATTTCGTTGTTGTAGTATACTTGGTTCTTCACGTCGTCGCCCTTGAGGCCGAGACCATAGTCACCGTTACTGACGTTCCTGGTCGTTGGAGCTATTGAGCGGGCACCAAGTGCGCTGCGAGGCATGGTAGCCGGGCCTTGGGCTTGAACAAGCTGGTCTCTGCTTCCATGAGGCGTCAGATCGTTCATGGGAGCGAAGAAGCCGCTCGCGTTCGGCGGATTTGCAGAATAGCCGGTCTCGACGGGTTCGCCGCCAAACAAACCACCGAGCGCGGCAAAGCCCTGATTGTCGGATGGCTTTAAATCGAGCATGCCCTCAGCTTCCCACCAAGCACTTTCTCGCATCCAGATTCGTTCCGTGCCGACAACGACTTCACCGTTGCTCCAACCACGCTCCATGATCCAACTCTCAATCCCGTCTCTGCCATCTTTGCAACCCAGTGGAGCATATCGGTGGCAGAATTCCTCGTGGTCGAAATCAGCAGTGAAGTCGAGATTTCTGTTCCTTCGGTTTGCCCATTCAGGAAGACGCCACGCTCGGAGTTGTCGCGACACGGTCCCAGCAGACCAAGCGGAGGTCATTGAAGGGAGAGCTGCGAGACTTGCAGGCGACTGGTCTGTTGGGTGGAGGGAAAGATGATACCACACACGACTGCTTCCGAGAACGGCCGGGAGATCAATGCGGCCTTCTCGACCTAGAGCTACTCCTTGGCCTTGAACGGGGAAGAGAATCTTCTTCAAAAACCCATCTTCTTCTCCTTCTCGGCCGACCTTCTCCGTCACAGCTTCGCGTCGGTCACGCTCATGTTCCCGTTCTCGCCCAGAAGGGCCGGTCATAATACCAAGATCAGGGGCAACCTCAGCCACCGCATTCTGCATCTCGCGTAACACTGAGGAACCGGCCGTCACCACATCAACACCGTCCTCCTTCATCTCGGAGTTGATACCTTGCGTGTCGTCAAACACTCCTCGCATCGCCACTGCCTTGCCGAGGGTGGGACTAGGAATTTCCAATACGGTGATGCAAACTGTGTCACCGTTGTCTTCTTCTGTGTTGGGCGTCCGGGCTCCGGGTCCACCGTCGCTCGAAGAGTCACCGTCTTTGATCCGAGCCATTTCGCTGGCGATGGCTTCATTGGCCTTCAAGATAACCCAATCGACAAGAGCTTCGTACAAGCCACCGATCAGGGTCTCCCTTTCAGCAGTTGTGCATTTATTCGCCAAAATTTCTGGCTCGAGGCCCAATAAACCCCCGACATCTTCGCAGACATCTTCTAAAGCCTCTTCATCCAGGTTGAAGCTCAGAGTGTCACCGAGTTTCAACAGCCCTGCTAAAATCGAGATCAGATTCCTGTGAGCCGCACCTTTGATTCCAATTGCCTTCAAGGAGGCACGGAAATCGTCTGCCGATGCTGCGTCGTCTGCGGTTGGGAGATACGACGGAGGATCGTATGTGCCTGGCCTCGCCAAGAGGGCATAGTTGGAAGCATGTTTCAGACCAAGAAATTCGCGTTCGGCAGGTGTCGAAGCAGATGTAAGGAGATAATAGAAGACGTCAAAGGCTCGATATCCGGCCTCGGTTGGGATGTTAAGCAGACCTTTCGATGTATCAATTCCCCCTTCCGACAATGCCAAACGTGCTGCAGTCAAATTTCCCGCAAGCGTCAGTGTTAGTATTACCCCGAGTGCAGATTGTCGAGGAGCAGAGTGGTTTTGTGGTGATACAGAACAGATGAAAGGTCGGAGTGCGTTGAGAGCGGTATATAAGGAGGAGGGAATGGATAGCGGGAGAGTTCCTAGAAACGGAGCCAGCACTGAAGGGGTAGATTCGTGGAGAGAGCTATGGCAGCGTAAGTAAGATTTCCCAAGTTTGGGAAAGGTAGCAACCCATACCCCAAAACTATGCATCCATCCTCGGCGCGCCGTCTTGCATGCTCCCAGGCTCGAGATGACAAAGCGCCATCGACCGTTCCACCGATCCTTCCTTCATGATCAGGTTGTGAGGCAGTTAGCCAGGTATTTACCGCTAAGCTCGTGCTGGCGTCAAGCTGGTATGGTTGACTGGATGCATAAATTGTGTGTATTGCGTTCAAAAGGGTAGTTGTCGATACTTGTGATTGGGCGGAATTGAGGTTTCGAGGTAAACCAGGTCCCGAGGAAGTAGTCGAGTACATCGACATTCGATTGTTGCTCGCCATGGCGAGGTTGAGCGCTTTGTTGACTTTCCGCAGCCACCACGCCCAAAATTTCCCCAACTAGAATTTGCCCACACAAAATTTGGTCACCAAAAACGAAAGTAGATTGGAGGGAGAAGGCTCAAGGCTCGTGCCGTTCGAAATCGACGAGTAGGAGGGGAAACGAATGCTGTACCGGGGTTGTTGGTCGCTGGGCAACAAAGGTGCAGGAAGCAAGCTTCAGCAAACGAGGGGCGAGGATGGAAAAGGGGGTAGGAGACTGGACCACCGGAACGAGTGACGGCGGTCGGCAGGTAGAAAGGTAGAAAGGGTCGAAGGTAGGAAATGCACAGAACACAGCAGATCAAATATGAGGCATGTTCGAAGAAGAAGACGAAGACGAAGACGACATCGCCTGGAATGCCGCTCGAGGAGAATTCACACACGGTTCACTCTCCGGGGGGGGGTGGTGGAACCATAGTACGGTGACCGCGAGGGCAGATGCAGATCAAAGCCGCCGGGGATGCTGGATTCCTGGCATTCCCCCCTGCTGGCGGGGATCGAGTTTTTCAAAACAGCCACCACCAAGCCAGCCTCTGAGCCTCGAAGCCCTCGATGAAGCCAGGGGGGCCAGGGGTCAGGGGCCTGACCCGAGGCCCGATGCCCCAATACGAAGTGCCCGCTGCTTTTGGGTTGAATGGCACGACTCCGCGAGGCTCGCGCATGAAAACTGGAGCAAAGGCATGCCATGCCGTCCGACATCCGCCATCCGCCATCCGCCATCCGCCACTCGCCCTCAGTACGAAGTAGTGCTCCGTATGCGTACTGCGTACTTACTGGAGCTGCGGGCCCTTCAGGACCTTGATTGTTGAATGGCCAGTCCCCTTTCAGTAAAAGTCGACGTTGATTCTGGTTATTTTGGGAGCCAACGCTTTGCAAGTTGCGGCGGCCCGCTCCACAATTTTGCTCAAGCATGAGACGAGTGGCGTGGAACACGACCCAAGATCGCCGGACCAGACAGACCCAGCGAAGAAGAACGAACAGAACGAAGGCTACGAAGCACACAGAGTGCTCAGCTCTCACGAACACCGCAATCCCAGCATCGTCGGTAGAAGAAAGCAAACTGCAACAACCAGTGCTGCCAGCCTGCCATGGACCAGGAATCCCCTTCGCAAGGGCACAGGCGAGAAAGAAGCAACCTCCAAGTCGGGCAGAGGCCCTGGTTGGACGTCCATATAAAATGGCGCCTATGACAAATATTGCCCAAGGGGTTTCAACGTTTCGAAGATCGTCTCCTCATTCGAAGGGAAATATTCCCCCAGGGTGCTTCCCCATGACCATTGGAACTGGAGGCCCCAAGAGCCCCTAATGCTGCTTGAGCATTTGATATTGATGTTTTTACATTGATTTGCAAATTCATTTATTTGACGTCGGAACGAAGTTTCCGCAAGCACGTGAATCCGGTCCTTGAAGGTTGAATTGGCCTGAGACTTTATACGGAGGGCAAAAATTCGTGTTCGGCAGCTGGATCACAGCATCTGCATCTCTCCCTCTCGCTGCCTGCCTGCGCCTGTGCACACTCAGCACCTGGCGACCGACAATGTGACGATGGGGTGGAGAGATGGGAGGGGGCTTCGCTGTGCTACTTGCTGTACAGTACTCGTACACGGAGGAGTAACGGTCAAACTCCTCGTGTTGAAGACCACATCAAGACCTGCTGCTGGCTACGAGTGGCGATGTCCACCAATGCAGATCCTGATGCAGCCATTTGCCGTCGGCGCTTTAAGCCCGCCGGCAGTGTGGCCCCTGAGCGCGTCCGATTTTAGAACAGCGCCATCGACGGGACTACGGCGAGCCATAGGGGCCACGGAGATTCAAAATATCTGAGTGACGCTGCACAACCACCATTCGCACGCCAGACCCCGTATCACCAACTCACAGAGCTTTTCGTCTCGTCTGCTTTGCTCGAGAGTCTTTCTTCTTGCTCCTGTTCCCTTGTGCCCTATCGACTTTCTTCTCGACACTCGCTAATTTTCATCATACCTTCGCTATTTTGTTGTTTGGAACGCTTTTGTTGACCCGCGCTGTTTCTTTACCCCTTCCTTCGTTTGCGTCGTTGCCCACGGAACTCTCACGAATACTACCTGCTCGCGACTCAACACACTTTCAACCAAGTCAATCAAGCAGCTCTGCGCTACTGAGGCCATCCACACTTGGAACCCGGGGTTTCGACCCGAGCATTTAACTAACATGGCTTTAAACAATCAAGCGGGCGGGGGTGCCCATTCACAACCCTCTCTGCCCGCTCTGCCAGCACATCTCCAATCCGACACACATCTCACAGCACATCTTGCAAGCCGATTTCATGTGGCATTGCCGACTGCACAGCTCTCCTCCCACGCGTTAATCTGCCTCAACACTTATTCTTCTTCCACAAAAGGCCCTGATGGAGGCAAGCAGGGCAGTGCCATGGGTGGTGCCGAAGACCTGGCTGAAAGAGCATGGACGAGACTCGGAGCACGTACAGAGAATCAAGCTATAGTTTTTCTGTGAGTGCACATTGGCCAACTCTCCGGTCTCAATGTTGAAGCTGCTAATTCTCATCCAGGGGCGAGTCTGGTTCGGGGAAATCCACTGTTCGATCACACCTCCTTTCAGCTCTCCTCAACAAGTCATCAACCCCACTGTCCACCAAATTGTCACTCGCTGCCTACGTCTTCGATACTCTCACAACCACAAAAACCGCGACTACCCCAACAGCATCGAAAGCCGGTCTGTTTTTCGAGCTGCAATACGACACTGCTTCATCCGTTAACCCGACACTCATTGGTGGCAAAGTCTTGGATCACCGTTTGGAGCGGAGCAGAGTTGCATCTGTGCCAACAGGAGAGCGAAGCTTCCACGTCTTATATTATCTTTTGGCCGGAACAAGTGCCGCTGAGAAGGCACATTTGGGATTAGACCTGTCCAGCGGGCTGTCTGCAGCCGCCCACCATCCAGGGCAGAGTGTGCAAAAACACTCGATCGCAACGTCACAAAAGAGATGGCGGTATTTAGGGCACCCAACTCAACTCAAGGTTGGCATCAATGATGCAGAGGGCTTCCAGCTGTTTAAGACCGCCTTGAGGAAGCTGGAGTTTCCCCGCAGTGAAATTGCTGAGATCTGCCAGGTTTTGGCAAGCATCCTCCACATTGGGCAGCTTGAGTTCGAGACGAGTGAGGATACTACACCCACGGGAGATGACAGTGGTGGCTATTCGCATGAAGGTGCACAGAGCATCACAGCTGTGAAGAACAAGGACGTTCTTGGTATAATTGCCGCTTTCCTCGGTGTCAGCGCTCAAGATCTTCAGACAACGCTTGGCTATAAGACGAAGATCTTACAAAGAGAGCGAGTTACTGTGATGCTTGATCCCAAGGGCGCGAGGAGCAACGCAGATGAGCTTGCAAGGACATTGTATTCATTGCTCGTTGCGTACGTGATCGAAAGTATCAACCAAAGAGTTTGTGCTGTTGAAGATACGGTCGCCAACACTATCTCCATCATTGACTTCCCCGGGTTCGCTCAGCAGCCTTCCACTGATTCGACCTTGGATCAACTCCTCAACAATGCCGCTACAGAATCACTATATAACTTTACTCTCCAGAGTTTCTTCGAGGCTAAGGTGGACATGTTGGAGAGCGAAGAAATCAGTGTAGCAGCCACCAGCTATTTCGATAATTCCGATGCTGTCCGGGGGCTCTTGAAACACAGCAATGGTCTCCTCAGTATCCTTGATGACCAAACGAGGCGCAACAGAAACGATATGCAGTTGCTGGAGAGCCTCCGAAAACGCTTCGATGGCAAGAATCCAGCAATTTCCGTTGGAAGCGCCACTGCGAAGCTTCCAGGAAGCAACTTCGCAACCCACAACGCAGCGGCTTCTTTCGCTGTAAAGCATTTTGCCGGTGAGGTTGACTACTTGGTTGCCGGGTTGGTGGAGGAGAACGGTGAAGTCGTCTCCGGGGACCTGATGAATCTGATTGCCTCAACGAAGAGCAATTTTGTTGGTCAGCTGTTTGGCCAAGAAGCCTTGCAGACAGTGGTCCATCCGCAAGAAAGAAACACGATTATGCAAGCACAAGTCAGCTCAAAACCGCTCCGGAAGCCAAGCGTGATGCGGAGAAAGGGAGACAGACCACACCGATTTGGAGCACGCGACACGAAGCAAGGCAGCGACTCTGCTGATGATATGACCGAGATTGGAGCGGACGACGCCAAGGTGCGGAGAGGCCGCAATATCGATCAAGGCGCAGCTGCTCAGTTCTTGTCTTCTCTCGACAATGTCACCAAATCCCTGACTGCTCCAAACACCAACCCGTACTTTGTGTTCTGTCTCAAGCCCAACGATCGTCGCATTGCCAACCAGTTCGACAGCAAATGTGTTCGAACTCAGATACAAACTTTCGGTATTGCCGAAATCAGCCAACGGCTGAGGAATGCGGACTTCAGTCTGTTCTTGCCATTCGGCGAGTTCCTTGGACTGGCCGATGCCGAGACCATATTGGTCGGCAGCGAAAGGGAAAAGGCTGAAATGTTCCTGGATGAGAAGCGTTGGCCAGGAAACGAAGCTCGAATCGGGAGTACTGGCGTCTTCTTAAGTGAACGATGCTGGTCAGAGATTGCCAAGTTAAGTGAACGAGGATTTACCCAGGCCCGGTATCCAATGCAATCGGATGATGGGGGTGAGATGCTCACACCTGGCGATGTGCACGGGGCCCATGGGGCTTCAAAAGAACGTCTTCTAGGCTCGCCTTCTGGTTTGACTCCATCTCCGGGAGGCTACATTTACGGGCAAGACAAGAAATCAGGATATTTCGGTAGCCACGATATCGATTCACGGTCCGATGCGGGTGCCTCTGCACTTGGCCAAGGTGATATGTTTAGGAACCTTGACACGAGAGCGCAGATGGCTGAAAAGGGAAACGAAAAGACCATGGTTGAGGTGGAAGAGGTCAAGACTAGTGGCAGCCGAAAGAGATGGGTTGCTGTGGTTTACCTTATGACCTGGCTCATCCCTGATTTCCTGATCAAGTGGATCGGCCGTATGCCCCGCAAGGATGTCCGAATGGCCTGGAGGGAGAAGCTCGCTATCAACATGATGATCTGGATCAGCTGTCTCTTTGTGGCGTTCTTCATCGTGGTCTTCCCTATGCTGATTTGCCCAAAACAAAACGTCTTCAGTGCAGCCGAGCTGACCTCATACAACGGCAAGAGTGGTGCGTCTGCTTATGTTGCCATACGGGGCCAAGTATTTGATCTTGGGGCATTTGCGCCGACTCATTATCCGTCTATTATACCCCAGAAATCGATCCTCAAGTATGCTGGTCTGGATGCAACGGCTCTATTCCCAGTCCAGGTTTCGGCTCTTTGCCAAGGTGTGAATGGGACGATCAACGATCTTGTCCAGCTTGACTACACTTCTACAAACACCACCGGCTCTGCTTCTGTCATCAGTAGCACGGATACCAACTACAAATATCATGATTTCCGAGCATTCACCAACGACAGTCGACCTGATTGGTTCTTCGAGCAAATGCTTATGCTTAGAGCCGGCTTCAAGAAGGGCAATATTGGCTACACGCCTCAATATGTCAGCACATTGGCTGATAAGCAGGAGTCGATTGCCATTCTCAATAGTAGAGTCTACGACCTTACCAAATACATCCAAGGGGGTCGTAGAGTTGTAGCACCTACTGGAGAAGATGCTCCTACGGATGTCAGCACGTTTTTCATGGATCCTTTGGTGGTGGATCTCTTCCAACAGAAGGCTGGTGAGGACGTCACGAAATACTGGGATGCTTTGGCTCTTGATTCTGGCATGCGCACCCGTATGCAGCTGTGCCTTGACAACCTTTTCTACGTCGGAAATGTTGATACTCGGAATTCCGTCAAGTGTCAATTTGCTGAATATCTGATATTGGCTATTTCTATAATTCTTTGCGCTGTTATCGGATTCAAGTTCTTCGCCGCTCTTCAATTCGGTGGTAAGAACATCCCTGAAAATCTCGACAAGTTTGTTATCTGCCAAGTGCCTGCGTATACAGAAGACGAAGACTCTCTTCGTCGTGCTATCGACTCGGCAGCCAGGATGAAATATGATGACAAGCGCAAACTCTTGGTCATTATTTGTGACGGTATGATTATTGGTCAAGGGAACGACAGGCCAACTCCACGCATTGTACTCGATATTCTTGGTGTTGCTGAGACTGTCGATCCTGAGCCACTGAGCTTCGAGTCTTTGGGTGAAGGCATGAAGCAACACAATATGGGCAAGGTTTACTCCGGTCTCTACGAAGTTCAAGGCCATATCGTGCCTTTCATGGTAATCGTCAAGATCGGCAAACCGTCCGAAGTGTCGCGCCCTGGAAACAGAGGCAAGCGTGATTCCCAAATGGTCTTGATGCGGTTCTTGAACCGAGTCCACTACAACGCCGCGATGAGCCCCCTTGAGCTGGAAATGTATCACCAAATTCGGAATATCATTGGAGTCAACCCAACCTTCTATGAATTCATGCTACAAATCGATGCCGATACCGTCGTCGGTCCAGATTCAGCTTCCCGGTTTATATCGGCATTCCTAGATGATACTAGACTCATCGGCGTTTGTGGAGAGACTGCATTGTCTAACGCTAGGTCATCTTTCGTTACCATGATTCAGGTCTACGAGTACTACATATCTCACAACCTTTCGAAGGCCTTTGAGAGTTTGTTCGGTAGCGTCACTTGTCTGCCCGGTTGTTTCACCATGTATCGAATCCGAGCCGCCGAATCAGGGAAGCCACTCTTTGTTAGCCGCGAGGTTGTTGAGGCCTATGCCAATATCCGCGTCGACACTCTCCACATGAAGAATTTGCTTCATTTAGGTGAGGATCGATACTTGACTACACTTCTCCTGAAGCATCATTCCAAGTACAAGACAAAGTATATCAGCACTGCACATGCCTGGACGATTGCTCCCGATTCTTGGAAAGTTTTCTTGTCGCAACGTCGTCGTTGGATCAACTCGACGGTTCATAACCTTATCGAGCTTATCCCCTTGTCGCAGCTCTGCGGTTTTTGCTGTTTTAGTATGCGATTCATTGTTTTCATCGACTTGCTCTCCACACTGGTGCAGCCCGTTACAGTTGCATACATTGTATATTTGATTGTCCTCGTCATTCGGCATACGACCGTCATTCCTCTAACAGCCTTCATTCTGCTCGGTGCAATTTATGGTCTACAAGCTATTATATTCATCCTCCACCGAAAGTGGGAAATGATTGGTTGGATGCTTCTTTACGTGTGTGCCATTCCAGTATTCTCTTTCGGTCTACCACTTTACAGCTTCTGGCACATGGACGATTTCTCCTGGGGCAACACTCGCGTGGTCACTGGAGAAAAGGGACGCAAGATCGTTATCACCGATGAGGGCAAGTTCGACCCTGATTCCATTCCGCACAAGAAATGGGAAGAATATCAAGCGGAGCTTTGGGAAGCGCAGACTAGTCGAGACGATCATTCAGAGGTATCTGGGTATTCATATGGCACAAAGTACCAGCCAGCAGTCTCTGAGTACAACTATCCACCGTCTCGCCCGATGTCTCAGATAGGTATTAACACCTATCCTTACGACGCCAAGAATGCCAACCTCTACAATCCTCGCCTGTCAGTTGCCCCATCCGATGCTTTGGGTGTTGGTGTGGATAATAGACAAAGCCAATTCGGAGGCAGCCAGTATTTTGGTCAGCAAGAGCTTGAAATGGCGAACTTGGCTGGCCTGCCCAGCGACGATACAATTTTGGCAGAAATCAGGGAGATTTTGAAGACAGCAGATCTGATGACTATTACGAAAAAGAGTATTAAGGTCGAGTTGGAGAAGAGATTTGGAATGCCCTTGGATGCCAGAAGAGCATATATCAATTCGGGTAAGTTGAACTGTCCCACATTGCGAGTCGGAGGTTTCAGACTAACAAACTTTCAGCGACTGAGGCTCTACTCTCTGGGCAACTATAGCATGGGAATTCATTTGCATATAATGGAGTATTTACGAGCTGTGTTCGCAGATTTATGACTGTATCGAAGATTGGGTGTGAAGGATTGGTTATTTTGTCGATTTGGCGTCCTCGGCTCTGGGAACCATCGGCAAATAGTAATATCATGTTCACACAGACCCCTCTCTTACTGCCGAATAGACTGCATCGTTGTGATTGAGTAAGATCTTGTGGTGTTCAACCATCCGAAGCTAGGCTACGCATGGTAGGTGAAAAGCGCCCCCCGTTCCCTGTTTAAGGACTTGATCTTTAGTGCCTCTTCAGATAGCGGTATGCTAAATGCATATGGTGGTGAGGTTTGGAAGTGCAATTTCCGAATAACTGCTGCTACTGTAGTACTTACTACCCTTCTATTTCGGTCTTATTCTCGTATAAGAAATTCGCGCCCTTGACAAAAGCCTCACACCTTCAACTTCAAGCACCTCCCACAAACAACCTCTTCATTACTCCCCACGAGGCCGAAGCTTATCTTCATTCAATCTAATTCCAATGTCCTCGATCTCGGATTCTAGGAAGCAAGATGAGGCACAGCTGCTGCCTGCTTACGAGGCGTTACCACGCGAGGAACGCGGTCTCTCTCCCGATGCAAGACGACTGTTCTGGTCGTTGAATGGACCTCTCACCACCTCTCTCTGGATCATGGAGACGCGCAAAATGCCCGAGTCTCGGAAGCCGTACTTCCGACAAACCACAGGTGGCGATGCCACCACGAGTCTGCATCCAGCCTCTCAAACACCGCTCACAGAGCCTAAGGTCTCCTCCGTCACAGTCAGCGTTGACAAACTCGAGAGGTGGGATGAGGACTGGTATGGACTGCATCGCGAGCATTGGGACGATATCGATCCTGGCACCGCCAAGGAGTTTACGGATGAGAACGGGGAAATCACGGATGCCTGGGGTGCTCTTCCCGATTTCAATCCAGACGAAGACGAGGATGGAACAGTGCATTTGTTAAAATGCTGTGGAATAGATCGACCCCGCGGAAAAGCAGCCAAACTGGTTGCCAAGCCAGATGCATCATCAGGAAGGAACTTTGTCACAATACACGACTATGTATCTGCTGTGCATCCTTGGCTTATAGAGCTACGCGAAGATATCTTGGGTGCTAAAGGACTGGTTGAGAATGACAAGGAACCTCTACCATCTGAGACGAAGCTCATGGTGGACAGCTTTGATCCGTAGGCTGAGAAATACTGAGGAGGAATGAATTCAAAGCGTTATTTATGTGAAGTGGACTCCGCTTCCACCTGCTCCAGACGATGGAAGGGGTGATTATCTGTATAGCAAGAGGCTGAAACAGCATATACCTACTGGCGACACTGTATGAGTGTTCAGGAAAAGAGACTTAGAGCTTTGATGGCCATGTATCGATCGATGATTCTTACTTACTTTAAGCATATGCAGGACCTATCTGGCCAATTTAAGAGCTATCACTTTCATGATTCAGCTCAATTGTGGAGGTCCTGAGCGACAATGAATCAACCCTTCGAATTTGAAGCTCCGCTCCATCCTATGATGCCTTTCCCAGACCTTGAATGCCAGCCCTGGTCTTCTCTACCCACGTTTCCCAAGACTCTCTCCGGAAACGGCACCGCAGCTGCCTAGACCACAGCCTCGGCAAGTAGATGAGAGAATCGGAACGCTGGCCCTAGGTGATCAATGCTATGAGGTAGCATTACCAGCAACAGATAAGTCACTCGGGCCCTCACGATGTGACCACTTAAATCACGCACCTTCCAATACTCTTCCTATGTCACCAAGGGTGGAAAAATCGCTCCGAAGTCACCGTACGAACTATTTCTGGGTTCTGCAATGGCATTCTGACTCCTGAGAGCTGGTAATGTAACTTCATTTATTTGTCCCTGGGCGTGCATGATCGTATTTGAACACCCCCTACGCTAAGGTTGCCCTGTGCGGCTGCAGCGAAAGGATCGGACCTGGATTGAGTATTTGTAAATTATCGCCAACGGTTCTAGATCTGGCGGAGTTTCGATCACTTGGGTGAGCATTGCCGAGGAAATGTTTGGTGCGGTGCTGTACGAAAAGTTGTCACTGTTGCCCAGTCTCGCATTTTTTAATAAAAAAAATAAGGGGGCGGGATTGACTTGACGTCTCCCAAATCAAACTTAGTAGCCTTTACCTTAGCAAAGATTCAGGGTGCAATTCAATATTCACTTGCAGATTTCTTAGGCTTGAGTCAATACCAGAGAAAAGCTACAGCAGAGTGAATCATCGTGACGAAATCCCACCAGGGGAATACATAAGCCCCCTTTGCTCCCCTCATATCTTGATTCTGCAGAATGAAATGGTTGTGACTTTCCCCAAGAATGATCTGGGCCACCAATAAACAATCTTCTTCGATAATCAAGATAGCTTTCTTCCTACTAGGGCTGGGACTAGTGCGTATTCATTAGCAGTGTTCAAGTATTCATCCGTACCCTAAAATCAATGTTTTGGTCAATTGCCGTACACGTGATTCTCCCCTTTAGGTTAGCTCAGCTACAGAGTATAAACCCTCCGCTAAACCGTACCTTAGACATCTCGATCTATATTAACTGTACCCTCATGTTTTAAAGACTAATTATATACTAAATGCTGCCTTATTTATAGTCTGAGCCAGGCCCCCTTGCCAGCGCTGCCAATGTCTCACTAGACAAAGGAATAACGAACTCTTGCCCTAAATTCGTATCCTGTAGAGCACCAAGGGTCAAAATGCCCCTGTATTCCCAATACTTTATACCGCAATCTCCGTAATTCCTCTTTTATCGATTTATTCTCCGGATAGACTCAATTTCCTGGAGGTACTAAATCATGGGAGGAGACGTATTACAATGACTGGGAGGAGAACCCGAGAGAGGGACAGGATTGGTGGGAAGGCTTTGACTGGAGAACAGTTTTGGTTAATGGAGAAGATGTCTCATCTGGACAAGGTTTCTTTATTGGACAACGCGGGATTCCTTCACTATGCTCCAAGCGGATGCAAAATTCCCAGCTCTTTGTCAATGGAAGATACGAGCAGTCATGGACATATTGAAAAGCCAAAGGCGGCCTTATTCTGGAAGTTCGGAATCTCAACTTCCAGTCTTGCCATGCAAGTCCTACTTTTTGCCTCTGGGGTATTTTCCAGAGCCCTTTTTACCTGCTCCGCGCAAACTTCGCGAATGTTCGCTGGCCATGAGTGTGGTTATATAGACCGCCATCTATCCAGAAATTACTCCTCCATGTTCTCACCAAATCCACCGTCAAGTGCCAATGCCCAAGCAAATGAGTCTGTCAACCGCAGTTGGTCTCAGGCTCCAACTCTCACCCCATCTAAATTCGACCAGATTCGACTCGAAGAGCAGCTGTTCTCTCCAGCCTCACACGTTAGTGCTCAGCTTCACCAGAACCGCATTGAAAAGCTGTTATTCTCCCCAACTTCGCCCCTCAGTGCTGAATTTGAACGAAATCGACTCGAAGATCACTTCTTTCCCCAATCTTTGCCAGCCAGTGCTCAACTGCTGCCAGACCAGGTCGCCGAGAGCCCGCTCTCTCCGCCATCACCTGTGAACGAAGTCATGCCTCAGGGACGTCGCGGCTTCCACATCCCCCAACCACTTCCACGACCCTTCTACGCGCTTTACGCTGAATGCTCGTATCTTCTCGATTGCCTCCAGATTGAGGATCGCAAAGCAACAGAGCTTCTTTGATCGATTGCGCGACTTGAAGAACGGCTGATGCAGAACAACGAACCTTCCTCCGAACGGAAAAGGGTCAAGAAACGACTGAGATGGCTTAGACATCGGCTTGATGAAATCACTCGCCAGGAGAAGAGAATATTGCGACGAGTAGGACAAGTGACGTCTGAGATTCAGATGCGAGAGAGATGTACCCAGATTGAACCCGAGAGTCGACAACGTGAGGTTGAGCTCTACAAGGGATTCCATGGAATGCAGCAAATACCGTTGCACGCAGAATCTCCAGTCTTCCAGCCGCAAGGATACCAGATGCCCTGCACACCGTGGCCCACAGAAAACTGGTCGCAATGGCAATCCCGTGATGGCCAACAAGGATGCGAAGGAAACAATAGACTTGCAGCTGCTGGAAAGTATTTCTTGCATTCATCGGAACTTGCAACAAAAAGTTTCCCAAGCGATAAAAGATCGCCAGACGACATAACTACAACCGCTGGTCCATCGCCGGACCAACGTGGATCCCGCAGATGTTCATTGATGCATCGATCCTCGTCTTTGAACGACACCGCTGAGCAGCTGGAAGTCCTCTCAACCAACACCACTGCCGCTTCTGGGCCCCAAGTCAAGCGGCTTAGTCTTCCCAGCCTCGCCGTTCTCCTGACATCGGGCATGAACATTTCGGAGCTCATGCCGGAGAAAAAAGACGTGGGCATTCATAAACTTTCCAAGAATAGAAATCAGGAGCCTGGTTCCTAGGTCAAGAAAGGGCCAGCGGGAAGAGGGAATTTTGGGTGAAGTACAGGAAGGAATCGAGTTTGATCTGCATTTACACCATCCTTTCCCGGTGTTGGCACATTCAGATGTTGTACAGTGAAGCTATGGCCAGGGAAATCAAAGATTGGGTCAATAAAATATTACTTTTCGCTATTGAAACTCCCCAAATTCGCCGTCATCAAATCCCATATCTTCTATCGATCCCGGCCGCGGCGGTTCAAACGTCTGGCTTAATCTTTTCTGCGTCTTAATCTCTTGTGCACTCGGCGGTGGGGGCAAGAAAGATCCCAAACCTCCTCCTCCAGGCGGAGGCGGTAACGAGAAACCGCTCAATCCTTTACTACTTTGATCGTCCTCCTTTGGTGGATGTCTTCTCCCCATCCCTCTTCCTCCAATATTAACCGTAATCGTCTCGCCTTCCTTCAAACTAAAGTCCTTCATTTCCGGTAGCTTGTCCTCCTTCAGCACCTTCTTCCCTCCCGCCTTCCCATTATCCTCAATCCCCAACGTCTTCCTAACCTCCTGCAGCGCAACACTAAAATCAAACGCCTCACTCCGCTCCTCAAACCCGATACCCAAGACCGCCTTCCTCCCCCCCTCTCCTTGCACCCTCACGGCAAAGAACCGACTCGAATCCAGCACCTGTTCAACCACTGAACTCGCCGTGTACGGCGCGGCCGCAAACAGCTGTCCATTCTTTGGGTCCTCCAAGAGAATATCTGTTTTTATGGTCTCGCCAGTTGAGGAGGGGTTTGGGATAGCGGTTTCGAGAATTCGTATGCGTGCGGTGAAGATCTGGCGCTTGCTGTTGTCGGCGGTCCAGGCAGCGGCTACATAACCTCTGGTGCTAGTGAGAGGGGGGATGTTGTAGACGTGCACGGAGTTGGCGATGAAGAGGATCCGCTGGATGGCGTCGTTGGGGAGGGGCTGGCCAGTTGCGGGGTCAATGGTCTCCATTGCTGGGAGATGGGGTGTCAAATCGAGGCAATGGAGTGTTATACTGAGACGGTGCGCATTTTAGGATGGGGAGGGGAGATGGGAGGTGTTAGAAGAGACGATATTGAGACGCTGGCAGCTTTGTGGGATCTCCAATCACTGCGGTCCGTCTGTGAACATGCACCGAGCAACTTTTAGGGACACTTTCGCGAAGCCTATCGCTATCTTAGCGCGCTTAGCCCGGCCAGGGGGCCTTGACGGTCACGTGGATCCAACTTCCCCTGCGCCCTGCCCTGTTGATTTTGGTTTTTGGAAGTATGTTCCTCTCCAGAGCTCAATGCCTTCACGTTTCCACTCTAAAAGGTGGCCTCATGAGATCTATGAACAATAGAAGGCACAGAAGCCCACAGTAAGCTTTCCCCTACCAAGCTAGCACTTCCACTGGCTCTTTTAGTGTCGCGCCGTCGCTGCTGTTCGCTGACGAGAAATTCCAGCAACCTCACAGCCATATGAAGGGAGTGCAACACCTCCTCTTACCGGCCATCCCCCAGCATTGGAACGAATGGCTTCCCCGGGCAACATCCCTCAAAATGAGAAATCAAAGTCCTTCGAGTAAGCTCCCCCCTTTTATACTTTCTCGATACACAGATGTTGACTCATCCGTCCAAAGTATCGTGGAAACCTACCACCAACTCTTGAAGGAAGACCCCGATCTGACAATGCCCGTCGCCGCAATCGAGGCCCTGATTGAGCTCCTCGTGCAGTCCCGCGCCGTCACTGTCTACGAAACCCTCGACCTGGTCAAGACTCAATCGGACTACCTCAAGTCCCGAATACCCAACTCCATATCTCTTTCTGCCGGAACAGATTTGTTTCAACGGTATATGATAAGCTCGTTGAAGCCGAGCAGCACGGGGAACTTTGATACGATGAGACAGCATCTGCTGAGTAATGGCAGGCTGTTTGTGAGTAGGGCGAAGGCGGGCAGGGAGAAGATTGCCACGTATGGAAGGCACTTTGTGAGGGATGGTAGTGTGGTACTTACGCATGGAGGAAGCAGAGTAGTGGGCGCACTGCTAGGGAAGGCGGCAGAGGCGAGCAAGAGCGGTGGAAATGTCAGGTTCAAGGTCATCTATGTTATGAATGATGCGAGGAGTTCGGAGAGTAAGGCGGTGGTTTCTACGTTGAGAGCAAAGGGTGTCCCTGTTGCTACGATCAGTGAGGGTGCTGTTGGGTATGCTATGGGAAAGGTCAATTTGGTGATTGTTGGTGCTGAAGGGGTCGTGGAGAATGGAGGCATCATCTCGAGATTGGGCACATATCAGATCGCTCTGCTTGCAAAAGCTGCAGGAAAGCCGTTCTATGTTGCCGCCGAGAGTCACAAGTTTGTTCGACTCTACCCGTTGGGACAATATGATCTTGGTATCGATCAGGAGGTCATTGTATTCAAGACGGATAAGGAGGACTTGAGCTCGGAGGAAAAGAAATTCGCGGAACGAACACCAGAGATTGAGGAGAAGAAGGAGTATTTTGCTCCTGGCATGGATATGCCGAAGCCGAACACTGCTGTAGATGCTGTTGATTTTACGGTAAGATCAACTTCTCCAGACGTCAACATTAAGCTTACTTTACATAGCCTCCGGCTCTTGTTTCAGCACTCATCACTGAAGAGGGAGTGTTGACTCCTAGTGCTGTCAGTGAGGAGCTCATTAGTGTGTGGTGGTGAAGGACCTCCAACGACACGATGAGAGAAAACAAGCTAGTGAAATCTTCCAGACAGGGACTTAAAACCACACATTCTCGGGAGAAGGGACTAGCCAGATCTAGACCGCACCCCAGATGCCAATGGGAAGGAAAGACCCAATACTTTCCGTCACGGATATTCGAGACGGAAGAGTGCTAGGATGGCATTATGACATAGCCAGAAAAGATCGCAATAAAAAAATCTTGTGAGGTAACAAGAGCCACATAAAGATATACTGCCCTTCGGAATCCCTCCCAGAAGTTCAACATCTTTATCTGTTTCTTTGATGCCCTTTTCATCTTGTCCGAAAACGGCAATAGTTTACCCTTTCAGGCTTTTTTAGCGTTAGTAACGTCTTCTGGGTTTCCATGATTGCTTTTTTCTTCCCTTCTGCCTTGCATCTCGTCTTCCGATTTGATTACAAAACACAGTCGTCTTCCGTGCGCAGCACTGTAGTACGGTTTGGCCCGGAATTCGGGAACTCACATCCGCCTCCTGGTTGTGAGTTGACAGTCGGTTTCCATGGATGGACGAAACAAAGCGGGCTGTTCTGGCGTCCCCAGTGTTTGTCGGCAAGTCGTCCCATTCCTGGATAAGCAGCTTTCTGGGAGACACCCAGTCTAGTACGTTCTCACCGCTGTCCTCTTCGTCAGGAAACCCTGCTTCGACTATTGTTCCGTCCTCAAGCTCACTGACTGCCTCACCGTGTGGCTCGATCTTCCTTGTCGTCATCCTCAGGTTCAGGTGCTGCCTCAGAAATCCTGTCCCATCTCACTCTCTCAGCCGCCGCAAGGGGGGTTTCCGCGTTATACATACGCTCGTTGGCCTCATTAACTACCGGAGGAAAGGCGGGTTTTGACCAGTCGGCAATGTACTTATTTCAAATCTAAACACATATCCAACAGGTGTTCGACGTCCAAGCGCACATAAACTACCAAGTAATTCAGTGACCAAAATCGCATTTTCCACACTTTCCGCCACCTGTACCCAGGCCTTCATATCCTCTCTGAGCTGGGAGGACCAGTTCATCCACAGGACCGGTTTTTCGCCCTTCGACCTGAGCCAACGACCAGTGGTGTGGGGAACTTCTGACAACAGTCGAACTTTTCACGAGGCAGCTTGATAACCGTACACTTCGCATCATCGAACTCTGCCCAGGACTCGTCAGTGCGCAGTTGAAGCTTGATGTATCCTCGGCATGCCATCTCGTCGAACTTCGTGGAGGTGATGGATGGCTAGAGAGGCAATAAGCTGCCTTGGTTTCTTTCTGCTGCTGAAGCGTACTCTCCCAGCACTCCTCACAAAAGCTTTCAGGGCTCAATACAAAGGTCCGACCTCACCACGAGAAATCCCAGCGTGCACCATGCCCCCTCTTATATTATCACCTCGGAAGACTAGCTGATCAGGTTCCCCTGCAGCTTGTCGCAGTTCAAACGACCGGGAGTGAGCGAGGTCATCAAACAGGGTATCTTCTGGATCACCAAAGAGGCATCTCTCAATTGCCAATAATGTGACAATCTAAGTCGGGTCCCCGATCAGGTTTTCACAGTGCTTTGGCGGGTAGGCGGTGAACCTGATGCCTCTTGGAGACCCTTGTTTATAAATATCTCCTCCACCTTTCAACCACCGGAGGGTGATCTCGACCAAGATACCAAGCATGTTAAGGAATCGTAGAAATCTGATATCTCTCCATCAGAAAACATCCCACACTCAGTCGTCCGGCAGGACATATCAGGTCGTGGTGTTGCAGAGGAGGGCGCGTCGAAAATGAGAGGTTATGTCGGATTTGGAGGTTGAAAAGCGAATTCCCCGGAACTTTGGTGAGCCTTGAGTGTCAAGTCCCGTTCCCTCCCTCCTTAAAACCCAACCCCACCACATCTAGGAACCACTCTCACCTCATTCGCCTCCCGCATCGCCTCCCAATCTCATAATCTATACATCCCTGTCAACTCAATAAACTCAGACAATATGCCACCGAAAGTGGGTTACCCCGCAGCCGAGGTATCAGAAGCAGCCATCTTGGAGTAACTTCTACGCCTACAAAGAAGGAAGGATTGAGATCAAGGATGCCTTGGAAAGAACTTGATCATTATGGGATGCCCTCTCTGACCTACAACGGTTCAAAATAATCATCAGGGCATTGAACGTGACACTCAGAGGGGATCCTTTCCATACAACACGAGTCATTTCAAAACTCCCTTCAGTCGCAGCAACTATCACCGACAAAGACGAACGAACGACGACCGCCTTGCATCACGCCTTCTGTTGTGCTCTGAAGGCGGCGATCCACATCTCATCAGATCAGATTGACGTGTTGATTCTGCAACTTTCCAATAACAACGTCGATGGAGTGGCCTATACCTCGACTGCATACGCCGTTAAGATACTGGTTCTATTTCCACTGGCTCCTGAAGACACCAAGATTGACTTCGAGAGAATTGCAGCAGCACTTAACAATGAGATGGACAAGGAAGCACATCTACGGACATAAGCGAGATTTCCTCTGTTGAAGCCGTCTTCATCATATTCATCACAGCTTTCCAATCTATGAGAAGATACTCCAATTGCAGTCATTGCAAGTTCAACCCAGCGCAGAGCGCGCAAAGCAGCTAGCACAAGGCAAAGCAGAGAAGCTAGTGACGATACATGAAGCAGGGGTGAATAAAAGTGGCAGATGAAGGAGCAGAAGAACAAGCAGACGACCCGCGAGAAGCAGGCGCACGACTTGAACACAACTATGACTGGGACAGTACGCGGAGACGCTAGGGTTGTTAGATTTTGTATAGCGGTGATTAGTGGGAGAGGACTCATACCCGGGAAATATAGAGGCGTGGGTGGACGATAAGGGCAAGATAACCATTAAGTACAAATTGGCAAGATGTCGTGTCTTCAAGCACATGCAGATCCTAGAGGCCAGTTATGGACGAGTGGAGTATTGTAATACGGATAGGAAGGATGGGCAAAATCTGCCAATGGCCAGCCACTGTCTTGAAGCTGAGGTGAAATGGGACCTCGCTTACTCTTGTGAATTCGCTTCCCCCTTTTTACTCCACATCCACCTTAACTTATTTAACTATTCTAGTCACTTTAGCATTTAAAGAATAATCTGGTAGATGACCGAAAGCAAAATCTATCACGGCACTAGTAATAAGATAATGGGTTGTGGTATCACGTGATAACAGGTGTTTGAGTTCGGCTTTTTGCGTCCAAAATTTGACGAAGGTCGTATGTAACGAAATAAGCGATTTTTCGAAAATGCTATCGATGTTTCGCCAAAATTCAAGACCCAAACTTGAATTTGACAGACTCTTAAAACGGGGTGCTTGGCGCAATGGTAGCGCGCGGTCCTCCTACTGCTGCAAAGCTGTAAGACTGAGGTTGAGGGTTCGGTATGCGTCTCTGTCCCCCGGGAAATCGTACTGGACGCTAATCACGCGAAAAGAGTCCCTTGGTGCTCGCGAATAGCTCTTTTTTGGGGGGGAGGGAGTTATCTTTTGCCTTCGAACCCTTCCGGGATTACTATAGTGGTAATGGCGAAGGTTGGGCCGAGATCTGACAATTTTTTAGGCTCCTTTCTTGGGTGTAGGCTAAGCGAGGCTGAGCGAGTTTTCCTACTAACCTTAATATTAGTTATTATAGCACCTATACTATTACTAGTATTATTATTGTTTTTGTATTTTTAAAGAGGAGAGCTATATACTAGAAGTAGTTATCCGTTCGGCTGCGGCCAGCTTGGGGGGTGTTCGGTTCCGGAAAAACTAATATTCCGGAGGAACACCAAAACCATACTTCTGTGTTTACATGTAAATAAACCACTTAAACACTCAATTGCACCATAACCACAATGCCTGAAGATACTGTATTCGATTCTACTAATAAAGGGACCCTCCGGCCTAATGAGGATCCACTGCGCAAGCAGGGGAGTACCTTTAAGCCTATGCAATTACCTCAATTCGACTGGGAAATTAACCTACCTGAATACACCTCTCCCGATAACCCTATTACCTTATTTACTATATACTATACACCTGAAATTATCGATTTAATAGTTGCGAAGACGAACGAGTATTAACGAGAGCCTCAGGACGATTCGTGCCCTTGTGCAAGAGCAAAGAAGTAGTACTCGACTTGCAGTAGAGAGATTTATATCTACTTTGCGATCCGTATATATATGACCTTATATATATGCAATGAGATTGCAGATTACTGGAATACGAAAAACTTTACTCCCGATTACCCAATTACAAGCTATATGAGTAGGGACAGGTTCCAGGAGCTTCATATACGCGTGCGATTTCATGGAAATCAGGAACAAGGCCCATATGAGAAGGTAACCTCTATTTTCCCTACCCTTTTACCTGAAACTAGCTAATAAACTACCGAGTAGGTTGAAGCCTTAAGTACACACATTTAGTCAATTAATATGAGCGTTTAGAAGCCTGGAAGGGACTTGGCAGTGGACGAGATAATCATACGATTTGAAGGTCGATTAAAGGAAACAACTACTGTTCCAAACAAGCCTATACCTACTGGATATAAGGTATGGGGGGCAGCCCAGAGGGGGTTCTTACTCGTATGGAACTGGTATATTCCTGGTCAAAGAAATGGCCCTGTGGGAGTACGTACTTCCAGGGAGCTTGGTGGGACAATTAAGGCTGGAAATAGTGGAAATAAGACATAAGCAGTAGTTCTGCACTTGATTAAAAGGTTACCTAAATCTCCTAAAGGTTCTGGATATCACGTTTACCTTAATAATCTCTTTGTTTCTACTCGCTTCGTCTAATACACTCGTACCCAGGGAGTTGCAATTACTGGAACTTGCAGGATAACTAGGGGAGTTATTAAGGAGCTTCTTGACCTTCAGAAATCGGATAAAAAGGATATAATACCCTGGGGTAAAACGTATTCCAGGTATATACCCAATAGAGAAGTGTGTTATGTGGGGTGGAAGGATTAAGCTTTTGTTTTAATAATGTCTTCTTTTATATTAGGTGACGAGCGTGTTTTATGGCAAAGGAAGAGGCCTAAGGAGACTTCTTCTAAAGCAAAGACTATACGAATACCCTTTAGTAATCAGGCTATAAAGATACTCTCGATTCCTGTAATTGCGGATGAATATAACTATTATATGGGAGCAGTTAACGAGTTTGATTACCTGACTGCTCAGAACACTGGTTTACGGCACGTGGAGCGAGGAGGGCACCAAGCACTAGAGCACTGGCTACTTCGTACGGTTCTAATTAATTACTATTTACTTGCTTTATGCAGTAATGTGCCAGAACCTAGGGAAGTAAGCTTTAGGAGCTAGCAAGACTTCAGGAGGCAGCTTGTTTATGCACTAGTTACTAAGGGTAGAAGCAGTAGTGAGATCTGTCCAAAGAGAAGAATATCACGAATTAGCCAGAGAGCTAATTATATACCTGTAAGCTCACATAAGATCGTAAATCTCAGTAGAAGGGGTATATATATATATGTTGTAAGGGACTGAGATTCAAGGATCGGCCAAGAAAGCGGATTGCACTAGCTCAAATTGCATCGAACCAAGGCAGGGAAAGCTCTACGCACGAGTCTGTTTACGGCTGTAAACAATGCGATGTTCATCTATGTAAGGATCGTGGTTGTTTTGATGTATTTCATAGATAAAGATAGAATTGATTAATTTGAGGGGGAAATCCAGTCCTCTGATTGGCTAGAATTAAGCGAAAAGCAGTGTGCACGGACCACCCCCAAGCTGGCCGCAGCGGAACGGATAGCTAATATATAATAGCTTTCTCTAAATTCTAGTTATAAAATATTTTCTTTTAATATTATATATAAAAATACTTATTAATAAAATATTCTAAATATTACTTTTTCTTCTATAGTAATTTCAGAGAAAGTACTATATTCTGGCTATATTTGAATTATATCTAATTCGAGGAATTTATTATAATTTAGATTTTAATATTTTAGTTATTTAATATAATTATTTAATAGCTAATATAGGAATATATATAGAAATATTTAGAATATTAAGTTTTTTAGAAGCTAGTATATTACGGGTATATTTTACTTTTATAACTTTTTATATTCTAGCTTTTCTTTTTTTAATTTTAAATTATTTTTAAAAAAGATTTTCTATTTTACTCTATTTAACAAGCGAACGGCAAACTAGCTATTGCTTTTAACTGATTTTGTCGCGGTTTTCCATAGCCGATTTGCCAAAATCTCGCGCTGCTCTAACCCTCATTCAGCTAGTGGGTCAAAGCGGCATGACCCTCGTTGAATCAACACCGAAAACAAAAGAGCAATGTCGGTTGTGCATTCAGAAACGGCTTCTCGGGATTCTTAAAGGGCTCACCATGGCTAGGTATCATATTTCTTCGTCCATACCTCCTTCTCTTCTCTCATCTCCTCTGAACTACTCATACTCATCCACCTCCCTCTCGCTCTATTTCTAGGGCTCCTATCGAATCGAATCGGATCGAATTTTTGGAAATTCGATTCGATGTAATCGAATCGAATTTATATAAAAGTTCGATTCGATTGAATATTCGATCTAATCGAACTCCCGTGACTAAAAATCACGTGTTAGGGCATAGAATAGGGGACTTATATCTAAAGTAGTAATAGAAGCGAATTTACTAAAAGAATTAGCTATATACTAAATCAAAACTCTCAATTTCCTAATTCTCTCTGCTACTAAGACTACTAATTCAGGCCTAATTACGGCCCAACTAGTATATATAAGTACCCTGATTTGCCCCTAATTCGCCCCTATAATAAAGATATATATACTAATTAATAATAGAATAGCACTAACTCCCCTGAAATCCTCCTAATTACAGGAGACCACGTCTATACCTTAGCGTTCTCGTCGAATTATAAGAGAAAAAAATAAAAATATAATTACTATTAATACCCCTCTATAACCCTCAAGAACCACGAATACCTCCCTAGATACTCCGAATATACTAACTACTCGCAAGCGTAAGATCAACTACGCTAATCTCTATAACTTCGGGTTTTAGGGCCGTCCTCTACTCTTACCAAAGCCTCTAGCTAAGAGAGCACGTGTTTCTAATACAGGAGCCTCTTAAGAAGCCTCCCAAGCCACTATAATTCCTGAGGAAAGCGAGAATAAAGAGGATAATAAAGATATATTTGAGGAGAAGAAGCAGAAGCAAGCAAATACCTCTGGCAAGCGTGCTTAGTAGTGAAAATACTATATAAGCAAGACACTTACTACTAAGTATAATAAGGGTAAGAGAAAGATAAAAGAGAGGGTTTTTAACGAGAAATATACCTGTAATATCTATAAGAACTTCGATTAACTAGTATTAAAGCTCAAGGGATTAACTACCGCTTTATCTAATTATATTCAAGTCGACTATAAGCGCTCTAATTCCTCTGGATCTATGGCCTCTGGATCTATGGAAAAAGTATAATCTGGCCTTAATAAGTTTATAAAATCGAAGGAGAATATACCTGATTTTAAAGGTATAATAGTTAATTAGATTATTAATACTTGTTAGCTATTTATAACCTTAGAAAAGCCGAAGTTTAAGCTCATGATTCGCTCTGCCGGATATACTAGACAGATTATTAGAGAGGATATAATTACTAAGCATATTCTTAGTAGAGTTAAGGTTTCTGAAAGTGATTTAATAGCTCTATTAAATACTACTTATAATATAATTACTATATTATTTAATGGTTAGACAAGCACAAATAACCTCTCGATATTCGCTATAAATAGGAAGTAGGCAGGCCTAGATATAAAGATATATTAAGCTTATTTAGACTTTATTAAGATTAAGGGTACTTATTCCGGTAGAAACCTTACTTAAATCGTCTATAAAAGAGGCAAAAAACTCGGTATACTTTATAAGATCATAAGCCTTACTAGAGATAATGCTAAGAATAATAATACTTGCGCTCGGTATCTTTATAAAATAATAGGATATATATATAATAAATACCTTAATCTAATACCTATTCACGATAAATTAATAAGATTTAAGAGGAAAGCGAGCAAGATTAATTACTTAGCTCATATAAATAACCTTATTATAAAGGCAATTTTGAAGTCCTTAGGCTCAAGTACTTATAAAGATACTATAGTATTCCTTAATTGAGTTAGTAATAATAGTTAGAATAAGGTTACTTTACCTATAGTATTAGGAAATATTACTATACTACGTATTATAGTTCTTTGGATAAACCGCTCTCTATAGCGAATTTAAGAGTAGCTTACTTAAGAAGAAGTTATTTCTATAATTTCATATAATATTAATATAAGATAGAATTATACTCTCGTAATACTAGAGGCAGCTTTCTTAAATCAGGTAGCTTTAAAGGCATTTATTAAGAACTATCCAGAAATTGCATATTTCTCTTTTAAGAACGAGTAATAGAAAAGACTCAAGCAGATTAGAGATCTTCTAAAGCCATTTGAGGAGCACACGCTATTCGTCTTCCGGGAAGAGCCTATATTATATTGTCTTCCGAACCTATACCTTTAGCTTAAGAAGCTCCTGTAATTAATTATAAAGAAAGAAGAAGTATATGCTATATTCGATTCTTCTCTTCTTGAGGCTACTTAAAAAGGACTTAATAAGTTTAATTAATACTATGCGGAGATAAAGAAGAATAATATATACTAGATTACTTATTATCTTGATCCGAGAATTAAGGCTAAGTAGTTAATTAAAAATTACTCTAATTACGAAATAATTCTTAATTACGTTAAGAGCTTCCTAAAAAAGGCCTATTTATCTAAAGAAGAATTACTAGTAAGACCTCGTAATCTAGTTCAGAAGATAAAGATAAGCTTAGAGCTAGAGTTCTTGCAAGAGTATGGCTCTATAATTATAGCTAATAATAATATTAAGTAATACTTTAATACTCCAAGTATTAATTTCGTATTAAATAAGAAGAAGAATTAGACTAAGTAGATATTAAATTAGTAAAAGGTCCATAAGCAAGAATACTCCCTCATATTTCAGGTTACACGTGATTACCTTCCTATTCCGGGAGCAGAGGTTAACGTTAAGCGATTATTTAATATTATAAGAGAGATATTAGGGTTAAGACGTACTTTAATATCTATAGAGACTTTGAGGGCATTAGTCTTATTAAAGGACTATATCCGTCGTGAAGTAGCTAGACAAGTTTAGGTGGTTATAAAAATCACGTGTGTACTATAGATTATGTCTAAATAGCCTTAATATTAATATAAATAAATATTATTAAAAAAAGGTTCTAGTTTATATACGAATTTCTGATTTTAAGGGAAAATCACGTGGAAAATTCGATCAAACCATCGAATATTCGATCGAATCCTGTAAAAAAATTCGATTCTAATCGAATCGAACTTTACGTAATCCGATTCGACCGAATTCGATCGAATTTCGATCGAATCGAACTAATTCGATAATTCGATAGGAGCCCTATCTATTTCTCTTCCCTCCTCCCCTCCGACACAGTTCCACAGGCAGCAGGCCGCTCCCGGCATCTCCTCTAACAGATCGATCTGGATATGCGGCGTCGTCAAACAAGACCAAGCTCTTCCTCCGACGATAGCGATATGCCAGACTACGGCAGCTGCTTCGATGTAGAAAATGAGTTAGGTGAGACCGAATCCGATACGAATCCGACGGATGTCGATACCGATGCTGAAGGAGGGGACAAGGCAAACACATTGTGGACTGCTAAAAAGGATAAGGACCGTCCGCTGGAATACTATCTCAATTAAGAAGAGGACCTCGACGAGTCGGATGATGAAGATGAATACTAATCGAGGACAACAGTATCCTCCTCGACAGGATTGAGGAACGATGGCATCAATAAGCTTCTTTTCTCTTTAGTTACTGCCTCTTACAGTCGGATCATTGAGCTTACTTGCGTATAGGTACTGCTAATACACACATAAGGACCTGAAGCAATCGATGCAAACTATCTCTTACCGTACTCTCAAGGCCTTCTTCAATTAGGTGGTGAATCAAGATCGAGGGAAAGGTAGGAGAAGGCTTCAAAGGGTTGATTCGTCCGATAGTCTCGGCACATACTGGAAGGTCTTTCAAAATGTATATTAGAGGGCGATGCGTTCGCAGATTGAGCTGAAGCTTAATCGTTAGATGCATTGGGTGAATTGCATTCCTTCTATGTCCTTTGATTATATCCTATTATAGTAAAGCAGAGGCTAATAATCTCGTCCCTCATTAGTTCCTACGAAAACTAGGTAAGAACTATAGTTAATAACGGTTTGCTTTGATCTCATTAAGTCTTAATAAAGGCCTTGGGCGCGGAAAGTGCGAATCCTGGAATTGGGGAAATCGGCAGGCATGAGGCGTGTGAGGCATGAGATAGCTGGATTATCGAAGATCGTAAGGCAAGAGCAATGAATATGGCTTAGGAGTATATGAGCATCCTTTCTCTCAGACTCTTCTTTTCTCTTCCTCCCGCGACTACCAGGCAATAAATATCAACAGCGTTTATTCTTATCCCAAGATTATTTATTGCAACGGAGACCACATCGCAAAGATGTTCTTTCGCAACTTCCTTTCTGGAACCCTCGCCAGCTGGCGTGCCCTGACACCTATGGACAGGAACAATCTGGTTCTCAACGTACCCCCCAAGATGATTGGCATGTTCGTGGCTTGCTACGGGATTTCTGCGTACCAGAAGTCCCGATAGCAGCCTCAAAGAACCTCTGCTGAGAAATCTTCCGTAGAATCGGATCATCCCTCTAAGGCGACAGGCCCGGCGGCTCGATGGGCGGATTGGAAGGCGCGAAAGAACTAAAGAGCAACCCCGGGCATGGCGGTAAGTCTTCAACAGTCTCAAAAGCACGCTCTCTATTCAAGACGTATCTGACTTTGCAAACTCGTAGGCGGCCCGATGGCGCTGCCTGTAAGACCCTCAAGCCGAAAGGCACAACCTCCCCAGATGTTTCCGAGTGCCGGAAAAAGACTTTACACCACTACATCTCAGCTCTACCACCTGGATACGAATCGAAACCAGCATCATTCGAAGGAGAGTTATGCTCAGTCATTCGGCTTGCAATCTCATTGGGAGCTCATCTCTACACGCCTTGCATCAAGAATTGAGAATGGAAAGACACAACCTCCCCACTGGAGACGAAAGACACAACCTTCCCATTGGAGACAAAAGACACAACCTCCCCATTGGAGACGAGAGACACAGCCTCCCTATTGGAGACGAAAGACAACGCAACGTTCATTGGGAATGATATGTGGCAACACTAACTGCCAGGACGTGTCGGTACTGGAAAGCAACAAAATTCTGAAGGAGTAGGAAACCTGAAAATGACGAGAGTTGATTCCACTGGGGATGGGTGGCAAAGACTAGTACGAGAAAAGATGGAAGTGATACTTGGATTACGGGAACATTGGTGGCAGACTCTGGGAGGACGAGGACGATATGAAGGATCCTTGAGCTGGATAGCAGTGGTATGTAACAGGGAAGATTGGCATATAGTCCGATTGAGTTCAATTTGGGGAGTTAGGGGTCATCACTAGAAATGAGGAAATTATGGAAGATTGCGGTGCACCTACTGTGGAATGCCGTTCATTAGGGAAGGCGACATGTACAATAAATACCACAATAAGACACCCTAGTGTCGAGCATATAGGTATCCTTGTTTTTCACATTTGTATCCTTTTCTCCTACGGCACTGATTGTGACCACAATGTGCTGGTAAAAAAATTTGGTGGCTCCCAAAACCTCCCCTCCCAATAAATAACGGTGCACAAGATTATGCCCTCTCCAGGACGCACATAAACACAACCATCAACAATTATTCCGAGCCAGAAGACACCGTAACTCGTGCATTTTCTTTCTTTTGCAGGTTGTATATCAAATACTCTTTCAAGAACAAAGCCCCCGCGATACCTAGTGGGACGTTCGTTGCGTATGAAATCCTGCCCATCGGCGTCAGGGAGCGCCACCATGATGTAAAAGCGCGCATGTTTCGTGGTTGTTTGGTAGGGGTCGACTTGTAGAGACTTAGAGAGCGTACAGATAAGGAATTGATCTGTTGTTTCGTGCTTGAGGATCTGGAAAGTGATGGCAATAATTATTTCTGGTCAGGTAGGTAGGGTAGCACGGGTAGATACGTCAAGCGGAATAAGTGAGCCCCAGATCGAGATTAGTGCGCTAGCATTCAACTTTACCTAATATCGTAAGCTTCGATTTAAGTCTGGCCCACTGGATTTTGTGACGTGATTCAACAGAACACGCCCAACCATCTTTACTAGTTTGTCCTTTAATGTGGTGCTTCTACTCATATGACTAACTAGTCATCATAGACGAATTTCGAAACTGGGAGGAGTTAAAAGAATGCAGATTATTGCATGTGGGAAATGGCTGGTCTGAAAAAGTATATTCAAGAGAAGCTTTCTATGGGAAGTACTCTCGCCTGTCACAATTTGCCGTACCCAACTCCTATGGCTTTAATAATATCGTGTATGAACTCTCTCCTCTCGAAGTCCCACTCCAAGTCTCTAATCCAACTCAATTCTGCCAAAGAGCCCAGTTTATGTTCGAGGCAGCATTTGCCTGGAGGGGATTCGTAGCAGCAGCCAGCCCAGTCGGTCATACTCGGTCTCTCCGACGTCGAGAAACAGTGCTGTGATCGCTCAATCCTCTAGACACTAAACCAACCGTCTTCCCTATTCAGCAAGAGGAGACGTCGCAGGATCATCGTCCGTCAAATCTGCCATTATGTGCCGTGTGGACTTGATGCTCTGCTTTTCCCGTAGGGAAACCATCCAGCAGGAGCCCTGCAGTTCGTGGAATCTGCCTGTTGTCCAATCCTCTCCTCCTGACCGCCTAAACACCTCAGCTTCACTGCGCGTCCTATCCAGCGCCTCAATCGCCTTGGATTCGTGTTAAAGAGGGTCGCATGACAGTCGTCGGCGCCGCCGGTCTCATATTCTGCGTGTAGGAAGCGGAAGGAGCAGCACCGAAGCTGTTAAATCTAAGGGTATGCTTGCAGGTTCAAACCTACTATCTCAAGTCAGCCCAAATCAAGGCAGAAGTCTCCAGCACATTCCCCACAACGCACGAGAATTTACTACTGACACGGAACCCTTCGGTGGCATACCTAGGCAGACCCAAGGCCACGTCGTCGTGAGGCATTTCCGCGACTGGTTGTTGTGCTGCAACGCGTACAAGCTCGGACGTCCCGCGGCCAGCTGACTTCCCCGGAGGGTTTAAGGGATGGCAGGAGGATCAGTAATAGTACGACGGCAAGGCAGGTCGAGAGCGCTCGGAGCTGGCTCAGCTCGTATCTCAGCTAATGCGAGGCAGGTTTAAGGAGGTCATCGGCGTTGCAGAGGGTCCGTAGCAGCGAAATGGGGAGGCCCGATCGGGGGATCCTGCTCGACGCATGAGTCTCCGCTGCGGCGTGGCCGATCAGGCGAGCCTGAGCTAGGTATGAGCTCTGAGAGCGAGGCGCGCGCAGGATTGGAAGAGGCGGGCCCAGCGTTGCAAAAGAGGAGGGTCGTTGGGCGGTTAGGAAAGGAGGGAAAAGAGTAAGCAATGGACGACGCGCTGTTCTTATACCCCGCGAAAGCGGCGGCGGGCCCGTGCACGCGCCTTGCCCGATGCGGGGGTCGCGGCTTCCTAATGCGGGCTTGCCGTTTAGTCATTTACTTTTTAAATTTAAAATATTATATTTAGAATAGATTTATAATATCTGAGTTCTATAATATTTAAATATAAAAATAAGAGTTTAATAAATATATTTGTTTTTAATTTTCTTTTTATTTTCTAAACTATATTTTTTAATTTAAATTTTTTAATTTTTTTAGAAAAATATATTAAAACTATAGTTTAATTTAGAGAAATTAATAAATAAAGAACTATTTTCAAGTAATTAGTAAAATTAAAAGCTAATTTTCTAAATATTTATATAGTTTCTAATATTTTAATTTATAATTATTATTTTTATAAATAATAAAATAAAGTTTAGATATTTTTTAAAAATTTATTTCTATTCTATTTTCTAATTATATTATAGAAATTATATTAGATAATTCTTAAGCCTTTTTTTTTATTTAATAAATTTAGATTAATTAGAAAATATTATTAATTAATTCGAAATATAATAATATTATTAAAAAAAAAGTATTTAATACTATTATTTTAATAT